AGTACAGAGTCTTAGTCCAGAGTCTTAGCATATAAACTAAGCTCAAAAGCCAAGCCCACTACATTAACCTTATTGCTCTAGCCGCAGTCTCAGGCCAAATGCCCCAAAGCCTTGGACTTGGCTATGGCTCTGGCTTTAAACTTAGCCTTAGCTTTAGCTCTATATAGTTCCAGCGTAATCAAAAAAAATTCAAAACCACAATTCGACAGATGTTTAAAGAAGGAAAAGCCAGCTAGCCATCTGCTCAAAGTCATAAACAGCGAATGATTATAATGTTTGTACTCGAAATTTCAATTCGATTACAAAAAGCAAATAGAAAAAGTTGGACTGTCAAGAGGCTGTTATAATGAATATTATTTCGAAAGTACTTTTGGAGTTCATTTCGAATTGGCTTCAAAATTTAAAAAAATTAGAAATTTTTAAAAATTTCATCAAATCCTCATTTCTAATGAAAAATGTCACAAAATCCTCATTTCTAATGAAAAATGTCATCAAATCCTAATTTCTAATAAAAAATGTCATAAAATCATCATTACTAATGAAAAATGTCATAAGATCCTCATTTTTAATAAAAAATGTCATCAAATCCTCATTTCTAATGAAAAATGTCATAAAATTCTCATTTCTAATAAAAAATGTCATCAAATCGTCATTTCTAATGAAAAATGTCATAAGATCCTCATTTCTACTCAAAAATGTCATAAAAAAGACGTTAGTATTATATAATATAACTTTCAAATAATTCTAGGCTCTTTGACATAAAAAAAAGCTTTAAAACAGGGCACATAATTATTTGAACAACCTATAATAATACAAAAAAATCGCCAAAAATGGCTCAATAATCACGGTAAAATCAAACTTGCACTGACTTTTCATGAAAGAAAAAATAAAAAATAAATAACTATGACGCTATGATACATACCCCAGTATAATATATAAACCGCAAAACGCAAAAATGTTTATTGTTTTCTTTTTCGGCTTATAAATTTCGGACTTTTAAACCAAAATTTATACAAAAAACCCGTCTAAGACAACAGTAAGCGGATTATATTAAACGTGAGATTCTGATTACAGTGTGATGACATAAGCAACAGTAGTTGTTGACTTTTTAAAATTTTAGGTAAAATTTGTAGAATTTGTGATATTTTACATTAGAAATGAAGATTTCATGACATTCTTCATTAAAAATGAGGATTTTATGACATTTTGTATCAGAAATGAGGATCTGATGACAGTTTGCATTAGAAATGAAGATTTTATGCCATTTTTCATTAGTAATGACGATTTGATGACATCTTTCATTAAAAATGAAGATTTGATGACATTTTTCATTAGAAATGAAGATTTTATGCCATTTTTCATTAGTAATGACGATTTGATGACATCTTTCATTAAAAATGAAGATTTGATGACATTTTTCATTAGAAATGAAGATTTTATGACATTTTTAATTAGAAATGAGAATTTAATAACATTTTTCGTTAGAAATGAGGATTTGATAACATTTTTTTGTGAAAAAAAGTAAATATTTTAATGTAAAATACGAATAGCGATAAAAAATTAAAAAAAATAAACAATAACATTGACGTGTGGCGTAACAGCGTGATCTCCCCAACGGCTATTATTTATTCGAAATGGATAACCACTTGAGAAAAGTATACGGAAATACGCAGGTGGACGAGTTATATTTACCGGTTTTACGCAAAAAAGCAAATGTTATACTTTTCAAACATAAACAGTAATTAGAATAGATGATGCGAGGCGGAAAGCTAGAAAAAATCTATTTTTCTTACCCTACCCTACCCTACCCTACCCTCCTTACCCTACCCTACCCTACCCTACCCTACCCTACCCTACCCTACCCTACCCTACCCTACCCTACCCTACCCTACCCTACCCTACCCTACCCTACCCTACCCTACCCTACCCTACCCTACCCTACCCTACCCTACCCTACCCTACCCTACCCTACCCTACCCTACCCTACCCTACCCTACCCTACCCTACCCTACCCTGCCCTGCCCTACCCTACCCAACCCTAACATACCTTACTTTATCCTATCCTATTCTACTCTACCCTGCCCTATCCTATCCTACTCCATATATATATTATAGTCTTGCCATAGCCATCTCCAAGCCCTACTTCTTCCCTCATCCCTTATTCCTAAAGCTCCCCTTTACCCTTCAAGTATGCTTATCTTCAAAATCTACCCTACTCTAACCTCACATGCCCTACCCTTTTATGAAAACAGACTTTATTCTCAAAATCTACTCTAGCCTTGAAATATACCTTACCTATAAAATTTTCCATACGTCCAAGCTTAAAATGTGCCTTACTCTTAAAATCCATAACACCCTCATAATCCAGTCTATTCTCAAAATTTAATATATTAAACCTTACCCCACCCTCAAAACCTACCCTATTACCAAAATCAATCTTGTTTTTTAAAATCTACTCCACCTTCAAAATCTACCTTTAGCAAAATCCGTCATATCTCTATAACTTCCTCTACTATGCTCTTCAAAGTTCGAATTTAACTTCAAAACCTATCCTATTAGGTTTTGAGAGCGAAAATCAGCATCTACTATGCCAATATGCCACCCTATTATACAAAGCATACCCTTTCCTATAAGTTCTAATAGTATCAAGAAAAACGACAATACTCCCAGACGGTAATTCTTTTTCTTTGATAAAACCCTTCGTTTGTAACCTGAACCCGCGACCAATGTTCTATTGTTTCGCTCGTGGTTACTATCTCGGTTAGCCGTGTTATATATATATTGTAACGATCTTTACCATTGTCTTTGGAGACATAACATATATTATAAAGTTAGTCTTTAAGTTGGACTGTCTTCGTATTTTACAAAAAAAACCATAACTTTTATAGAGAAAAAGAGAAGGGGGGAATGATAATAGAGAAAGTATTATATTAAAAAACAAAAGTAAAAGTAAAACATATAATACTACGTACTTGACACAACAACTACTAAAACTCGTCTTAAGATCCCATTCATCGAATAACGGTAATTGACTTCCCGTATCCATGTCGTAATGTAATAATAATCTAAACGACCCATTATGACTCACATAAGTTTCACCGCGTTGCAGCGGAAAAAGCAAAAAGTAATGTAAAGTAATATTCTTAGTTTTTTAAGATTTTTTTGACTAAATGATCAAAGGCTTAATGAGTTTAGGCTTGGCAGGCTTGACATTAATTCAAGTCTACCGGTCTTAGTGTGTGTGAGTTTAGAATTAGGCTTAATTATCACAAGTTTAACAAAGTCAGGCTTAGTCTGAGAATTAGTAAAGTTAGGTTTAGTAGACTTAGAATTAACAAGCTTAGGCTTGCTAGGCTTACGGTTGGTACTTTTAGGCATAAAAAGCATTGGCTTAGTGTGCTTAAGCATAGTAGGTTTAAGCATAATAAGCTTAGGCTTAGTATCTTGAGGTACAGCAGCCTTAGCCTTGCCAAGTTTAGGCTTAGTAGGCTTAGCTTTAGTACGTTTAATTTAAGCTGACGTATATTTAACGGCCTTAAAATTTTTCTACCGTCCCAGTCTCATCCGTACGCCAAAAAAAATCTCTTTTTTTCCTCTCTCTCACCCCCCCCCCCCCCTTCTTCTCAGACCAGATTAAAAAAATCAGCCAAGCCCTTAATTTTCCCAATCTAAAACTTTAACATACTCCAAAACCCAAACCCAAGCTAAAACGAACACATCCCCCGCACGCCGTTCCAACAACAATGACGCATACCGTGATTTACAATGTTTTTACGAAATTTCTCGATTGATCAGAGTCTCTTGCTATTCTTCCTTTTCGGCTCTCGGTCAAGGTTGATCTTTACATTAGTGTGGCTCATTTAGCTTTTTTCGAACAACTAGCACCGGCTGGCTGACTAATTGCCGCAAAATTCGTGATTTATGGTCACTGTGCCATTGTGAGATGGCTTTGGTTGGTCATTGTTTCATTTTTAAATGGCATTTATTTTTTAAAAAGGCTTTTTTATCATATACAATTAAAAATGGCAATATTTCCAAAACAAATTTTTTTAATTTTCATTTTTTTTTGTCAAATTATAAATTTAAATAAAAAAATTTTTTTTTTAAATTGGTCAAGAATACCCTCAAAACTTAAAAACGTTATCTTAACCCTTCCGAGCACCCACTCAAAGTCAAAGAGAGAAACGAAGTGCTTCAAGCCACTCGTTTTGGTAGTCCAGTGGTTTCGCCGCTCGCCTTTCGTCCGTAAGGTGGCGGGTTCGAAGCGCGCTGGATGTGGGTGATGAAGACAAACTCTGTCACTACCGCTGACTGACTGTGACGATACAATGCTGCTATCCTACTGAACCTACTTTTGGTTTTTAGATTTTTTTTGTGTTTTTGTTTATTAAAGTTTGTCTTATTGATGCTTTTAAGGCTTAAAGTGGGCATCCTTGCTGGTTTATTGGCCTCTAATAGGCGTTTTTGAGATTTACTTCTAGCTCTAGCTCTAACTTTAGCTCTGGCTCTGGCTCTAACTCTGGCTCTAGCTCTAACTCTGGATCTAGCTCTACTTTTAGTTTTAAATCTAGCTCATAGTACTAGCTTGATTATCATTTTCAAAATTTCAAGTGTTATAATACTGTACATATTTATTGATTATCAGTACCAAATGATAAAATATCACAAAACGTAAAAGTAAAACACAATTTAAAATTAACAATATGAATTCAAATAAGAAAATCAATTTAAAAATGATGTTTAAAAGCTAATATGATGAGATTTCTTGAGCAGACAGTGATTATGTTGTAGTAAGTAGATAGTACTAATAAAATAAGTTTAAACTTTATTTTCAAGTTAAAAAAACTATTTTAGGCTTGTTAAAATGCTTATAATGACTTTTCAAAGCATTAAAATTCAAAATTAAAAACCAATTTTCAAAAAAAATTTTAAAAAATTTTAAATTTAAAACAATGAACAGTTAAACTAAGATTTTTACAAAAAATGATCATTCCTTTGCACTACGTCACCGTATGAATATTGAATTTCTCGTCCACCGGGTCATATTTGGTACCAATTTGGTCCAATAAGTAGAAGGTACCTTGTCGTCGTCGATTCTTGGCAATCATAACCGCATCCCGCAACGTTGGATAGAAGTTGCCCTTAGGCACAGTCTTGTAGAAACCACATTCTTCAAACAAGTCCAAGACTGTAGCTTTGGCCGCAGCGAAGTAAACCAAACAATGTTGTTTATGAAGGTCAGAGTAGATCTCTTTCAGCGCGTTTACTCCCATGTAATCGATGAAGGTAAAGCCACTACAATCAATGATAAAGTGCCTGAAGCCAATGTTCTTAAACCACTCTTCTTCAGACGCAGGTTTGTTCATGGCATTCTTGAGGTCTTCGATGGTCTTGACTTTGTCCACGACTTTAACTTGGAGATCTTCTGGACCAATTAGATGAGGTTTGTCATTCTTCCAGCTAGCCAAGGCTTTGTCTATACAGTCCTTGAAGCGCTCTACGTTGGTGAACAAGATTGGCGCGTCGAAACGGAAAATGCAAATTCCCTAAAATGAAAAAAATTAAATGTTTGAAAATTAAAAAATTTTTAAAAACATTTAAAAAACATTTTTTTGTTTTAAAAGTGCATTATAACTTTTAAAAAGTCATTATTTATACTAAAACCTATCTCCAACGTATTTTACACAAATTATTTGAAAATGTTGCGAAATGTCACAAAAGTATTAGTTTTTTAAAAATGAAAAAACATATTTTTTGCGTTTTTAAGGCTGATACTGTTATTTTATAAACTTTCTTACAAGGAAAGTGCCCAACCTGCCCCGCTCAGATGCAGCTCAAAATTTTTATATGAGTTCCTTGTACTACCAATAGTACATGTATTGGTTTTTAGCTCGCGCTTTTGAGTTTCAAATTTGAATTATTTTGGTTTCCCGCCAATTTTGCAAATTTGGCATTGTGTTTCAAGCGCTTTTTTTGACGTTCCAGTCAAGCTACGCTTACAAGTTTAAAAATGTAAGTTCATTTAAAGGTATTCTACTAGTATATCGAAGAAATATTCCTAAAAGTCAAAAAATGACAAAGTTATAGGCTTGAAACACAATGCCAATTTGGCGGGAAATTCAAAACGTAATTTTTTGATCTCTTTTTTTTCGAGATTGGCTGGAAAGCGCGGTTTACTGCTTTGCTGAAGATCTTATATTTACATGATTTTTCTATATTAAAAGTTTGAAGTCAATCAGAACGGGGCAGGTCGGGTACTTTCCTTGTTAGCCAAGATTTAAGTTTGACGAAGGGTCACAAAAATTATCGATTTTTAGATAATAAGGTTTTAACTTTTTAATTGCTTGAAGTATTAAAATATATGTTTTTTATAAAAAAAAAGTACAAAAAATTTGTTTCAATTTCTTATCAGTAACTTACATTATTATCATTGCTCTTTTCATATCGAGCATTGTACTCATCAGTACCCTGCAACTGCATCAGCTGGAACCATCTAGGCCATTGGGTACGGAACACAGTTGTCAGCAAGGCAAAACACAATGCCACGCCCAAGCCAGGAGTTACATCCCATGCCACTGTAGCGACATAGCTCACGACCCAAATAAAGAAGTCGAACTTGCTGATCGGCCAAAGCGTCTTGAGCTCGCTAGCCTTCCTGAACATACCAGTCAAGGCAACCATAATAATCACAGCTAGTATACTCATAGGCAAAGTCCTCAGTGCTGGGCCAATAAAGAAGATGAGTAGAGCGATGATAGCACTTGAGAATACTGATGAAAATTGAGTTTTAGTACCAGCATCCACATTGACTACAGTACGTCCTAATGAACAGCAAATTGGGTACAGTGGGAACAGTGATGACAACATGGCTGTGAATGACAAAGCATAGAATTCTTGACCGGAATCTGTCTTGTAGCCAAACTTCTTTGAGTACATTTTGGCTAACGAAATGTGGATTGCCGCTACTACGATGGAGATACTAATGGCGTACGGTAGAAGTTTGGGAATAAGCTCGAATTGAGGTAGGTGAGCGTGGGGCATACTGTAATGTGGTGAATTATAAAATTTTCTTTAAAATATTAAATTTCTTTATGCATTTTTACATATGTTTAAAAATTGACGTTTTGTTACAAAAATTATTGGAAAATGTTGCGGAATGTCACAAAAATTATTGATTTTTCTAAAGTTTAAAATTCAGTTTTATAAAGCAAAAATTAACTCCAAAACATTCTTACTTTTATTTTTAACATTTTTATGAATTTATTAAAATGTTGCAAAAAGCCACAAAAATTATTGATTTTTTCAAATTCTCAAAACTTCGTCTAATTTTCAAAGAATGGAAAGTTGTGTTTTAATTGCCATTTTTAAATCTACTTTTTATAAATACTAGTAAACTCACCCCTGAGGCAGACTGCCGACAATAGCCACTTTGTAGGTTTGATTCAAATTCAAAGCCAATGACGTTAGAGTGATAAAAATAATCAATAACAGTTCGAATGGGATAGGCACTGGCAATTTAAAGCGTCTTGTCACGTATGGGTTAATATAGTTTTTGCCGATTACCAAGAATAGTACTGCTCCAATTGATACAATCGTGGTTATGTAGTTGATCTTCACCGGTAGGGCATGAACAATATCGTTTAATTTCTGAAAAGAGTGAGTTGACATTTCGTCCATTTATATTTTTTTGTTTTACGTTGAATACAAGTTTAATTTTAATAGAAAAATTACTTAAAATGCGTTTTGGTTATTTAAAAATTATTTAAAAACAATTTTGGAAAATTTTGAAAAATCAATAATTTTTGTAACACTTTATCAAATATTTAGTGTTGCTTAAATATTGTCTAAAATGTTAATTTTGTGTTCAGAAAGAACTCTAAATAGTTGGTTTTTTTATTTCAGAAACCAATACTTTTTGTGACATTTCGTCAATTTTTGTAAAATACGTAATGGCAAATGGCCGGGCACATTAAAAAAAAAGATTTTACCCAAATCAGATTGCCAGCTCCATTACGTTCAGGTAGTCCTTTGAGGCCAAAGAAAGCGTTCAATTGGGTTATGAAGACATGAGTGGCAGCTCCAGTCGAAAACCCACTGACGACAGCATCAGAGAAGTAGGTACAGATAAATTCTAGCCTTAACACGGCCATTGTTAACTAAAATAGTAAAGGTTATTACTTTAAATGTGATAAAAGACTAGCCCTAGCCCAGAATCTTAGCCCAGAGTCCTAGTCCAGAACCCTAGCCCAGAGCCCTAGCCCAGAACCCTCGCCCAAAACCCTAGCCCAGAGCTCTAGCCCGGTGTCCGGAGCCCTAGCCCAGAGCCCTAGCTCTAACTTAAACCTGACAAAACTTATTTAACCAAACACTTACATGAACCAAGCCGACAGTAAAAGCCAAGGTGCTGCCAACTTGAGCAGGAGTATAGAACACTCTATCCGTATCCTCAACCAACGTTCCATTTTGATGTGCCAAAGGGTTCAATGTCGAGTACTCGTTCACAGCCACCCTTGACATCAACGCCACAACAGCAAAAGCACCAACAGAGTTGTGCCGTGACGTTCCAAAAAACATGTAGAACAGCGGAGGAAAGAAGGAAATGTAAAGACCAACGACCGGATCTAGTCCAGCTAGAACGGCATAGGCAATGCCTTGAGGGATCTGTACGACAGACATTGTGCAGCCACCAATGATATCGGGTGCTAGATTTTCTCCCCATGGATAGCGGGGGAACCACCTGGAAAAAAAAGATAGGATTAGTAGGGCCGGGCGAAGACTTCTGGTCTGAAGGTAAAAAAAAGTCCACAGGGGGGGGAGAGGGGGCACCTTCAACTTTTTTTTAAAAATTTTTTTTGGGAGTGGTGTCGTTTTCAGCATAACCATCAAAATCTACCCTACGCTTAAAACCTGCCCTGTCCTTGAAACTTACCCTACTTTTAAAACCTACCCTACCCTCAAAATCTACCCTACTCTTATAACCTACCTTACTTTGAAAATCTACCCTACCCTCAAAATCTACCCTGCCTTCAAAACCCACCTACCCTTAAAACCTACCCTACTGTTAAAATATACCGTACCTTCAAAAACTACCGTATATTCAAAATCTATTCTACCTTTAAAATCTACCCTACCCTTAAGACCTACTCTACCCTCAAAAAAAAATTTACCCTGCCTATAAAAACTGCCTTACCCATAAAATCTACCATACCCTTAAAATCTACCCTACTTTTAAAATCTACCATCAAAATCTACCCTACCTTAAAAGCCTACCACCTTTCTCTTCTCCATACAGCCTTCTTTTTTACAAATTAAAGCCTAATTTCACCTCAACCAACCTACCTAATAAAAGGAATGAAGCTAACCAGCATATCCAAGAACGCCGATCCAGAACTGAACGGCTTCGTATATCGTTTCGAGAATTTCAAAAACTTTCGAATCATGACAGGATGCTTATGATCAGGCCTTCGATACCCATAGATCTTGTCATATTGGTCTTGATTCATAGGTTCACGCTGTGTATCCTCCAACATGTCTGTATAGTACTGTGCAGCGTAGTTGTCGGCTTCACTTGGCGGACACGATGAGTCGGTTGGTACGCTTTGAAAGGCGTCGTACTTGGGCTGGTCACTTGTCAAGTCCGATATTTTGTTTGGCGACATCTTTAGGGCCAAAGGGGTGTAGGTTTATTGTAGGTGTTTCGCAGAGTTTCGTATCTTGTTTTAGGTATACGTCAAGTTTTTCTGAAAACTTTTGTTAAATATGAGTAAACGTAAAAATGTTTCTGAAAAAATGGTACAACACGACAGGAAATAAAGGTAAAATACGGTACAAAAATCTCAGGATAAGTTAAGGCTTACATTGCTTTGTATAATCAAAATACAGTAAGTTCAATTTCTGTCCTAAAAATTTCAACTTGACGTCAGAGACCGACCGCAACATCAAATTGCATATTAAAAATGCATTTTTGAATTAAAAAACAATTTGGATCTTATACTTCTAGGATGAGTTTTGTAATTCTATGGGTCCTATACTTCCTCAGCTTCTACAACTCTTATATAACAAACCCCTCTATGACAAAAACCCCATATAACAAAGAGCTTGTAAATCTCTTCCCAAACACGGCACTGTTCATTTAATAAAACCTTTGAATAACAAAAGTTAAGCCCTTTATATACATCTTTTTACAGTTTCAAGACTTATGTAGAAGTCTTGAAACTATAAAAAGATCATCACATGACAAAAAGTATAGATACATTACAATAAGAATAGAAAGAAGTATTACAGTATTACAGTTTAAACTAAAAGACTACCGTTATCTATGATTCTGTTTCTTTGCCTTCACAACACTACGTTTTGAGACAACCAATAAAAAGAGACTTTCTCAATAATACAGTGACCTCAACCTTTAGATTAAAAAAATTTATTAAAAATTTGTTTTAAAATGAAATACACATGAAGTAGAATTTCACAAACATTTTTTTAAATAAATGACAAAGTATTAAATAACAAAAAACCAAAAAAAACCTATGTTTTCTTAGATAAAAGAAGTCTGTAATCTTAAGTTTATTAAGCTTTTTAAACTTATTATCTAAAATTTTTACAAATAACGTGATATTAAGATACAAAAAAAAGTTTTTTTATTAAAAATCAGTTTAAAATTTTTATATTACTATAAAAAAAGACTTTGTTTTTAGTTTTTAAGTGCTATTTTTCCATACTTAATACTTTAGAGCACTTTTCTAGCTCAAACTTAGCCTTATCTTACCTTTGTTCTAACTCTAACTTCACTAAACATTAGCCTAACTTTATCTTTACTTTTTTGCCACTTTATACTCTACCGTAAATCAACCCCAAAATGCCTATCACCATCAATTATAACACTAAAGAATGTTTACATTTTAGCTACCGTTTATATAACATAAAGTAAATATAACATAAACGTAACTAACCCAATCTTAAAACCCATGCCTTATTACAACTTCATTCCAAAACTCTCACCCTACTACAGCTAACCCCAAAACCGATACCCATTACAATTCAGCTCGAATAATCATGCCTCACCAGAACCCAACCCAAAAACCCATGCCTCACCACAACCCACCCATCATTTGGCTCTAAAGTACTCTGCCCACAGTGAAAAGGCGGCCTCTTATAACACGGGCGGGAGGCATTCTCGTTCATACCTAATTTACGATCGAGAATCCTCCAACTTTGAACTGTGCAACCGCCTTCTTTTGCTTGATCGATGAAAGACTACAGTAGTCGCGTCGTGAATTGTGTAACGTTCCCCGGGCGGAACGACCGGACGGCCTCTTTCTCGCCAGTTTTTACACATTCTTCACTGTTTTGCGCTTTGGAAAACTTATCTTTTGAGCTGAAAATTGGAAAAAGTTTTAGTTTTAGAAGGGTTTGTGAAAGGTATAAATGTGTTAGTACTAGTGGTACTATTTTAAACGTTTTTGTAGTACCAAAGCTTGAGTTTTTGACTAATTTTTTTTTAATTAGGCGTATAAAAAAGTTTTTGCGTATGTTTGGGAATAGACTAAAGCGACGGTTAAAGGTAAAGATTAAGCTAAGGGTTGTAAGACCAGGCCCAATGTATGGGCTAAGACTGAAAAAAGACTAGAGCCAAGGCGAATACAGAAGCTAAAGTTAAGAGCTTAGGCGATTAGTGCCGGCCTCAGGTTCAAGCTCTGATTCAGGCACGGGCTTAGGCTTTTGCTCAGGCTTGAGGTTCAAGCTCAAGCTGAACCTCAAGCGCAAGCTCAAGCTCAAGCTCAAGCTCAAGCTCAAGCTCAGGCTCCAGATCAAGCTTAGACTCAGGCTTAAGCGCAAACTCAGGTTTAAGCACATGCTCAATTTAAGCCTATGGCTAATGTTCAGACTAAGGCTCCGGCTCATGTTTATGCTCAGGCTTGCGCTCAGGCTCAGGCCAAAGCTCAGGGTCGGGCTAAGGCTAAGGCTAAATTTAAAGCTGAAGCTAATACTAAGGTTAAAAGTAAGGCTAAGAATAAAATTTAGACTAAGGCAAAAACTAAGAATTTTTAATTTAAATAATATCACCTCAGGACTCTAAAAATATATTTAAAAATTTTTATAAAATCAATGTAAAATACGCTGAAAAAAATAATTAGTAATATACCATTAGATTTAAGAGTAAAAGATACGCATTTAACCACGTTTTTCTTATAAAAATGCAAATACGTAAAAAAGATTATAAAAAGTCATTTGAAAAGGGCTTTGATAACCTAAAACCAGACGAGTCGTAAATCAATAAATTATGCTGTTAACATCTAATACGAATACATTATAAAGGTTATGTGGCTTTGAGGCATGTTAAAAGTACAACAAGCTTTAAAAGGATGTCTTAATAAGCTCTTTTAGAATTAGATCTTACTGTATAGCCCTATTAAATTTAAAATTAGTACAAACTACGGGTAAAAATACAGAAGCCTCTACTAATAATAGACTAACAGGGAAAGTACCCAACCTGCAACTCTCAGAATCAGCTCAAAATTTTTATACGGATTCTTTGTAGTACCATTAGTACCTATGAAAAATTTTAGCTTGCGCTTTTGAGTTTTAAATTTTAAATATTTAAATTTTCCGCCAATTTGGCAAACTTGGCATTGTGTTTCAAGCACTTTTTTCGACTTTCCAGCCAAGCTAAACTTACAAATTTAAAAATGTAGGTTCATTTAAAGGTTTTTTACTAGCATATTAAACAAAAATGATTAAAAGTCAAAAAATGGCAAAGGTATAAGCTTGAAACACAATGCCAATTTGGCGGCAAATTCAAAACGCGATTTTTCGATCTCGATTTTCTCAAGACTGGCCGCAAACCGCAACTTAGAGTTTTGCATAACATCTTACATTTACGTGACCTTTCAATAAAAAAAGTTTGAACGAAATCTGAGCGTTGCAGGTCGGGTACCTTCCTTGTAAATTGAAACGTCTAAAAAGCTTAAAAAACGTCTAGACAAAAATAAATTCTTAGATATCTCGATCTTTTTGTTCAAGATATGAAATATGTTGTTCTTCTACAGTGACAACAAAAGCCAGCCGTTTCTTTGTTGTCGTTTTTTACGACTTTTAGTTCTATTTTTAAATCATTTAGGTCTGTGCCGTGAGAGAGACCGTACTGAGATAGGCTACGATAGGTTGGGCCAGGCTGGGACGGCCGAAGCAAATTTTAAAAGAATCTGGTTGACTAGGTTTAAAGCTCCAGGCCAGACCAAAAAATTGGTTTCGGCTCCGTTCCTTTTCAAGTCTAGTCATCACACAGTTATAGTAATCCCATTTTTTAAAATTTTTTTCAATTTTCTGTTTTTTGTGTACTATAGGTATGACCGGCCTCTGAAATGATTATTAATCTTCTTCCTGGTTTGATCTACTATCGTGACTAAATTCTTAAGCTGTATTTCTGAATTGTCGAAGCTTACTTTACTTAAAGCTTAAAATCTTTTATTTTACTTCCGGGTACAACAATTACAATGTCATTTTCTATGTTTTCATGTTATGCCCTTTTCTTAAAGACTGTCTCATCCTTCCGCCGTAGACACTTTACATTATCCTGCTCAACTTACGTTGTTATATATTTGTTGTCGAAAACACAACTTAATGCCTTGTTTATGATCTTAGACTAAACCTTGTTTTTGATCTCAAAACACCTCAAATTAGTCGCGAAACTTTTGCCAATTTAAATGTTTTAAACGTCCATTTTGTTTTTAAAGTTTTTTAAATGACAATTCTTTTTTTCAATCGAGGTTTGGCAGGTGATTAAACTCAAGGTCGATTGTTTCAATTAAACTCTCAAAGTTGAAAAAACAAAGTTTGGAGGCTAATTTGTTTTGTATTCGGAATACAGTATGCAATTAAAACTGCACAAACGTTTTTCGGTCTTGTGATCAAAGTTAAGACTTCTAGTTAAGAAATGTGATTGTCAAGTAATCAATGATACTTCAAAGTTGATTGACAAAACATAAGAGCTTTGTAGGTCTTACTTAGTGCAAGATTGCCTTAAATCTAAACTAAGGTTAGGGTGTGGCCACAACAGCACGAGAAGTTTCAGTCTATGATGACCTTATACACCAAGTTTAATATGTTTGAAGCAGCAAATAAAAACTACCATTTAAGAACGAAAATGCCATTTTCTTTTTACAAAATAAAGAAAAACTTGCAGAAAAGCAATCAAATGTGTAAATTCATTCAATGGGTGCGGCTTTGCAAAACAGTGAAGAAATCAACGTGTTAATGTCGAAATTTGAAAGTTAATCGAGCGTCAATCACCGAACAAATATCAAGCTCAACAACAATGTTTACAATTACAAAAGTTCAGCCTAAATAAATCGTAAAAATTAAAGTGGCTAAACTGAAAAATAGCTAACAAGGGAATGTTACAAACTGTCCATTCGCTTTTTAAAAATGAATGGTACCACCAGGGCCGGGCGCGAGAGGGGGGGGACGGGGGGTACCCTCCCCCCAGAAAAAAAATTTTCGAAAAAAAATTTGGACGTGGTCCCCCCTGTGGATTTTTGGAAAAAAAATTTTCGCAAAAAATCGGCACAGGTAGCTGCTACCTGTGCCGATTTTTTGGACCCCTGCCCCCAGACCAAAAGTCCCCGCCCGGCCCTGGGTACCATGTGAAAGAGCGTAAAAAGTTGACTAGAAACCTGTTTTTAAAAACTGCCAACTTCGTCTTACAAGCTCGCTAGCGAGCTTTAAAAATCATTACTAAAAGGGCTTTTTATGTTCATATGCTTTATTTTCAATTTTTGTATGTTCAAAAAATTTTTTTTAATTGTTTTATGTTTTAATAGATATAAGAAACAATTATCAACAAAAAATTTTAGTTCTGTTAATGAAAATTAATTTGAATTTAAATTTAAAAAAAAATAAATCTTACTACCCCAAAAGAGGATCGAACCGGACACGCATGATTGCGCAATCACGGCGCCTTTGACCACTCGGCCAATCGAACACACTTCGTTCCTCTCTTCGAAAGAATTCAAAAGAAAGCGGACGTAGAAAAACCATTTTAATCCAACTCAAGGTCAAGTTCAGGCGTATGTTTAGTCAAGTTCGAAGCTCAGGCTTAGGCTCAGGCTCAGGCTCAGGCTCAGGCTCAGGCTCAGGCTCAGGCTCAGGCTCAGGCTCAGGCTCAGGCTCAGGCTCAGGCTCAGGCTCAAGTTCAAGCTCAGGCTCAGGCTCAGGCTCAAGCTCAGTCTCAAGCTCAGGCTCAGTCTCAGGCTCAGACTCAGGCTCAGGCGCAGGCTCAGGCTCAGGGGCAGGCTCAGGCTCAGGCTCAGCCTCAGGCTCAGGCTCAGACTCAAGCTCAAGCTAACGCGTAATCTACCTAAGAAAAACTATAACTAATGCTAAACTCAAGGTCAGTTATTGAGCTTAAAATAGCCATAAAAATCGTTTACAGCACTGTTATCATACAGTAACTTCATTTTCTAGTTTTAGTAATCAAGTCAAAAGCCTAAACCAACCGATAAAATCTATAAAAAGCAATGATATTTAATTTTGTCAGATGATACTGTCGTTTGTCGATGAACTCATCCGTCACGACTTGATCGCCCGTTCTTTCTCAAGAACGTTGAGAAACGTCTTTTTTCAAATTGTAATTATTTGGGTTACATGTGATATGCCGCTGATTGTTTTTTCGAAAGTTTTGTCATAACGGCTAGACTAATGGCGGTTTTATGGTTATAGGTGGCATGTATATAAACAATGTCATAAAATTCTCATTTCTAATGAAAAATGTCACAAAACCCTCACTTCTAATGGAAAATGTCAACAAATCCTCATTTTAAAAAAAAATGTTATAAAATCCTCATTTCTAATGAAAAATGTCATTAAATCCTCATTTCTAATGAAAAATGTCATCAAATCCTCATTTCTAATGAAAAATGTTATCAAATCCTCATTTTTAATGAAAAGTGTCATAACATCCTTTTTTCTAATGAAAAACGTTATAAAATCTTCGAATGTTACCTAAACTATTCAAATGTGAAAAAAAAAATCATTAAGGGTAGTATCACACAATATTATATTGTTCAAATAATTATGTGCTTCCATAACCCCAAAAATTTGCTTTAAGAAAGGAGCACAGAATTATTTAAACAGCGTAATACAAAAAATCGAAAATGCTTCTGAAATCACGATGAAATCACAGTTGAACTTTCAAAGTTGATTGATAATGTTCCACGACGTTTTGTCGATGAAAGCGTTTTATTGGTGAAGTCGTATGACTCGGTAAAAACATAAAACCGCCATCAATCATTGGGAAAACAAATAGTCAAGACATTGTAATCAAGTAACGTAGTCAAACATTATATCAACAGTTTTGACGTGATTTAATTAAAAAAGTTTAAATTTTTTAATTTTGATAGGTATAGGTTACTGTACAGTAATTTGTGTAAAATACGTTCTACCAAACGCTTGATTAAAATTATTTTGCAACAAGAATGCTCTTACTACGTCACTGTGGACAACGACGTTATACCTGTACTGTAAGCATTGCTACTTTGTTGTAAGATGATGCAATAGTAGTGACAAGTTGCGTAATGCTTACAGTATACTTTACCCTACCCTACCCTACTCTAATTTACATTATTATATCCTACTCTACTTTACCCTGCCATACCTTAACCTACTCTTTTCTACCTTTCTTGCTTTTTCTTGCCTTGCCTTTGCCTAAAAAAACATTAGCTTACTTTGCCCTGGTTTTGTCTTCTTCTATTCCTACCTTGCTCTGGTCCTACCTTACCTTAGCCTCTTACTTTAATAGTACTTTGCTCTAAGTCTACCGTAACTCGTACCTTACATACCTTAGATTTACTCTAATCCTACATCACTCCATTTATTCTTTAATTTATTTTTTATCTTGTCTTACCTAACTTCACCTGTCTTGTTCTACTGCCTCTACCTTATGGCCAAGTTATTATCAAGGTCCCACCCGTCTTTTTCTGCCCTAATGTCAGCCACTTTCCTTTTGATTCTAGCTTTGCCATGTCTTTACAAAGTTATATTAATTGCCCTTTCATTACCTCTCACCTTCCCACTTGATCGTTCCAAACCTGCAACTTCTCGGCGGAGAAACTTTGAAAGATGACAAATCAAATGTTTCGATCAAAAAGCAGAAGCGAGGTTTGTAACTTTAAACATTTATCGTTGAAAGAGTAAAACTGTTTACTGAATCTACCGGAATTAATCGAGAAGAACGCTGACTATACAGAAAGAATCGACGTTAACGCCAAAAGTTCTCAAAATACAAAGCGAAATGAATGTGTTATGACAATTTGATTCATCAAAATTTAATCATTTATTTGCGACATTACCACAATATAGTTTTGATTTTGAAAGAAAATTGTAAAATGAGTCATAAGCGTTCACAAATTTCATATTCATAATCATTTGGAAGCATGTTGAGCTACATGATCTCTGTATTATATAAATGCAAAGCTTCAAATTAAGAATAAGAAATCAATTCTAAAACGTTACAGCTAAGATGATGAAGATGATATTTTATGTAGTAACTCCAATCCAACTTTAAAAGCCTGAATTTTATAAGATTTTGGAAACTTTCTGTTCATGATTATAAAACAGGTAATACAATAACATCCCTCTATACTATAACTCCTTTATAACAGACAACCTAATATATTTCTAAGTTTATAAAGTTAGGCCAAGTTTTTTTTTCAAGACTCAGCAGATTATGTCGAAGCCTAGCAAGCCTAGGTTTATCAAAATAAAACCCACTGAGAATAATTCAGCTAAGGCTGATATACAAGGCCTTCTAACAAGGAATAACCCAACCTGCAACGCCCAGATTTCGTTCAATTTTTTTTATTGAAAGACCATTTAAATGTAAGGTCTTATGCACGACTTTAAGTTGCGGTTTGCGGTCAGACTTTAGAAAATCAAGATCAAAAAATCGCGTTTTGAACTGGCCGCTAAATTGGCATAGTGTTTCTAGCTTATAACTTTGTCATTTGTTGACTTTTAACTATTTTTCTTTAATTTAATAATTAAACAATTTCAAATGAATTTGCGATTTAAAATTTGTAAGCTTATCTTATCTAGAACATCAAAAAAAACGTGCTTGCAACAGAATGCCAAATTTGCTAAATTGGCAGAAAATTTAAAAATATTAATTCTAAAACTTAAAACCGCTAGCCAAGATTTTCTATATGTGCTACTTGTACTACACAAAACTGTAAAATTTTAAGCTAATTCTGAGAGTTGCAGGTTGGGTGCTTTCCTTGCAAGCCCAAGACCACTAAACCTAAACATATAAAACTTAAACTTACTTAGCCTAAGCGTACCAAGTTTTAAAGTACTAAGCCTACCATACTGTTTTAACCGAACTTAAGCTTGAGGTTACTAAACTAAGTGTATTAAAACTTGTTTTCAGTTCTTTTGAACTTACAACACACAAAACTCTTTATTGTAATTTATAAATTTATTGAAAATTTCAAAATCTGTTTGTAAACATATATAAAATACGACTTGAAAAACGTCGAAGGTTTGAGGAACAATAAAAATCCAATATAATTTTTATTAAAATAAAACTAGATGGACTAATGGTAGTTATTACAGCAATAACGTTGTTACAGTAATCATTAGGTCGTATTTACCACACAGTTATGTTGTATACAGCGCAAAGCAATGTTTTTTACAGTGTTAAACCTATCTTGTTCTAAAAAATACTTTAAAGTAAGTTTTAAAAGCTTAAAAAAGTCTTGTCGCTAACTTCCATGTCTTTTAATAGTAAAAAACGACAAAACTTCTTTACTAGCCTAATATATAGCTCAATATCAAAAAAATCAAAAACACGACGGATTACTGTAACAGACAGTCTAAAAATTAAAAATTTCAAAGTAAAATTCCATTTCGATTAATCGGAAATGGTCAGACCGGAGGCAAAGGATAACATAAAGTTGAGTGATTACCATGATTACATTATTAATCATACCATGGTAATTTTGGGCGAGGGAAGACATAGTACGTTACAATTTGAGATCAAACAAAAAATTTTAAAATTTAAAAAAAAATTTAAAAAAATTGAAAAATTAAATTTTGAAGAAAATCCATTAATTATTTCGCATTTTTAAAATTTTAAAAATTAAAAAATGTAAAATACGAAACAATAAGAGTAAAGTTTAAATTTGTAGTTATAATAACAAAAAGTTTTTAAAATTTGAATAAAGTTAAATTTGTCAGAGGTACAGTAAGAATATGACTAAATGTGCTCTTAAAATATTGACAATGTAATGTAAATGCAGTCGATAGTAGAAGAATGTTTGGAAGCGGAAATGTCGGTTTCAGCATGGTAATTTGGGTGGTGGTACTGTAATTTTATCGTATTTTATTGTTTGATGTCCAGGGTGAGCTTATGAGCTGGTAGTAGAAGGTACTGTATAGTATAAGGTATTGCACGGTTAAAAGTACTGTATAGTAGAAAGTAGTGTCATAAAATATGACCTCATAGAAAAATTACAGTAATCCTTATCATATACGTTTGTATTCATACAGTAATCCGTGAAACCCCCTAGGCGATCATTTCTTAACAGTGTGTTGTGAAATACGGTAGATGATAACAGTACGTTGTGAAATACGATATATAGTAACTTTAAAACCAAATTACAGTAACGGCTGAGCATTACCATTGCCCTGAGCCTGCAAAAAGGCCAATGAGTTGACAACACTCTGTGGTAGTTGACTTAATAAAGGATAAGCTAAGTGATGAAGACCAGTCTGGTCGCGACCAAGCAGTGGTGATGTTGCTGAAGTTGTGGGCGGATTCTGATTCAACGTGGGAAGTTGTAGTGGAGCCAAAGGCTTTTGATATTCTAATAGTCGACGCATTTCTCGTAGCGTACCGACCATTTCGTCAAACATTTGAATCTGCTTCTCAAAGGCGGCTTGTTGTAGCTGAAATTTAGAGATGGTTAAAGTAAAATACGGTTAAACGTTTATTATAGATTGTTAAAGTAATATAAGACAGTGTAAAATGAACTTAAAATTTGATCTTTATAAGCTTAAAAAAGCTATAAAAATTAAAAAATAAAACAAAAGATAAAGCAGAATGAAATGTAGAATAATAAATAGAATAGAAAGCACAAGCAGTACCATAAGATGCAGAATAAAAATTATAACAAATAGTCAACAACAAACTATTATCGAAAAAGAAATTAAAGACTAAAAGAAAAAGAAGAAGAAAAGAAGCAGAAGAAATAACAGAAGAATATGCAGAAGAAGAGGTAGAATAAAGACTACATAATGTACAATAAGGTTTAGTATAAAGGTTAGAAGAAGATAAAGAATAAAAAGTAAGATATAAAGTACAAAACATGTAGAATGAGATGTAAAATAAAGAATGATAATTAGTATAAAAGGCAAGTAGGGTAGGGTAGGAGGGTAGGATAGGGTAGGGTAGGGTACCGTAGGGTAGGGTAGGGTAGGGTAGGATAGAGTAGGGTAGGGTAAGCAAAGGCAGAGAAATATAAAACTTAAAAACCTACCCTCAAAAGATCCTTTTTCATTTCGATCAACTCCAACTGACTCTCCTCATGTTTTCGTTTACGACTGGCGGCGGTTGTCAGCCCATTCGTGCCATTCGATAATCCGTTAATTTTTACGTCGCGATGCACCACTTCACGCACCACTTGCTGGCTCATCAGGCTCTCCGCATTCAGTGGTACCTGTGGTGCTTGTGCAAAGGTGTGAGTATCAATGGCAGAGGCGGTGGAGTTGGTGGCCGATGATACGGTGGCTGGGGCTTGGTCTTCGTAGGATGAGGAGGACGCGTCTGAAAAGGAGTGGCATTAAGAATAATTTTAAAATTATAGCGAAAAATACCCCGCCATCGGCAAAAAAATTAAAAAGCACCCCTTCAGCAATCATTTAAAAAAATTTAAAAACCACCCGCAAAAATTTTAAAAAAATATTTTAACCCGCCCATGATGAAAACTTTTTTTTGCTCTGCCATACCCTGTATTACCCTACCCTACTCTACCCTACCTTATCCTTCATATCTTGACGTTTCTTCATTAAAATTCTTTAAAAAAAGTAACGACAAACGAATAATAAATAAATTTTATGAAGTCAATTAAATTTTCAAATTCTTTTTGCCCAAAAGTGGTTGGACGACTAGAAGAATTATAAAAAATTCATATTGGCCATTAAATATGCGGGCTTCAAGAATGTAAAACTACGTGATGCGTCCATGATATCTCTTTCAACTTTGTATTACTACGTGGCAAAAGTAGGAACAGAGAGATAGGGTAAGGCAAGGTATGGTAGACTAGTTCAAGAGTAGGTAAAAAATAGGGTAAGACAGAAGTAGAGCAAAGTTAGGTAAAGAAGGAGGTAAGGTAAACTTAAAGTTGGGCTGTGTATGGAACATTTAGGATAGAACTGGGTATGGCAAAATTAAGCTAGAGCTAGTGCAGAAAAAAGTTTGAGTAAAGGTAGGTAGAGCAAAGTCAGGTAAAGGATGGAGTAAAATAAAATTAGGCCTGGTCAGACTTCAAATATAGCTCAAGTCAAGCAATGTTAAGGTAGAGCTAGGGCAGAAGAAATGATAGAGCAAAAAACGCCTTTTTAAAAATATTATAAGAAAAAAATTTTTTAATTATGTCTGTCTATAATACCTAACTTCGGTTCAAAAAAGCAGAACAGGTGCAAATTTGTCATTTTTAGACTTTTTGGAAGCACAAAAACGTGATAAATAGCATAAAAATTAAAAGTGTTGAAAACATTAACATTTTAACTTTCTCATGTAATATACATAAGAATAAAACACTATGCTCAATTTTTAAAATCAAAAATGTTAAGACTGATTTCATCATAATAGGTGCCAACATAAAGAACCCGCCGTACTTTTCCTTTAGTTTCCTGTAAAGAATGGCGGGTTCTTTATGTCGGTACCTAATAAAATTGCAAGCTTTAACACGCCGTCCCCGCCCATTAATAAAAAAGATAGTCTTGCAAATTCCAAACTGACTTAATTGACTTTAAAAGTCATATTAGTATCTAAAGTTTTCAACTTTGCTTCAGGCTAAATTGCGATGAAAATGTACTTCAAAATCGTATTAAACTATAGTGAAACGCCTGTATAACCACCAACTCGAAGATGTGTTTCAAAAAAGTAAAATAGTACTAGTTTCACCGTATTTTATCTTTACCCTACCCATTAAGTTGGGTTTAAATTTACCCTGCCCCTACCCCTTCATTACACTTTTTGCCCTGTCCTTTGCTCTATCCTTTTACACTGCCCCTTACCCTGTCATTTACCCTACTTTTTACCCTAACTTTCACCCTACTCTGTACTCTACTCTTTGTTCTACACTTGACCCTGCCTTTTATCCTATCGCTTATACTACACTTCACCATGCCGTTTACCCACTCTATATCACACCTTTCATCCTACCCTTTACCTTCCATACCAGCGCATACCACAATCAGAATTTGTTCTAGAATTATCAAAGTTTCTACCCTAAAGTCACCCTAAAAATCCCCAAAATCTACCCCAAAATCCCCCAACCTTTTCTAACCCAATTCCATCGCAAAACCACGATAAAAACGCAATTTTTGCAGACGACAAATATAAATCTATTCGGCGACGAAACTGCAGCAAAGTTGAGAAAAACCCGCTGAAAATGGGAATGGTCTTGTTTTCGTAGTGTTTTTTCGAAAAGAAAGTAGTGTAAGAAGGAAGAGAAGCCGCCTTCTTCTCCTCCGGGCCGATTCGAAAAAAATTCTTTCAAAAATTTCTTTCTTCTTTTGATGGAAACCAAAGTGTTTTTTTTTGTCTTTTACATGCTTTTTGCAAAATGCTTTTCTCGAAATTTTCACCGCTACGGCAATAACAATTCCAGACTATACATAATTGGGCTGGGGGTAGGAAGAAGGAGGATGGCGGGATAAGAAGGGGAGGGTGAAGGGTATATTTAAGGGTAGGGTAAAAGACAGGGTGAAAGATAAAGTAAACTGTAGGGTGAAGAGTAGGGTAAAGGGTAAGGTAAAGAGTAGGGTGAAGGGTTGGGTGAAGGGTAGGGTGAATAGTAAAGTGAAAGGTAGGGTGAAGGGTAGGGTGAAGGGCAGGGTGAAGGGTAGGGTTAAGGGTAGGGTGAAGGGTAGGGTGAAAGGCAGGGTGAAGGGTAGGGTTAAAAGTAGGGTGAAGGGTAGGGTGAAGGGTAGGATGAATGGTATGGTAAAGGGTAGAGTAAAGGGTAGGGTGAAGAGTAAAGTGAAAGGTAGGGTGAAGAGTAGAGTAAAAGGTAAGATCAAAAGTATAGAGAAAAGCAGTGCAAGTTGAGATGAAAAGCAGGGAAAAGAGTACGGTTCAGGTAGAGTGAAAGGTAAAGTAAAAGATACAGTAAGGGCTAGGGTAAAAGGTAAAACGAAGGGCGGGGTAAAAATTAGGAGAAAACGTAGAATAAAGAGTGTAAACGGAAGGTTCAAGAACAAATTGATGTACAATGCAAACAGGAAATATGATGGCAATAAAAAGTTTTATAGGTAGAATAAACGACATCTATAAAACTTAAAAATAAACATTTCTGATAATTCTTAGTACTCTTTTAAAAAAGCACCCCTAGGAAAACTTTAAATAATGATAGCGAAAAGACATGCTAATGATTTTTTTCTTTTTAACTTTGAGCTCAAAAAACTATTTAAAAAGTAATGTCTTTTCGAAAATAGAGCAAAAATTCCAATTCAATGATAAATTTCAATTTTTTCACATTTTAATTATCTTGCCCTACCTTATCTTACCCTGCCCTACCAAACCTAACTCAATCAAACCCTATCCTACCACTTTCTTTCCTCCGCTCCTCTAATACCCTGCCCTATTCTACTCTGTCATGTCCTACCCTGTCATGCCCTACCCTACCTTTCCTCTCCTTTCCCGACCCTCATAATATAAAAAGATAGCCCAGCACTGTTTAACTTCCTCACTAAAACCTACTGTATTATTACCAAAACCACCCAAACTCCAGCCACCCACAGCATTCGTTTGAATAAATTGCAAAAGACTAAAAAATGAAAAGAAAAACCTTTTTCAGAAATTTTTTCGTTCAAAAACACAGCAAAAAACGAATGTTTTATCGCGGTCATAAAACCGTGCACATAAAGAAGTATTTTCGGGAACACAAAACGTGGCCTATTTTAAAGCTCCCTTTCGGCTTTTTTTTGGGCCGCGGAACAAAAAAATTTCTTGGTGGAAACATTTCATCATTTTTTCGAAACGATTGATGTCATTTTTCCAAGTGATCGTTTCGGAATTTTGATAACAATTATTGAAAGAGGGTTTTTGGAAGAAATTTTAAGAGGAAAAAAAGCTGCAGAAAGGGGTCGGGAGTCATGATTAACATTTTGTAAGATTTGCTATTGATCAAGAATGAAAAATTGATCTTAACAGTCTTTAAATCATGCAAAAGCCTATAAAAAGTGCTCTACCCTACCCTACCCTACCCTACCCTACTCTAGTCTACCCTACCCTTTCCTTCTTACCTAACACCTAAGGGTGCAAAACAGGCTAAGTAAGCTGGGCCAGCCTTGAGCTAAAGTTTACACTGAGCAGGCTTCAAAAGTAAGACCGGGCCCAAAAAATTTCAAAAAAAAATTTTATAGTTCTAAATTTTTCAAAAAAAAATTTTTTTTTGCATTTTTTAATTTTTTAACGGGCCAAGCCAAGCCTAGAAATTTTTTAACCGGGCCGTGCCAAACTGAGAAAAAAATAAAAACGGGACGCGGCTAAACACTGAGCATATGGCCTCACGCCCTCAAAAGTAAGCCTAGACCGTTTCTCACTTCTAACTCTACCCTACTTTACCGTATCTTCCCTTCCGTATTTTTCCTACCCTACAATCCGTACCCTCCTTCCTTATTTTACCCCCAGTAAATATTTAAAATTTAAATCTAAAAAAATTCAGAATTTCGAAAAATTTTTCAAATGTCACAACGAAAAAACAAGAGTTCAAACCCCCTAAAGTCAAAGATTCGTGAATCGGAAAACACGTCGTGAAAAAAACCGAAATTAGAATAAAAAAGGGCCGCGGCGTCAACCCGCTGAAATGACGTTGAGCGTGACGAAAAACATGAAAAAAGCGGGCGGAGGAAGCAGTTTTCTGAACCGTAAATAGCGCCAAATGTTAAGAGCGCGGCTATTTTGGGAATTCGAATAGACTATTCCCAGCCTTATTTACTTGGGTGTTTTAAATGAAAATTCGAAAGTTTAGTTACTGTATTGTAAGTATTGCAAATAATGTTTATAGCTATCCCAAGCCCAAAAAAAATTAGGTTTAGATATAACTTTAGCTTTACCCTAGCTTTAATCTGAGCCTGAGCCTACAATGGGAGCTTGAGCTTAAGACTGAGCCTAAAGCCTGAGCATGGAAGTTGAGCATGAGCGTTAGCCTAAAGCCTAGCGCCCAGAGCCTAGAGATAGACCTAGAGCCCTGAGCCTAGAGATGAGAGCCTAGAGCCTAAAGCTTAGAGCCTAGAGTCTAGACCCTAGAGCCTAGAGGCTGAACTTGATCTTAAGTCTGGGCCTAAAGCCTGAGCCTAAATCCTGAACTTAGAGCCTAGAGCCCAAAACCTGAACTTGATCTTAAGTCTGAGCCTGAACTTAAGCCTAAAATAAAGCCTTAGCCGTAGCCTTAGTTTTAGACTTAACAAGCCTTAAAAAATGTTTTTGGCTTCCGACTTTCCCTTCCCAAAGAAAAATTTGTAGTAACGTCCCCAGCAATATTTTCTAAGTCTAAATTTCTTTACTTTTTTTACTTAACTTCCCTACCAAAAGAAGTTTCAATTTAAAAAGAAAACTATTGAACTTTCAAAAACTTACGAACAGAATCTCCATCGCTTTCAGCATCTTTATTGTCATGACCATCTTCCGACCGTTCTGACTTGATGTCACTTCTTTCAATGGGCTGTGCAGGTAGTGATGACATGACGGCTTGTCGAAAACCAGCATCAACAATGTAATCTTGCATATGACTCAGCACTTCGAGTACGTTTGGATGAATATCTGGAGCTCTCATGAAGTCATTGTGAACATTGGCATCAGGTTCTAGTGTGTTCAGCAAGGCTTTTTCACATTCTATAAGACGTTGTTCTAGAGACTGTTCTCCGCACTTTCCACTGAAAAGTTAGTTTTACAATTTGACAATTTCAAAAATGCACTACGGTCTATTGTAGCCCTGTCGTACCTTAGGCCCACCGTAGCCTAGGCCCTACCGTACCCTAAGCCCTACCGTACCCTAAGCCCTACCAAGCCCTAGGCCCTGCCGTACCCTAGACCCTACCATACCCTAGACCCTACCGTACCCTAGGCCCTACCGTACCCTAGGCCCTACCGTACCCTAGGCCCTACCGTACCCTAGGTCCTACCGTACCCTAGGCTTTAATGTGCCTAGGCCCTACCGTACACTAAGCCATACCGTACCTTATGCCATACCGTATCCTAGGCCCCATCACATTCTAAGCCTTATTGTACACAAAGCCATACCGCACCTTATGCCATACTGTATCCTAAGCCCTACCGTACCCTAAGCCCAACCGTACCACAAGCCCTACAGTACCCCAGCCCTTTCCGTACTTCTGTACACTAGCATTACTCTTATACTGTTCTAGACCTAATTATCGGATCTGCTATAGTAATAATTCGTAACCCACCTTTTATACTCCTTGTACATGCATCTGACCTTCCTCGACCGGTAGTGTAAAATATCCCTGACCAACTCAGTGGTCGTATCTGGTCGCAAAGTTCTTGCAGCAGCCGCAATCAGCTCCCTTGCCAGCTGTTTTGCATTGTTAGGTAGTTGTCCTCCTAGATCCTTGACAAGTTCGTTCGTCTTCAACTGGCCATATACAATAATATTGGCCAGCTTGTTCTTACTGGCCGTGATTGTGCATTCGTTGGGGTCTGTGGCTGGCATTGCGACGGAAATGTTGTTACAACACCTTATAGTATGTTCGGTTTAATTGATTGTGGTGTTATGTTGAGGATGACAAGTTTGGGGTCTGGAATTTGAAAAAAATAAAAAAAAATAATTTTTTAAAAATTTTTACAAAATTTTAAAAAATTTAAATCTCGAAAAAAATATAATTTCAAAAAAAATTCAAAAAAATTAAAAAATTACATGACTTTTTTAATTCAAAGTATTAAAAAACCTTAATTTTTTTCAAAAAATTACAATTTTAAAAAAAATTTAAATATTTAAATTATCAAAAATCTAAATTTTTAAAAATAAAAATTTTCAACCCTACCCTGCCCTGCTCTGCGCTGTTCCAAACTCAAATTTTCACAAAAAACCAAAACTTTTAAAAATTTTTTTAAATATTCAAATTTTCAAAAATCGCATTTTCCAAAAATAAAAATTTCAGAAACCAAAAATTTTCAGAAAATAAAAATTTTTTAAAAAAACAAAAACTCGAATCCCTTAAAAAACCTATTATTCTCAAGCAATTCCCCCGGAATCCGCCCAAATTTTGGGGTGGAAAAGTCGACGGATTCGCAGCAATAAAACGTAGCGAGGCAGGCCTTTTTCGAAACCGCGAAAAGGTTGAAAATAACAAAAAAAAAGAAGGCGAAAATGCTGGAGAGAAAAAAAAACACATATACCCACGCAAAAAACGCGGTTTCCACCAATTTCCAACGGCCTCCGGCGCTCCGTCCCTTTTTTGCATTATTTTCTCCCTTAAAAAACGTGCATTTCAATTTTCCTCCCCCCCCCCAAAAACATTTTTTTTTCGTTTCGTCCGCTAGCCGATTCTTTTCTCTCTCCCCCTTTTCTCGCTTCGCCCGAAAATTCACATAAAACGACCAAAAAATTACTCTCGACTACTCCTTTTTTTTGCGCAAAAATTTTTGCACAAAAGAGTTTTGGGAATGAAATGGCAGCCCAAATTCAATTGGTTTTTCGTTTTTTTTTGAAAAAAGTAGGTGTACAGTAAACTCCTGTATAACCAACTGCTTGGGGATTTTAAATTTGCTCGTTATAAAGCATTAATGTTATAGAAAAGTTTTAAATGCACTGTGCAGTGTTGGCATGAGATTTAAAAGTTAATCTTTATACAAAACAATGTTATACAAGAGCTCCGTCATACGTCAAACAATTGTTTTTCAAATCACTAATGATCACGTCAGATGAAATTGTACAATGTAATAAATAAAATGACGAAATTTTCAACTTGAAAACATTGTAAAACAAAAATACATGCTTAAGCTAAAGGCTTAGGTACAGAAGAGCTCAAGATGAGTCTATCGAGAAGTAGGTGCTCTTCTGTCTTTTTGTACTCTAGGCTCTGCCTTAATGCTAACCCTACTATACCATACCCTTCAGCACTTTCCGTACTCTATTCTTTACCTTGCCCTACACCTTACAATAGCCTTAGTACAGTAGGCGGTACCATAGCCCAAAAACGGTAGTGATTACAGGACAAAAAAGTCTATGCCAGAGCATTTTCTACAGTATATTGTAGTGAGAATACAAAATGCTCAAAACAATTATGAATTTTTACGTTTTGTTTTTAAAATACTACATAAAGCTACAATAATAAAACTTCCTTAAAAAATTAATATCAATTTTTTAACACTTCAAACTTTCGAAAATGACGAAAATTTGTTTTTTATATGTCAACACCCTATCTTATTTTACCCTACCCTACTCTCTTCTCACTCATTTCCCAATTTAACCCCAAAAACTTTATTTTTTGCTATTTATTCCTCTCCCCCTTCCAATATTTTAAAACTTCCAAATTTCACAAAGCCAAAAAAGAATTTTCAAACTCTCCCAAAAGCCATCAATAAACCAAAAATCACATTTTATTATTTGCAAAAGCCCTGAAACATTACAAACCCATCCAAAACCACCTCAAAAACACACAACATTCCGCCTGCAAGCCGAGAAAAAGGGCTTCGGGTTTTTGAAAGGCGTTTCAAAAGTATTCTCATCCTTGGTTTTAATTCTCGAAAAAACGAAAAGTAGAAAAGAGGGAGAGAAACAAATGTACTAAAAAATAAAAAAAAACGAGGAGGGCTGGAAATAGCAACTGGAAGCGTACAATTCGCTTTTTCGAAAAACCGGAGGGAAACTTTGTTTTTAGGAGGGCAAACGAGACCACTCTAACACTACTGTAATGGATTTGTCATCTCCGGCCCTACGCTAATACTGCCCCGGTTTTCGAAATTGGGAAAATTCGATATTGATAAAAACCATTGAATTTTGAAATAGTTTTTTTCGAACTCTTAATTTTTAAAATGGTTTTTTTAAAAATAAAGTTCCAGGACCAATACATGTCCCATGGTTGAGTAATTGAAAACACAGTTAAGAATACAGTAAAAACAAAAGTCCAATAAGCCCCAAAGTTCAGTAGGGCCTAAAGTACAGTAAGGCTTAGAGTATAGTAGGGCCTAGAGTAAAGTAGCGCCTAGAGTATAGTAAGGCCTAGGGTAGAGTAGGTCCTAGAGCAGAGTAGGGCCTAGGGTACAGCAGGGCCTACGGTACAATATGGCCTAAGGTACAGTAGAGCCTAAGGTACAGAAGACCTAAGATACAGTAGGGTTTAAGGTACAGTAGTGCTTAAGGTACAGTGAGGCCTAGGGTACAGTAGCGCCTAGGATACAGTAGGGTATAGGGTACTGCAGGCATTAGTGTACGGTAAGGCCTAGAACGTGGGACGGCCTAGAATACGGTAGACCCTAAACTACAGTAGAGCATAGGGTACAGTAGAGTCTAGAATACAGTAGAACCTAGAGTACAGTAAGGCCTAAAGCCCAGTAAGATCTTGAAGTAACGCATAAAGTACAATAAGACCTAGATTACAATAAGGTCTGAGCTTCAATAAGGCGTGGGTTACATTAAGGTATACGTTACGGTACGGCCTAAGATGGAGTAACGCATGAAGAACAGTAAGGTAGTGTACAGAAAAAGTTATGTCAAGGTAAAAAACTTTTTAAAGTAAAACTTATAGAACCATAAAGCCTTGTATACAACAGTTTTTAAGAAGATGGTTTTAAACTTCCTACCAAATTAGTAAAAAGACATCGGCATTTTTATAAAATCAAATATGACAAAATTTATGAAATATTTAAAAATCACTGCAATCTAAATCATCCTAAAACATTTCATATCATCCAAACACATTTCGCAATAAATGCCCTTTAAAAACGCAAATATTAAAATACAAAATTATCATCGAACAGCCCTCGCCCATGCCTATTTACAACACTTTTTCAATAACCTTTTGATTCCGCAAACTTTCGATTATCCCGCAACAAAGACCACCCTCTCGGGCCCGCTCCCCCTCGCTCTCTGCCGTCTCCCGCACCCACCTCACTCTCTCGCCCCACTACAACTACTATTTTGCTGCGTTTTAAAGCAAAAATAGCAAAACGAAAGGAATTTTTTGGCGGAGAGAAAAAGATTTTTTCAACCGAAAAAAAATTTCTCATCCACCATTATTTTTTGCCTCCCGAAATTTCTCTCTTCTTCGCCCCAGCCCGATTTCAGCCGAGAGGAATTTCGAAAAAAACGCCCCGCCCTTCCTCCCCGGTTTTATGTGTGGAAGAAGTGGAGGGGGGAATGGGGGCTGCAGGAGTGAAAAGGAGAATTTTCAGGCCCGCGGAGATGTTTTTTCGTGCGGAAAGCGGCTAAAAATGTTTTTTACGCGAAATGTAATAAAAACAATGCTATCTGAAGTGGCGATGAAATTTCGAAAATTTTGTGAAATGGCCTAAAAATTTCGCTAATTAAAGGAAATAATAACCATGATAAAGGCAATATAAGCTGATCTTAAAGTGCTCTTCTGTATAGTAGGTTAAGGCGTTAGTATGCCTTAGGACTTAGTAGGGTTAAGAGTGCCATAGAGCTTGAAAGAGAAAAAGCTTAAAGTACAATAGAGCCAAAGGTACGGTGGGGCTTAATATACAAAAAAGCCATTGGTACGGTAAGGCCTAAAGCACAATAGGGCCTATTTTACAGTAAGGGTAAGAACACGGTAGGGACTTGGGTATGATAAGCCTAAGGTGCAGCAGGGTCTAGAGTACGGTAGTGCCTAAGGTACAGTAGGGCTAAGGTACAGTAGAGCCTAGGGTACAGTAGGGCTTATGGTACAGTAGGGCCTAGGGTACAGTAGGGTCTAAGGTACAGTGAGGCCTAGGGTACATTAGGGCCTAAGGTACAGTAGGGCCTAAGGCACTGTAGAGCCTAGGGTACAGTAGGGCCTATGGCACAGTAAAGCCTAGGATGCAGTAGGGCCTAGGGTACACGAGAAACTAGTGTATGGTAAGGCCTAGAACGTGGTACGGTCTAGAATACGGTAGACCCTAAAGTACAGTAGGACCTAAGGTGCGGTGGGGTCCTAAGATACGGTAAGACCTAGAGCAAAATAGGTTCTATGAGAACATACTGTAAAGTTCAATATTTTTGTAAAATACGATTGGCGGTGTTGCTAGACTATTAAAAACAAAAATCGAATTTTCGAAAGGTTTAACTCTCGATTCAAAAACAAAACCACCAAAATAAACAGTTCTTTTTTGCACGCCAAAAACTGCAAAATAATGAAACCAAAATTCGAAAAAACGTAAACAGCTTTTTAGAACTCGACATGCTTTTAAAGATTTCTCACGTAACGTCAATAATAAAAAACATGGAAAATGGCAAACTCAATAATTCCTCACAAAATGAAATATATTAAGAAGTCATGTAGTACAATAAAGCATAAGATAAACGTAAGACTACTAGTACTGCTGTACCAATAGTATTAGCAAGTCTATTTTAGTTGTTCAACAAAATCACTGCCAAAATCGCAGCAAAAAGTAAAAAGTTGAGCCAATATTTTCTGTTTTTTTTTGAAATCGGAAACTTTTTCAACGAAAAAATCAACTTTTTCGCCTGGAATTTCTGTTGATTCAAAAATCAAAATCTTATCAGTAAAAAACTTGAAAATCGTAAAAATTACACATTTTTACATTAAGCAAAAGAGATTTTACTTAATTTAAAAGCAATACAAACACTATTCCTAGCCAGTAGCTACCGCTTTTGCTCAAGACCTAGCTCTAGTTCTAGCCCTATCATTTGCCCAGAACCCTAGCCCAAAGCCCCAGCCCAATGCCCTAGCCCAAAGCGCTAGCCCAGAGCCCTAGCACAGAACCCCAACCCAGAGCCCTAGCCCAGAGCTCTAGACCAGAAACCTAACCCAGAGCCCTAGCCAGAACCCTAGCCCAGAGCCCTAGCCCAGAGCCCTAACCCAGAGCCCTAACCCAGTGCCCTAGCCCAGAGCCCTAGCCCAGAACCCTAGCCCAAAGCCCTAACCCATTTCCCTAGCCCAGAGCCCTAGCTTAGAGCCCTAGTTTAGAACCGTAGCCCAGAGCCCTAACCCAGAGCAATAGCACAGAGCCCTAACCCAAAGCCCTAACCCAGAGCCCTAGCCCAAAGCCCGCAACCCTAGCTTTAATTCTAGCCCAAACATAGTATCTAGTTTTAGCCTTATTGTCAGCTCTAGCCCTGTCTTAGGTCTATTCAACCCTAGCCAAACCCAACCTTTGTTCCACACTAACTATACTTTATCAGCCCTGAACTTAGAACACTAGTCTCAGAACCCTAATAGCCTTAGAGCTGTAGCCCTAAAGCCCTATAAAAGTTTACTGTAGTAGAAATCCCACTTTCCAAAACCAAATTTAAAAAAACGTAAAAAACATTTGGCAAATGTTTTTTTGTAAAGCAGGCTTTATTTTTCACGGCTTTAGTCAAAAAACGACGAATAAACCCCTGCGGCAAATAATGGTCTTGAATTTTCCTATAGGTGTACATATGTAAACAAATGTGCGCTTTTAACGGATTTAAAGCTTAAATTTTGTTTGAGGAAAAAATGTAATGTTATTATAGTTGAAGTAGGACGAGAATGTTATTAACAAAGAAAATGCGCTATTTTTAGTATTAGATTAGTGCTATTACAGTATATACACTACTTTATTCTACATGCCTTGCCTTGCCTTGCCTTGCCTTGCCTTGCCTTGCCTTGCCTTGCCTTGCCTTGCCTTGCCTTGCCTTGCCTTGCCTTGCCTTGCCTTGCCTTGCCTTGCCTTGCCTTGCCTTCCCTTCCCTTCCCTTCCCTTCCCTTCCCTTCCTTTGCCTTGCCTTGGGTTGCCTTGCCTTGCCTTGCCTTGCCTTGCCTTGCCTTGCCTTGCCTTGCCTTGCCTTGCCTTGCCTTGCCTTGCCTTGCCTTGCCTTGCCTTGCCTTGCCTTGCCTTGCCTTGCCTTACCTTGCCTTGCCTTGTATTGCCCTGCCTTACCCTACTAAACTAACCCCATACTACATCTTTAAACATTCTAGTACTATCAAGTACTATTTTCAGTACTGTCTAACAAAAACACCCCCAAAAACAATCCACGAAGTAAAGTATCCGCACCGAGCAAAAAAGTTGTTTTCCAAAATCTTTCAAAATTATCTGAAATTAATTAAAACGCCTCCAGCGGAAGTTCGAATTGAATAAAACCAAAAACTCAAAAGGTTGAAGCGAAAGAGCAAAAAACCCCTTCGGTCATGAGATTCCACCAGCTCTCTGAAAAATAGAACAACGTCGCGCAAAACCTTTTTTACGACAATTCAAAAATCATTTCAGCAAATTTTATTTTTTTCGAAGCTAACAAAAAAGAACCAGCGGTAAAATAACATACTCTAACCCTAACCTGTCTTAGCCTACCCTACCCTACCCTACCCTACCCTACCCTACCCTACCCTACCCTACCCTACCCTACCCTAACCTACCCTACCCTACCCTACCCTTAATGCTTTTGCCTTCTCTTCCCAAATCCTACCCTACTTTACAATACACCGCTTTTACCTTGCCCGAGCCTCTAATTTATCCCTTACCCATCGTACTGTACTTTACTTTACCTTCAACTATCTCATCATAACCGGCGCTACTTACCCTTCTTATCCTCACGTTACCGTACTTCGGGATAATATTCCCTACCCTAACTTACTCTACCATAATCTACACTGTCATACCCTACGCTACGCCCTAAAGTCATACCACAAACAAAATTTTGTAGACCTACTGTATCCAGTTTTTCGTATTTTACATTCTGCTTCTACCTTAACCTTATCCAGGCCTTATCCTTACCATTCTTTAAATAATACCCCGCCTTTTGCAAAAAAATTGTCGCTTTTCCTTTCTTCACACGGCCCCTGTTTAACAAGTTCCCCTACCAACTTAAAAATTTTTTTTAAATTTTCTCTCAAATTCCCACTAAAATGCGAACCTTTGAACAATAATAAGACATAAAACTCATAACCCTTTCAAAACTGCCATTAAAAAAAATAAAGACACATTTTTCTAAAAACCAATTCCAAACCCTTTTCCAAGTTTATTCACGTCTCTGCCGTTTCGCTATATTAACATCGACTATAGATCAATATTCACTTTTTGTCCTCTTCATCTTGAAGAATTTAAAAAAAAATAAAAAATTCAAATTAATTCAAATTTTGTAGTTTTCTTAAGAATTGCATTTTTAAATTTACAAAAAAAAATATTTTTAAAAAATTTTATAAAAAAATATTTTGGTTTTCCGACGAAAATTCGGGGGAAAAAAGTCTCGAAAAGCAATTTGGAAACGACGAAGAAGAGAAAATCTTGAAGAAACCGGAGAAAGTGTGTTTTTTGTTATTCTGAAGACCTGCGGGGAACAAAATAAAGTCGTGAATAAAGATTACGTGAAAGTTTATTTTTAGGCCAATGTAAATAAATAGGAAGCAATTTTCAAGCGAGCAAAGCATGAGTGGAATATTGAACATTTGGATAATGAAAAGACTCTTGATACAAGCAAATTAAAAAAAACTAAGCTTGTACGATCGGCTAGAATGTATTACAGCTAAAGACGGGTTAAATAAAAGTTACAAAGGCTACAAAAAAGGTAAAGTAAAGCGACGTTACACAAAAGTAATGTTAGAGCTAGAGATATGTTATGACCAAAGTGTAAGACTAGGGCTAAAGCTACGGCTAGAGCAAGAGCCAGAGTATGACCAGGATTTGGGACTAACGCTACAGCTAAAGCAAGGGCTAGAATACGACAGGCTCGGGCTACGACATGACCAAGGTGTGAGACTAGGGCTGAGGCTAAGGCTTAGGGCCAGAGCTCTCGGTTAGGGCTCTGAGCTAGTGCTCTGGGCTAGGGCTCTGGACTAGAGCCCCGGGCTAGGGCTCTGGGGCTAGGACTCTGGGCTAGGGCTCTGGGGCTAGGACTCTGGGACTAGGGCTCTGGGTTAGGGCTCTGGGCTAGGGCTCTTGGCTGTGCTAGAATAAAACAATTTTAAAACCCATACTCTCTGTTAAAATCTTACGAAATTAAAAAACATTCACCGTTCCATTTTTCAAAAATAAAAAGCAAACAAATATTTACAAAGCTCCAGAAACCTTAATTCACTACGTTGGTTTTTTGAATTCTTTCCGAAAATTTGGTTCGGAAATTTTAGAATCGCGAAAAAAAAACAATTGAACAGAGAAATGTGAACATAAAATTTTTGATTTGAACATTATTGTAATAAGAAAAAAATCTATATAGTAGACATACACAACGCTTCCATGCTTTGATAGTAAAGTATAGTAGACAAAACGTAACAGATCGAACAATTTTATGATTTTATAAACAATTTTATATATAATGTTAAAGATTATTAAGTTTAGGATTAGTCGAATTACGCTTTGTAACCCTAGGCATATTAGGTATAATTTTAAAATTAGATGAGCAAAATTAGACTTTGTAAGTGAATCTTAAGAAGTGAATACATTTCATTCAAATTCAAAATTCCCTATGAAATCCAAAATTTCTTAAAAAATTATTCATTTCTTGTTTATCTCGGCTCGAGTTCGGTTCATCGTGTTCTTCGGATCAGCTCTCAAAAAACCCCGTGTTCGAGATCATAAACAGAAGGATTGTGAAGTAAGTTGCTTAAAATTATTCACATACATCTAATTAATACTTACCGAGGCTCTCCCATGTTTTTTTTTGGAAAGATCAAGGGAAGAAGCAAGTGCAATATCAAAAGTTAAAAGTAAAGTTTAAAATAACATGCCTTGCCATTTTAGATGTGTATCGTGAAGAAAAAGCAAAAAGAAGAACCAGAACCCGGAAATGATGGCAAGTCGGATCGGTAAGAAACAAAACTTTATTTTTGGCATCTTCTGGCGTATAAAAAAGGCCTGCAGGCTGCGTTTTGAAGAAAAATAGGCCGCGACTGGAAGTTTTTGTGTAAAATTACGTTTTTGCAAAGATTTGTGAATGAGTGCTAGTAAAACTTTAGATTCTTGATAAAATAAGTTCTTTTTAACTTATTTTATATATTTTTCGTGTTATTTTTACTTTTTTATCAGCTTCATAATATTATCCATCTTTCAGTCCCAAAGACGACTCCGCCAAGAAGTCAAACTCGGCCAAATCACCGGACGTCGAAGACGATGGCCTCAAGATTGAAGACGAATGTCCAGAGAATGCTCAGGTGGTCGATTGTGACCTTGGGGAGTCGATGAAGTCTGTCAAGGCGACGAAAAAGAAAAAGTTCACAGACAAACCCGACGTTACCTACGCAAATGAGTTCACTGTCCGCGGAGTCGAAGCGCTTGTCAAGGAATACAGTTCGATACATAAATATGATGCACCTGGGGCTAAGTTTGATGCCTTTCACAAAAATAAGGAGAAAAATCGGTAAGAATTTGAGGTTTTCTTTTGATTTTTAGGTATTTGCGGGAAAATCGGCATGTGTAATATAATTTTGGTCGTAAAAGAGTTAGCTTTTGATCAAAATGAAGATTTTTATTTTATTTTGTTGAGAAGATGTCGAAGATTGTGTTTCGAGTCAGTTTTATTTTATTTGAGGAAAAATTTAATAGATTTATGGGTTTATCTTAAAATTGCGCATGGGTAATATAATTTTTATCAAACAATCGTTAGCTTTCGGTCAGAATAGGACATTCTTATCATTTTTAGTGTAAAATACGTTGTAGATTGCGGATCATTGGTAACTTTTGGAAATGAAATCTATGTTTCTGAGATTTATGTTTTCTTTGAGTTTTGGCAAGAATAATATAAGTTTGACCCCAAAATCGTTAGTTTTTTATAAAGCCAAACAACTTATATTGTCTTATGTTTGCTTAAGAAGGTTATGCTAATTGTTTTTTTAGGTATTGCGATGTTCCGTGTCTTGATCCAGAGCCAGGTAATGAGATCTCGCCCTCTTACTATCATGGAAACTTTGTCTTTTTTCCTAATGAAAAGGTGAGTTTATCTTGATAAATTTGGGCTTTCTAGATGCTTTTAGATGTGTTTAATAAAATGCTATCAAATTTGAACCATAAAATTATCGTTTTTTTTACAAAAAATATTGTTTTAGACTCCACGTTACCTGATCTGTGAGGGTCCGTTGCCGACGACGACCGATACGTTTGCCAAATTGCCAGAGATAAATGAAGTCACATGTATTGTGCAGTTATGCGATTGGGTAGAAATGGGCAAAGCAAAGTGTTATCAATACATACCAAGTGAGCCGAACAAGCCAAACCCTCACAATATTACACTGAAGAGCAATGTTGAGGACGCAGAGGTGCCAGAAGGAACGACTATTAGCGCGTGCACGTTTGGCAATCAAGAGTAAGGGTTAGGATGGAGACTGGAGAGGGTTTGCAGAGGATTTTAAATGGCATTTGATGCTAAACGGCACTTAATTTTTAAAAGTTTTGGGATTTGACAAAAAATTTTAAATTTTTGGTTGAATTTGAAATTTTTTGACGTTTTTTGAATTTCAGGGTAACTCACGTTAAGTTTACTGCATGGCCTGATCATTGTGCACCAAGTAAATCAAAAACTGTCACTGATTTGATAAATCTGTCGAAGAAGTACAACAAAAACAAGGATCGACCGGTCATGGTGCACTGTTCCGCAGGTAAATTTTAGTTTTTTTATTTTTACTGTATTCAAAAATGAATTTTGTGAGCACCATACCAAATGTATTTAAAATTTAAAACAACATATCTTGCAAGTGTATATTTATGGATATTGTTGTAGGTATCGGAAGGTCTGGAACGTTCATAGCTATGGATTTGTTAAGAGAACGGTTTGCGCAATTTGATGGTTCTTTTACTATCATCGAGGTAGGATAACATTTTTTATCGATAAATATTGTTATTTTATATCTTGTAAAAAAACGTCTTGCCCTTTTTTGTTTTGTAAAGAAAGTTTTTGTTATTTTATGCTTTTTAAAGAAAGTTTTTACCATTTTATGTTTTGTAAAGAAAGTTTTTACCATTTTCTGTTTTGTAAACAAAGTTTTGGCCATTTTTTGTTTTGTAAAGAAAGTTCTTGCCCTTTTTGTTTTGTAAAGAAAATTCTCGTCATTTATATTAGCTTTTACTAATACCCGACTCCATTTTCAGCTACTAAAATACATTCGGAAATACAGAGCCAGAGCCATTCAAACAGCACCACAATACCTGTTTCTGCACGTGGCTTTCCTGGATTTGCTCGAGGAGAAGTACGGTGCAGAAGTTGTGACGGCAAAAATGAGAACATTTAGGAAACGCTACGACAAATACATTAGGGCAGTGGCTGCGAAACTGGCGGTAAGAAGGATATTATGATCTGTTGTTGACAACAAATTTTAATTTTTTTAAATTTTTAACTTTCAATTTTTTAATTTCAGCACCCTCCGCCAAAGACGAACACAACTCAACAAACGACACGAACTACTTAGAATGCACATTTAAAATTGGCATGTTGTAGTACTCTAAACTGCACTAAATAACAGCTTACTGATTTCTAGTCACAATAAACGAGATACTATAAGTTTTGGCCTGATTTTGTTTTTAATTTTTGTAAATCATGTGTTTGAGGTCATGGATAATATATTTTTGAATTCTTTAAACTGATTTTGAAGTATTTATGTGAAATGGTTGTTAAAGTAATTTGATTTATTATTTTTTACCGTATTGTTTAGGTTTTTTGACATTCAGACGTACACTGAGGTGTTAAATAAGTTTTGTCGTTTTTTATCACGTAAGTAATAGTGAATCGACGACATGACTTTTTGAAGCTTTATTTTTTAATGTATGTCTCATAAAACGATGGTATATTGTAATCAGTAGTTTATTTACATGATATGTAACACAAAATATCAGCTTTTAAATTAATTTTTGAACAAATTTTCATCGAAAACACAACTATACTATCAGTTATAACTGAAAAATATTATTCTTCATCAATGACTCCATAACCTTTGTGGCTGGTCTGTTGTTGAGTCAAGATTTGTTTCAATTCCTCCAGATTTCGTTTCCCATTCTCTCCACCTCGAGCTGCCATTTGAAGGTAGAGTAAACGGGAAAGGCCAACGATACCAACCCCGAGTATAACAACTACTGTTAAGGTCAAAAAGTTTATGTACCTACTCCAAAGGAGGGTTTCGTAGTAGGGGTTGGTGGTTGTTAGGATGATAATGGTCGTATTTACATCTTCTGGGAATGGGGTTATGTCTGTTTCGTTTTGGAATGGATCTTCGTTGGATTCTACGTTGTTTTGTAGGGGTTTTTGGGCATGTTTGGCTTGTTTTTGAGCTTTTTTTAGTTCTTTCTGATTATCTTCTAGTTCATTGTTGACATTACGATCTTGGTTTAGAGCTTTTTGGGCTTCGTTTAGTTCTTCCTCATGTTCTTTTAGTTCTTGTTCTATTTCTTTTTGATCTTCTTTTATTTCTTTCAACTCTTTTTGACGTTGCATTGTATTTATAGGGTATATCAAGGTATTGGTGTGATTTTCCGCATGAGGTAGGTCTTTATTATAGTACTTGTCATATGTTGTTGTAGGATGATGTTGTGCATCATATAATGTAGTAGATCGTCTAGTAGTGCTCTCAGTAGAAGAGTGATGGTAGCTAGTGTGATTCCAATAAGAACTACTATTATGATTCCTACGGTGGTTACTATGGTATTTTTTATGACTATAGGTGCTATTTTTACCGTATCTTTCAGCGTATCTTGGACTCGGACGGTTAAGGTTACTGTAGCTGTCGTATTGAATATCTGTGTTGTCTAAGGTCTTGACAGCACTTTTGTGACCACTTAACTTGTCCTTAAGGCCGTGGTACTTACTATTATTACCTCCAGCATAACTTTTCTTCAAAACCTTGCTATCAACCTTACTATCTTTAGTAGAAACAGCCGCTTTTTCAACTTGTGCTAGCCGTTTTAGCCAAAAATCAACCCCAACATCATCAAATATCTGACCATCAACACCATTTGGGTATACTGAACTTTCATTGTTTGTATCTACATCAATATAATAGTAATTACTGCCATTTTTATCCACTTTAGGCCAATTGGTATACGGCACCGAGTTGATGACAAACCTTACTATAACATCGCTGTAAAAGTCTTTGGCGAAATGAATGTCATCTGAATCATTATAGCCATGAATGTCGTTAACATAAAAGTAGTTTTCAGCTACGTCATTACTTGATACGACACCAATATACGATGGTTGACCAGCTTTGATATTAAGCTTGGCTAGCTTGACCGCAAAGGCATGGTAAGCTGTAGATACGATCTGTTGTGTGTCGGTAAAGAAAGATACACATTTGTTTAAAGTTTGAGTATGACGATAGGCAAATGATGACATCAGTTCGGCACATACTTGTTGTCTGGCTTCGTATGTTGTAGTAGGTTGCGTCTTTGGGTTCGTAGTTGATGTAGATGGTGATTCTGACGACGTCGATGTTGACGATTGAGTTGTAGGTGAAGTAGAGGTTGAGGAAGAAGTAGAAGTATCAGATGACGTAGGTGGAGAGCTTGACCTTGTTGTTTGGCGCGTAGAAGAGCTCGACGTCGTATCTGGGGTATAACTTGTGGTATCTTGACTTAATCTTGTAGTATCTCGAGTATATTCTGTAGTATTTTGCTCATAGTTCACCGTGTCATTACTATAAGTATCGTCAACAGTACCAGTGTTATTATAGCCATCATCACTCTCATAGTCGGCCTCAAGATCATTGTGATCATGAACAATATAACCAAAATCTTCATCTTCTCTCATAATAATCAATAGTGGCATTGGGTTAAAACTTCTTTCTGGATTTTCCCATAATGAAACGTCAATTACTCTACTATCAACTTGTGGTTGCAAGATATAAGATGTGTTCCGGTAAAACGCCCATATATCTTCAGAAGATACGTTTCTTAGACAGTTTAGTTGAGCTTCGACTTTGGAGGTGGTTGAACACTAAAATTTTGAAATATAAAAGTTTGCCATAACTTACTAAAGCATATCCTTGCCTGTCTTACTTTACCATAGCCTATTCTACCCTACCCTACCATACCCAAACTCACAAGCTTCAAAAATTCATCAAACATACCCCAAATTCTTCGCTAACAGCCACGCTAGCTTCTTCATTAGCATGTAGCACAACTGGTGCTATACCACTAACAATGATAAGCTTAGAGTAATGTGATGGGTTCACTTTACTTGATGAAGCAAGGTAAATAACATTACTAGCTTCTTGTTTGATTCCCATTACTGTAACTCGATCAGAAGCACCGCCAAACGATGCGATCTCATGGTTAGTCCAGTCCAGGGCTTTGATTATGTCTTAAAAATAGTTTTTGAATAGCTTTTGGTTTAAAAAAGAATGGCAGAGGGTATACATTTTAAAACGTTTTGTAAGGTCGCAGTCATATTTTGTTACCTAAACATTAAAAACCAAGGTAAATAGCTTACCAAGTAACTGAACGTTATATGGAGCCTTGCTGGTACTCTTTCCCAAATCCAAATTTCCAAAAATCCCTTTTCGATATTGAGGTACTACTACTACAAGACCTTTTGAAGCATATTGTTTTAGGATATTAGTCTCATTGAAGTGATTTTTCGGATCTTGAAGAGGTAAATTGTGCAGAAGGAGCAGGACTGGACATAGGTTTACCTAAAATATGGTACAAATAACTGTTTTTTACTCTACTTTAACCTACCTTACACTTCGCTGTCCTGCCCTACCTTACCCCACCATACCCTACCCTGCCGTATCTCACCCTACTTTACTCCATTATACTTTACCCTACAATGCCTTACCTACTATATTCTACCCCACTTTATCCCTACCACATCCTAGTCTACCTTACCCTATCCTATCGTACCTTACCCTACATTAAAGTAACTTACTGTAACAACAAGCCTATTACACTGTACCTAAACCCTAAATACCAATCTAAAAACATACCATGCACGTATTGTCAGCAAACACATTGACATACAAACAGTCTTCAGCATAATGATTTCTGGTGGGTAACTTTTGGGTAGGGAAGCATACTGATGGATAAGTTGTGACTTCCTTTCTATCTGACCACGCTTCTACGTCTTTTGGTGCTTGAAATCGAAGCTCATCTACTGGTGGGGCAGCATATGGTATTCCCTGTAAGAGGTAGTTACTGCTATGGTAAAAAATGTTCTAAATTTTTTTAAAAATGAATGTAAAATACGACAAATAAATGTGGAATAGACAAAAATAATGTTTTTTTTCGTTTTACTACAGTTTTGATAAAACCAAAAAAAATGTAAAGTAAGTGCAACCTTACGAAAAATTGTTAAAACTCACTCTAAAAACGTTGACTTTAACTTCACCAACCACTAACTGTTCTCCTATCACCACTCCATTAGTAGTGCCAACTTCAATCGACCCAAAAACGGTCGCAAAACAAAGAAAAACCAATGCAACTTTCATAAAATTTGAACTGAAAAAGATTTGTCAATTTAGATTTAAAAATATCAATTAATAACCAAAACAAGTTTTGTCGTTTTTTAAGCTGAAACATAATGTAATCTGACGACAAGACTTTTTTAATGCTCAAAAAGTTAAAATTTAACAAATTTAAACCGCAGAACTTTAAAAATAGCTCAAAAAACAATCTGTAATGAGTGAAAAAGTTGCTCAAACAGGTATTCACTGTTCATACTGATAAGATATGATTGTGTTTTCGCAATTCCAATGATTATCAAACCCTGTCCCTTTATTTACATGACCAAAAACATCTTCGGTCCTCGAAATCAACAGTAAACAACGAGGAAATTGGCTTAAACTTTAAGCACATGGCATGAAGAAAAACGTAAAATTTCAAAATTTTTTTAAAATTTAAATTAATTTTAAAAAAAAGATGAAAAATCGTATTTTGCATTTTAAAATACACACCTACAGTAACACTTTTCAAAATTTAAAATTTTAAAACTACAAAACCCGAGGTAAAGCCTCTTCAATTCGTATCTAAGACTTTGTATCATCAAAGAGCCAAAAGCGACATTTATGCAGCTTCGTACTTCGATCCCAATAGGGTATCATCCTCGATTGGCGGCGAAAGCTGATTATTCAATATTTTTTAGTCTGGAGGCCGGTTGAGGATTTTTTTAAAGCTGCCAAGTGGGTTGAAATATATCTTATTGTGGTAGTGTTATTTACTTTTTCAAATTTGTATAGTAATGATTTAAAAAAATAATTATTTAGGTAATGTAAAGCGTGCATTTATTGGATATGAAATTAAAAAAATGTAACAATAATCTTTATACAATAAAATTCTATAATATTTGTCTTTCTAACCTGCTATAGCCTACTGTTAACCATGGTCTGACGTGATTACTTTTTACTGAATTTAAAGTCCCAGCTTGTTGGCTAGGTTAAATTTTATGCTCTGCCCTGCCTTGACAATTTTTATGATTTAAGCTATGCTTTTGACCCTGCCCTATGCAAAAATAAAAGTTGTCAGAAGGCATGGCCTGTCCAAACATTGACTATGCCCTACCCTTGCGGTAGCCAATTCTAAAACAATCCCTTGCCTCTCCATTTTTTACTGCATATCTCGATATTCTAAAAAACTGCAGCAGGGTATTTTTAAATCGCGCGGGAATTGTGTTTTTATAAGATACGACATTAACTCGCACAAAATTCGTCGTTGCATCATGTAATATAACATGTATTTTGATCGATTAAAAGTCCATACTCAGTTGGTACGTACATGCTCACTTGGAGTTTTTAGGGATTTCAAGTGTGGTTGGGGGTTTAATTGGGGTCGATAAATAATTCTTTGTTATGTAATTGGCTTTTACACTACGGTAAAACTCTTCTATACCGGTACTTTTTCATTAAAAAAATTTGGAATCTATAAGAAGATCGTTTTATAACATTCTCAATGTATTTTAATCAGTAACTGTACCACGCGTCCATAATAAAAAATTGTAAAACGTAATACGTTGAGCGTGTCAAGCCTCAAAATGAATAAAAACTCAAAAATTAACAATTTTTTTCAGAATACACTCTACTCGCTTCTTTTAAAGAATTTTCTTTCAAACAATTAAAAATGTGCAATCAAACAGCTGCCAATGAAGTTGCCGCCGTTGCCACCACCAGCACCCCAAAAGACAGCCGCAAAGGAGTGGCTAAGACGTTTGAAGAGCAGCTAAAGGCCGCTGATATAGAATTGGTAGGTTTTTAGCATAAAATAAATTTAAAATTAGTCAGTTATCTCAAATAGCATATTCCAAAAAGCAAAACAATTGACCGTATTTTACATTAAATATACACTAGATATAAAATTCTCATAACCCATTATATAAGTTAACAATTTGTGTCAATTTTAGCCAAAGAAAAAGGTCAAGAAGGCTAACACAGCCCCTCTGTCGGCCGATGAAGTTCTAAAGGCTGTTAAGCAAACTGAAGGCCAAAAAGTAGCCCAACAAACCCAGCCTAGTATTGAAGCGGAAGAAGACTACAACCCGCTAGCCCGTAGGGCCAACCAAAAGACTCGAGTGTACTCCGGTCGGCCCAAGGCTTTAAGTGTTGAGGACGCTGTGCCAGTCAACAAGTATCAAGGGTGGAACAGCGACAAACTAGAAAAGAAGTGGCAAGCCAGCTCAGCGGAACGACCAGAGCTAGAAAAAGCCTTCAAAGCTTTGGCCAAGAATGAGTTTAAAGTAGAGGAAAGAATAGAAAAAGCTCGTACTTGGCGCCAGTTTTACATGGTAAGTGAATGCAGCAAATAGCAAATAGTACAGTTTTAATAACTTTTTTATTATCCTTGTAGAGTAGAACTTCGATATAGTAAACTTATCATACTCAAATTGTTAATTCACGCTGTTAATTACCGTATACATTACTATAATTCCTATTTTCAGAAGTTACGCCAAGACCGCGAAGCAGCTGGCTAAATTAACCAGCGAAATTGATTTCGACCCGGAAAGAGAAGGCAGATGCGGCAGTCAGTAAGACCGCAACAATCAGCGCAATAAACCAGTCGGGGACGCAAAATCGTCATAGACGAAACGGTGTTGCAGCAGCCACAGTGCGCCGCGTCCCGGACCCGGTCGAAGTGTGTAGAGCAAGAAGGCGGATGGCAGATCCCGAAAGAAGGTATAATAATGGGCCGGCTAGAAGAGCGGAGGTCTTGGCACAGCTTCGAAGGCGGGCCAGCATAACACAGGCAACGAGGCCAACGCCTCTAATGCAACAAACAATGAGGATGATGAGAAACTTAAGACGAAAATAGATTAGACATTTTTTAATATTTCTAGTGTTTTATGTATTATTGAACGGGTCGCTTGTTTAAAATTTTTGTAAATTATTTAACTTTGACTTTTAATTGTTATTAATTCATGTTATGATGTGCCATAACATAAGCAAGTATTGTAAATAAAAGAAAATTGATAAATATTATGGAGACTAAACTTCATTGGAAATTTCTTTTTCATTTTCCAGTAATTCTTTAGTACGACTCTCTTTTGACATCTTCTGAACCGCTGTTTGAAACAAAACTTCTATCAAATCGTACTTGGGTACTGTGATACCCCGGTTATATAATAACAACAGTTTTAGATCAGCGTTTAAAAGACAATCGATAAAAAAAGATAAAACGTTTGATGAATAACAATAAACAAAATTAAAAGCTTCCGTATCTAAATAATATTTTTATTCATATTCTAAAAACAAAATCATTTTTTCCATTCAGACGTCGATAAAATCCCATTGAACAAATGCTTCCTCATTATCTTTTACTTTTCTGCACTTTCCTTCCCTCTACATAATTCGGCTCCACATTATAGTACTGGACTCCATCGCTTGGTTCCACTTCGACAATAAGATCAGTTTGTCTGGTAGTTGGTTCTTTCTATCCTACGGTAGTTGTGGGTCTCGTATCATAACCCATAGTAGTCTGGCCCATTGTAGTTGGTCTGGTCCTAGTTTCATTTGATCCCATCATAGTCTGTCTAGTTCTGGTTTCATTTGATCCCATGGTGGTTGCTCTTGAATAGGCCGTCTCTGGGTCTTGGTACTTCGATTCCAATGTGTAGTTGGTTCTTCGAGATGGATCTTCGTTGTCTCTGTCACTGGTCGGTTCTTTGGCCGTGGGGGTGGTGGTACCGGTTCGACTGTACTTTGCGTTTTTCGATTGTTTGCGTGTTCTGAAAATGGCAAAAGTATTCGAATAAAGATAAGAAAGAAACAAGAAGATTATTATAAACTGCGACATAAAGTTGACCATAAACCGCATTAGATTAAAATAGCCACAAGAACAACGCCTCCCATCAAAATTCATCCCCTAAAACCTACAAAATCGTCTCCTTCTCGACCAGCCTCATCCTCTCTCTTAACTTTTGGTACATTCGGTTAATTGTAAGTCGACACATGAATGAAACTAAACATAGTCCGGTAAGGTATATCAACACGGCCACCACAAAAATAACCATCAGCTCCACGTATTCATAATCCAGGATAAAATATTCGCAAAATTCCACAATTTCTTCGTCGTCCTTATCATCAGCACCATCGTACTGGTATTGTGCGACTACAGTGAAAGCTAGGTCGGGGTGCTTACTACGAATATTTGCAATGTTGCTTTTGTACTTGTGTTCCATCAGCAAATCAATGTCCTCCTGAAAATCATGATTTTAAACGTATTTTGTAGCTGGAAACAAAAGTTCAAAAAAAAATTTTAAAATGAAATTTAAATCTCAAAAAATAAAAAAAATTCAAACAAAACAAACTAACCAAATCAAAACCCTGGGTATAGTTAGTACCATCCATTGTTTGGAAACATAAAGCAAACTTCTCATCAGTTTTATTGAAAAAGTCATGCGTATACTGTGATGTTATCTAAAAAAAGTTTATATTCAAAAAAAATTTACTTAATCAGATTACCGATGACATTTTACAGATCCAAAATCACTTTCCAGTAGTTTTCAACCCTACCATACCCCACCTTTTTTTATCCTTCCCTGCCTCTAAATCTCCTTTTTCTAACCTCCGCCCTTCTTTCAAACCAAAATGCCCTGTCAAACCCCGTAAAAGGTCATATTTCAGCCTGCCAAACACCGTAAAAAGCTATATTATACCCACCACAGTCTCTACAGGGTCGTACCAACGATAGAACCCACTGCACTGGTCGAAAAAGTTGATGGTCAAACGAAGTGGAACCGTATACCAGTTTTTATGGTCCGATGGTAACATTGATACGTGGAGATGATTCCAAAAACGCGTTATAAACATGGATGACACTCCATCCGTGAAAAATGTCTTGTTGGCAAATTCACTGTAATTTAAAAGTTAAAAACGACAAAAATTCAAAAAAAATTTCAAAATTTCAATTTTTTTTTCATTTTTCAGAATTTCAGTTTTTGAGTAAAAACGATAAAAAAACTCACTCTTCCAGCACTTCCGGTCTTATCATTGATGTGTTATCCCCCATGTTCGGCCATGGCAACTTCGAATTACAAAACTGGCTGAAAGAAGTATTTATGAGCCAGCCTCTCTAATAAAAGTAGACCTACCCAAGCTGCAACATAATGTAGAGAAACCCGTAATCATGATAACTGTGACCTCGCAATACTGTGTTAATATTCACGTCAATAGAACACTGAACACCCGTCGATGTTGTTCTCAATGATGGTGGAAGTTCGTTGTTGAGTTTAGGGACGTAGTAGTCAGTTTGGTGCAGCGTAACTTTCTTATTAGAGCTTGTACTTTCTGAAATTTTAAAAATATTTAAAAAGAAAAAACAGAAAATCAATTTTTATATCGAAAAATTAAAAAACTCACCAAACAACGTGAAATGGACAGCACAATTGGCATTACATTCGACTTGCTGTAAAGCGAACTCTTGTAAAATACTAAAGATCACGTTGATCGAAGCCTGCGATAGATAGACCATTTTCGACCATCCGGTGCAAAAGAATATTCAAAGTGAAAGGTTTTGGTCGGTTTTTGGTTTGAAAGTATTTTGAAATTAAAAAAAATCAAAAATTAATTTCAAAATTCAAAAATATTTTTTTAATAAATGATTTTTGATTTTCTGCAAATTAACTTAACTAAACGTCTGTACAAAAAGGAAAAGAGAAAGCCCACCTTTTGTATGTACAAACTTTCCATCAAAAATGCTCAAATTCGTCAATGTTACCCAAATATGCATCTACAACAATATCACAGTGAAAAACTTTGAAAATACAGCTCACAACTAATGAAAACTAAAAAGATGACTACAAACAACATCTCAAAAACTTTTAAGAACCCTAGCCTATCAATTTTCGCTATTTTGAGCCTTTAGAAATGCCCAAATTCTTTAATATTACCCAAATATTCACCTAAAACAAATGTCCAACCTCAAAACTTTTAAAATACTGTGTAAAACTGACAATTCTAGCTCATATGCCAAATGTTTTACCTAAAAATCAAAAAAATAAAAAAGTAAACTACTTACCATTCCAAAGTGGGCATTGTTTTAGCATGAACATTGGGACGTTGTCGTTATGATAGCAAAAACCTGCAAAAAACGGCATTATTGTTAAAAATTGCGTAAACTCTGTAAAAAACTATGCAAAACATAAATATTCAAGAAACATTAAAACACATTTACGGTATAAAACAAGGGGTAACATCAAAAATATCCGCAAATCTTGTCGCTTAACAAGATTTCGCGAAAAAATTTTTTCGCGATAATTTCGCTAAAATTGGAACGGAACGCCAAAGAAGCAAAACCTTTGGCACTTTTGAAAATATTTTTGGGAAGATGCGCATGTTTAGGACATGATCATTCTAAACCTCGATAAAAAGTTTTATGAAACCATTACTTTTAAAAATTTTAAATATTTTTAACTAATATAACAATTTTACTGTATTTCAAATTTTGTTGCTTTCTCAATAGTTTATTCCAATTTACCGTTCCTCAGCTATCGTGCTTCCAATTTTTATATCCTTTCATGTCCTCACTTTCTTTCTTATTCTTCAACGTATCTTTCATTAAAAGATTTTCAGCCAAGAAATTTGTCTGCGCCTACGTAACCTGACCTTTGTGCTCATCGAGCACCTAGTCAATTTTTGCATCGGACTTGATCAGTCAATGATTTAGGTGTTTCGTATGCGGTCGGGGGGTTTTTTGTAAGCTGCGAGAAGGAGGAAGATTTAAAAAAGTTGTTTTTGATTTTGAGTATAATAGTAGTATTATAGTTATTTTAACTAGCCGTATTTTAAGACTGATAAATTTTTAAACTCTTACTCTCTGCTAGTTATACTTCTTTTTCCTGTCGTCTTCTCTACCTCTTTGCCTACCACAGCTACTCTTTTTACTCTATCCTATCTTTTCCCACTTTTTATACGGTATAAATTAAAATTCACTGATAGTTCTACGCATACTATAACTTAAATAACTTATTGCTAAAATTCAAATTATTGCCAATTTTTTCGCTTGTATATTACATTCCTTATAAACGGCAGTGTGACCTGCGGTAAAGTCGGGAAACTACAAAGATAGCGAGTGAACAAAATTTATCTGCGCAGTGATTTATATATGATATCATACTCGAACAAGTATACAAGCTCAATCGAACGCAGAACCCATCATTTAATAATTTTATGTTTCTGGAAGAATGTTGATGGGTAATTAGAATATGTCAGAGGGTTTATGATAAGTAGTTTAGTAGGTTTATAGTACGATGAACTTCCGATTGAGCAACTGCCCGTATTTTACCTAAAGAAATGTATAATATATCGACATGCATCGTGCTTATATCAACACAGACCGTGCTCCAATTTAATTTATGAACTACAAAAATCGTGTATCATACTTAAAATTTAAACAATTCGTATTATAATGGAAAATAATTTCGGAATCAGCTTCAATTTTTAAGAAATTTTCTTAAAACAAATTAAAAAATGTGCAACCAAGCCATTGAGAAGGTAGCCACTTCGGCCTCCAACACCGCCGAGAAGAGCCGCAAACGGTCGGCCGGCTCTTTTGAGGAGCAGCTTCTGGCTGCTGACAAGGAAGTGGTAAGTTTACTGATTGTAAATGGTAATATAAAAAAAATAACAACAATTAATAGCATTGTAATCAATAATAAAAATTGTTTATCTTTATAATTTTTAGCCAAAGAAAAGGAGCAAAAAAGCTAAAAAAGCCGCCGAGCCAGCCCCACCATCCGCTGAGGAGGTTGTCAAGGCCGTTGAGCCAAGTTTAGCCTAAGGAACGGCCAAGTTAGCCAAGCTTGTAGAAGTGGCGGAGCCGGCTTTGCCTGGATTAGGTAAGTTAAGAAACAAGGGTTTAGGATACTGTAGTATATTATGAAAATTGGAAAAGACGTTTTAGTCCTTTTATAAGCAATACTAAATACATAGTATATATAAAACAAAGTAAATATGTAGTACCTCGTATTTTACCCTCCCAATTTTTAGAATTCAACCCGCTAGCCCGCAGGGCAAATGAACGGACCCGGGTTTACTCAGGTCGGCCGAAAGCCGGCAGCGTTGAAACCGCTGCCTCGCCAGCTAGCAAGTATGAAGGCTGGCCGGTGGAGAAGCTAGAAAAGAAATGGGTAGCTAGTCCAGCCGAACGGCCAGAGCTTATCAAAGCCTACAAAGCTTTGGCCAACAAAGAATTTAAAACGGCAGAAAAAGAGGCGGACATTTCTTGGCGAGCTTTTTATATGGTAAGTTTTTGTAAAGATACTGTAACTCAAATTTTAACTTTTTTAGCAATAATATTATAAGAAAACTTTATCAGACCTGTTAGATATTTTGCCTTATTTTACTTATAAAATAAGAACATTCCGCTATACCTTGTCTAACTTTTCATTTTTCAGCAACTGTACAAAGAGCGTGAAGCCAATCTGGCAAATATCGCCAGAGGCATCAAAAGCCGCCAGGAAAAGATCGTCGCAGAGACCAGTAAAACCGTGACGGTGGGCGCGATCAACCCACCCAGTATGCAAAGTCGTCAGAGACGGAACGGCATTGAACCAGCCACAGTTCGCCGCATACCAGGTGCGGCCGAGCTGTCACAGGCCAGAAGAAGAGTCGGTGAAGGAGAGAGAAGAAGGCCAACTCATATGGCTGCAGCAATGTCGGCTAGGACTTCGAACGTGCGAGCTAGAGATTCAATGGCCAGAAGTAATAATGCAGCCAATGGTAACAACGGAGCCAAGAAAAGTCAACCAACGGCGTTGATGAAACAAGCCTTAAGGATGATGAGGAACAGGCGGGGTCGTTAGTGCTTTATTTTTTCGAAACTTTTAATATTGTACCGGTCGAATTTTTAAAAATTTTTACTTTTATAGTAACTATTGATTGTATTTATTATATTATGTTTGTTTGTACATATGGTCATGACACATACAGTTCTTAGAACTCAATAAAACACTAAAAGTAGTAGTTGCGAAGCCATATAAATTACTAATTATTGCCTATGCCAAACCATATTTATAAACCACTAAACCTAAACAATATTTAATCCAAAAACCCTCTAAACATGAACACTATTGAGCAGCCTCACTCAAAGAGCAATTGTCATATGGACTAGCCGAAATTCTCAATTTTTCTGGCTTCTTATTGGGATCGGCTGATGGGTTGTCGTCCACATTCTCGTAGCCATCAGAATCCACTTCTCCTTTGCCAGTCACTTCCATTTGATCTGTTCTTTGTGTAGTTTCTTTTCTAGTCGTTGGATCTCCCACTGTGGTTGGGTCGTCTTTGGTCGGTTCTTTCGTAAATTCCGAGTACGTTGTGGCGGCCGTTGTTGTTGGGCCGTCCTTGTAGCGTGATGGTTCTGCGGTTTCTTTTGTGATTTTTCTGGTTTCTTCTTTAGATGGTGTGTCCTGGGTTACTGTTCTACTGAAATTGAGAATATAGAATATATATGACGTACTATACTATATTCTTAGCAGTACAATGCTAACTTTTTCCAAAATAAAAATAATTACGTTACTTACGTATTAAGATCGCCATCACCTTCCTGATCCTTCAACTCCATATACATTTGCTCCAAAATCAAAGCTCCAAATATCAACCCGATGATAATATTGGCAATGTAGATCAAAACAAAAACAAACATCAAGAATCCAATCTCCACTTTCTCAAGGTCAAACAAAAAGTGATGACAGGCATCTTCGTACAAGGTTTCGGTTGCATAATCAATATTGTCGGCATTCTCGACCACAATCGACTTGTCGAACTTTTGGTGGAAACGAACGGCTAGGGTAAAATGATAGGTCTTTAGCTGCTTTTCAATGTCTTTGACTTGATTTTTTAGTTGCGTGTCGTTTAGAGCTGCCAACATGTCTCTCTAAAAAATGTTATTTTTATGTTTTGTAAAGAAAGTTCTTGCCATTTTTAAGTTTGTAAAGAAAATTCTTGCCAGTTTTCTGTTTTGTAAAAAAAGTTCTTGTCATTTTTTGTTTTGTAAAGAAACTTCTTGTCATTTCTTGTTTTGTAAAGAAAGTTCTTGCCATTTTTTGTTTTGTAATAAAAGTTCTTGCCATTTTTTAGTATGTAAAGAAAATTCCTGCTCTTTCTGTAGAACTTACCAAATCAAAAACTTGAGAATAGGTTTCACCGTGAGTGGTAGCATAGCACAACTCGATTCCTTTGAATGGTTCAAAGTCGTTCAAACTGTAGATGGATCCTAGCTGAAAAAAATACATTTTTAGGTAACAAATAATTTTACCATAACCTTTTACATTTTTTTGCAAGGAATTGAACATGGCCCTTTTATAAATTTTTTAAAAAAATTTTTAGTCCTGTTTTTCCATTAAGAAAAATTTACCCCGCCCGTCCTGTTTTTAAAAAATATACTCTCTCCCACCTCCCCCCCCCCTCCCTAAAAAAACGAAAATTACCCGGCCTAACACTGATAAACCCTACCCAAAGCTGCTTTTTTCCTTAAAATTCCAGGCCTTATACCTACCACATATCTGTCCCCAATCGACTTGAACAGTTTCCCATTGCATTGATCGACGAAATCTGGCGAAAATGGCAATTCTATGGTTTCTGAATACTGTTCAATATCCGACACTACCTCCATATCCGATGGTAATTGGGAAAAGTAGTAGAATTTGTTGTGATCTACACCGCATAAAAAGGAGGTGGCGTCTGAATGGCATTTTAGGTCGGATCTGGAATTCAAAAAAAAATTTTTTAAAAATACTTTTGGACCAAAAAGGTCTAATCAAAAAGTAAAAAAAACACATAACTTTTTTGAAAAAAAATGAAACTTACTTTGTTAATTTCATTTGCTCCACTGGAAGTTGGTCAGGTATTGGCCATGGAAATCGGATATTGTACTGCTCTCCATAGCTGAAAAAGATAAAATTTAGTTTAATGGCCCTAATATACCTATCTTACTCTACTCTCGCCTAGTTTACCTTTTTTCTGCCTTTTGTACCGTATCCTGCCTTAATTCACCCCATTTCACTCTCGCCTACCCTACAGTACCTTGTCCTACCTTATTCAACGCTACCATACCTTATTTTATCCTACCTTACCCTATCCTACTCTACTTTGTTCTATTCTAAACTACTTTACCCTATCTTGATTAAATCTTATTCTTAACATATCTAAATGTTCTTAAAATTTTGAACCTACTGACCTACTTTAGTCCTTCGAATCTACAGTAATATACCTAACTTACCCCACTTCCAACCGAAGGTACTGTACGCTGTGTTCATGGTAGGACACGATTCGAAGAGTGCCTTCTTTCAAGTGATCCATGACTAATCCTAACTTTGTCGGTTTTTCATCGATTTGGCTGTAAGCGGGTAGATCAAGATTGTTGGCAATATGCCCTATATAGTAATCAGTGATTGACAACCAATCTCCCATGTCCTGTTCATCTAGTTCTGAAAAACTTTATGTTACCGTACCAACATCAAACTACAGTAGTCTGATACACCAATTCAGAAAGAAAATACATTTAGGAGGATTAAAGTTACGGTAAAACTAGCTATAAGAATCAAAATTACGATACTCCGAAACATAAGACTCAAAATTACAGTACCCCACAACACGAAAAACCAAATTACAGTGTTCAAAACTTACCGATGAACGACAAGTAAGCGCTGCATTTATCGGAACACTTGACGTGATAGTAAAAGAAGGCTTGAATTACATTTAACAACACATTAAATTGCTCTTTGGTGATGGTCACCATCACCGCAATGCCAAAACGTACAAAATTGAAATGACTATTCAAATTTTTGAAGATATTCGATTTTGGTTTTGAAATTTAAAAAAAAATTTGTAAAAATTAATGTTGTTTTGCATCGTTCTGTACAAATCTAGACATAGTTGATTGATCTTCATCTCGAAAAAATCAAGCTCAAAAAACTGTGTTTTGAATTTTCCGTCAAATTGTGTTTCAAGCTTATAACTTTGCCATTTTTTGACTTTTAGGAATTTTTCTCTTATATACTAGTAGAATACCTTTAAATAAACCTACATTTTTTCATTTAAAAGTGTAGTTTGGCTGAAAAGTCAAAAAAAGTGCTTGAAACAGAATGCTAAATTTGCCATCTTGGCGGAAAACCAAAATAATTCAAATTTAAAACTCAAAAGCGCAAGCTGAAATTTTTTATGTGTACTATAGGTAGTGCAAAGATCTAATATAAAAATTTTGAGCTGATTCTGAGTGGTGCAACTCGGATACTTATCTTGTATAATAAGTTTGAGCTGGAGTACAGCTAGCTTTAAACAATAACGAAGCTGTGAGTTAAAGTAAGTGATTTAATTTAATTTTTAAAATTTTATTTCAGTTTAGGGTATGATTTTATGAGAAATGTTGGATTACTTTACATTGAGGTAAATGATGATGATTTTTCATTTCTTAAGAACCATTCAGTTTGGGAGATTCAAAATAATATGCAGAATCCAGTTGGGTTTTCTCTTTCACCACCAGCTTCAAGCACACATTGAATTGTTTTAGTTCGAGGCGAATCTTCTCATCTTCGTAGCGAGCATAGTATCCAGTAAGTTTGGTGATTTCCTTTTCCAATCCGTTGTTAAAAAAGCCATCATATGCAATTTCAAAATTGATGAGTATGTCGTGTTGATCACGGTTCCAGTTTAGTACACGATCAAACAAGTTGAACATACTATCAATGTGGGCGAACAACTCGTAAGTCATACCTATATTTACAAAAAATTACAATGAATTGAAAAGGAGAAGGAAGTATGTTAAGGTAGGGTACAGTATGATACCGTAGAACACAAAGTCCTAGATGAGTATGGTAAAGCCGGATATAGAGATACGAGAGTATTTAGTACAGTAGAAGTAGGAGTAGATTGGGAGGTAGAGGTAGGATAAGGCATATAAGGTAGGGTAAGGTAGGGTAGATTTGGGCGTAGACTTAAAAAACTTACGTGAATGATTCGTGCTGTCAATATACTTTTTACAATTAACTGTTGCTTCAGGTGTTTGATTATCGTCGTTGGTGTTTGCAAACTTCTTCTTTAGAGTCTCAATGACATTCGGTTCACACTCAAAACCATCCAGATCGGATGATGAAAGTTCAGTATCATCTGGGACAAAATCAGCGCGATAGTTGTTCACACAACCAACATCCAGAACTTTTATGTATTTTATGGCTCTCCAAACTAAAAAAAGTATAGTAAAGAATTATCAGTAAGACGAACTAGGGTTTGTTATGGTAGAGTACGGTAGAGCTTATGACAGCCTTAAAATACCATACCGTATCCTTAGTTTACCTTATCAAAGCTTGCCGTACTTCTTAGCTCACTACACAATACCTACTGTCGTAGTCTGCACTAACATACTCTACCGTACTCTTTACTGGCTTAGCCTACCGTCTTCTACCTCATCGTACTCTATTCTGTTGTGACCTAACAAACTACCGTATGTTTTACTACTACTACCGTATTTTGCAAAGTCCTAGCTTACCATTGCCTGCAAGACCATACCCTACTGTACCTCTTAGCTAGTGCTAGAATACCGTATTCTACCCCACGTTACCCAAACTCTACTGTATCCCTTATATAATAATACTAGGATACTATACCCTGCTATACTCTTTTAAACCCTACCGTACTGTGCAAAGTCCTAGCTTACTATATCCTACAATAACATACCCTACCTTACTCTACTGTATCACATCCTAATGTACCTCTTAACTAGTACTAGAATATAGTATTCAATCCTACTCTACCAAATCCTACAATAACCCTGATATAATAGTACTAGAATACCGTACTCTACATTGCTCTCAAATAATTAAAAAACCTACAGTAAGAATAAGGCAGGTTTCCTCTTTTAATCTTCAAGTATTTGATTTCAACGCCCTCGCAATGCGTTAAAAAGACCGGACCGTCGATTTGCGTTTGTTGAACGATGGGATGAAGAGTTTTGTAGAACTTGACGAATGGTACTATGGGAGGCACTGTTTGAATCGAATCTACTTCAAAGTCGATCGCTGGTAGAGTGGCTAAAAGTTAAAAAAATTTATATAAAATATTAGTTTAGGTAACAAATTACGAAAAAAATTTTTAAGAACGTTCACAAAAAAAGACATCAACAAAGAAAGTACCTAACCTGCCTTACTCAAAATCAGCTCAAAATTTTTATATGAATTCCTTGTAATACCAATATTACCCATAAAAAAATTTTAGCTCTCGCTTTTGCGTTTTAAATTTGAAATATTAGGGTCTCTCTCCAATTTGACAAATTTGGCATTGTGTTTCAAGCTCTTTTTTTGACTTTTTAGACAAGCTACACTTACCACTTCAAAAATGTGGGTTTATTTAAAGATATTCTACTAGTATATCAAAGAAAAATGACTTAAATTCAAAAAAATGACGGAGTTATAAGCCTGAAACACAATGCCAATTTGGCGGGAAATTCAAATTGTAACTTTATAATTTCGAATTTCTCGAGATTTCCTAGAAAGCGCTATCTAGTACTTTGCCGATGATCTTATATTTACATGATCTTTCTTTATAAAAAGTTTGAAGTCAACCAGAACAGGGCAGGTCGGGCACTTTCCTTGTGAATTTTATAACTTTTGACAATATTAACCATGCTTGTTTTGGCCTTACAAAAACAGATACCTGATTCTGCCTCATGCAAGGCCGGGCGCTAGGGTGGATGGAGGGGGGGGAGGGGGGAAAGCCCCCCGTCCTCCCCAAAAAAAATTTCGAAAAAAGTTGAACGTGGTCCCCCTGTGGATTTTCCAAAAAAATTGTTTGCAAAAAATCAGCAAAGGTGCTACCTGTGCCGATTTTTTGGACCCCCACCCCCAGAGAGGGCCCCATGTACAAGGATACAGCTCGAGATCGACGGACACCCCTAAAACAAATCCAAAAAACCGACTCACCCAAAAGAAACTGAGCAATTTTGTCAAGTCCTGAAACATCCCATACACAGTTGTGATTTATGACAACTGAAACCACAAACTGACAATTTGCTTCATTCAGCACACCAATATTCTTCTTTAGAAATTTGAAATTTCCAACAAATTCGTCTTTGGTTTCATCGTTGTAGTGAAAAGTGGCTTCCACTTTGGTTTTGTGGCTATGGATACAAAGTGCAACTTTGGAAAGATGTGATACATCAATTTCTGTTGAGCTGATCTGAAATTATTGAACATCTTCAGTCTTATGTAGATGTTGTTTTAATATGTCAAAACTAACTTTCGATCAGTTTCTATATACTATACTCTAGCCTTACTCTACCCTAAAGTTACTACACCATAAAATATTCTTTAAAAAGCCTTATGCTACTTAAGTTTTACCTTTCTTTACCCTGCTCTTATCACTAACTCTACTTAATAATGCCTTAGCTTACCGTACTCTATGTTAAAAAAATATACTAAAATATACCTCACCCTAATATAACTTACTGTATTAATACCCCAACGTATGTTTTAATTATACCTATGCTACTGAAAGGGCACAGAAAAAAACTTTTAAAAAAAGTTGGACGTGGTTCCTCCCCCCTGTGAATTTTTTAGACCCCCGCCTCCAGATCAATAGTCCTCACCCTGCCCTGGCTGCTGGTGCTCTTAACCAGCTCTTATGTATATCTTATACATACTGTAACGTAGCCTTACTCCACCGTATTCCTTAACTAGACCTACGTAACCAATTACCGCTTTACCCTACCGTATTCTGCCTTATAAAGCCCTTACCTACCGTACACTAGATAGCCAAGAACTGTATTACCGTATCTTTTAACCAACCTTATTTTAGCTCAAAATCACCTTTGTCTTATACATAATGTCACACTTATATGTCTTTACGACTTTATTTTAAAACTTACATTATCATCATTATCCTCACTAACAAAGCCTTCAACTTTCGATTCCTCCGTTTCACTCTTCTCTTCTTTAATCGCACTCTTTGTTGATTCAGTGGCCGTACTGACTGGTTCTTCTTTGACCGTACTGACACTTTCTGTGTCATCATTTGCTGTACTCCCATGTACTGGACAATCACCACCTCCACATGCAGGCTTAGCCTTTCGGCGGGAACTCATATTGCAACCCATTATGCTTCCGACCGGTCGAAAGACGAACAAATCTGGCAGAATGAAAGTGAAATTTTGATTTTTTTGAAAATTTTTAATATTTTTGAAATTTTGATGTTGTACTTGACAACAAATGTTTTAAGGTTTTTTTTCTCATTTTGTCAACGTTGTTTGCCGTTGACCGGTCGATCGAATCATGGGTTGTCGTCTGAGCTCTCATGTTAAGTTTGAGACTGTGGAGGAGGTTGATGCGGTCCACAAAGCAGATGGCACTGATCAACAGGACAATGCTGGCGGTGCTCAACAAAATCAAATTAATAGTGTTGGACAACATGATACTCGTGAATATGTAAGTTGGTAGGGTGAAGAAAGAGTAGAAAAGTAGGGTAGAGTAGGGTAGGGTAGGGTAGGGTAGGGTAGGGTAGGGTAGGGTAGGGTAGGGTAGGGTAGGGTAGGGTAAGGTAGGGTAGGGTAGGGTAGGGTAGGGTAGGGTAGGGTAGGGTAGGGTATCGTAGGGTAGGGTAGGGTAGGGTAGTGTAGGGTCGGGTAGGGTAGGGTAGGGTCGGGTCGGGTCGGGTCGGGTCGGGTCGGGTAGGGTAGGGTAGGGTAGGGTAGGGTAGGGTAGGGTAGGGTAGGGTAGGGTATAGTTTAGAAGCCTAATTTTTAAAAAATTATTTTCAGATAGACAACGTTGACATATCAGATGTAAATCTAATTTTCTTTGGGATCCATGGCTGTTCAACCCTCCTCGAGCTATTATTTTTGGTTGGAGAAAAGGTCAAATTAGAATTATTTCTAGAGGTTGAACCTGCCATGGAAACGATTTTACTCTGTTTGAAGAAAAAACGTCAGATTCTTATTAAAGTGCATTTCTACAATGTTTGTGTTTGGCCTCGACCTGTGCTAGACACAATCGCCAACTTCTTTTTGCGTATGTCCTTTACTGTTTAAACGAATTAGGTCTAGAAATATCAAATTTTGTTTTTTGACGACTTTGGCAAAGGCTATTTTAGAATGCCTGAGATTGATAAAAAGCTCGTAAAAATGATAAAACATCTATTTAAAACTAAATTTATATTTTTAGGCAATGTACCAAAAATATTTGAAATAGATTTTGAAATAGACTTTGAACATGGCAACCGTTATGTACCATTCATCGACTTTTACCAGAAACTCTACCCCATTGTTGAAGTTTTACTTGTTGATGATCCGGCTTTCCTAAGACACTTCCTGAACGTGAAAATCAAGAAGTTGGGATTAAATAGCAGTTCCGATTGTTGTAAGTTTGCGACATCTTTTTCTTTTATTAATTGCTGACAAGCCTACCTTAGATCTTATTGTACTCTAGGCCCTACTGTGCCTTAGTCCCTAATGTGCTCCGCGCCCTACTGTACCCGAGGATCTACCGTACTCTAAATCTTTGCGTACTTTAGGATCTACCGTACTATAAGCCCTATTGTACTCTAAGCTATACCGTTTCCCAAGCCGTACCGTAACCTAGTCGCTATTTTATCTTAGTCCATACTGTACAATATGCCCTACCGTACCCTAGAGCCCGCAATATCATATGGCTCATCATACTTTAGGCCTTATCGTAACATATATCCCACTGTATCTTGATTAAAATTGTACTTTTGACCTTACCTTACCTTCGAATACAGCTAACCTTAGTTGCTACCGTTTCATTGAGTATGCTTCATCCTAGCCCTGACTTTATCCTATTGTACCAAAACTCAACAAACGTTTTTTTAGTTTTGTTTCCTTTGAAATACGCCCAAGTACAACATATTAAACTTTGTTCTACATGGTTATTAAAAAGTTTCCACCATAACGGAATTGTGATGCCGTCCGTCATCACGGTTATTGTGTATTTGGACCATCAGTTTCAAGATGCCAATTTGACGATTTTTGAAAATGTTGGCAGTTCGTTTCCCGGCATCAAAACGCTAACTCTTTTTTTATGGAGGGGTGTCTCTGAGGACAAAAGTATTCCACGTAAGTCTATGATGTTGTGTTTAACTACCCTACCCTACCCTACCCTACCCTACCCTACCCTACCCTACCCTACCCTACCCTACCCTACCCTACCCTACCCTACCCTACCCTACCCTACCCTACCCTACCCTACCCTACCCTACCCTACCCTACCCTACCCTACCCACTGTACTCTACCCACTGTACTCTACCCTACCTACTTTACTATACCCTACGGTTTTATTTGTTAAATTGCGCATTTCAGTTATGGATCACAGCCTTTTTGCCGCAATTGACGACGCTTTCCAGTTATTCGAAAGCATGTTAAAGTGGAAGCAAGAACAATTTAGCATACTTATTGACTTTAAAGTCGGCTACAGCTATCAGATTGACACAAGTTTGGCAACGAAAATTATAGAATATGTTGGCTACAAATGTTGCTACAAAAATGGCCATGTTCGTTTGGAAATACATCAGAATAATGTCAATTTAGAGATGCGTGTGAAACGTGACTGAATAAATGAACTTATTGTGTTGCTAGAATTTGTTATTGTACTAGCTTCTACTCTAGTGTAAAGGCTTGTTCTAAAGGTGTCTTTTATTGACATATTGTCTACGCTATACTATTACAATTTATGGTCGGTGGAATGTAGATATAGGTTAGATTATATGTTGTTGCCGACAATTGCATTGAATTTCTGCGTGTATGTTCCTAGATTGATCTAGTTTTCATCGTTCGTCTACCGGAGCTATTCTTGGCTTATAATGTTCCCCATAATTGGGCTTCTCCCCATTTCACTGTTTCCCGCCTCACTGGTTCGTGGATGGAGTGCTTCATAAGACTTCTGGCGTTCAATAATATACTCGTGTAGACCAAGTATAGACGTGCCTAGTCTCCGTGCACTCAGCACTATCCTTTCCTCGAGAGAATAACTTTTCGGGTAGAGGCATTTTCCTCAAGGCGCCTGGGTTAGGCGGAGCGCGGCGTCGAACTAAGGTTCTGCCGAATAGCGAGCGGCGCCACAGCCACTGTGCTACCAACGCACCCCTGGCGACATCCTTTGCTATCAGTACCGAGAAGACGAGGAGGAAGGAAGGAGAGAGGAAAAAATTTTATAAAGTTGAACGTGGTCCTCTTGTGGATTTTTTCGACTCCCCGCCTCCAGACCAAAAGTCCCCGCCCGTCCATGCCCATCTGTATCACAATGTTAAAGATTGTCGATAACATCGCTTCTTCCTGCCAAACACCTCTATTTACTTTATATTCAGCCTTTTCGTTCTCCATTTGCACGTGGGCTTTGGCGTTCTAGTATAGTAGTTCGTAAGACTGAGTTATATAACTGTACAATTTTCTAACAATCCTGATTATTTTGAGACCAACTCCAACTATTGTTGCTTTCCAGATGGCTTTGTGTTCCACTGTGTCAAAAGCCGATGTGCAGTCAATGAAAACTACAACTGTCGGTCTTCTCAATTCGTTTGCCTTTTCTAATGGCGGATTGAGGACTTGATAGGTGATCTCTTGTCGACTAGTTCTTTCTTTCGTCAAAGTAAAATTGTTTCTGATTTAGTTCGAAAAGCCAATAGAACAAGGTAATGTATGGCAATGTAGGTTATTAAAGTAGATTAAAAGATGTTAGAGTTTCTTTATCTCACCCTACCTTACCCTAGGACCATTACTATTCTGTACACTTTCTCTGTCGTCAATTTCGAGATCTTGAAAACGTAAATTTGTTTTTTCAAAATTTAAATATTTCCAAATTATTCGTAAACTCAAACTTTTAATTTCAATTTTCTTTTTGCTTTGTCAAATTTGTTTGGACTGGTCGACCACATAATGGGTTGTCGTCTGAGCTCTTATGCTAAGCCTGAGACTGTGAATGAGGCTGATCAGGACAATGCTAGTGGTGCCCAACAACATCAAAATAGTAGCGTTGAACAGGGTGATTACGTGAGTTGTAAAATTGCAAAGAAATTTAGTTTACATGTAGCGTAGGACCGGGTAAGAAAATGTAAAGTAGGGTAGCACCATGCCTATAAAATTTATTGCGTTGACTTCTCTTTTTCGTTCATCCTAATATATTTGTAATATTTTACAGGTTGATGGCGTTGACATCTCACACGTCAGCAACATTAGAGTAACCTTGTATGGGAACTCGTCTGAATTAAATGTTTATGCTTATACAACCAGTATTGAGGATCCCACAATTGTATTTCGCGGTGCATACCATGTTATTATAGAAAAACTGAAAATGTGCCTCAAGAGGAAACGTAAATTTATATTCTACATTTGGTTGTTTGATGAATGTGTATGGTCTCCACCTTCAGTCAACGCCATGGCCAACCTCTTTTTGAGTAAGCTAGCAACTTCTAAATCTTAAATTACTTTCAGTAGAAGCCTAGGATGTGGTAGAGATCTGCAGAACGGTAGGGGCCTAGGGTACGTCAGGGCCGGCAGTACGGAATGGACTAGGTACTGAAGGCTTATGGTTCGCTAAGCCCTAAGGTACGTTAGGTCCTAAAGTACAGCAGGGCTTAAGTACGATTTAACTTACAGTGTTGTAGAGCTGTGAAAATCATATAAGCTATTTTTATGTTTTCAGACACACTGCCGGCAATAAAAGATTTGGTCTTGTGTGGATGTTTAACAAACATGAACGTTCAATTCATCGACTTCTACAGGAAACTTCATCCGATAGTTGAGTGTTTACTCATCAACAACCCGACTATTGTAAGGTTTCTCATTGATCTGCAACTCAAATCGTTGACCGTGGTATCGAATTTGGATTTTAGTAAGTGTTTATTTCTCTGGCTTACCTTAACCTAGTTAGCTTTAGTCTATTCTATCCGAACTAGCTTTATCTGGAATTTACTTATGGTGCTTTACTCCACCTTTGTCTATCTTATCATACTCTATCCTACCATACCTCACCTCATTCTACTAAGATCAATAAAATTTTCTTTTTCAGGTTGGTTGTCATTAAATCACATTGAAGTGAATGAGTTTTGCTTTTGGAGTTGTTCAATGGCGGAGACGCTTTGTCAACAAGATATTGTAATGCCATCGGTTCGCTCTGTAAATTTTTATACCCATCATGAAGCTGTTGTTTCAAAGTTGATTTTGGAAAACATTCGCAACCTGTTTCCTTCTGTAGAACAGCTTTATTTTCAATTTGTGGTATATGTGCAGGATAATAATGAAACAAGTAAGTTGTTGATAAAGCTAGGAAAGGGCTTGGGTTAATGATGTGAAACTAAAATAGACCGTGTGAGAGAGATGAGCTTTTCTATGAACGAGAAAGGATACGGTAGCAAAGTTAAAATAATTTTAAAAAAACTCAAACGGAGCCTCTTGTGTTAGGTTAAAAAAGATTTACCTCTGCCAAAGACGTTGCTACAGATATTTGCTTTACCATGCCCTAATACATGTCTTTTTTATCTTTATGTGCTACTTTTGGTTAACTAAAAAATAAATTTGACCCTCATTTAAAAATATTTTTTGTAAATTTGTTTGTTTCAGTTAGAAGATTCGAACTGTTCACCCACACCCGCACTTTGTTTGGCACATTTGAGAGAATGATGAACTGGAACCAAGGAAAACTCAATACAACCATTGTCTACAAAGTCTTTTACAACGGCCAGGTAAACAAGGAGTTGGCAAGAAGAATGACGGTATATATTGGCTACAAATGTAGCTACGAAAATGCCTTTGTTCGTCTAGAAGCATCAATGTCTAACGTAAATTTGATAATGGAAGTACACAATAAATAAATTAAATTTACTCCAGATATTACTGTACTTTTATCTTACAGTACTTTAGGGCTTTCAGTACCTTTGATTTTAATGTTTATTAAGCTCAACCATATCCCACGCCCATCTGATTCCAGATCTTACGGTATTCTAAGCCTTATCGTATCCTAGACTCTATCGTACCTTAAGCATCATTGTATTCTAGACAGTACCGTACTCTTGGTCTTTCAGTACATTTGACTCCACATTACCGAAAGCCTTACTGTACCCTAAGCTCCACCGTATTTTAGACTCTACTGTTCTCTAAGCTTTACTTTTCTTTAAAACTTATAGTATTCTAGACTATCGCACCTTAAACGTTACCGTACCTCATTCTCTATCGTATTCTAGTCCCCACTGTTGTCTCTTTGTTTATAAATTTGTTCTCCATATCAACAGTTTACTTTTTTTTTCAAAATTTGAATATAAATTTGTTATTTAAAAAAAAGGAAGATATTCCTATTCAACAAGACTATACCGAAACTACTGAACAGGGAAATTCTAGTGGTTCTCAACAAAGTCAAGTTGGTAGTGTTGAACCGAATGATTATGTGAGTTGTATAATTGCTGTAAAGTGTAGTTTACATTTTACATAGGGTGGGGTAGAGTAATATAAGGTAGAATAGCACCATGCTTAAAAATGAAACTTATTACGTGATGGATCTTTTTGGTTCATCCTAATATATTTAGTATATTTTTCAGATTGATGGAGTTGACATTTCACGCGTCCATAAGATTACCATATTTCTTGATGGAAACTCAACTGAACTATTAGTTAGAGGTTATAAAAGCGATAGTTATGTTAACCCAGTTGAATTTCGCGGTGGATACCATGTTATTATAGAAAAACTAAAACTATGTCTCAAGAAAAAACGTAACTTTGTTCTTCAAATTTATTTGTTCGATGAATGTGTATGGTCTCCATCTTTACTCAACGCTATGGCCAACTTCTTTTTAAGTAAGCTAGCAATGTCTAAATCTTATATTACTTGGAGTAGTAGGCTAGAATGCAGTAAGGCCTAGGGTACGGTACGAGCTCAAGATGCAGTAAAGTCTGTAAATTACTGTAAAGTCGAAGGCACGGTAGCTCCTAGGGCAACGTATCGCCTAGACTAAGATAGGGTCTGGGGTACGATGTGACATACAGTGGCGCTCAAAAAAAACGGGCACCTTAAACTTTAGTCGATAAATGAAAGTTTTTGTCATAATACCGGATATATTGTGTTCCATTATAGTTGTACGATAATTTTAATTTATTTTATGCAAAAAGATTGCATTAGTTGCAAGTTGCAACTTTTGGCAACGCGAACTTTCAATTCAAGGTGTCCAAAAAAAATGGGCAGGTAAAACAACATCCTATTTTCGTATCAACCATGTAATTTAAAAGGACAAAAACAGTTTCTAAATACTAAATAGCATCTAGTAATTAGTTGCACAACATTTAGAACAATAATGCCAATTCTTTTTGTGGGTACCTAGGTAGTCAGTTTATTGACCATGATAATGGGTGAGTTTGAGCATCTACCTGTCAGACTTGAAACCAGTTAACTTTCACTTACTGGAATTGTTTTTTAACTTTGCTTACAATCATTTACAATACATTTCTGATCGTGTTTGGTTTGCAACTTGGCTTGGCCACTCAAGTTCAATGGTCTTCTTTATCAATATGACCGCTCTTACAACTTCGGAAATGTACTGCAAATCGTAGTCGCTTTGATTTATGCCACTTTTACATTTTTACGATCAACAATAAGCTAAAGCAACGTTTTGTAAAGTTTCACGATATTTGGACTCATCTCAAATTTTTTCGGTTTGATGCTACACACCGATATTGTTATAGGCAAAGCATCTCAAACCATAATGCTTCTACAGCGCTTTACAGTTAAGCTACAAACTTGTGGGTTGTTTTCTGTGATAAAGCGTCTTCTAATGTATCTTTTACTGTTGGATACCTCCACATCCAAATTAATTTCATTTGATACAATGACTTTTTCTGATTTTCTTATTATCTAAAACAGTAGATCTCGTAGAAATTCAAACTAAACTTTTTTGTTTTTAACTATACTTACCAATTTTTTGGTTTATATACAACTCAAAAGTTTCTTTTTAACATATCTACCTTCGATTGGTTGTACAAAACCTTTAGCCAGATTCAGCCTCAACTTCTTCTTTGATCAATATTGTAATAGTCGACGGATTGTTCTTTTAACATATTATACTTGCGTTATTGCCTCTAATGGTCGTTTTTTGATATCTTCTACATCTCAATAACTTTCTGTGCATTCAACCTCTGAATAATTTAACAAAAAATTGTGTTCCAGAGGTTGATTACTACACTTAAGGTATAACATGTTTATCATCATCCGATGCCTTTTTTATCACCTGAATAGGCCCGTGCTTACCTATTCTACTTTTATAACTACTAAAGTAATATAAATATATAGAAAACATTCAGAATCTACAAGTACAAGCTGAGAAGTATTTTTTTCTTACACATGCCCATTTTTTTTGGACACCTTGGATTGAAACTTCGCGTTGCCAAAAGTTGCAACTTGCAACTAATGCAATTTTTGTGCATAAAATAAATTAAAATTATCGTACAACTATAATGGAACACAATATATCTAATATTATTACAAAAAACTTTCATTTATCGACTAAAGTTTGAGGTGCCCGTTTTTTTGAGCGCCACTGTATAGTACAATAAGGTTTAGAGTTCGGTAGGAGTTTAGGTTAAGGCAGTAAGGTATGGACGAGATACGGAAGGCCTAGTGTTAGATAATTTCTAGGATACGTTAGGGCCCAATCTACGGTAAAGTTTAGGTAAGATCTGAATTACAGTGCCGTAGAGCTGTGAAAAACATAATTTAAAACTGTTTTTTTAATTCTAGACACACTGCCAGCGATTGATGAATTATGGATTCATGGAGCTTCAGAAAACCTTAACGTTCGATTCATCGAATTCTACAGGAAACTTCGTCCTATCGTTGAGTGTTTAGCCATCGACGACCCGACCATTTTGAGGTTTCTCATTGACCTGCAAATCAAATCGTTGATGCTGCATTCGACTCTGAATTTTAGTATGTTTTTATTTCTCTAGCTTACCTTTAACTATTTAGCTGCAGTCTATTCTATGCTAACTTGCTTTATCTAAACCTTGACTTCTTTATGTTGCTTTATCCCACTTTTGTTTTACCATACCCTATTCTACCATACCTCACCTTACCTTACAAAAACCAATAAGACGTTCTTTTTCAGATTGGCTGTCATTGAAATACATTGAAGTGACTGAGGTTAGCTTTGTGAATTTTGCAATATTGGAAGTTCTTTGTCAACAAGATATTGTAATGTCATCGGTTCGCTTTGTTTCTTTTCTTATCTTTGAACGTGAACCTGTTGTTTCAAAGTTGATTTTCGAAAACGTTTGCAGCCTGTTTCCTTCTATAGAACATCTTACACTTAGTTATATGGTATACGTGCTGGAGAATAATGAACCAAGTAAGTTTGTGATGAATTTAGGAAAGGTCTTTAGTTAATGTTGTAAGACTAGAATAGACTGTGTGTGAGAGAAAAGACAAACAGTTAAAAAAAGAGGAAAAGGCAGAGTAACAAATGCTAAACCTAAAAATATTAAACAAAGCCTGTTATGTTGAGTTAAAAAGGTTTTATCTCTGCCACTTTGCTTGCAGCTACAGACTTTTGAACTCCTACTTTTGCACAATAACTTTTCCGTTTACTGTACTCTAATTTATCAAAAACTTTTGTTTGTTTCAGTTATAAATCACGAACTGTTCACCCACACTCGCACCGTGTTCGACACATTCGGAAGAATGTTAAACTGGAACCAAGGAAGACTCAAGGTAAACATCTTCTTCCAAGTCTTTTACAAAGGCGCAGTTGACGAGAAGTTGGCAAGAAAAATGACGGAATATATTGGCTACGAATGTTGCTACAACGGCGAAGTCGGCCTAGATGTATCGATGTCTAATGTAGATTTGGAACTGACTGTATCACCACAATAAATGAAACGAACTAAATGATGCTTAATGATAACTATTACAAAAATTTTTAATTTTAGATTTTTTATGTTTTACTGTGCTCTAAACTCTACTGCTAAATAGGCATTGCTGTACTCCAGACCTTATTGTGCTCTAGATTATACCGTAATCTAGGATTTTTAGTATTAGTGACCCTACCGTACTTTAAGTTCTGCCGTATCTTAGACACTACCGTACTCTAGGTCTTTCGTTATCCTTGACTCTGCCGCACCCTAAGTTCTACTGTAGTTTAGGTCTTAATGTACTCTAGGCTTTATTCTATTCGATCATACCTTATTCATCACTGTACCCTAAGCACTACTGTACGTTTTTCAATACTTTTGACTCTGCCGTACTGTAAACCTTACTGTACTCTAAACTTCACCTTACTTTAGACTCTACTGTACTCTAAGCTTTACTTTACTCTAGACTCTACTGTACTTTAAGTTTCATTTGACTCTAGATTTTATTGTACTCTAGGCTTTTGTACTTTAAACATTACTACACTCTAGACCACACCGTACTCTTGACTTTAGTGTACTCTAAGCTTTACTTTACTCTAGACCTTATCGTATCCTAGACTATCTTATCTTAAATGTTACCGTAATATATGCTCTACTGTACTGTAGACCTCACTGCGCTCTCTTTGTTTATAAATTTGTTCTCTATATCAACAGTTAAACTTTTTTCAAAATTTGAATATGGCTTCCCAAATTACTCAAAAAAATTTTATGCTTTTTAATTTGTTTACCGTCGACTGGTCGATCGCATCATGGGTTGTCGACTAAGCTCTCATGCCAAGCCTGAGACAGTGAGTGAGGCTGATACTAGAGGTACTCAACAGGACAATGCTAGCGTTGAACAGGGTGATTACGTGAGTTGTAAAACTGCATAAAAATTTAGTTTAAATTTAGCGTAGGGTAAGGTAAAGTAATGTAGGGTAGGGTAGCACCATGCCTAAAAAATGTATTGCATGACTTTCTGTTTTTGGTTTATCCCTATTAGAACTATTTTTCAGATTGATGGCGTTGACATCTCACACGTCAGCAACATTAGAGTAACCTTGTATGGGAACTCAACTGAATTAAATGTTTATGCTTATACAACCAGTATTGAGGATCCCACAATTGTATTTCGCGGTGCATACCATGTTATTATAGAAAAACTGAAAATGTGCCTCAAGAGGAAACGTAAATTTATATTCTACATTTGGTTGTTTGATGAATGTGTATGGTCTCCACCTTCAGTCAACGCCATGGCCAACCTCTTTTTGAGTAAGCTAGCAACTTCTAAATCTTAAATTACTTTCAGTAGAAGCCTAGGATGTGGTAGAGATCTGCAGAACGGTAGGGGCCTAGGGTACGTCAGGGCCGGCAGTACGGAATGGACTAGGTACTGAAGGCTTAGGGTTCGCTAAGCCCTAAGGTACGTTAGGTCCTAAAGTACAGCAGGGCTTAAGTACGATTTAACTTACAGTGCTGTAGAGCTGTGAAAAGATTATTTATGTTATTTTTATGTTTTTAGACGTACTGCCAGCGATAAATGATTTATTCTTGTGTGGAAGTTTAACAAACATGAACGTCCTATTCATCGACTTCTACAGAAAACTTCATCCGATCGTTGAGCGTTTATTCATCAACAACCCCACTATTGTAAGGTTTCTCATTGATCTGCAAATCAAATCGTTGACCGTGGAATCGGATTTGGATCTTAGTAAGTGCTTATTTCTCTAACTTACCTTAAAACAAGGTTCGCGAGAGAATCAGACATAGCCGAGCCAGTAAAAAAATTTTTTTTAAAGATCTTATTTTGCAACCACAACCTTGCAACCTTTGATGCCCCACATTACAAAAATATATTTAATTTTTTAACTTTTGGGTTACTGTAGGTGTACTGTAACATTCAAAAATTTTTTGTAACTTTTGAACTACTTGACAGAATTTCACCCGACTTTTTTTAAATTGTAGAGCACGTAAGCGTAAACAATATTGATGTTAGCAATTTTTTTCTAAAATGCTCGGAGGGCACAAAATGTCTGACTCATGTTTGATTCTCTCGCGAACCCTGTTTTAACCTATTTAGCTTCAATCTATTCTATCCTAACTTACTTTATCTAGTCTTAACTTCATTATGTTGCTTTACCTCACCTTTGTCTAATTTACTATACTCTATTCTACCATACCTTAACTCACCTTACCAAGAACAAAAAGACTTTCTTTTTCAGGTTGGCTGTCATTAAGTCACATTGAAGTCAACGAGTTTTGCTTTTGGCGTTTAACAATGGCGGAGACGCTTTGTCAACAAGATATTGTAATGCCATCGGTTCGCTCTGTAAATTTTTATACCCATCATGAAGCTGTTGTTTCAAAGTTGATTTTGGAAAACATTTGCAACCTGTTTCCTTTGGTAGAAGAGCTTTACTTTCAATTTGTGTTAAATGTGGAGGATAAGAATGAACCAAGTATGTTTGTGATAAAGCTAGAAAAGGGCTTGGGGTTGACGATGTAAAACTAAAATAGACTGTGTGAGAGAGAGCGTGAGCTGTTCCATGAACGATAATAGAAAATTTGTTTGTTTCAGTTAGAAACCACGAACTGTTCACCCACACCCGAACTTTGTTTGACACATTCGAGAGTCTGTTAGACTGGAACCAGGGGAAACTCAAAATAACCATCGTTTTCCAAGTCCATTACAATGGCCTGATAAACAAAGAATTGGCAAGAAGAATGACAGAATATATTGGTTACGAATGTATCTGCAACGGCGCTGTCGGTTTAGATGTATCAATGTCTAATGTAAATTTGGCAATGGTTGTAGGACCAAAATGAATGAAATAAATTTTTGTAAGTAACAATTAAAAAAATGAAATATTACAAAATTTTTAATTTTAGACTTTTTAAGTCTTACTGTGCTCTAAACTCTACTGCTAAATAGGCATTACTGTATCCTAGACCTTATCATGCTCTAGATCATACCGTAATCTAAGACTTTCAGTACCACTAACCAGGGCCGGGCGCGAGGGGGGGTGGAAGGACGGGAGGGTACCCCCCCCCCAGAAAAATATTTTCGAAAAAATTTGAACGTGGTCCCCCCTGTGGATTTTTTGGACCCGCGGCCCCAGACCAAAAGTCCCCGCCCGGCCCTGCCACTAACCCTACCGTACTTTAGGCTCTGCTGTATCTCAGACATTAACGTACTCTATGTTTTTCATTACCCTTGACTCTACCGCACCCTAAGTTCTACAATACTCTAGACCCTAATGTACTCTAGGCTTCATTGTATCTGATCGTACCTTATTCATCACCGTACCCTAAGCACTACTGTACGTCTTTAAATACTTTTGACTCTGCCGTACCGTAAACCTTACTGTGCTTTAGATCTCACCGTACATTAGACTTTACTGTACTCTGATCTTTACTTTACTCTAGACTCTGCTGTACTTTAAGTTTCATTTTACTCTAGATTTTATTGTACTCTAAGCTTTTGTACCTTAAACATTACTATACTCTAGGCCCCACCATACTTTAGATTCTACTCTAAGCTTTACTTTACACTAGACCTTGTCGTATCCTAGACTATCGTATCTTAAATATTACCGTAACTTATGCTCTACTGTACTGTAGACCTCACTGCGCTCTCTTAGTTTATAAATTTGTTCTCTATATCAATAGTTAAACTTTTTTCAAAATTTGAATATGAAATTCGAATTATTCAAAAAAGATTTCAAATTTTTAAAATTTAATTTTCTTTTAATCTTTTCAATTTGTTTGCCGTCGACTGGTCAGTCGCATCATGGGTTGTCGTCTGAGCTCTCATGCTAAGCCTTTGGGCGAAGCTGATGAAGGCGAGAAAGAAAGTGGCAGTCCGGCAGCTGACGTCGAGGTGCTAGTGGAAGATATTCCGATTCAGCAAGAAAATCCTGGAGGTATTCAGCAGGACAATGCTAGTGGTGCTCAACAAAATCAAGTTAGTAGTGTTGAACAGAATGATTATGTAAGTTGTAAAATAGATTTAGTTTACCGTCAGGGTAGAGTAGAATAGAGTAATATAGGGTAGGGTAGCACCATGCTTATAAATAAAATTTATTACGTGATCGGTTCTTTTCGGTTCATCCTAATATATTTAAAAAAAACTTTAGATTGATGGCGTTGACATCTCACGCGTCGGTAGAATTAACATATTTATCTATGGCGACTCAACTGAACTAATAGTTCGAGGTTATGTAGTCGGTAGTCAGGTTCACCCAATTATACTTCGCGATGAATACGAGGTTATTATGGAAAAACTGAAGCTGTGCTTCAAGAAGAAACGTCAATTTTTTCTGCAAGTTTATTTGTTCGATCAATGTGTATGGTCTTCATCTTTACTCAGCGTCATGGCTGATCTCTTTATCAGTAAGTTATGCTCTTTTAAATTTTACATTACTTTTAGTAAGTACCTAAGGTACGGTAAAAACGTAGTAAACGGTAAGGCCTAGGGTACGGCCGGACCATCAATATGGTATGTACTAGGTACTGAGGGCATAGGGTTCGCTAAGTCGTAGAGTAAGCTAAAGCTTAGAGTACTGTAGGGCTTAGGTACGACCTAAACTACAATGCAGTAGATTTGTGAAAAACAATTAAAAGCTATTTAAATGTTTTCAGGTACACTGCCAGTGATAAATAACTTAAGCATTTTTGGAGATCCAAGAAACGTTAACGTTCCATTTATCGACTTCTACAGGAAACTTCATCCTATCGTTGAGCGTTTATCCATAAACCAACCAACTACTTTAAGGTTTCTCATCGACATGCAAATCAAATCGTTGACACTAATGCACGCAGTAGGCACCGGCTTGAATTTCAGTAAGTGTTTATAATAATATTCAAATCTAAAACTCAAAAGCGCAATCTAAAATTTTTTATGGGTACTATTGGTAGTAAAACTAACTCATATAAAATTTGTGAGCTGGTTTTCTACGAGCACGGCAAGTATGGCAGATCAATAACACTTTCTTTTTCAGGTTGGCTGCCATTGAAGTTCACTCAAGTGAATGAAGTCAGCTTTAAGAATTCGTCAATGTTGCAAGTACTTTGCCAAAAAGATATTGTAATGCCACAGGTTTGCTCTGTTAATTTTTTTTTCTATGAACGTGAAGATCCCAATTTGAAGCCGATTTTTGAAAACGTTTTCAACGTGTTTCCTTCCTTAGAACAGCTTACACTTGAAGTTTGGGTATCTGTGCAGGAGAAAAATGAACCAAGTAAGTTTGTGATGAAGCTCGTGCGAGGACTAACGATTTTGAACTAGAATAGTTTGTGTAAGAGTGACAGAAGATAAACTTTACCATGAACAGAAAAGGGTAGAATAGCAAAGCTAAAAAAAAGAAATATTTTATTAAAAATTTGTTTGTTTCAGTCAAGAATCACGAACTGTTCACCTACACTCGCACCGTGTTCGACACATTTGAAAGGATATTGGACTGGAACCAGGAAAAACTCAAAATAGTCATCCTGTTCTTCGCCTATTTCAACGTCCCGGTTAACGAGGATCTGGCAAGAAAAATGACAGAATTTGCTGGATACGAATGTTGCTACAAGAACGGCTATTTTGTTCTAGAAGTATCAATGTGTAATGTAGATTTGAGGATGATTGTAAAATAAATGAATTAACTTATTGTAAATGAGGCTAATTGCAGACGTTTTTACATTCTCAACTTTATCCTAAAGCTTACCGTACAGACCTTACGTACACTAAGTCCTTCAGTTTTCTAAGATTCATCTTATCTTAAGCATTACTGTATCCTAGAATACCGTATCTGCAACCCTAATATATACCTTACATTCTAAAGTGCACTTCTTCAATACTTTTTTTGAAATTTCAGATTGAAAACCGCGGTTTTTTCTCTTATTTGTCAATTTTTTTGTCATCGACCGGTTGAAAGCATCATGGGATGCAATTTGAGTTCTCAAGCTGCGAAAAAGTCTGCTGCTGCTAGGAAGTCTTCTGGTGGTCAAGGAGATAGCGGTCAGAAGACAATTTGTAGTGTGGTACAAAACGATACTCATGATTATGTGAGACGTCTATAACAATATAATTGTTAAACCCTATTGTACTTTATGCATTTACCGCCCTCTCAGCCTGGCCGTACTCTAAGCCCTACCGTACCCTAAGCCCTAACATACCTTAAAACCTACCGTATCTTAAACCCTACCGCACTCTAACTTCTATGCCTTATCATACCTTATACATTACCGTAAGCCGTACCGTAGCCTATAATAGGTCTTGTTGTACTTTAAGACTTTCCGAATAGCAAGCGGCGCCACAACCACTGCGCTACCAACGCACCCCGGGCTACATGTTTTGTGCAAACCTGAAAACAAAAGTGTTATTGACGTTAGTACGGTATGTTAGGGCAAGATAAGTTATTAAGTGCCGACATAAAGAATCCGCCATACCTTTCCTTGAAGTTTCTGCAAAGCATGGCGGGCTCTTTATGTCGGCACCTAATAGAATATGGTATGATAAGGTAAAGTAAAGCAACGTAGAGAAAAGACGGCTAGAGCAAGAAGAATGACAGAATATGTTGGCTACAAATGTAGCGGCAACGGCACTCTCAGTCTAGATGTATCAACGTCAAACATAAATTTGAAAATGGTTGTACCACCAAAATGAATGAAATAAATTTTTGTGAATAATGATTAAAAAAATTAAATATTACAAAATTTTAAGATTAGAGTTTTTAAGTTTTACTCTACCGTATCTTAGACACTACCGTACTCTAGGTCTTTCGTTACCCTTGACTTTGCCGCATTCTAAGTTCTACTGTAGTTTAGGTCTTAATGTATTATACTCTAGGCTTTATTGTATACCATCGTAACTTATTCATCACCGTATCCTAAGCACTATTGTACTTTAAGTCTTTCAATACCTTTGACTACCGTAAATCTTACTGTACTCTAGACTCTGCCGTACTTTAGACTCTCTTGTACTCTAAGCTTTTCTTTGTTCTAGACCTTACTGTATCCTCGACTATCGTATCTTAAATATTACTGTTTTAGAATTTCTTTAGCTTACCCTACCTTACCCTAGAGCCATCACGTCAATTTCGAGATTTCCAAAACGTAAATTTTTTCATAAATTTGTTTTATTTTTCAAATGTTGACCTTGTTTCAAAATTTAAATATTTCTAAATATTCAAAAACTTTCAATATTTTAAAATTCAATTTTCTGTTTACTTTGTCAAAATTGTTTGCCATCGACCGGCCGATCACGTTATGGGTTGTCGTCTGAGCTCTTATGCTAAACCTGAGACTGTGAATAAGGCTGATCAAGAGAATGCTAATGGTGTCCAACAACATCAAGTTAGTAGTGTTGGACAGGGTGATTACGTGAGTTGTAAAATTGCATAAGGATTTAGTTTACATTAATGATAGGGTAGGGTAGGGTAGGGTAGGGTAGGGTAGGGTAGGGTAGGGTAGGGTAGGGTAGGGTAAAGTAGGGTAGGGTAGGGTAGGGTAGGGTAGGGTAGGGTAGGGTAGGGTAGGTAGGGTGGAGTAGGTTCTTTTGTTTCAACCTAATATATTTAAAATATTTTTCAGATTGATGGCATTGACATCTCACGCGTCGGTAGAATTAACATATTTATGTATGGCGACTCAACTGAACTAACAGTTCAAGGTTATATAATTGGTAGTGAGGTGTACAAAATTAGATTTTGCGATGAATACGATGTTATTTTGGAAAAACTGAAGCTGTGCCTCAAGAAGAAACGTAAATTTGTTCTTCAAATTTATTTTTTCGATGATTTATGTGTATGGTCTCCATCTTTGCTCAACGTCATGGCCGACTTCTTTTTGAGTAAGTCATCGACTTCCAAACCTTATATTAATTTTAGTAAGGGCCTAGGATGCGGTATGAACGTAGTAAACGGTAAAATCTTAGATCTTAAGTTACGGCAGAACCGGCAGCACAATATGCACTAGGTATTGAGGGCTTAGGGTTCGCTAAGTTCTTGGGTACGTCAGGGCCTGGAATACCGTAGAGGACTTATGTACGATCTAAATTACAGCGCTGTGAAAAACATAATTCAAAACTCTGTTTTTAGACACACTGCCAGCGATAGATGAACTTTATATTTATGGAGCTCCAGAAAACGTTAACGTTTCATTCATCGACTTCTGCAGAAAAATTCATCCTATAGTTGAACGTTTGGCCATCAACAACCCGACTATTTTAAGGTTTCTCATTGACTTTCAAATCAAATCGTTAGCACCAGAGTCAACTGTGTCTCTTCGTAAGTGTTTATTTCTTGTCCGATTGTCTGGCTTACCTCACTAGCGAATTGCACCAAATATCTCTCGGCTTTTTGAACGAGACCTATATAGCATGAAAGAGCATAAAAAGTTACCAGAAAAACTGTTTTCAAAAACTGCTAAATAGCCTTGGCTAACGAGTTACAGTATGCTCTATATCCTTTTATGTTTAAAAGGTATAGCTTTAAAGTTCAAAAAAATGACATTTTTTGATAATTATTTTTTTTTAAAAGCATCTAAAAGCAAAAAATACGACATAAAAAATATTTTTTTTAATCTAAATATTGTTTGTTTAGCTAAAACTTCTTGTCATTATTTGTGGTCGCCAAAATGAAACCGACGGGATTTGAAGTTCCCCCTTCTGCACTCCAGGCTAACTTCTTAACCACTCGACTACACTGGATTGAAGCTTTAGTCCATTCGTTTGCCTCAAGTCGAATGAGAAGGATCAAATAAAAAACCTTATGTGAATCCTTTAATCACTAATATCTTGCTAGCCGAATCCATTTAGCAGTTTTTGAAAACAGTTTCCACGGTAACTTTTTCTGCTCTTATCCTATATAGGTCTCGTTCGAAAAGCCGAGGGATACTTGGTGCAATTCCCTAGTTAACATGCCAAGCTTGACTCTATCATATTCTAACTTTCTTTATTTGACTTGGTCTTTTTTACCTTGACTTAACTTTATCTTAACATGCCCTATTTTACTTTACGTTGCCCTACCCTATTTACTAAGATCAATAACACTTTGTTTTTTAGGTTGGATGCCATTGAAGTACACTCAAGCGAATCTCGTTACCTTTAATAATTGGTCAATGCTGGAAGTACTTGCCCAACAAGATATTGTAATGCAACAAGTTCGCTCTGCTACCTTTTATAAATATCAACGTGAATCTTCTAATTTGAAGTTGATTTTTGAAAACGTTTTCAACATGTTTCCTTCCTTAGAACATCTTACACTTGAAGGTTATATATACGTGCGGGAGCAGAATGAACCAAGTATGTTGGTGTTGAGGCTAGGGAAAGGCTAAAATTAATGATGTTCGACTAGAATAGTCTGTGTAAGAGAGAGAGGATGAGCTTTACCATGAAGAAGAATGAGTAGAATAGCAAAGATAAAAAGAAATATTTCATTGTAAATTTGTTTGTTTCAGTTCTGAATCACGAACTGTTCACCTACACTCGCACCGTGTTTGACACGTTTGAGAGGATGTTGGACTGGAACCAGGGAAAACTCAACATAATCATTATCTTCTTTGCCTATTTCAACGTCCCGGTTAACGAGGATCTGGCAAGAAAAATGACAGAATTTGCTGGATACGAATGTTGCTACAAGAACGGCTATTTTGTTTTAGAAGTATCAATGTCTAATGTAGATTTGAGGATGGTTGTACAATCAGAATAAATAAATTGAAGGAATGTAAATAATGATTATTACCAAAATTTTTAAGTTGTAACTTTTTGGCTTTTACTGTACTCTAAAGCTTGCCGCATCTTAAGACTTACTGGACTATGGGCCTTACGTTACTTTAGCATTAATGTACCCGAGACTTTATCGTACCCTGCGTCTTTCAGTATGGTTGTCCCTGCCGTATTCTTAATTCTACTGTACTTTAAGCCTTATTTTATTCTAGGCCTTTTAACACCTTTAAACTTACTGCTTATTAGGTTCAGACTTTTTCTAAATTCAGAACACAACGTACTCTAGACTTTACTGTATTTTAAGCGATACTTTCTTTAGTGCCAACCGTACCATGGGCCTTACTGTATCTTACCTCCAACCGCACCTTAGGCCTTACTGTATTATAAGCCTTGCCGTACCCTATGTCTTACTGTATCTTACTTCTAACCGTACCTTAGACCTTATTGTATCATAAGTCTTGCCGTACCCTAGGCTTTACTGTACCCTACATCTAACCGTACTCTAGACTTTATTATACCATAATACTTGCCGTACTCTATATCTTACTGTATCTTACCTCTAACCGTACTCTAGGCCCCCACCGTATCTTATGTTCAATTTTATTTTACCTTATGTCTCACTGTCTTTTAGGCTTTATTGTACTCTAGGCCGTACAGTGTTCTAGGTCTTTCCGTTCTCTATATCCTACTACCTCTTTGGCCCTAAAGTATCTGACGCATCTTAAGTCTTACATCTATACCTACCATTCGATATACAGGAGTTTCAATGCACTTCTTCAATATTATTTCGAAATTTCAAACTGAAAATTGTAGTTTTTCTCATTTGTCAAATTTGTTTGTTACCCGACTGGTCGAATAGATCATGGGATGCAATTTGAGTCCTCAAGCTCAACCTGAGACTGCGAGGATTGACAATTCTGACAACTGTGACAATTGTAAGCCTGTGAAAGAGGCTAGTGATGGTCAAGAAGAAAGTGTCAAGACTCTTGATTATGTAGGTTGTTGGCAACTGTAATCTTTCCTTGAATAGATAGCACTGCTATGTATAACATTTACATTTAAACTATTCTTCAGCTTGATGGCGTTGACATCTCACGTGTCAATCAAATCGACATATACTTACATGGCAACTCAACCGAACTAGACGTTGAAGGTTCTACAACAGGTACTAAGAGTACAACAATAAAACTTTGCGATGAATACGATGTTATTATGGAAAAACTGACACTGTGCCTCAAGAGGGAACGTTCCTTTTCCCTTCAAATTGAGTTGTCCGATGAGTGTGTTTGGTCTCCATTTTTACTCCACGTTATGGCCGAGTTCTTTTTGTGTGAGTTATCATCTTCTAAAGCTTATATTACTTTTAAGAAGGGGGGGGGGGAAGGGTGGTTGGTTACGGTGTGAGCCTGGAAAACAGAAGGGACCTATCATACGGTGAGGGCATAGAATAAGGTGGGTGCATGAGGTATGTTGGAAGCTTAGGATACGGTGGGGGATCGAGGGTACGGTAAGGGTTGAGAGTACAGTGTAAGCTTGGTAAACAGTAGGGACTTAGGATACGGTCATGGCTTAGAATACAGTGGGGGTTTAGAATAAGGTAGGTGCCCTAGGGTACGGTAGAAGCTTAGGATACAGTAAAGGCCTAATGTACGGTAAGGGTCGAGGGTACGGTAGAGGCATAGGGCATGTTGGGGGCTTAGGATACGGTAGGGGCTTAGAATAAGGTAGATACCTGGGGTACGTTGGGAGCTTAGGATATGGTAGGGGCCTAAGGTACGGTAAGGGTCGAAGGTACGGTAGAGGCCTAGGGTACGGTAGGAGCTTAGGATACGGTAAGAGCCTAAGGTACGGTAAGGGTCAAGGGTACGGTAGAGGATTAGAGTACGGTTAGGGTTGAGGGTACGGTAGAGGCCTAGGATACAGTAAGAGCTTAAGGTGCGGTGGGGGCCTAGAGTACGTTAAGAGTCAAGGGTTCGGTAGAGGCCTAGAGTACGGTTAGTACTTAGAATACAATGAGGGCCTAGGGTACGGTAGGGACTTAATACGGTCGACTTTAGAACACTGTAGAGTCGTCAAAAACCTCGTCATCAAATATATATGTTGACATTTTTAGACACGCTGCCGTCTGTCAATTTAAAAATTAGAATGATGCACCCAGGAAACATGTATATTCCTTTCATCGGCTTTCCCATGAAACTTCTTCCCATCGTTGAGCGTTTAATCATTGACGACCCGATCATTTTGTGGTTCTTCTTTGGTAAGCAAATCAAACCGCTGACACTACTAGACACAAACATGGATTTTAGTTTGTTCTTAGGTGTTGACATAAAGAATCCGCCACACGTGGTTAACTTTGCTATGCCTTGTTTAACTCTATCGAATTCTAGCTTGTTTTATCTAGCTTTATTTTATCTACATTGCTTTACCTTACTTTATCTTATCATACCCTATTCTAACTTATCTTGCCCTACTAGACCGTACTAACGTCAATAACTCTTATGTTTTTAGATTTGTTTCCACTGAAGCACGCTAAACTAGATGATGTTAACTTCGAAAATCTGTCAATGTTGGAAAAACTTTGTCTACAAAATATTATAATGCCAAATGTCCGCTTCGTTACTGTTTTTATCCATCAAAGTAAAGCTGTCGGTTCGAAGTTGGTTTTGGAAAACGCTTGTAACCTGTTTCCTTCTATGGTACAGCTTAAACTTAACTTTAAGGTAACTGTGTCAGAAGAGAGCGAGCCAAGTAAGTTTTTTATTACCCTACCCTATTCTACCCTACCCTACCCTACCCTACCCTACCCTATCCTCCTACCAAAACTTCCGCTTACTGTACCTTACCTTATCAAAACTTTTACTATACTTAGCTCTAACATAAATTTAGCCCCTTACAAAAAATTTTTTTTGTAAGATTGCTTGTTTCAGTTATGAATCACGAACTGTTTACCTACGCCGGCGCCGTGTTGGACACATTCGAGAGCATGTTAGACTGGAATCAAGGAAAACACGATGTATTCATCGACTTTCAAGCCGTTTACAAAGGCTCAGTTATCGAGAATTTGGCGAGAAAAATGACAGAATATATTGGCTACGAATGTTCCTACGACGATGGAAAACTTTGTTTGGATATACATCAGTCTAATGTTGGTTTAGAAATGTGTGTGATGCATCAATGAATAAATGAAATTATTGGATTATTAGGTTCGGTATTGTACTCGGCTTTACTCTTAGCCTATGTCTTAATGTATTTTACTGTGAGCCCTACTGTGCTCTAGCATTTGCTTACCTCAATCTCTATTGTACTTTAGGACCTACCGTACCCTAAGCTTTGCTACACCTTAGACTCTACTGTTCCCTAGACTCTGCTATACTTTATACTAGACATGAAGAAAGGGCCTGACCTAAATGTTAGATCCGGCCTAATCAAAATTTTGCTCAAGCTTAGCCCGCTCTAAATTTAGGCCAGACTTAGCTCAGAAAAATTAGATTGTTCTTCATGTGAACTTCAAGCCCCAGTTTACTCTAATCCTTACTGTGCTCTAGCCTTTGCCGCACCCTAAGCTTTGTTGTACCTTAAGCTCTACCGTACCCTAGAACCTGCTATACTCTAGACCCTACCGTACTCTAAGCTTTATTGTAGCTTCGGCTCTACCTTACCTTAGACCTTTGAGTGCTTTAATTTCTTTTCAGTTCAATCTAATTGTTGTTTTATTGATTTGTTCTAGGATATTCGGCGGAGAATTGAAAAGTAGAGGTTATGTTTTTGCTGTTAATAATTAATCGGAAACCTTGATTATCTGTCTTTATGAATCTTGCAAATTCGTACAAAAACTTTGCAATCAAATATTTTTTTTCTTTGCGGCGGCGGACAATCGGCGGAGAAAAATAACAAAAGCAAAAAAATTTTAAAAAACGCACTATACCATGCCTTTCCAAGCCCTGTTACAGAGCTTGGTACAGGACACTGTGCCTTGCGTTTAAGCCTGGTTGGCTTGTGGTAGTTAATTATATTTATATTTAAAATTAAAAAAAGCTTTTTGACTACATTCGGACAAGTCGATAAAACAATTTTTTTTAAAATTTTTAAATTTGTCGCAAAAAATGAAACTGCAAACAGAAAAAGTCGTTTTTGCTTAATTCTTTCAAATTTCTATACTGCCGACCGGTCGAAGGATTTATGGGTTGCAGCCTAAGTTCTCCGAATAAGCCTAAGACTGTGAGAGAAACAGCTGGTGGTGGTCAAGAAGATGACAGTACAGAAAATGAAGAGAGTCTTAAACAGGATAATGTGTCAAATGTGAAAGTGGAGGAAGAGCTATCAACTGCCAGTAGTATCAGTCTTAGCAATGTGCCAGCAGATGTTGAACTTGATACAGAAAGTAGTGAAGATGACGAACCTGATTTTGTAAGTTGTGGGGTGGGGTATTGTAGGGTGGGTAGAATACGGTAGAGAAATGCAAGACGTTGTAGAATAGGGTAAGATAAGGTAGAGTAATGTCGGGTAGGGTGGCGTAGGGTAGGGTAAGGAAGGCGGCGACATAACCCGCCATACTTTGCCTGTAAGTATCAGTAAAAAATGGCGGGTTTTTTATGTCATCTCCTAATAAAAAGGCAGGGCACGGTAGAGCAAGACAGTGTAGGCAGGGACGGGTGTGGTCTTCTGGTCTGCAGGTGGGGCTCGAAAAAATCCACAGGGGGGACCACGTTCATCAATTTTTTTTTGAAATTTTTTTTGTGGGGGGGGTTCCCTTACTTAACGCCCGGCCTTAAGTGTAAGATAAAGCAAAGTAAGGAAAGTATAGTAGAGTAGAATAGCACAATGCCTGAAAGAGAAAGTTAATTAATATAATATTTTCAGCTCGACACCATTGACATTTCGAATGCCAATCGAATCGATATTGAACTACACGGCAACTCAACCGAAATGGAAATGACTGTGTTTCAAAAAGGTACTAATGAAATGATATTCGAACTTGGTGACGAATACGATGTTATCATAGACAGACTGACACAATGTCTTAAGAAAAAACGTATATTTAACCTTAACGTTTACTTGTACAATCAGTGTGTTTAAAAATTTATTGACATATACTACGCTCTTACACTTAGAGGTTGCGCAAAAAGTTCTGTTATACGGTTTTTTGTACAATTTATGGTCGGTGGGATGTAGATATAGGTTAGGATACATGTTGTTGATGTCGACGATTGTAATGAAGTCCAGCGTGTATGTTCCTGGATTGATCTAATCTAGTTTTTCTCGTTCATTCTCCGAAGCTATCTTTGGTTTATGATGTTTCCCATAATTGGGTCTTCCTCCTAGTTGTCACTGTCCACCGCATCACAGGTTTTTGGGTGAGATGCTTTATAGGACTTCTGGCTTGTCTATCATACACTTGTGTTGGCCAAGTGTTGATGAGCTTAGTCCCCGTGCTCCCACCACTACCCATTCTTCAATGCGTCTGGGTTGGGCGGAGGCGGAGGTCGAACCAAGGGCTTTCCGAATAGCAAGTGGCGCCGCTGCGTTACCCGCGCTCTATATAAGTAGCACAATCAAAAAAAAAATTTTTATGAAATTTGTTTGTTTCACTTAAGAATCAAGAACTGTCCACTCACACTCGCACCGTGTTCGACACATTCGAGAGCATGTTAGACTAGAATCAGGAAAAACTGAAGTTACTCGTCACCTTCTACGCTTGTACAACGGACCGATTAACGATGATTTGGCGAGAAAAATGTTTCATAGTTTCACTGCACTTCTACAAAATTTTCAAAATTTCAATTTCAAAATTGTGGTTGTTTGGCTCATTTGTCAAATTTGTGTGTCACCCGACCGGTTGAAGAGATCATGGGAGGGAATTCGAGTTCCCAAGCTCATAGTCAGGATAGTCTGGAAACTCCTGATTACGTAAGTTGTTAGCAACCATTTTTTGTAGGGTAGGGTAGAATAGGGTAATGTATGGTAGCACTACGGCTATGAATAATATTTATATTCAATATATTTTTCAGCTTGATGGCGTTGACATTACACACGTCGAAAAAATCGAAATAGAATTGTTTGGCAACTCGACTCGACTAATGCTTATAGGTACTCAAATATATAGTAATGATATCACAATTAAAATTATCGATGAATACCGTGTTATTATGGACAAGGTGACACAGTGCCTGAAGAAGAAACGTCTCTTTGTCCTTCAGATTCAGTGTTACAATCAGTGTGTATGGTCTGTATCTATGCTCAACGAAGTTGCCGACTTCATTTTGCGTATGTTATCAATTTCTACGTCTTATATTACTTTTATTAGGGGGGGGGGCAAAGAGGACTAGGGTACGGTAGGGGCTTAGGATACAGTATGGTTTTGTGGTACTGTAACTGGTATACGATAGAGGGTACGGTAGGGTCGTGGAGAACATCATTAAGAACTGTGTTGTGTTTTCAGGTACCATGCCCGCAATAAATGTTTCAATCGTTTTTGGGAGCTCAAGGAGTATCTACGTTCCATTCATCAACTTTTACAAGAAACTTCATCCTATCGTTGGGCTTCTATACATCGAAAACCCGTCTTTTTTAAAGTTCTTGTTTGACATTCAAATCAAAACGATGACACTGCAGCAGGCAGTAGGCGCTAGCTCAAGTTTTAGTAAGTGTTTATTTGATGTCTGATCTTCTAGCTTACTTAACCATATAATGATTAGATTTTATCATTATTAGTTTTACCTATCTTTATCTTCTCTGCATTGCACATCTTACTCTACCTTACCATTCCCTATTCTATCTTATCCTACCCTACCTCGTCTTATTAAGATCAGTAATACTTCTTTTTAGATTGGCTTCCATTAAAGTACACTCAAGTCAATGAGATTAGTTTTGAGTATCTGTCAATGTTGGACGCGATTCGTCTTCAAGGTGTTGTAATGCCACACGTTCGCGTCGTTAACGTACTGAACTATCAATGCGAAACTGACTCTTCGAAGATGATTTTCAGAAACGTTTGCAGCCTGTTTCCTTCCGCAAAACAGCTTAAACTTGAAGTTTTGGTAAATGTATGGGAGGATGATGGATCAAGTAAGTTTGTCATGAAGGCTAGGAAAGAGATAGGGTTAATGTTTAAAGGTTAGAATAGACTGGGTGAGAAAATAAGGATGTGATTTTTATGAACGGGAAAGGGTACGGTAACAAAGCCAAAAAAATTTTAAAAAATTCAAACCAGACCATACCGTTGGGTTGAAAATGTTTTATCTCATCCAGAGATGTAGCTACAGACTTTTTCTTCACGTACTTTCCACTTAATAACGCCTCAGCCTACTAAACCTTACTTTATTAAAAACATTACAATGTCCTAACCTAACATAATATTTTCAAAAATTTTTTTTTACAGTACTTCCTATTAACTAGAAAAAACATTTGTAGTCAACAGAAGACCCCTCACATAAAAATATTTTTTTTTGAAATTTGTTTGTTTCAGTTAGGATCCAAAAGCTGTTCGCGCAAGCTCGCAAGGCGTTAGACACATTCAAGAACATGTCAAGATGGAACCAAGGAAACATGAATATACTCATCTATTTGTACGCCTATTACTACGGCCCAGTTGACAAGGAGTTGGCAAGAAAAATGACGGAATACTTGGGACACAAATGTTACTACAAAAAGGACTATGTTAATCTAGAAGCATCGATGTCTAATGTAGATTTAAAAATGGGTGTGACCAGTCGATAAATAAACAAAATTATAGTGTTATTGTGTTTGGTATCGTACTCGGCTCTATTTTAGCATAAAATCGTAGAGAAAAGACATCAGAATTTGTCTTGAGTCAACTTTGTCACATGGGGGCGAGCAGTATCATGAATGAAGAAGATCCAGTCCTGTTACCGTTCAATGCCGCCGCAACAGATTCAAGTTGTCTACAATAGAGTTTCGCAAGGAGCTTAGTTCCACGTGGTACAATTTCCCAGTATACAGTACCTGTTGAGTTCCACCAAACGCTGATCATCTCTTTCAGTGGGTAAAGATAGAATGTAGTATTGTAACTACTGTATAGGTAGAGCACTGTGCTGTAACTACAGTAGTAAGTAGATTGCCGTACTGTAATAGCCATATTAAGTAGATTATATTATTGTAACTACTATAGTAAGTAAAGTATCGTTCTGTAACTACAGTAGTAAATAGAGCACCGTAATTTAATTGCCATAGTAAGTAGATCATAGTATAGTAACTACTACAGTAAGTAAAATATTGTGCTGTAATTAAAATAGTAAATAGATTACCGTACTGTAGTAGAAATAGTAAGTAGATTATAGTATTGTAACTACTATAGTAAGTAGAGTATTGTGCTGTAACTACAGTACTAAATAGATTACCGTACTGTAATAGCCATAATAAGTAGAATATAGTATTGTAACTGCTATAACTCTTCTAGTAAGTAGAGTATAGTACTATGTACTCTCACTGCTATAGTAAGTAGAGAGTTTTACTATAACTAAGGTAGTAAAATGTGTATTATTATATATAGCAACTACTATAACATGTTCAGTAGTGCTTGTTTGTACCATAAGCTTAAAGTTAGACGTAATGTTAGAGTACAGCGCGTTATTTTGTCTATATTTGCCATATATTACATACCAAGACTAATGACAATTTAATCTTAATACCTAACTCCCTTAGTATGGTACAGTATTATATATATCTAAGTCTTAACCTCATTATATTATCATTGATGTCACATATAATATAATAGTACCTGCTTTGTAGGTGTTATATAATAAATTTAGAGTATATGCTTGTACTCAAAAGTACAGTCTCTTCATTAGTGCCGAATTACTTGTACTATCTTTGCTTCGAGCTTTTTTGTAAACCAAAAGACTCTTTTAGGCAAAAACAACAAATAATGATAGTCTGGGTTGAAAGACAACATATTATTAATGTAAAATCTTTAGAAGGTCTTTTAAAGTACATTTTTAATTTTCTATTTAAAAAAAAAGTTTATTTTCTTAACTTCAGAAGATACAGTACGTTCTCATTCTAAGCCCTTTTGTATTTCAGTTGCTAACGTGCCTCAAGCCCTATTGTACTGTAAGCCCTGCCTTGCTTTATCCCTGTATTACTATAGGATCTGCCTTATCCTAGGTCCAACCGTACTCCACAATCTATTGTAATCTAGGGCCTAGTATAATCTAAAGCCTATTGTACATTGTGCTTTATTATACTTTAGGCTTTAGTGTACCCTAGGTTCTACTGTATTCTAAGCTCTACGGTACTCTAGGGGTTACGGTACCCTAGGGTCTACCGTATTTTAAGCCCTACTGTACTCTAGGCACTACCGTACCTAGGCTTTGTCATACCCTAGGCTTTAACGTATTCTGGGCCTTACCGTACCCTAAGCCCTACCACACCCTAAACCCAACCGTACTCAAGGCCCTACCCTTAGGCTCTACTGTGCCATATGCTTAATGTACCTCAAGTCCTACGTACTTTAGGCTATATTAAATGTTAGGTTTTACTGTAGCTTTAAAGTGCTTTTAGTTTTACTTTTGCCAGTGTGTTGTTTACGGTACCTTTTGCTGTCACTATATATATATATGTTTCTTCTACCAAGAGTTTTAACTATCAAGTCTATTTTACATTTTAATTTAATTGCTTTTACTTTAACATTTCCTAGTTTCTATAACAAAATTACTTTTTCTAGCCTCATAGCCAGTATTAGCAATAACTTAGTTAGTCAATAAACAAACATCAAGTGGTAATGCCATTACTCTTAATTAACGTTTTACAAACAACTTATAAATATTATTATTCGTTCTTGCTTTATTGTTGTTGTGCGTCATGAAAACCGTATGATTACAAGTATTATTAATAGCAATACATTCTACGTGATTTACTTACATTAATTTTTAAGGTTGGTAAAACAAAATATTTGATTTTTTTTGTATTTTTATATTTCAAACCATACAAACCGGTTTATTAAAATGTGATGTGTTTGAAGTTTGTAGTCTTTTTATATAAGAACAAATGTTCATCTTCTTACAGCTGACTTAATATTGTAAACCGTTAGTAAAAAATATTTTGTAGTCTTGTGTTATAAAAGTTTAAGATGAAAATACAAAAAAGGTATGTAAAATTATGTATGTAATGTAATGTAGTTAAAAACTTTTTATTTTATATTCTTTTATAACAAAATATTATTTTTGAATATATAAGTAGTGTATACTAGCGTTAGCGAAAAGGGAAGGGCGCATAATTAAGGGTAGGGTACCTATTCGAACTTTGCATTGTTTAAACTATAGTAAAACTCAAAGTACAGAATAATGTTGGCTCTAGAGTACGATAGACCTAGGATATCGTGGTTTTAGATAGGGTAGAAAACAGATTATAGTAGAAAAGCAAAAGTACTGGTAAGGTCTAAGGTACTTCAGAGTATAGTGTACGGTAGGGCCTAGAATAAGGTAGGGCCTAGAGTACGGTAGGGCCTAGGATAGGTTAGGGCTTAGGGTGCCGTAGAACATAGGATAAGCTAAGGCCTAGAGCACGGTAGGGCCTAAGGTACGGTAAGGCTTAGGGTACGGAAGGGCCTAAGATACGGTAAGGCCTAGAATACGGTAGGGCCTATGGTACGGTAGGGCTTAGAGTATGGTAAGACTTAGGGCACTTTAGGGTCAAGGGTACGGTAGGGCTTAGAATACACTAGGGCCTAGAGTACGGTAGCGCCTAGTGTACGGTAGGGCTTAGGTTAGGGTCTGATCTAATAGACGGTATAGCAAAGCTTACTATATGTCATATTGTACTCTAAATTCTAACCAATTTAGGCTTAACTATATGATTGCTCCATATATATTTAATTCTTTGCCGCACCCGCTTAAGGCCTAAGAAGTCGTTTTTGCTTATCATGCATGTTATTATTACAAAAACAGCAATTTTAAGTTAATTTATGAACGTGGGAAGTGTGTTTTTTACCATCGTGTAAATAACAATTATTATTTATGAGTTACTGTTTGACATCTAATATCAGCATTTTCTATTAGCGAATTAGCTTTAGCCAAAGAGTAATTAATGTTTTATTATAGTATTATAGTCTGTCAAACGAGTTTTGTGATAGTATTACAACTTGTCTAGCAGTGCTTGACTAACAACTTTAGTTTAGCGAGAACCAGACCTTGCTTTTAGTCCAGGCGCAAAAATCTGACTCTATTGTGAATTGCTTTGGCTCGCTAACACTTGTACAGATTCAAGTCAAACAAGTACTAGTCCTGGGTGCGGGCTGGGTTGGAAAAGCAATTTGGCTTCATTGTTGAATCTAGCAGCGACTCTTTTACAATTTTTTTTAATTTTTAATGTGATAACATTAACTGTGTGATATTGTTTTTCTACCTTTACCCTAGACTATATTGTGCTCTAGACCTTACTGTATTATAGGCTATACAATACCTTAGGCTTTAACGTACGTTAGATTTTACCATATCTTAAGCCTTATTGTACTCTGCTTTCTACTGTACTCTATGCTCTATGCATTTACCTTATCTAGACATGGAGAGCGAGTGGGCCTGGCCTTGAGCAACGTCGAAAACGGGTCGTGCCTTAAATTTAGGCTTGATCCGACGCGGGCTTGAATAGTAAGCCCGGGCTTTTACAAATTTTTAATTTTTTTGAAACAAGCCGGGCCTAAACATTTTTTGATTAAACCGGGCCGGAATGAAAAATGGGTCGACTTTAAAATACAAAGTCGGCCACGTGGTCTAAAATATAAGTCCGGTCTGGCCCAGCTCCCATGTCTAACTGTATTCTAGGCCTACAGTGCTGTTATTATTACTGTGATATACTTTTACTGTTTCTTCTGGCCTTCTTTTCGTTTATCGCCAAGAACCGGCCAGAACGCTATTATTGTATAAATATTGTCTTGTTTTTAATATCTTGTCATAGCTTTGCTGGACTCATTTTACTTTTTACAAAAAAAAGTGTTAAAAGATCTACCTAAGACTTAGACATTTGATATATACCTCAAATGTTAGACCTATTGTGCCCACTTGAAGATACCTAACCTTCTTTTGCTACTAACTTCTTGATTTGTAGTTATTAATAAGTGTGTTAGTGTTAAGAGTCATGGTCTTTAACATGTACTTTTCTAACGAAATATAATTATATTTTCACAACGTGCTAAATACAATTACATTTACATGTTTTGTACATTATACGAAGCAAATGCTCAATGTCAATCTAATCGTAATTTTAGAACCTTAAGTCTACAAGGACATAACATCAATATTAACATCAACTATGGAGTTATTACTGTTTCGACCAGTCGAATACGACCGTTTGTACAACTGTAGTCTATATGATCAAGGCTACTTTGATGAGGTCAAAGTGCCAAATAAACTAATTGGTTTGATTTATATTGGCTCTGGCATATTCTACTTAGCTCTGTATATACCATTATTATGTGTTATGGCTCAGAAAAAGTTCAGAAAGTACTCTTGCTACAAAATTATGTTGTTCTTGGGTAAGGCACTACAAATTTTGAGTTTTTTTTTATTATGTAAGACATGCTTTGCAGACTGCTTAGCATGATCTAGCCTTACTTCAAGCTCTACCGGGCCTTAGACACTACCATCCTCTAATCGTTACCTAATTCTAAGCCCTACCGTACCGTACGCCCTGCCGTACCCTAGACCCTTTCGTACTCTAGATCCTAGTGTACTCTAAGTTGTATCGTACCCCAGTCCCAGGCCTAATAGTACTCTAGGCCCTACCGTACTTTAGGCCCTACCATACCCTAAGCACTACTGTACTCCAAGCCCTACCATATCCTAGGCCCTACCGTACACTAAGCCCTACTGTACCTAATGCCCTATCGTATCCTAATAACTACCGTATCCTAGGCCCTACCGTACCCTAGATCCTACCGTACCCTAGGCCTTATCGTACCGTAAATCCTATTGTGATGTACTTTAATTACTTATTGTACGCTTTGCCGTACTTTACTACAAAAATATTTATAATACAAAAGATCTACATTGACTTTACTACCGTTAAAACCTTATTTTCAGGTATAATTGATGTGATATGTCTGATATTCTTAACTTTATTATATGGAGTTTTTGCCTTCAAAGGAATGGTATTTTGTGATGCTCCGTTCTTATTCTACTTTAGTGGTTGCATTGCTACATGTAAGTTAATATAATACCAAATTGTATGTTTCGTAAAGAAAGTTCTTGCCATTTTTGTTTTGCAAAGAAAGTTTTTGTCATTATGTATTATCATTATATAACTTTTAGCTCTCTGGACCTCAACATGTTTGACAGTAATAATATTGGCCTTCAATCGATTATGTGATTTGGTCAGTGTAAAACTGTCAAATTCTTTATTTTCTGGAAGTCGAGTTTACATTTGGTTACTAATTCCTTTACTGTACTTCTTATGGTTTGTATGGTACTGCCCAGTACTGTTGTTTACTTCCATCTACTACTCGGAATTCAGTAATCCTTACGTGGGTACTGTATTTGAGGCTCAAGCTGAAGATCAGGTAAGAACTGAATTTTCTTACCCTACCCTACCCTACCCTACCCTACCCTACCCTACCCTACCCTACCCTACCCTACCCTACCCTACCCTACCTTACTCTACCCTACCCTATCCTATCCTACCCTACCATACCCTACCCTACTAAATAATTCAATTTTAGTACATCAGCTGGCCAATGATAGCAAATGATACAGTAACACCATTGATTATGGTTTTGTTGTATACTGTAATATGTATTGTGTTCTTAGTAAGAAGCTACCGATTGAAGAGGAATAGCGCTGGAAGTGGTGCCAAACTGACAGATTTCCAAAAAACTGTAAGTGTAAAGAAAGTTCTTTCTATTTTCTGTTTTGTAAAGAAAGTTCTTGCTATTTCTTAGTTTCTAAAGAAAGTTCTTGCCATTTTCAGACAGTAATTCAATCATGTTTAATATGCTGTCTATTCGTTCTGTGTGGAGCAATATACAACTACATGGACTACTATGGAGCGCCAGTATCATTAGTGACGTTTAGTACTATTATCTGGCAGGCTTGTCATGGTAAGTACTAGTAATATTATTTTGTGTACCAGTACTATTACTTTATATTCTAATACTTGTATTTCTTATTTTTTAGTACTCAGTCCTAAAAAACGTTTTTAATGCTACATAGTACGGCGCTCATCCAGAATAGCCTCCCTACCCATACCATTTCAAGCACCCACCGATCTTCTTCAAAACGTACCCCCAAGACTCATTTCCAAAAAGCAGATTGAAAATTTCATTTTTTTCTCTTGCGATTTCTCACATAAATTTCAATTTGCAGAAAATTTTGAACCGCACCCACTGTAGATTACATCCCCACCCACTGTAGATTGCACCCCCACCCAATGTAGATTGCACCCCCACTCAATGTAGATTGCACCCCCACCCAATGTAGATTGCACCCCCACTCAATGTAGATTGCGCCCCCAACCATTGTAGATCGCACCCCAGCCCACTGTAGATCGCACCCCCACCCACTGTAGATGGCACCCCCACCCACTGTAAATCGCACCCCCGCCCACTGTAGATCGCACCCCCACCCATTGTAGATCGCACCCCCACCCATTGTAGATCGCACCCTCACTATTGTATTTCACACCCCCAGAAAATGAAATTTACAACCGGCACGTAAAAAGTCAAAAATTATTCATTTTTTTAAATTGACCTTTACGAAATCAATAAAAATGGGTATAAAAGGCAGCAGATTTTGCAAATTCTTCATTCTGCTCCTCCGTTCACCGCCCTGGCCAGTCAGCAGACCAGCACTCTCTCGCGCGACCCTCAACTTCGGACATTACCGATATGGTTCGGCTAAGTGGGATCGACCTGGAGTTGGAGATTGGGGGTTTCACTGGGGGTGCGAACTGGCGGTTGAGGGTGTGAAACGGAATGGGGGGCTGTTTTGGATGAGCCCCCATAGTACTAATCAAAATTTATAGTACTATATAGTACAAGGGCAAAATTTTAGTGTCACATAGCGCTACAAAGAGTTTTTTTGATACTGTATCGTACCAAAAGGCCTTTTAGTACTAAACAGTACTGAAATAATTTTTAGTACTGTATAATAGCAAAAAATTATTTGGTACTGTAAACATCTAACAAAATTATTTGGTACTATTTAGTACTAAGACAGATTTTTAGGGTCACGTAGTACTGATAAGAGCTTTTGATACTATACAATACTTAAGTACAAAGTAGTACTACACAAATTTTAGGTGGAACAGTAATAATCTACCTGATCTTCAACAAAACTCTTCGAAATGAAATGTCAAGATATTTAATAAAACGACCGGCTGTTATTGTCAGTGTTTCTATGTATCCAAGTGAAGGCAAACTGATACACAATACTACTACTGGACCCAAGTTGGGACTTTTCTAATAATAATTTTATATATATATATTATTAATATTACTCTCAATGAATGAAAATATAATAATGGCGCTAATATAATAAAATTTAATAAATTTGAGTACGGTAGGAACTACAGTACCGTAAGCTTTAGAGTAAGGTACAACTTACGGTACGGTAAAGCCTGAAGTAGGGTAGAGCTTGGAGTATGGTAGAGCCTAGAGTACGGTAGGGTCTAAGGTACGGTAGGGCTTCAGAGTACGGTAGAGCTTAGGATACGGTAGAGCTTAGGGTACGGTAGGGAGTAAGGTATGATAGAATTTAGTATATAATAGAGCCAAATCTGTCCTAAAGCCTTAGTTTCAATATAGTTTCGAATAAAATTGGGACTAGCGTACAGTAAAGTATAGCATACAATGAGGCTTAGAACACGTTACGGTTTTAGGTACGGCAGGACGTACTTTATTGTTTCACAGGTTACGCCGTATTTTAGCAAGTTCAAAATTTTCCAAGTAATAGTAAGTCACTACTTCAACACGTCGTTGTCATAAGATAATCAACTGTCAAAGAATATCGCATACCAATAACACAATAACCAGGCCAACAAATGTCCTGTGTTTAACATAAAACTAGTTGTCATATTAAAATGCTAATACTTTATTTCTGCCCCAGAGACATGTCTAACTCCTCGCATAGAAGAGTTGAATTAAAGTTAACGGTGACTTTTAACACACAAATCCAACCGAGCACCACTTTGAAGAACTTCCAAACGAACTTCCCCATCCTTGTAACAGCATTCGTATCCAATATATTCTGCAATTTTTCTCGCCAAATCATCGTTAATCCAACCGTTATAAATCACAAAAAGCGTAAAGCGTACAACGCATGCCACTAGTTTTTTGTTTAACATGCTCTTGTAGATCTTGTACAACTTGGCAATTTGGGAAAACAGTTCATGATCCATAACTGAAAACAAACAAAGCTACAGGTTTAAACAATTTTTTACTCTACTCTGCTTTAAATTTTGCCTTACATTAGCCATTCGTAGCCAATATATTCGCTAACTTTTCTTGCCAACGGGTTGTTAATCGGACCATTGTAAGTGACTTTGAACTCAACGCCTACATCGAAAGAACGTTGTTTCGTGTTTAAGATGCTGTTATAGATCTTGAGCACCGTCTCGATTTTGGTAAACAGTTCGTGATCCATAACTGAAAAGAAACAAAGCTACAGATTAAAAATGTTTACTTTACAATGTTTTAGCCTTAGCCTTAGCCTTAGCCTTAGCCTTAGCCTTAGCCTTAGCCTTAGCCTTAGCCTTAGCCTTAGCCTTAGCCTTAGCCTTAGCCTTAGCCTTAGCCTTAGCCTTAGCCTTAGCCTTAGCCTTAGCCTTAGCCTTAGCCTTAGCCTTAGCCTTAGCCTTAGCCTTAGCCTTAGCCTTAACCTTAGCCTTAGGTTTCGGTTCCAAAAGAGTAATTCTCAAAGATTTACTCCCCTTCCCCCTCTCTCATCTTACAGCCTATGCTTTACTAAAATCATAGACTTACTTGGTTTGTTATTCTCCTTTACATTTACCATGATTTCAACTTTAAGTCTTTCCCTTGAAGGAAACACGACGCAAACGTTTTCAAAAATCCAATCAAAGCTTACATCTTCAATATCATCAAAAGCCAAACTAACGAATTTAACCGATGGCATTGTAATACCATCCCTGCCAACATCCTTTAATCTTGACGCTTTATGGAATGCAAAATGATTCGCTTGAGTGTAATTCAATGGAAACCAACCTGATATAGGCATTGTTAAAAATAAGAGAATATAGAAAAAGTAAAGTAGGGTAGGGTAAGGTAGAGTAGGGTAAGGTAGAGTAGGGTAAGGTAGAGTAGGGTAAGGTAGGGAAAGTAATAAACAACAATCCATATTTGGTACCAGCGCTAAATTTTCCTTAACCTTAGCCTTAGCCTTAGTCTTAGCTTTAGCCTTAGCCTTAGCCTTAGCCTTAGCCTTAGCCTTAGTCTTAGCTTTAGCCTTAGCCTTAGCCTTAGCCTTAGCCTTAGTCTTAGCTTCCGCTACCCTACGCTACCCTACGCTACCCTACCTTACCCCACCCTACTTTACCTAACAACTTACATAATCAGGTTCGCCTTCTTCAGTATGAATGCTTTCTGTATCAAGCTCACTAGTTGTTGTCACATTGTCATCACTGATAATACCGGCAATTGACAGTTCTTCCTCCACATTCACACTCTCATCACTGCTTTCAGTAGAAGCTGATATATTATCCTGTTCAATACGCTCTTCAGTTGTAGTACTGTCATCTTCTTGACTACCACCAGCTGTTCCTCTGACAGTCTTAGGCTTTTTCGGAGAACTTAAGTTGCAACCCATAATTCGTTCGACTGGTCGGCGGTGTAGAAATTTGAAAAAATAAAGCAAAAATGATGTGTTAAATTAAAAATTTCAAAAATTTATTAGCAAACTTAAAAATACAAAATACTTTTTTGTTTTATTACATTGTTTAAATACGATATAGCATAGGGTACGGTACGGCATAAGGTAAGATTTAGAATACGATAAGATCTAGATTAAGATGTACCCTAAAGTACGGTAGAGCCTTGGATAATTGTACTTTGAAATATAAAAATTATTTAAAATTTCTGAGTAATTTGTTGTACAGGAGTTTCACTGAACTTCAAAAATATTTTTTCGAAATTTCAAATTGGAAACCATGTTTTTTTCTCTCATTTGGCAAATTTGTTAGTCAGCCGACCGGTCGAAAGCATCATGGGATGCAATTTGAGTTCTAAAGCTGCGAGAACGTCTGCTGTGGCTAGACAGTCTGCTGCTGCTAGACAGTCTACTGTTGGTCAAGATGATAGTGGTCCAGAGACAATTAGTAGTGAAGAAGAAGATACTGATGATTATGTGAGTTTTAAAAACCTTATGGTCGTACTCAAAGTTTATTTTTCAGGTCGACAACATTACCAGCTTATGTGTCCAGAAAATCAACATAAACATGTATAGCGCCACAACTGCACTAATGGTTGAAGGCTATACAAATGATCTTATCACAATCGAAATTCGGGATCGATACGATGTTATTATAGAGCATTTGACACAGTGCTATAAGAAAACAATTCCCTTTACTCTTCAAATTTGTATTTACGATGTGTGTGTATGGACTACATCTTTACTCAATGTAATGGCCGACTTTTTTTTGCGTAAGTTATCAACTTCTGAATCTTATATTACTTTTACCTAGAGTACGGTAGGGCATAGGGCCAATAGAGCATAGAATACGGTAAGACCAAAGGTACAGCATTAGCTTAAGGCATGGAAGGAGTCTAGGGTACGGCACGAGTGTAAGTTAAAGCAAGACCGACAATACGTTTTGAACTAGGTACATTTATGATGCAGTAGAGCTGTGAAAAATATAATTAAAAGTTATGTTTTTAGGCACACTGCCAGCGATGAATGTTATGATACATTTTGCAAGTTCAGGAAGCAAATACATTCCATTCATCAACTTTTACAGAAAGCTTCATCCTATTGTTGAGCACTTATCCGTCAATAACTCGACCATTTTGAGGTTTTTCATGGACTTGCAACGCAAATCTTTGATGCTGAATTGGACTTTGAATCGTAGTAAGTGCATATTTCTCTAGCTTAACCTATTTAGCTTCAGTCTATTTTATCCTAAGTTGCTTTATCTGGTCTTAACTTTTTTGTGTTGCTTTATCTTACATTATTTTATCTTACTATACCTTATTTCACCTTACTATCAATAACATTTTCTTTTTCAGACTGGTTCCCATTAAATTACATTGAAGTGAATGAGGTTATATTTATGAATTTTTCATTGCTGAAAGTGCTTTGTCAACAAGATATTGTAATGCCACAAGTTTGCTCTGCTGCTTTTCTTAAGCATCGATGTGAAACGGCCGATGTAAAGTTGATCTTGGAAAATGCTTGCAGCGTATTTCCTTCCATAAAAAAACTTGAATTGGAATATGAGGTACATGTTACGGAGAAGAATGAACCAAGTAAGTTTGTAATGAAGCTAGGGCTATGGTAAATTATGTTAGAATAGAATAGAACAGAACTTTTTAGTCTAGACTGGATGAGAAAAAGAGAAAGGATGAGATTTTTCGGTAAGGGATAGGTTAGCAAACTTAAAAAAAAACAAATATTTCTTGTAAATTTGGTTATTTCAGTTCGAAATCACCAACTGTTTATCCAAACACGCAACGTGTTGGACTCGTTCGAGAGCATTTTGGACTGGAACCAGGGAAAACTCAATATATTCATTACCTCTAAAGTCACTTACAACGGCCTGGTTAATGAGGATTTGGCAAGAAAAATGTCAGAATATATTGGATACGAATGGAGCTACGACGGCGAAGTCGGCCTAGATGTATCAATGGCTAATGTAGATTTGATGATGATTGTACAGCACAATAAGTGAAATAAATGCTTTTCATTTTTATTTACTTTACATTATCCAAGCATCGAAAATTACAACTCGGGAGGTATATACATTAGATTAGATGATTTTTGATGCTGTAGATTGTAACGTACTGTGCTGAGTTGCAAGGATTTTCACGGTTCAAATGAAGGCTGACGAAGCTATCCTGGAGTCTGACGTTTTGGGTGAACTGGAAACCTTATTTTGTAACACGCAATGCTTACGTGCAATGATGTTGAAGGTTGAGATGAAGAACAACGGAGCTATCCTGGAGTCTGACGTTTTTCATAATTGGGCTTCGCCCCAGGTATTTCACTGTTCCTCGCGTCACTGAGTCGTGTTTGATGAGGTGATCCATAAGACTTCTAGCCTTCAATCATATTTTCGTGCAGGCCAAGTATAGATGTGCCTAGTCCCCGTGCACTCAGCACTACTCTCAAGGCGTTTGGATTTCGCAGGGTCGAACTAAAGTCCTTCCGAATAGCGAGCGGCGTCACAGTCACAGCCAGTGTTTTGCCGGACCGGACCAAAAGAAAATGGAGCCGGACCGGACCGGACCGAACATTTTCCGGACCGGACTGAAAAAAAAAGTTCTGGACCGGTCCGGAAAAAAATTTTTTTTTTAGTTTAATAAAACTGTTTTAAAAATTGCAAAAAAAACATATTTTTAAGAGTTTTTAAACGTAAAGAAAGCAGTTTTAGCGCTCCTGGCTATTTAAAAAAAAAAAAACAATTTTCCAGACCGGACCTGGCCTTTTTGGTCCGGACCGAACCCGACCGGACCTGAGCGAAAAAAAATAGAGCCGGACCGGACCGAAAAAATTCTCATCCGGACCGGTCCGGCAAAACACTGGTCACAGCGCTACCAACGCAGACTCTAATGTTACACTGAAACTATGTGTAAACTGTACGATCAATCAATAAATATTTTTTGTAAATCCTTACTATGAAATCAAAGTTTCCAGTAGAATATCAAACTTCTTTATGATAAAACTTGTTTATAATGAACTAATTTAAAATTTCTGAGTAATTCGTTGTACACGAGTTTCACTGCACTTCAAGAATAATTTTTCGAAATTTCAAATTGAAAACCATTTTTTTTCTCTCATTTGGCAAATTTGTTAGTCATCCAACCGGTCGAACCCATCATGGGATGCAATTTGAGTTCTCAAGCTGCGAGAAAGTCTGCTGCTGCTAGAAAGTCCGCTGGTGGTCCAGGAGATAGCGGTCAAGAGACAATTAGTAGTGTTGAACAGGAGGATACTCGTGATTATGTGAGTTGTAAAAACTTTGTTACCATACTTAAAGCTTTGCTTTAAACTTAAGATGAATTTACAGTGAAGTGGGGCTATAAAGGGTAGGGTAGAGTAGCACCATGGCCGGATAAAATTTATATTTAAAATATTTTTCAGATTGATGGAGTTGACATCTCACTCGTCGATCAAATCTATATATGCATCTATGGTGACTCAACTGAATTGACGTTTAAATGTTATCAAAGTGGTATTAACACTATGAAAATTGAAATTCGCGACGGATACCTTGCTATTATGGAAAAACTGACATTGTGCCTTAAGAAGAAACGTATCTTTGTACTTCAAATTTTTTTGTTCGATGAATGTGCATGGTCTCTATCTTTACTCAACGTCATGGCCGACTTCTTTTTGAGTAAGCTAGCAACTTCTAAATCTTTTATTACTTTTAGTGGGAGCCTAGGATACGGTAATTACCTAATTTACGGTAGGGATTATTTACGGTCTGATTTACTTTTACAGTGCAGACAAACATAGTTTTAAACTATTTTTGTTTAGACACACTGCCAGAGATTGAGTTAGTATACATTCATGGAGATCCAGAAAACCTTAACCTTCGATTCATCGACTTCTACAGGAAACTTCATCCTATCGTTGATTGTTTAACCATCCACAACTCGTCTATTTTGAGGTTTCTCATTGACTTGCGAATGAACTCTTTGATACTGAATTCGATTTTGGATTATAGTAAGTGTTTTTTGACTTAACCTCTTTACAATGAAATTACCCAAACTGCTACTTTCAGAATTATTTCGAACTTTTTATACATATTCTTTGTAGTACTAGTAGCTACTGCAGTAGCACATATAAAAATTCTAGCTTGCGGTTTTAAGCGTTAAAACATATATATTTAAAGTCTCCGTCATTTTGGAAAAATTGGCATTGTGTTGCAAGCACATTTTTGATGTTCCAGATAAGACAGGCTTACAAATTTAAAATTGCAGGTTTATTTGGAGCTTTTCTATCATTATATCAAAGAAAAATAGTTAAAAGTCAAAAATGAGGATGTTAAAACTTAAAACACTAGGCCAATTTGGCGGAAAATTCAATATGGATTTTTTGATTTCAATTTTCTCAAGTCTTACCGCACACTGCAAATTCGAATTTTGCATAAAATGTTGCATTTACAAGATCTTTCAACAAAAATGAACAAACTCTGAGCGTTGCCCCAAGCACCTTCCTTGTTAGGTCTACTCTATTCTACCTTATCTTGTTTTACCTTCTTTATGTTGCTTTATCTCACCTTTGCCTATCCTACCATACCCTATTCTGCCATATATTACTTTACCTTACTAAGATTAATAAAACGTTCTTTTCCAGATTGGCTGCCATTGAATTACATTGAAGTGAATGAGATTAAATTCGTGAATTTTCTAATATTGGAAGCTCTTTGTCAACAAGAGATTGTAGTGCCATCGGTTCGAATCGTTACTTTTATTAACTATGAACCTGAACCTGCTAATTTGAAGTTGATTTTCGAGAACATTTGCAGCCTGTTTCCTTTCATAAAACATCTTAAACTTGTATATAAGTTATATGTTCTGGAGAAGAATGAACCCAGTAAGTTTGTGATGGGCTAGGATTTATGATTTTAGAATATAGGAGGCTGTGTGTGAAAGAGATGATGCTTTTAAATGAACAAAAAAGTAGAATAGCAAGGCAAAAAAATAAATATTTTTTTTGTAAATTTGTTTGTTTCAGTTCGAAATCACAAACAGTTTATCCAAACTCGCATCATGTTGGACACGTTCGAGAGCATGTTGGACTGGAATCAGGGAAAACTCAATATAACCATCAGCTTCAAAGTCTTTTACAATGGCCCGTTAAACAAGTATTTGGCAAGAAAAATGTCAGAATATATTGGATACGAATGTAGCTTTGACGGTGACGTCAACCTAGATGTATCAATGGCTAATGTAGATTTGGAAATGGTTGTATCGTTACATAAGAAAGTTAAATTAAATGCTGCTTAATGATAACTCAAAGATTTTTAATGTTTACGTTTTTTAAGATTTACTCAGTGTTTTGCCCGGGCCGGTCCGGGGCGTTTTTCACCGGTCCGGTCCGGCGATTTTCGTGTTTGGTCCGTTCCAAACTTCAAATTTTTAGATTCGGTTCGCAAAAAAAATTTTTATTTTATAAAAAAAGCAGACGCGCTAAAACTGCTTTCTTTTTGTTTAAAAACTCTTAAAAATGTATTTTATATGCAATTTTTAAAACAGTTTTATAAAAAAAATTTTTTTTGGACCGGTCCGGCGCTTTTTCTTCGATCTGCGTGCGCAGGTTTTTGGGTTCGGACTGGTCCGGCAAAACACTGGTCTTCAGGGCCGGGCGGGGACTTTTGGTCTGGGGGCAGGGGTCCAAAAAATCGGCACAGGTAGCTGCTACCTGTGCCGATTTTTTGCGAAATTTTTTTTCCGAAAATTCACAGGGAGGACCACGTTCAACTTTTTTCAAAAATTTTTTTTCTGGGTGGGAGGGATACCCCCCCCCCTCCCCGCCCCCCCCCCTAGCGCACAGCACCCTGAACCAAAAGCTCAAGAACAATGGAGAATCGTTGAATCGTTATCAATTCCTTTTTCGAAAATTTGTTTTATTCCGTTTTTCGCTGTGTTTTTTTGCTTTTCGTTCGGTTTGTTGTCCGATATTGAAGAACTACTTTTTTTATAAACTTGAAACCAAAAGTGCCCGCCCAGCCCCGTCTATGACACAGATAAAATTTTATACAGTATCCTTTTACTTCGCTTTTCTTTTAAGACCCAGAACCGGTCAAAGCAAATTTAAAAACAGCCGAGCTTGCAAATATGGGCTTGGCCTATTTTACCATATCTTATCAAAAACTATTGTACCCTATCATAGTATCATCAAAAACTATTATACCCTACCATAATATCATCAAAGAAAGCTTTTTGAATATTTTGGAAATTTATATTAAAACATTTTTAAAAAATTTTTAACTACTGATATAGAGAACAAATTTTTAAACAAGGAGAGCACAGTAAAGCCTAGGATACGATAAAATCTAGAGTAAAGTAAAGCTTCGTGTACAGTAGAGCCTAAAGCACGGTGGGACCTAGTGTACAGTAAGGCTTACATTCGGATCTACACTAGGACCCTACAGATATAAACCAAGGTGTAATAACCTCTATAACTCTCCAAACAGCCCACAGGATATATATAAATGATTTATCTCCAATAAACGATATATAACAATAGTAAAACCACAATATAATATATAACGAGATCAATCCCCCAAAATGGCAGTGGTGTGCAGTAAACGTTCTCTTCGCCAACTGTTCAATCCTTGTCACATGTCTACCGAATGTCCTCCTGATTGACCATCCTCTCCTTTTACCGTGCTGGCGATCGTACGCGGTGCGGAATGCCAAGTGCTGTTCGTTATCGTGGCGGGACCTGAATGGTGTGCTCGTGCGGGGTCCAACTTTACGGTACGGTAAAGTCAAGAGTACTGAAGTACGTAGATTACGGTAGCGCCTGGATGAATGGATAAGGTACGATAGAATATAGGATACAATAAGGTCTAGAGTACAGCAAGGTCTAGCATAAGATAGACGTAGAAGATAGTGGAGCTTACTGTACATTAAGGTTTAGGGTATTCACCTTACAAGTTAGTATAAACCCTTTAAAAGATAAAATGAATAAATTTGATTTGACTAGGATTTAAGGTACAATAAGGCTTAGGTTACAGTAATGCCAATTTAAGCCGTACAGTAGAGTGAGACCTAATGTGTACCATAAGGTAAGGTAAAACTTAAAGTAAGACTTAGGATACGGCAGGGCTTAGGGTACGGCAGGACCTAGAGTACGGCAGGGCCTAGGATACGGCAGTGCCTAGGTTAAGGCAAGGCTTAGGGAACGGCAGCGCCTATGATGCAGTTAAGTTTATAACACAATAAAATTGAAATTACAATAATTTATTTCACTATTTTTGCTGTACAAACATCGTCAAATCTACATTAAACATTAATACATTTAGGTAGACGTCGCCGTTGTAGCCACATTTATACCCAATATATTCTGTCATTTTTCTTGCCAACTCCTTGTTAATCGGGCCGTTGTAAAAGACTTGGAAGTCGATGGTTATATTGAGTTTTCCCTGGTTCCAGTCTAATATGCTCTCGAAGCTGTCCAACAAGCTGCGAGTGTGAGTGAACAGTTCGTGATTTCTAACTGAAACAAGCAAGTTTACAAAAAAGTCTAATTTAGTTTGAAGTCAACAGGAGGGAACATAGATAAAAAATTTTTTATGTTACGGTAGAGCATAATACAGGTTTTGATAAAGTAGGGTACAGTAGACGGAAACGTTGTTATGCAAAAATTATGGAAAGCAAAAGGCTGTAGCTGCAAGCGTGGCAGAGAAAAAAAGGAAACTCCTCCCCCCCCCCAGAAAAAAAAATTCTAAAAAAGTTTAACGTGGTCGTGGTTTTTTGGAAAAAAATTTTTGCAGAAAATCGGCACAGTTCCTGTGTTGATTTTTTTGACCCCCGTTCCCAAACCAAAAGTCCTCGCCCGGCCCTGCTTACAGCCCTCTCTTCACTTCATCACAAACTTACTTGGTTTTTTTAAGCAAAAAGAAAGCAGTTTTAGCGCGTCTGGCTTTTTTTATAAAATTAAAAAATTTTTTTGCGGACCGGACCTAAAAATTTGAAGTTTGGACCAGACCGGACCCGAAAATCGCCGGACCGAACCTGTGAAAAACGCCCCGGACCGGCCCGGGCAAGACGCTGCAAGTTTGGGTGAACAGTTTGTGATTCAGAACTGAAACAGACGTTTACAAAAAAGGTTAAAATTTAGTTTGAATTCAACAGAAGCTAACATAGATGAAAAAAAATTTTATGTTACGGTAGAGCATGATACAGGTTTTGACAAATTAGGGTACACTAGACGGAAACGTTATTATGCAAAAATTATGGAAAGCAAAAGGCTGTAGTTGCAAGCCTGGCAGAGAAAAAAAAATGAAACTCCTCTTCCCCCCCCCCTCCAGAAAAAAATTTTCTAAAAAAGTTTAACGTGGTTCCCTCTGTGGTTTACTGAAAAAAAAATTTTTCGACTCTCGCCCCCAGACCAAAAGACCGGCCGGCCCTGCTTACAGCCCTTCCTTACCTTCATCACAAACTTACTGGGTTCATTCTTCTCCAGAACATATAACTTATATACAAGTTTAAGATGTTTTATGAAAGGAAACAGGCTGCAAATGTTCTCGAAAATCAACTTCAAATTAGCAGGTTCAGGTTCATAGTTAATAAAAGTAACGATTCGAACCGATGGCACTACAATCTCTTGTTGACAAAGAGCTTCCAATATTAGAAAATTCACGAATTTAATCTCATTCACTTCAATGTAATTCAATGGCAGCCAATCTGGAAAAGAACGTTTTATTAATCTTAGTAAGGTAAAGTAATATATGGCAGAATAGGGTATGGTAGGATAGGCAAAGGTGAGATAAAGCAACATAAAGAAGGTAAAACAAGATAAGGTAGAATAGAGTAGACCTAACAAGGAAGGTGCTTGGGGCAACGCTCAGAGTTTGTTCATTTTTGTTGAAAGATCTTGTAAATGCAACATTTTATGCAAAATTCGAATTTGCAGTGTGCGGTAAGACTTGAGAAAATTGAAATCAAAAAATCCATATTGAATTTTCCGCCAAATTGGCCTAGTGTTTTAAGTTTTAACATCCTCATTTTTGACTTTTAACTATTTTTCTTTGATATAATGATAGAAAAGCTCCAAATAAACCTGCAATTTTAAATTTGTAAGCCTGTCTTATCTGGAACATCAAAAATGTGCTTGCAACACAATGCCAATTTTTCCAAAATGACGGAGACTTTAAATATATATGTTTTAACGCTTAAAACCGCAAGCTAGAATTTTTTATATGTGCTACTGGTAGAAAATTCGTATAAAAATTATGGGCTAATTCTGAGAGTTGCAGGTTGGGTACTTTACTTGTAAGGAGGTTAAGTCAAAGATATAAACACTTACTAAAATCCAAAATCGATTCCAGTATCAACAATTTGATTTGCAAGTCAATGAGAAACCTCAAAATAGACGGGTTGTTGATGGTTAAACAACCAACGATAGGATGGAGCTTCCTGTAGAAGCCGATGAATCGAACGTTAATGTTTCCTAGATCTCCACGAATGTATACCAAATCAATCGCTGGCAATCTGTCTAAAAGCAGAGAAATGGTTTAAAACTATGTTTGTCATAGCTATACTGCACTGTAAATCAGAACGTACTCAAGCCCTACCGTACATTAGGTAATTACCGTATCCTAGGCTCCCACTAAAAGGAATATAAGATTTTGAATTTGATAACTTACTCAAAAACAGATCGGCCATGGCGTTGAGTGAAGATGGAGACCATACACATTCATTGAACAAATAAATTTGAAGAACAAATGTACGTTATCTCTTGAGACATAGTTTTAGTTTTTCTATAATAACATGGTATCCACCGCGAAATTCAATTGTGTAATCATTAGTGCCGCTTCTATTGTAACCTCTAACTAATAGTTCAGTTGAGTAACCAATAGATGCGTGAAATGTCAACCCCATCAATCTAAACAATATTTTCAATTTATTAGTATAAATCAAAAAGAGTCAGTCACGTAATAAATTTTATTTATACTTTATCCTACCCTACCCTACTCTACCGTACCGTACCGTACCGTACCGTACCGTACCGTACCCTATTCTACCCTACCCTACCCTACCTTACCCTACGCTACCTTACCCTAACCTACCCTAAAAAATATTTTAAATATGAATTTTATCGATAGCCATGGTGCTACCCTACCGTACTCTATTCTTCCCTACACTACTTTATACTAACAAATAATAAAAAAGTTGCTAACAACTTACGTAATCGGGAGTCTCCTGTCCGCCAGCAGAGATTCTCGCAGCTAGAGAACTCAAATTGCAGCCCATAATGAGAGTCTTCGACCGGTCGGCTGGTAAACAAATTGAAAAATGAAAGAAAAAGCCATGATTACCAATTTTTTGGCTTTGATAAGCTAAAGATATCCTTAACCAAAAAATCTCATCCTCTTCCTCTCTCACACACAAACTATATATTCTAGTCTGACATAGTAAACCCTAGCCTTTTTCTAGCTTCATCACAAACTCACTTGGTTCGTTCTTCTCTGGCACATATACCTCAACTGTAAGTTTAAGATGTTTTATAGACGAAAACAAGTGGAAAATGTTTTCGAAACTTTAGTGTAATTCAATGGCATCCAATTTGAAAAAGAAAGTCTTATTGATCTTAGTAAAGTGAAGTAAGGTACGGTAGATAGGGTACAGTAAGATAGAGTAAGATGAACTAAAGCAATGAAGAAAATAAAAAGATAGATAAATCAAGCTACAATAAAATAGAGTAAAACATGGTATGTTAAGATAAACCCTAATATCCAACTCATAAGGAGTTACTGAAGTTCAAATCTATGTTTTGTTGCGTCAACGCTTTGAATTGAAAATCAATGAAAAACCTCAAAATGATCGGGTTGTCGACGGATAAGATCTCAACAATAGGATGAAGTTTCCTGTAGGAATTGATAAATGGAATAATTGCTTTCTAGATCTTCAAAATATATTACAACAGTCATTGTTGGAAACGTGTCTGAAAACATCAAAATAGATTTTAATCTTACGTCTAGACGAGGATCTGGAGCACCGTAAAGATTTGGGTGTGGAAACACCTAAAGCACTATAGGGCCGAGTACAGTAGTGTTCTAGAGTACGATAAGGCACAAAACACGGTAGACTTTAGGGTTCGGTAGAACCTACGGTACAATAAGGCCTAGAATACGATAGAATCTAGAGTATAGTAGAACCTGAAAGTACGGTAGAGCCTAATTTACTGAATGGCAGGGGTAAGACTATACGATAAGGCCTAGAGTACGAAAGTGTTTAAGATACAGTAGAGCATAAAGTTCGGTAGGGTCAATAGTACTAAAAGTCCTAGGTTACGGTATGATCTAGAGCACGATAAGAAGGGCATAGAGTACGGTAGGGCCGAGGGTACAATAGGGCCTAGGGTACGGTAAGGCCTAGGGTACGGTAGAGCCTAGGGTAGGTAGGGCCTAGGGTACGGTAAGGCCTAGGGTACGGTAGGGCCTAGGGTACGGTAGGGCCTAGGGTACGGTAGGGCCTAGGGTACGGTAGGGCCTAGGGTACGGTAGGGCCTAGGGTACGGTAGGGCCTAGGGTACGGTAGGGCCTAAGGTACGGTAGGGCCTAGGGTACGGTAGGGCCTAGGGTACGGTAGGGCCTAGGGTATGGTAGGGCCTAGGGTACGGTAGGGCTTAGAATAAGGTAGATACCTGGGGTAAGTTGGAAGCTTATAATACGGTAGGGGCCTAAGGTACGGTAATAGTCGAGGTTACGGTAGTGGCCTAGGGTACGGTCGGGCATAGGGTGCGGTAAGGTCTGGGGTACAGTAATCACTATGATGACGTAGAGTTTAAAGCACAAAGACTTAAAAAATGTAAAAGTTTAAATTGTTTGTAATACATAATTATCATTTACAATCATATTATTTCATTTATTGTGTTGTTACAAACATTCTCAAATCTACCTTAGACATTGATACTTCTACACGAACTTTGTCATTTTTGCAGCAACATTCGTATCCAATATATCCTGTCATTTTTCTCGCCAACCTATTGTTAATCGGGCCGTTGTAGTAGATGGTAAAGTAGATGGTTACATTGAGTTTTTCCCGGTTCCAGTCCAAAATGCTCTCAAACATGTCGAACACGGCGCGAGTGTGGGTGAACAGGTCGTGATTCCTAACTGAAACAGACAAGTTTACAAAACATACGAGTAAAGGGAAAATGTTCTGTAGCTACGGCTCTGGCAGAGGTAAATCTCTATTGTAATAACTCAACAGGCGATGCCTTGTTCAAAAGTTGGCTTTTGTAGCATTAATGACTTAGTATCTTAGTTAATGTAACTTGTATAAGGATTAGTCTTGACATCAAAAGTACCGTTCATGTAAAAACTCATCCTCTCTCTATCTCTCTCTCTTTTTTTCTCTCTCTCTTTCTTTCTCTCTTCCTTTCTCACACATTCTAGTCTATTGTAACATCATTAAACTAAGTCTAGCTTCATCATAAACTTACCTGGTTGATTCTTCTCCTGTACATGTACCATCAATAAAATTTCAAGCCGTTTTATTGAAGGAAACCGGCTACAAACTTTTCCCAAAATCAACTTCGAATCGGTACCTTCATGTGGATAGTTAAAAAATGAAACGGAATGGACCTGCGGCATTACAATATCTTGTTGACAAAGTACTTCCAACATTGAAAAAGCAAAGAATTTAACATGACCCACTTGAGTGTATTTCAATGGAAACCAACCTGAAAAGTGTCATTGATTAGTAGGGTGAGGTAGGGTAAGATAAGTTAGACTAAAGGTGAGCTAAAGCAACGTGAAGTAGATAAGGCAAGATAAAAGAAGCTTGAATAAGATAGAGTAAAACTAGGTATGTTAAGATAAGCCAAAGGATTGAAGCACTAATAAACACTTACTAAAATCCAAAGGCAATTCCAGTACCAACGAGTTGAGTTGCTTATCAATCAGAAATCTCAAAATTGTCGGGTTGACGATAATTAAATGCTCAACAATAGGATGGAGTTTTCTGTAAAAGTCGATGAATGGAACGTTAAGGTTTCGTGGATCTCCAACAACTTTTAAATTATTTATTATTGGCAGTGTGCCTAAAAACATCAAAATATCTTATAATTATGTGTTTCGCAGATCTACTGCACTGTAAGTTAGGTCGTATCTACTTCCTGCTGTACATTAACACCTATTTTACCTTAGGACTTACCGAACCCCAAGCCTTCAGTACCTAGTCCATACCATACCGCCGGCCCTGTCGTACCCTAAGCTCATGTCGTACCCTAAGCCCTACCGTACTCTAGCCTCTACCGTACTCTAGACCCTAATGTACTTTAGTCCCTTACTTAAAGTAATATAAGATCTAAAAGTTGATAACTTACTCAAAAAGTAGTCGGCCATTACGTTGAGTAAAGATGGAGACCATACACACTCATCGAACAAACAAATTTGAAGAATAAAGACACGTTTCCTCTTGAGGCAGAGCATCAATTTTTCCATAATAACGTCGTATTCATTGTGAAATTCAAATACGATAGCATCAATACCTCTTCCACAACCTCTAAGCATTAGTTCAGTTGAGTTTCCGTAAAGACATATGTCTATTTTAAAGACGCTTGAGATTTCAATGTCATCAAGCTGAAAAATGTTTTAAATTTTAATTTTATTCATAGGCAGGGCCGGGCGCGAGGGGGGAGGGAGGTACCCCCCCCCCAGAAAAAAAATTTTTGTAAGAAGTATCTGTGCCGATTTTTTGTACCCCTGCCCCCAGACCAAAAGTCCCCGCCCGGTCCTGTTCATAGGCATAGTGTTACACTACCCTACCCAACTTTACTTTATCCCACCCTACCCTACAGCCCTACTTTACTGTAAATTCATTTTAATATCAAAGCATAACTCTGAGTACGGTAACAAAGTTTTTAAAATTTACATAATCCTCAGTATCCTCTGTATCCTCTTCTTCAACACTACTGATTGCCTCCTGGCTGTTATCTTCTTGACCACCAGCAGGCTGTCTAGCAGCAGCAGACTTTCTCGCAGCTTGAGAACTCATCTTGCATCCCATGATGCTTTCGACCGGTCGGATGACAAACAAATTAACAAATGAGAGGAAAAACCGCGGTTTTCAATTTGCAGTTTTGAATAAGTATTCAAAATAAAATGTTTGTTGAAATGCACTACACAGAAAAGCAAATTAAAAAAATGATAAAGTGACACTTTGTTTACGCAAGACTGTGCCAATTTTGATTCAATAAAATTTATTTTAGGTAATAAAACTGGCGATGTCGCAAAGCCGGAATTTCATCAAAAAAGGGTAATGTTCAGTGTTTTGCCGGACCGGACAAACCCAACAAAATTTTTTGCAAACCGGATCGGACCGGACCCAAAAATTTTGGATTTAAACCGGCCCGAAAATCGCTGGACCAAACCGGTGTGAAAAACGCTCCGGACCGGTCTGGGCAAAACACTCCATACACATACATTGTATAATATAAACAAATTTGAAGAACAAAAGACATTTCCTCTTGAAGCACAATGCCAATTTTACCATAATAAATATTCATCGATAATTTCAATTATGTTATCATTACAACCGGTTCTATTGCACAGGGTTAGAGCTCCCAGAAGCTATTGCAGGGATGAACCACCCGCGGTGAATCGGGAATTACGTTCCGTCTGGGAGAGAGAAGACTTTTCAACCAGTGATCTACGACAATATGTCGTAGTCGAACCAACAATCAATAAACAAGTGCCAGAGACAGTTTTATAAACAATCAAGCAATAAGTAATACGTTGACTATCAATAAGTTTCAATCAAAAAAGCCAGTCATGACTAGTCAAGATAGTATTAGAGTTTATCTTCAGTTCAAACACAATCATAAACCAAAATAAGTAAATCAAATCAAAAAATAAATACAAACTTATAATCCAACAATCTAACCAAACTTAAAACATCAAACAATTAAATCAAAACATCAACTCAAACGTGAACAGCAAATACGTCTGGCATTGAGCGAAGAACTTCGAGGAAAATCCGTGATTGCCACGAATTAGGTCGGCCTTTTGGCATAAACGATTTCGTGGTGGGATCCACGGACATCTATGGCACCTAATAATTAGTTTATTTGAGTTGCCACAGATGTATATATCGATTCGACAAACGCGTAGTTATCATTTACAAGCATTTATTTCACTTATTCGTACTGTACAAACATCATCAAATCTACATTAAACATTGATACATCTAGGCCGACATCGCCGTCGTAGCTCCATTCGTATCCAATATATTCTGACATTTTTCTTGCCAAATCCTCATTAACCAGGCCGTTGTAATCGACTTGGGAGTAAATGAATATATTGAGTTTTCCCTGGTTCCAGTCCAAAATGCTCTCGAACGTGTCGATAACGGTCCGAGTGTAAGTGAATAGTTCGTGATTTCGAACTGAAATAATCAAATTAACAAAAAATATTTGATTTTTAGTTTGCTAACATATTATTTATCAGAAACTCTCATCTTTCTTCTCTTTCTCACCCAGTCTAGACTAAAAAGTTCTGTTCTATTCTAACAACATTGACCATACCCCTAGCTTTATCACAAACTTACTTGGTTCATTCTTCTCCTGCACATGCACCACTAATTTAAGTTGAAGGTGTTTTATGGAAAGGAACACGCTGCAGGCTTTTTCCAAAAACAACTTTATATTGACAGTTTCACATTGATAGTTACAAAAAGTAACAGAGCAAACTTGCGGCATTACAATATCTTGTTGACAAAGCACTTCCAACATTGCCGAATCGACAAATTGAAAATCATCCACTTGAGTGTATTTTAATGGCAACCAATCTGAAGAGAGTTTTATTGAACTTGCTGGGCAGGAGTTTGACCAGTCCTGCGATGATTGGTTTCAAATTTTCATTATAAAACAGAGCACCAAAAAATCAATAAACACTTCCTAAAACTGAAGTTAATGTTTCGTAGCGTCAACGACTTAACTTGTTTGTCAAAGAAGAACCTCAAAATGGTCGGGTTGTTGATGTATAAGAATTTAACAATAGGATGAAGCTTTCTGTAGAAATCGATAAATGGAACGTAAATGTTGCCTGGATTTCGAAAAACGATTTCAAAACGTATTGCTGGCAGCTTGTCTGGAAACACAAAAAGTATTTTAATGGTCTTTTTAAAACCCTACCGGACCTTAAGCGTCTACTATATCACTCTAGGCTTATATGTACTGTAACTTACCTCCACTCCCTGTCTCCGTAAAAGTAATATAGGGTTTAGAAGTGAATCACTTACCTAAAAAGAAGTCGGCCAATTCGTTGAGTAAAGCTGGAGACCATACACACCGGCTGAACAACGTAATTCGAAGAACAAAGGAACGTTCACTCTTGAGGCACTGTGTAAGTTTTTCCTCAATAACATGGTATCTACCGCAAAATTCAATTATTCTATTCCAAGCATTAAAATCGTTTGTAAAGCCTTTAATTGTTAATACAGTTGAGTTACCATAGATGTATATATTGATTCGATCAACGCGTGAGATGTCAACTCCATCAAGCTGAAAAATATTTTAAATGTAAATTTTAACCTTACTCTACCCTACCCTACCCTACCCTACCCTACCCTACCCTACCCTACCCTACCCTACCCTACCCTACCCTACCCTACCCTACCCTACCCTACCCTACCCTACCCTACCCTACCCTACCTTACCCCAGCTCTCAACTTACATAGTCATTGTGTAGAACTTCGTCCTGTTGAACACTCCCAATTTGATGTTGTTGAGTACCTCCAGTATCGACCTTCTGAATAGGATTGCTATCTCTTTGACTACCAGCAGACATTCTCGCAGCTTGAGAACTCAACTTGCATCCCATGATGCTTTCGACCGGTCGGCTGACTAACAAATTTGTCAAATGAGAGAAAAAACCATGGTTTTCAATTTGAAATTTCGAAAAATTATTCTTGAAGTACAGTGGAACTTGTGTACAACGGGTTACTCAGAAATTTTAAATAATTTATATATCCCAGAGTACAATAAGGCTTAAAGTATGGTAGGACTTGTGGCATGATCAATGGTAGGACTTAGGGCGTGATCAACTAGTTCAAACTTTAAATTTTGGTTTGGTCCGATCTAAACCCAAAATATTTGGGTTTAGTCCGGTCCGAATCTGTTTTTTTAGTCCGGGTTTGCAGGTTTATAGGCCCGGTTAGGTTTACAAAAATTTTTGTTGGGTCCGTCCGGTTGGCCTCTGTGCAGTAGAGTTTAGAGCACAGTAAGACTTAAAAAGTGTAAAAGTTGAAAACTTTTGTATCAATTATCATTTACAATCATTTATTTCATTTATTCTGGTTTTACAACTACTGTCAAATCTACATTAGACATTGATAATTCTGAACGAACTTTGTCATTCATGTAGCAAAATGCGTAGCCAATATATTCTGTCATTTTTCTCGCCAACTCCTCGTTAATCGGGCCATTGTAATGGGCGTGAAAGCCGATGGTTACATTGAGTTTTCTTTTCTTCCAGACCAAAATGCTCTTGAATGTGTCAAACACGCGGCAAGTGAGGGTGAACAGTTCGTGATTTCTAACTGAAACAACAAATCTACAAAAAAAATATTTGTTTTGGCGTTGCTATTCTACCCTTTACCGACAAATTCCATCCTCTCTCTCACACTGTCTATTCTATTCTAACATCCTTAACAATAGCCAAAACTCGGCGTGGGCCTTTGGTCTGCTACCTTTGCCGCTTTTTTGCAAAAATTATTTCCAAAAATTCACAGGGGAAACCACGTTCAATTTTTTTTCGAAATTTTTTTTCCGAGGGGGAGCTAGAGTTTCGTTTTCCACCCCCTTCGCGCCCGGCCCTGATCATAGCCCTAGCTTCATCGCAAACTTACTTGGTTCATTCTTCTCCTGCACATATACCGTCAATGGAAAGTAAATCTGATTAACGGAAGGAAACAGGCGGCGAATCTTTTCCAAAATCAACTTCGTATTGGCAGCTTCATGTTCATATTCAAAAAAAGTAACGGAGCAAACATGTGGCATTACAATATTTTGTTGATAAAGTACTTTCAGCAGTGCCGGATTATCGAATTTAAGATGTTCCACTTGAAAGTATTTCAATGGCAGCCAATCTGAAGAAAGTGTTATTGATCTTACTAGGAAGGTGCCCGACATGTCCCGCTCTGGTTGGTTTTATATAAGAAAGTGTTATTGAGCTTTATAAGATTAAAACATAGCATTTTAAACTTAGCCAAAGGATCGAACAACTAATAAACACTTACTAAAATCCAAATCTTTATCCATCAGTGTCAACACTTTGAGTTGCATGTCCAAGAGAAACCTCAAAATTGTCGGGTTGTTGATGTGTAAGTGCTTAACGATGGGATGAAGTTCCCTGCAGAAGTTGATAAATGGAACGTGAACGTTTCCTGGATCTTGAAAACATATTACAAAATGTATTGGTGGCAGCGTGTCTGAAAACACAGAAATAATTTTTTATGATTTTTTCAAGGCCTTGCCGAATCTCTCAGCCTGTCACTGCACGTTAGACTGCACCGTACCCTAGCCCCGCACCTCCATACTGTACTGTCGGCCATCCCGTACCCTAGACCCCTACCATACCTTAGGTCCCTACTGTACCCTATGATCTATCGTGCCCTAGACTTTACCGTACTCTCAGCCCTTACTAACAAGGGAAAGGCAAATAGGGGGTATTGGACCTACAACTGAGACCTATATCATTTGAAAGAGCGTGAAAAGTTATGTAAAAGTTAAAATTTTTAGCTGACCAACTTCATATACTAAAAAGTTACAGTAATTCAAACTTTTACGACTTTCTCATATTACAAAGGGTTCCCCTTGTAAATTTTATTAGAAAAAATTGTTTAAAATTTTTTTTTGTGTTTTGTTTCGAAACTTTAAAATAATATTTCGAAAGGTCTTTAATGTGTTTTAGGCCACTGGGCCACCAGAACACAGAGCGTTTAGCTTCCCTTTTGGCGATATCTTTCAGAGTGTTCCATAATAAGAAATCACATAGGAAAAACTTTATATTACTGTAACTTTTTAGTATATAAAATTAAGCAATTAAAAATTTTAATTTTTACACAACTTTTCACGCTCTTTCACATGGTATAGGTCTCAGTTCTAGGCCCAATACCCCTATTTCCCTTTCCCCTGTAAAAGTAATATAAAGTTTAGAAATTGATAACTTCCGGACCCAATGCGGGAGCCCGGAATTTGAATTTTGTTTTTCCGCGCTTTTTTTCTATTTGTCGGATCGGTCTGAAAATTTTTCTACCCCCTTCTAGATGCTGTTAGTTTTTTGATATCATAGTTTTTGAGATATGAGTATGGCGGAAATAATAAATTTAAAAATCCGGACCGTTAGGACCGGACGCCAAAGGCAAAACTCTGGTAATACCGTAGTCTTCAGGACTCTTGAAACAATATCAAAAAACAGTTTTAGACTGGCCCAGAATATTCGAAATACAGCGCTTGAGAAGCCTTGCCCATGAAGTGTCGACATCTTTGATTTTCCATGTTCTGACACTCTTTACTTTTGGCATACCTTAATAATACTCAAACAACCCATATTTTACTTCGCTTATAAAAAACCTAAAAAGTGTTTAATTTAAATTATAAAAAACCTAAAAGTGTTTAATTTCTATAATAATCATCGCTAACAATAATTTCATTTATTCATTCATGTTCCACACGCATTTCTAAACAGACATTCGACTGATGTATCTCCAAACGAACTTTGTCTTTGTCGTAGCAACATTCGTAGCCAATATAATCTGTAATTTTTCTCGCCAAATCATCGTTAACCGGGCCGTTGTAGTAGACGTAGAAGTTGCTGAGTAACTTGATTTTTCCTTGGTTCCAGTCCAACATGCTCTCGAATGTGTGGAATACGGTGCGAGTGATGGTAAACAGTCTGTGATTCATAACTAAAACATAATAGTTAAATTTACAAAAAAAAAATATTTTTTTGGCTTTGCTATTCTACCTTTTCCCGTGTATGAAAAAGCTCATTCTCTTACTTTCACACAGTCTATTCTACTATAAAATCATTAACCATAGTCCGCTTCATCACATACTTACTTGGTTCATTCTTCTCCTGCACATGTACCACGAATTGAAGTTTAATACATTTTATTGAAGGAAACAAGCTGCAAACCTCTTCCAACACCAACTTCGTATTGGCAACTTCAAAGTCATGGTTACGAAAAATAACGAAGAGAACTTGTGGCATTACAATATCTTGCTGGCGAAGTACTTGCAGCATGGAAGAATCGTTGAATACAAGATCAACCACTTGAGTGTATTTCGATGGCAGCCAATCTGGAAAAGAAAGTTTTATTGATATTGCTAGGAAGGGGCCCAACCTGCCCGGCTCTTATTGTCTTGAAACTTTTATATAAGGAATGTTATGTTACAGTAAAACAGAGTATCAAACAAACTTTTATATAAGAAACGATATGTTAAACTAAAACTGAGCATCAAACAACCAATAATCACTTACTAAAGTCCAAATTAGGGTTTCTCGGTGTCAACGCTTTAAATTCCATGTCAAAGAAGAACCTTAAAATGGTCGGGTTGTCAATTGTTAAGCACGTAACGATAGGATGAAGTTTTCTGTAGAAGTCAATGAATGGAACGTTAATGTTTCTTGGATCTCCAAAAATGAAAAGTTCAACTATCGGTGGCAGTGTATCTAAAAACAGAGTCTTTAATTATGTTTTCACAGCTCTACTGCACTGAAGCATAAATCGTACCTAAGCCCTACGGTATTCCAGGCCCTAACGTACCTGAGGACTAACCGAACCCTAGGCCTTCAGTACCTAAGCCATACCGGACTGCCGGTCCTACCGTAACTTAAGCTTTTACCGTTTTGTAGGTCCTTATCGCATCCTGGGCACCTACTAAATTAATATAAGATTTAGAAATTGATAACGTACTCAAAAAGAGATCACCCAAGATGTTGAGTAAAGATGGAGACCATACACATTCATTGTTCAAATAACTTTGAAGAACAAATCTACGTTCCTTCTTGAGGCACAGCTTCAGTTTTTCCATAATAACATCGTATTCATCGCAAAATATAATTGTGCTAATCTGACAACCGACTATAGAACCTTTAACTATTAGTTCAGTTGAGTCGCCCTTGAGGAATAAGTTAATTTTATAGACGTTCGAAATGTCAACTCCATCAATCTAAAAAATATTTCAAATATATTAAGATGAACCAAAAAGAGCCGGTCACGTAATAAATTTTATTTATAGGCATGGTGCTACCCCACCCTACCCTACTCTACCGTACCCTACCCTACCCTACCCTACCCTACCCTACCCTACCCTACCCTACCCTACCCTACCCTACCCTACCCTACCCTACCTTACTCTACCCTACCCTACCCTACCCTACCCTACTCTACCCTACCCTACTCCCTACCCTACCCTACCCTACCCTACCCTACCCTACCCTACCTTACTCTACCCTACCCTACCCTACCCTACTCCCTACCCTACCCTACCCTACCCTACCCTACCCTACCCTACCCTACCCCTACTCTACCCTACCCTACCCTACCCTACCCTACCCTACCCTACCCTACCCAACCTAACAACTTACATAATCAGATTCATCTTCTTCAGTATTACTACTTTCTGTATCAAGCTCACTACTTGTTGTCCCATTGTCATCACTGCTACTATTGGTAGTTGACAGTTCTTCCTCCACATTCGGACTGTCGTCACTGCTCACAGTAGAAGTTGACACAGTATCCTGTTCAATGCTCTCTTCAGTTCTAGTACTGTCATGACTGATACTATTGACAGTTGACAGTTCTTCCTCCACATTCGCACTGTCATCACTGCTCTCAGCAGAAGCTGATACATAATCCTGTCCGATACTCTCTTTAGTTCTGGTACTCTCATCACTGCTTTCAGTAGAACTTGACACTTTATTCTGTTCAGTACTCGCTTCCGTTCTAGTACTGTCATTACTGCTCTGAGTAGAAGTTGACACACTATCTTGTTCGATACTCTCTTCAGTTCTTGTACTGTCATCACTGTTCCCAGCAGAAGCTGATACATTATCTTGTTCAATACTCTCTTCAATTTCCGTACTGTCATCTTCTTGACCACCATCTGCTGTCTCTCTCACAGTCTTAGGCTTATTCTGAGAACTTAGGTTGCAACCCATAAAAACGTCGGCCGGTCGGCGGTAAATAAATTTGACAAAGTGAAGAAAATTTATAATTTTTAAAAATGTCTTATTGGAGTGCAATTTTAATTGCATTGAAAAATTGTCCATCGCTTTGGCCCAGAGATTTTAAGATATTTAAAATCTACCCAAGAAACACAGTATCCGAAGTGAGAGCACGAGCAAAAATGGCATGGACAACGTTCCAAAGAAGGCGAGAAGTACTTACAAGTCCAATTACCAGACTACGACTCAACCAAAAGTTCTATATGACTAGCCTTTTATTGGCGATAACATATAAAGACAAATACTGGAGCCTTACAGACACAGCCCGATGGAGGCTGATTAGAACGGTCAGGAAGATAAAGAGAATGATGTTGGAGATAACATAAAAAGATAATAGAAGAAGTACAAAGATCCGAAGAACGACGGGATTCAATGGCGCCAGTCTCAGTCTACTAGCTACAGAAGTGGAAACGAAGTGGAACAGCGCATGAAAGATGATGACGAAACAAGATGAATGATAGACGAAGAAGATCATAAAAATGTCGTGCGGGCATCTACTTTGCATAAAATTAGTTATCATATTCAAATTCTAACACTTTATTTCTGCCTCAGACGTATCGAACGCTCCGTATAGAACAATTGGAATCAAGGGTGATTTTTAACACATATTTCCAACCTCACATCACTTTGATCAGTATAAAAACGAACGTTCCCATCTTTGTAGCAGCATTCGTAGCCAACATATTCCGACATTTTTCTTGCCAAATCCATGTTGATTGGACCTTTATAAGTCAAGCGTAACAAAACGGCTACAATGACCGAACGTTGTTTCTGATTTAAGATGCCGTTGTAGATCTTGAACACGTTGGCAATTTGGAAAAACAGTTCGTGATCCATAACTAAAAACAAAGTTACAGATTTAGAAAATGTTGCGCTATATTCTGCTTTAACTTTTGCTTTATCTTAGCCTTAGTTTTGGCCTTAGCCTCCCTTCCTCACTATCCCACAGTCTATGTTTGCCTAAAATCATAAACTTACTTGGTTCATTCATCTCCTCGACGGTTACCTTAATATCAAACCTAAGCCGATGCTTTGAAGAAAACACAATAGAGACAGTTTGAAAAATCCAATCCAAGTCTACATTGACTGTATTGTACAACTCAAAATTAACAAACTTAACCGATGGCAGTAAAATATCTTCCTTACGGAGATATTCCAATATTGACAGTTTATTAAACTGGAGTTGATTCACTTGAGTGTATTTAAGTGGAAGCCAACCTGACATAAGCAGTGTTAATGGCCATTATAATGGTAGGATAATTTAGGGTAGGATAAGGTAGGGTAGGGTAGGGTAGGGTGGTAGGGTAGGGTAGGGTAGGGTAGGGTAGGGTAGGGTAGGGTAGGGTAGGGTAGGGTAGGGTAGGGTAGGGTAGGGTAGGGTAGGGTAGGGTAGGGTAGGGTAGGGTAGGGTGGTAGGGAAGGGTAGGGTAGGGTAAAGTAGGGTGGTAGGGTAGGGTAGGGTAGGGTAGGGTAGGGGTAGGGTAGGGCAGGGTAGGGCAGGGTAGGGTAGGGTAGGGTAGGGTAGGGTAGGGGTAGGGTAGGGTAGGGTAGGGTAGGGTAGGGCAGGGTAGGGCAGGGTAGGGTAGGGCAGGGTAGGGTAGGGTAGGGTAGGGTAGGGTAGGGTAGGGTAGGGTAGGGGAGGGTAGGGTAGGGTAGGGTAGGGTAGGGTAGGGTAGGGTAGGGTAGGGTAGGGTAGGGTAGGGTAGGGTAGGGTAGGGTAGGGTAGGGTAGGGTAGGGTAGGGTAGGGTATTAATAAACTCTTACAAAGATCCGACGTCGGTTCCAGTACTAAAATTTCAATTCTCATATCCATGATGAACTTCAACAAGGTCGGTTTATCAACGTACAAGAAATTAACAATAGGATGAATTTTCCTGTAGAAGTCGACGAATGGAACATAAACATTTCCTGTGCTTCCAATTTTAATTCGAAAGCGGATTGACGGCAGCGTGTCTAAAAAAGTCGAAATAGTCTTCAATGACATTATATATGTATATGTATATATATATCTTTGCAGTTTCTAAAGTATTTGCTGCTAAACCCTACCTCCGACCCTATAGTGCTATAGGCCTTTACCGTAGCATACGCCCCACCCTACCATAGACCCTGCCATATCTCGGATTCTAATATAGACTAGTCCTCTCTTCCTCTCCACAAAATAGTAATAAATATGAGTTGAAGTAGATAACCTACGCAACAAGAAGTCTGCTATTACGTTGAGCAAAACCGGTGACCATACACACTGATCGTACAAGTAAACGTGAACAAAAAACAAACGTTCTTTCTTGAGGCATTGTGTCAGTTTGTCTATGATAACATCGAATTCGCCATTAATTTCGATTATTGTTTCATAGGTAAGTCTTTCTGAAACAACGAGGTCTAGTTCAGTTGAATTACTATGCAGCTCAATATCGATTTGATAGGCATTCGAAATGTCAGTGGAGTCGAGCTGAAAATGTCGAGACTGTAAATCTTCTCCTATAGACTATAGCTATAGTGATACCCTACTCCATACTACCCTACCAGACAACTTACATAATCAGATTCTTTCTGTTCAGTATGAGTGCGTTCTGTATCAAGCTCACTACTTGTTGTCCCATTGTCATCACTGATACTATTGGTAGTTGACAGTTCTTCCTCCACATTCACAGTGTCATCACTACTCTCATGAGAAGCTGATACATGATCCTGTTCGATACTCTCTTCAACTTCCGTACTGTCATCTTCATGACCTGCTGTTTCTCTCACAACTTTAGGCTTATTCTGAGAACTTAGGTTGCAACCCATAAAAACTTCGACTGGTCGGCGGTAAATAAATTTGACAAAGTGAAGAGAAATCATAATTTTCAAATTTTTTCATTCGTTTCATTCGCTCAACGACTTGTCGTGAGTATCATTAGATGTTTCTTCAAACTTGATATCAGGCTCGAACCGACATAATCTTGCTTATTTTAACCAAGGGCTCTACACTAAGCTATCCTACTCCACCCTACCTTATTTATATCTCTGTCAGATAGATGTGATAGCACCAAAGAGTGTCGTGATGATACTGTTGAATTAGATCGTTAAAGTAATTGCCTTTAGCCTTACTTTTTCTAATTTAAAAGTTTCATAAGCCTTATTTTTAAACAAAATGTCACAAATTCTTTCATGTGACGAAATGTCAAAAAAGTTATTGAATTTTTATTTCTATGCTTTAATAGTTTTTAAAAAAAGAGCCCAAAAAATCATTTTTGTGACGAAAAGCCACAAATTCATTTTTGTGACGAAATGCCAAAAAGTTATTGATTTGTTATTTCTTTCGAGTTCTTTGAAAAAAATGTAAATGCCCTCAAAGTAAGCCACGTTTTCAAACTTTAAGCCTACAATCGACCAAAAACCCATGATATCTCTTAGAAATCGACCAAAACCCCATGATTTCCCATAGCCAACCAAAAACTTATATTATCCCCGTAGAAATGGATCAAACACACAAAAATACCCCTTAAAATCAACCAGCCTTTACAGATAAAAACATTTATTGACTATGCTAGATACATTATGATAACTTGTGACTTTAACCACATTAAATAATTACTTTTACTTACTCTAAACCCATCTTAACTCAAATATCAACCTTATAAATGGCACTAACTTTAAGCCTGATATTAGTCTAGGACGAGGTCCAGTTGGGTTTTCTTTTCTCGGAAAAGGCTGTCATTCCTTCTTTGCGGTCCTTCGTGCCGAAGGTGACGTGGAAGAAGCGACGTTCGAACAGGAGACCTTCTTGTAGCGAGGTCTCGAAGGCACGGTTCACGGATTCTTTGGCTAGCTGAGTGATCAGTGGAGAGTTGGCAGCGATTTTCTCGCCCAATTTAATGGCTTCGGGGACTAGTTGATCTACTGGGAACACCTACAACAATATATAGTGAGAGTTTTTAAAAATTTCAAAAAAATAATTTTGTAAAGAAAGTTATTGCGCTTTTATAAAAAAGCAGTTTTGTAAAGAAAGTTCTTGTCATTTTACGTTTTGTAAAGAAAGTTCTTGCCATTTCTTGTTTTGTAAAGAAATTTCTTGCCATTTCTTGTTTTGTAAAGAAAGTTCTTGCCAATTGTCCTCAAAATTCTACATATTTTTTATCTCCCCCCCCCCTCTTTAATCTAGCACACCCTCCCTTTTCCACTCCCCCTTTCCATTACCTTCAATATCCTACATCTGCCTTCCTTTACCCCCACGACATCCCTCCTCTCTGCCCCCACCCTACCTTAGACACCAATCCTCTCTTCAAGGCCTCTTCGGCCGAGATCTGATCACCAGTCAAACACAATTCCATGGCCAAACTCTTGCCCACAGCTCGGGTCAATCGTTGCGTACCACCAGCACCAGGAATAGTACCAATAAGAATTTCTGGTTGTCCGAATCGAGCCTTCTCGCCGGCATAGATAATGTCACAAGTCATGGCCAGCTCGCAGCCACCGCCCAAGGCGTATCCATTAACGGCCGCGATGATTGGCTTGCGCAGTTTGCCGACCTGCGCCCAGTTTTCTAGGAAACCTTCTTGGAAACAGGAGGCCATGTCGTTGGGGATCATCTCCTTGATGTCTGCTCCGGCTGAAAAAAATAATATTTTAGGTATCAATTTAAGCATATTTTAAAAATTTTTGTTTTGTAAACAAAGTTTTTGTCATTTTATTTTTCGTAAAGAAAGTTCTTGCCATTTTTCATTTTGTAAAGAAATTTCTTGCTATTTTTTGTTTTGTAAAGAAAGTTCTTGCCATTTTAAAGAACAATTCAAAACTTACCAGCAAAAGCCTTTTCGGATCCAGTAATAATGATAGCTCCAACTGACTTGTCATTATCGAATTCGACTACTTGTTCAGCGATCTAAAAAACATTTTAAAATTTCAAAAATTTTTAATTTTAAATTTGAAAAATAATGGTCATTCCCTTTATTTACATCCTCTGACCTAATATGACCAAAATTACATTTATTCATTACCCTACCCTAACTTACCTTACCCTACTCTATCCTACTCCACCCTACCCTAATCCCTTTGCAGGTCTAGTTACCTAAATTAAACATTCTAGAAACCCTTACCTCATTCATCAATCCCTTGTTCAGAGCATTCAAAGCCTTGGGGCGGTTCAGCGTGATCAGACCAACATTCTTCTTTTCTCCCACCTTCTCCACCTTGATGAATTCGCGGTTTCCTGAAGAAATGTCCAGTTTTTGTCCAATTTCCGACAAATACTCAAACTCTTGGCCAAAACTCATTTTCACTTTCTTTTAAGCTTATTTCTTTATAGGCTGAATTTTTAGTCTTATTTCTCAAAGTTTGATATGCTAATCCAGAAATTACAATTTTAGCCAATCAAAACAACCAAAACTAGCCAAAACCAATATAAATCAAACTGTTTAGATAAAATAAAATACGTTCTAGTATAATATCACACTTTCACCTCGTTTTATCTATGTCTTTAACCAAATAAAAGCAAAAGTATTCGGTTCTTATCAGCTTTTCAAGAATAACATGCTATTCTCGTGCCATTTTTTGTTATACAAGTTTTACACTATTACTTGTTATCATTATTTTCATAAAATTTATTATTCTATACCTAATATTAACCTTTAAAACAGTTTTTATTACCTATTTTTGATTAAAAACATCAAATTTTAAGTAAAAATTGATATTAATGTACCTATACCTACAAAAAACGCTATAACATATGTTAGATCTTACAAAATTACTAAAACTTGCTCATCATATTAAAAATAACCCTAATACAGCTATATTATCCATTAAAATAAGCTACCAACACCAATTTATCCAAAAAACAAACTTTTAATTGACCCCTTATATTAATGTACCTATACCTACAAAATAAGCTATAAAAATTTATGAAACAATAAAAACAAATAATATCTACTAAAAAATACAGTACCATACCTGAAGAAGCAAAAGCAACTTGTTTGTAGACAAATCCACTTTGGAAACCACGTCCAGCGAGCTGAGAAACACGGAACAGCTTGTTGGTCAACATCTGAAACTGGAGCCATTATATCCAATTGACAAAGCCTTTTTAACATAACAATAATCGCGTACAGCATGATAAAGTAACTATTATAAACTTTATAATAACCAAAATTTCAATAAATACTGTTTTAGATAAAAAAACAAAAGATTATATTACACTGACACCAGCAACCTTGACGTAGAAAATAATTCATAAAAACGTTTTGGGCAAGAGTATAAACTAAATTAACTATTAAAAGATGCAGTAAAAACAGCTTTACAATTCTTTTAACTTAGATTTTTAAATTTTTGCATAAAAAACTTGAAAAAAAACATCAAAAACTACATTGAAGTAGACATCAAATTAAGTAAAATAAGTCTTGGTCTTCTTAACTATTAAATTCTAATTTTCTTTTGTCTTAAACAATAGTAAAACATTCCGAAAGACTTGTAAGCTTATCAACATAATTATCAAAGAATTACCCAGCTAAAACCTATCACTTACAAGCAATAATCTAATAAATGCCCACTACTTCTTGAAAAAACCTTTGGACCTTTTGACCATTAAACACTCGCTGTTCATTCTCTTTTTACACTATTTTCTGCACACTATCTTCTTCTTGATAGAGAAACAGTGAAAAACATTATTCGGACTTTTAAAACGAACGTAAACAACAAAGCAAGAAGCGGGAGAAAAATTTTACAAAGCTGGATATCATGGATAGTACGGCCTGTAACTCATTTTTTTGATAGTCCATGATCTTCCAATGAATAGATTGATAAAAGAATAGTGACAGTATTAACCGCAAAATTTTAAAAACCTTCTATTCATTACACAAGTTATGTAAACTTCAATAAAATTATCATTTTTATCAAAATTTTTGGGAAGTAGGGTAACTTTAAACTACTGTAACTTTTAGACAACTAAATATTTTTAAAAAATTTAAAATACATTAGTTAGACAAATGAATAGTCTACCATCGTGACAAATTTCATAGTCTTATCGTATTTAAACAAAAAGCTACAGTGAAAAGTAACTAAGTTTTCTTAAAAGCTACAGACATTGAGAACTTTAATCAAGTCTAGCTTATGTTATAATTTAAAATTTGTATTTTCCTTTTGTGCTATACCTTCAAAATACTCGTATAAGTCTATCAGATCAATTTCAGACCAACATTCCACAAAAGACACAAGTTACAGACGATATTATCCATGACATCCAAATCAAACGTTATTTCCAAAACTTTGTGTTTTGAATTCTCCCAAAAGTCCATACCATGTTCTTCATGTTTTTTTACAAAATTACGACATATAAACAACAAATAATATCAAAACTTTAAAAAAAACGTCTTAAAATCCATCACTTCTTACCCATGACATCAAATTCACATGCAAATCACACTCGCGCAATAAGGATCTTATCAAAATGTACTCGAGAATAATAAAAACGACTTATAATATTGTCTAATGCTCAAAATCCCCTTTTAATTGCGCGTTATCACCAAAAAACCATCAAAAATAATCGGTAAACAGCATGCATAATACCCAAAACGTAGTTTCGATGAAAAAACAGAATCCCCCGAACAGAATGTTGTCGTCGGATTGATAAAAGATAGTTTACAGAGGTCTCAAGACGCAGATCAAAGTCTTTATGCCTATAGTTAAGCCTAGAAACAGGAGTTTCTGTTGTTTTTCCTTCAAATTCTTGTAAATTTCGACAAAAATAGGTCTTATCTATAAAATTGGTCATCTTAATTAAGAGTTCCCTTGTCAAACAACAACATTCTGTTCACCACCTTGCTTTTTTTATTATTTGCAGCCATAAACAGAGTTTTAAACTCTAAAAATTTCAAATTTATTCAAATTTAGAGAGTTGGCATGACGGATTTTCTGGAATTTACTACAATTTATAGAAAATCCGTCATGGCGATTTATTTCAGATGACAATATTTTGGCCGCGAAGAAAAGCGCGAGTTTCTCCGTTGATTGAAGACGAGGAAACTCTGTGGCTACTACATTCAAAAATGGGAGCAACTCCGAAAAGAAGTTCAGCTTTCGGCCGTCTAGGCAAAAAACCAGGTATGTTAACATAGTTTTTTTGTCTTTGTGTGTATTTGGTGGAAACTCGATTTTATGCTAGATTGAGCTATATTCTAATAACATTATATTGTTTTTTTTACTTATTCTTATGGTTGTTTGCATAAAATTTAGCATTTGCCCAACTGCAACCTTGTTAATTCAAGTAAACCTATGTTTATATCGCAATTTAAGAGATTACAACTCCGTTAAATTAATGTTTAATTTCTTGTAAAAGATAGCAAAATTATCGTACTTATGTGTTGGCTCCAATGCGTTCATAATCAACGACTTTTTCATTGTTTTAAAACACTTTTCTTAATTTGCAACCAAAATGATAAGGATGGTTGTCTGGGAAAGGAGTAAACTAGTATGAAACCTTCACATAGATACGAAATTTCTTGTTGTTCGATAGTATAGTAGATGAAGAATGATTTAAAGAATAGTTTGGGTTAATTTGGCGTTTTTCTTTAGGCTGGAGATCGATTTATATTGTTTTAGGTTCAAATCTGATGCAGAGGATTAAGATGGCCGTTTTTATGTGTGAAAATTTGTAGATTAGACTAAATATAAGCCATTACGTACTATATTGCATGATGTTTGTTGTGTTCAAATTTTGCAGCTATTGATTTAGGTATCAAAAAGTTATGACCAATTTATGTTGTTTTAAGTTCAGTTTCGAAGTTAGTTTTAGATGGTCGTTTTTCTATAAGATACTGAATGTAGATGTTATATAACACTTTTAATAGTTGTAGTAGAGGTTGTTCATTTTTCTGTGAAAGTTTCAAACCAATAAGAGCATTTTCATCCATGTTATGATTCATTTTACCTCACTTTAGGGTCAATGTTCACCTACACGTACTACTTGACCATTCTCACCGTAACCCTGGGTGCCAGTACCCAGTTCTACTCATATGGGATTGTGAATCCGGAGCAGGAGATTATAATGGAATGGATTAATTCGTCGTACGCGGAACGATGGCACAACAAAGGCCTATCTGAAACGGAACTCAACCTTTTTTGGTCGTTTGTCGTCTCCTCAATAGCTATTGGTGCCATTTTAGGAGCTTTGTTAGTACGAGTGTTGGCTGAACGAGTTGGTAGAAGGAATGGCTTGATCTATAACGGGGTTTTCAATGTGATAGCGGCCGGTTTGGAGTTTGCGGCAAAGCCGGTGGGTTCGCCGGAACTTTTGATTGTCGGAAGGTTAATATTGGGAGCAAACATGGGAATTACCAGTGGATTGGTACCCATGTACCTGATGGAAATTACGCCAGTACATCGACGTGGAGCTGCAGGGACGTTACATCAGGTAATTTTTAGTTTTTGCTTGGTTTTTAGATAAAAAATTATCACGGTTAATATAAATTAATGGGGAATTTTGGACAATGCTTGCCATATCGTACGAATGAATTGATTAAAAGATTTGGAATTTACAAATCGTATTTTCAGGTAGCGGTAGCCTTTTCCGATTGGTTCTCCCTCTTTGTTGGACTACCAGAAATCTTGGGAAGCGAAACACTCTGGCCTATTGCCTTTGGTTTTCCAGGTTTATTGGCCTTGTTCCTAGTGATTGTTCTGCCATTTTGTCCACAAAGCCCCAAGTATTTGTTGGTTAGTCAAGGAAGACGTGAAGAAGCTCGTGATGTGCTGAAACGGTTGGTGAATGAAGAAGAATCCGAGAGGATGTTCCAGGAGTTGATGGCCGAAAGTGTCACGAATCAGGTTGGGTTTTTGTTATTTTTCTTGGTCTTAGGGTTAGATATTGGCCAAGTATTGGCCTCAAATATTGTTGATATGATTGCCATGAGATTTTAAAGGGCTTTCATCCCATTTGAGGTAAAGTTGTTGAATTATGGGTCGATTAAGTTATTCATAATAAACTTTACCTCATGGTGAATATGCGGGGTCAAAAACGTCAATTTTTTATTGAGGTTTGTAGTTTTTGTTGTTCTTAAAGTTCGTTGCTGTCTTTCTACATTACTGTAAATCCATATAGAATAATTTAGTTAAGTTATGGTTCGATTATATTATCCATGACTAAATTCAAGTCATGGTGAAGATAAAAGGCCTAGAAAATATGTTTTTTGGTCAATTGTCATGTTCAGTTGAATTTCAATCACTTTTTAGTTGTGACTTGTCATTTTTAATTATAAACTTTCAACTTCAGGAAGGCCTGGGGTCCTTCCGTGAGCTGTTCACCCGTCCCGACCTTCGAATCCCCTTAATGGTCTCGGTCCTTGCTATGTTGGCGCAACAATTCACTGGATGCACAGCTGTGTTTGCCTACTCAACAGACATGTTCCTGAATGCCAAACTCACACCACAAGCGGCACGGTACAGCACGTTGGCGGTTGGGATCGCCTACTTCTTGTTCGCACTGTCAGCGCCATTATTAATCGAACGTATTGGTCGAAGGAAGTTGGCATTGTTCCAACTGTCCATGGTTACAGTATCTTTGTCATTCTTGACAGCTTTTACCTATATTCAGAATACGAATAGTCAGGCGTGGGCGACGTATGGCACGATCTTCTCACTGGTCTTCTACATGTGTGTATATGGAGTTGGATCGCCGATTCCGTGGATGATTACTAGTGAATTGTTTGAAACAAAGGTGGGTAATGATGTTGAGAAGGATGTACATTATATGGTTTAGCTAAAAATGTGGCTTCATGTCGGTTTTCTGGCTAAAAATGGGATAAAATACCTTGTTTTAGATAAAATTGAATGAAAAAAATTGCACGGTGCGGCTTTTTAATTTTTTTTTGCTGAAATTTAAACAAAATTTTAAAATAATGGAATAAAATAAAGAAATGGTATATTTTTCGTATTTTACATTAATTTATTTTGGCTTTTTCAGTTCCGATCAGCCGCTGTCACACTGGCCGTTTTCGTGGCCTGGTTCCTGGCTTTTATCATTTCCACCATTTACCTGCCATTTCAACAGGTAGGTTATGATTTTTTTTCGTTTTTCATAGTTTAGTTTACCGACCTCAGCCCACTTTTGGCGCCCTACCATATTTCCGCCTCATCTATCCTGCCGTGTCCTACTATACTGTACCATTCGTTATCGTACCCTGCTTTACCCTACCGTACCCTATGCTACCTTATTCTACCCTACCAAGCCCCAACTTCTCTATCTTGCCCTATCCTACCCGACCTTACCCTACCCTGCAGCCGTACTCTAGGTTTGACTGATCTGACCTGACGTTACCCTACTATACTGTACCGGACTTTATCTAGGTTTCACGTATCTCACCCTACTATATTGTACCGGGCTTTATCGTACCCTGATTTACCCTACCCTATCAAACCCTACCCAGTCCTACCGCACCCTACCTTTCCCTATCCTACTTAACATTACCCTGTTCCACCATTTTCTAGGTTTTGAAATACATGAAATTGCCCTACCCTAACTTTATGCTACCTCACCTTACAGTACCCTATACTTGCTTTATAATACCATACCTTCTGCTCTACCCTACTTTTGAACCTTTTCATAATGACATTCTTTTTTCAGCTGGTTGGAATCTCGTTCAGCTACATTCCCTTTATCGTTTTCAGTGGTATCTTCACCATCTCTCTCTACTTTTTATTGCCAGGTAAGGGTTTTTTATTCTATATTGTGCAGATATAAAGTACAAAATCACAAAATTTCATATTTTACTCAAAAATTTTTTCCCAAGAATCTTGAAAATTTAATTTTGCAGCCAAAGTAAGCTTAAAAAAAGAAAATTTTCAACTTTATTACTAAAATTTAAAATTTTTGTTTCCAGAAACCCAACACAAGCCCAAAGTGGAAGTCATCGAGGAGTTCCGATACCGTGCCCAATCCATCAGTACCGGCCACCCGTTCCGGTCGGTTCCCCCCTCCCTCACCGACGAAACTCAATCCCTGGTTCAGTCCGAGGCCGACGAACGTCTTTCATATCATCGCTATATGAGTATCGCTGGTTAGTTTGTCTATTTTTAAGGAGTGGCATCAGATTTAGACTAGTTATGAGGTTTGGTTTTAGGTATGGGTTTAGACTAGGCTATTGTTTTCAAAGTCCGGCACGGTGTATAAACTACTGTTTACAAGGCTTGGCTAGAGCGTAAAGACGGTTTTTTAAAGGTCTGGTTAAGCGGTATTAATTCTTTTCTTTTATTTTCCTTTATAAGTTAGAAAAATGCGAAAGAATTAATGGATCCAATGCCAGAAGGGCGGCTTTGGTCTAGGAATGGGGGTTTTTACAAACTGCAATCACGCCAACCAATTATTAGTTTCAAATTGCCATTTTGTACATATTACACTAGATATGTCATCATATTTTAGTTTTTTTATCATTAATGTTGAAATTGAAAAAATTTTGGAAATTTTAAAAAAAATTATTTATATTTCGATTTTTTCACGATTTTTTCAAAAAAAAATTTTTTGCCTACTATTTTTATTCATTTTTTCGTATTTTAATGCCTAACTTAAGGTCGCCAAAGCTTTTCCCAATCATTTTCCTCGTCAGTCTTTGGCTCACCGTCTCACTTCTTTTGAAGATCTAACGACAAAAGGATTACAATCACAAACTTATGCCAATTTAACTAACGGCAAGTCTTATCGTAATCCACCGTATTTTGTCTCTAATTTTTTAGCTTTCAATTTTTTGAAAACGGTTTTTAACGAAATAAATATTTGATAACTATGGTTTGAGGGCGTATTGTAAAGTATGAAAACTTTCTATGTTCTAATGGTGTTAGTTTCAGTTAGGGACGCCGCTAGAGGGAAGGGTGGGTCCAGGGTGGGCGGGGACTTTTTGCCTGGCGGTCGAAAAAATCGGCACAGGTAGCACTCCCGCCCCCAGACGAAAAGTCCCCGTCCGGCGCTGGGTCCACCCCGCAGTCGATCCGAAACAAAATTCCACTAGTGCAAGTACGAGTAAAACCGGGCTAAATTTTGCGAAAAATGGGTGCATAGGACATCAAAAAAGTTTAAATTTTCATTTTTTGAGTCCATACGGATAAAATAAATACATCAAAACGCGATGAAAATGAAGTAATATTGGGACAAAACCAATATTTTCATATTGAAAAAGTACAAGTTTAGCTAAGGAATTACCCGTCACATGTTTATTTATTCATAAATAAATAAAATTACCAACGATAACAATAAATGTAAGATAACAACTTTGATAAAAAAAAAGAACCAGTAGCACCAAACATGAACCCTTTTACACAATCTTACTCATTTTAGCATCAAAATACAAAAAAAAGTGCCTAATAATATAAAGTACTTTAAGACATATAAACGTAGTACCATATAGTACTACAAATATTTAGTACTCTCGGGAGCCGTTAGGGTTTTATATAGTACGATATATAGAACTTTATATTACTATATATAGTACTAATCCATATTCACCCCCAGCTTATCAGCCCCGTTTTTGCCCTTGGAATGTTGTTTTACATAGCCCGACCCGAATTGCATGGCTTTTTTGGGTGTGTCGGTGAGGTGCGGAGGTAATCCAAGTAGCCTCATCGCCACCCTCAACAACTTCTTCTCTCCAATACCTCGAGGTTCACGGAAATCGACACGGTACGGTAATGGAACGGCGGTTATCCATTTGACAAAGGAATCGTGCATGAATGGGGCTCTACAATGATATAATAGTTAGTTTAGGTAATATCATAAGTACTACAATAACTCCTTTACAATGTTACAGTATCAATAGCTGAAAATAAAAGGAGTCATTCTCCGAATCCTTAACACATAAAAAATTACAGTAATCCCTTCAAAATATAAACTTACATCAAAGCGACGCCGTTTGACATGGTAATCCTGTCATCTCGGCCAAAGTTTCGTTCTCCGATTCGGCAAATTTCTGCTTCCAGCCCTTCATGCAGGGATTCCCAGCCTCCCTTCTCGTAGTATGTTCTGTGTCTCGCATATCCACCAAGCAGCTCGTCTGATCCACTACCACAAAAGGCAAATGGTGATGGCTTGCTGAAAAGAGTACTGTAATTTTTGTACTAAAGTACTGTGTTTTTAGTACTAAGTATCGTACTGAAGTACAAATTACAGTACCTTGACCATGATACATTCCATAAACCATCTCATGTTACAGTAACCTTACCATACTACCTTAAAGCTATATTATAGTATCAAGCTTAAAATCAAATGTTTAGCCCAACTGTTACCTAAAAAATCAAAATTCGTACCCAAAACATAAAAATTGGTGCCTAAAATACCTAAAACCATAAAAACTTACAATTCCAAGCCCTGATGATCCTTGTAAAACACTTGTTTGCCTTTTCCTCTGGATCCAAACCAAACTACAGAAGCCAAAGACTCGTCCAAAACAGTATCTTTAGGGTACATCACAGTTCGTATTGTTGATCTGTGCTTTTCTATGTCTTCTCTAGGCACATTCACTTCTATCATTGAAAATTTTGGGCCGAAACTGAAAGGAAGATTGAGTTTATAAGGTGTAGGACATCAAAAAGTCTGATTCCACAGCACTTGAAGGTGTAAAACGTCAAAAAATATAAATTTAAGCTGTCTGAATGGTGTATAAAATCTATTTTTTATGATTTCCTGTTATCTTATTATCATAAAACACCCTTTTTTCAATTCTAAAATACTCAAAACTAATTTTATTAACCTTCAAAACATCTAATCTTGCCTATTCCACCCACAAAAACCTCAGAACTTACTATTCACAAAGCCATTCAAACGCTTCTCGGCCTTTCTTCCTATCATGAGCTTTATCTTGATCTTCCTCCGTGTCTCCAAACAAAGTATTGATCAAATTAAACTGCTTAACCTCTGGGAAGACTGTAGCTGCAATTACTGTGACAAATAAACTGTCCACACCTCCAGAAAACGATACGGAAACTTGTTCTGGCATGTTCACTGGGCCTGATAGGTGATGGTCTGGCTAAATGAGGTGAAGCATACTATTTGAATTGTACCGCAATATAAATTTAACTTAAAAGTAATCTTAAAACATTGTTGTATCCACATCAACAAAAACCTTATTTAAAACAAACTAAATTCAAAAGTTATAGACCAAAAAAAACCAACAACCATCTTGATCACAAGGTTAATATAAAAACTCGACTTACAATAACCAAATCCGGTTGAAATATATCAACCGTAGCCTTTTTCATTTCATCAATCAATTTTCTTGCTACTGATTCAAAATCTCGATCTCCATCACCATCAGAAAAGTCACAACTTGGCTAAATCCAGAATACACTAATAAAAGCTGAACCTACCTTAATATAGCTCGTTGAGTCCAAATGGGTAACATTAGCGTTTAGCAAATTATATGCATCAGAATACGGAGGATTTACTGGATAATATGTGTAAATTTCTGTTGTAATATTCTCCCAGGTATTTGAGTTATAAGAGAAAATGAAAGAGGTATCTGTTATTTTAGGCTCCGGAACGTTCTTGAGATGAAAAATCGTTCCAACTGGCACTTCTTCGGCTCTGGTTTGCCCGTTTTCTAACTTTGCTACCTAGAAAAGATTCATACAAATATTTTAAACCATAAAACGACAAATAAGACAAAGTATTAATTAAGTTGTGATCTAAAACATCCACCTACATCTTGTCCATTAAATCCATGACGAATTTCAATCTCTCCTTCTTTTAAATTCGTATTGCCACAAATTATCAACGACCTTCTTCCAAATATGTCTCTCCCAAACACCAATTCACCATCCTAAACTATAAAACAATAAAAAAAGAAACAACTTACCTTATGAAAAACGAAAGCAAAGTCAGATTGACAATTTAAGAAAAAATCCTTGACTTCAGAAGCTGTTAGAGCTTGTGTAGCTTCATTCTGAAGTATTTTTGGTGTCCAAAACTGATATTGAGCTAGGTATAAGGACATTGCTTGTTTATTTTATTATTTTACAAAATATTTTATTTTTTATACGAAGTGTCACAGATTGATCGGATTTTCAAACGGAATGCCACAAGGTTAATGAATGTTGACACAAGTTAGCATGACCTTTAAACTTGGTAAAGATAACATCATCTTGATAAAAAAACTAAACTGATAATAAATTATTAAAAAAAGTTTTAATCTTCCATTGTTGAAAACAAATATTATTCTAGACGTTCCGATGAGTTTTATATCCGATTAGTGTTATCATTGTTATTTTGAACGGCTTTACCAGAAAAGATAATTTTCTTTCGCCTATTTAAAAGTAGATGCTACAGTAAGATAGTAGAAGGTACAAAACATTTTGTTTTGATTGATGACCTTTTTATTTTTGAGCTTGGTAGGGTTGGGAAAAGTAGATTAGGGTAGGGTAAGGCCGAGTATTGGTAGGGCCTAAAGCACCGTAGTGACTATGATGTGTAAAGCCTAAAGTACCGTAAGGGTTAAGATATGGTAAGGCCCAAGGTATGTCAGAGCCTTGTGAATGATAGGACCTGAGTACGGTAAGGCCTATGATACGGTAGGGCGTAGGGTAATAATATCCAGTAGGTTTGGCATTGCTGACCTTCAAATCCAAATATCATGTCATATAATAATAAAAAACTTCTGATTTATTATGACAACTTTGCAAATGCGATTATTCAAACAATGGTTGACCTCAATGATCAACACATTTTACTTTTTTTTCGATTTAAACACTTTGAAATGATTCAACTGTGATCTGGCTTTAGTTAACTTTTAATTCTTATTGTTTCAAGTACCCTTCACAACTTAAGTTTGAAATTTTTATACAAGAAATTGTAAAAACTTTCTTTACAGAACAAAAAATGGCAAAAACTTTCTTTACAAAGCAGAAAAAAGGCAAGAACTTTATTTGCAAAACTTTGAATGCCAATCCACTTTAAAAATTGCAAAAATCAAAGTTCAAGGCTGCTAAATTGAACAATTTCTAAAAACTTAATCCAATTTCCGCTGTACTCTGATGTTCCACGCTATTGAACCGAAAATACTGTAACAGTCCCAAATTCTGACCAAAGACGTGCAAAAACCGCCTAATCGAGAAAAATCTTTAATTGCAGATCTTTGGGTACAAATTTAAATTACCGTGAGTAATCGAAATTTACCCGTTCATTTTAAACTTTGGTTAATTTTAAAATTAGTGTTAATTTGCAAAGTTCAATTAAAATTGGTGTCATTTGCAAAAGGCCTTAATTGCCCTTGTTCTAGCCCAGCCCAGAGCCCTAGCCCGGAGCCCTAGCTCAGAGCTTTAGTCCAGAGCCGCAGCCCAGAACCTTAGTCCAGAGCCCTAGCCCAGAGCCCTAGCCCAGAGCCCTAGTCCCGAGCCGCAGCCCAGAACCTTAGTCCAGAGCCCTAGCCCAGAGCCCTAGCCCAGAGCCCTAGTCCCGAGCCCTGGCCCAGAGCCCTAGCACAGAGCCCTAGCCCAGAACCTTAGTCCAGAGCCCTAGCCCAGAGCCCTAGTCCAGAGCCCTAGCCCGGAGCCCTAGCCCAGAGCCCTAGCCCAGAGCCCTAGCCCAGAGCCCTAGCCCAGAGCCCTAGCCCAGAGCCCTAGCCCAGAGCCCTAGCCCAGAGCCGTAGCCCAGAGCCCTAGCCCAGAGCCCTAGCCCCGAGCCCTGGCCCAGAGCCCTAGCACAGAGCCCTAGCCCAGAACCTTAGTCCTGAGCCCTAGCCCAGAGCCCTAGTCCAGAGCCCTAGCCCGGAGCCCTAGCCCAGAGCCCTAGCCCAGAGCCCTAGCCCAGAGCCCTAGTCCCGAGCCCTGGCCCAGAGCCCTAGCCCAGAGCCCTAGCGATAATATATCGCCTTTCCCGGCTGTCAAAGGAACATCCTGTCCCACTTTTTTAGAAAGGTCCGACCCCTTGCCTTCTGCAAAAATATTATAATCTAATCCAAACCTAGTGTTTCAATTCATACTGTAACTTTGCAAGCCTTAAAAAATGCCATTTCAAACTTCAACTCTTCCATTTCCAAGCTTCAAACTACGACTTCAAAAAAACGGTTTCAAATGTTTTTTCAAATCAAAAAAAGTCGATTTAAAAGTGGCGTAGTGGCTGTTTTGTATTTTTCGCTCATCGGCTGACTTTTATCAGCCGGCTGACAAAAGCGAAGTGAAAAAATCGTTTCAGAAAATAAAAAAAACGTAAATTCTTGGGGGTTTCTGTTTTTGTTTATAGTAAGTGTTTATAGTTGTGTTGCGTTATGATAACTTGTGTTAACGGACATCAGATGAACTTTGTTATCATTTGCAAAAGTGATTTTTTGTTTTGAAATTGATCTTTGTTATCTTATAAAAGCATAATTTTGGGTATAAATGGGGAAATAATTGTTTTTTTTACAAAAATGATGTTATTTTTAATACATTTTAGGTTTGATTTTGTTGTTTTACCCTGATTATTGCATTTAAAAACCGCTTTTTTGAATTTTTAAAGCTTTTTTACTAGGATGATTAGTTCTAGCTGCTTTAATTAGCACTTGTTTGATCAGAAATACGTTTCTTGCTCTTAATTTTAACATTGTTTTAACAATATCACATGCTTATCTATGTTACTTTAATCATGACAAAAAGGGTGGGGGTTTCATAAAAAAAAGATGGATACAGTAGTAGTTAAAAGGAATACCACACTCTACCCCACTTTACGTTGCTTTATATTTCCTTTCCTTACCCAATTTTACTGTGCGTAGTCTGAGCCTACCCTAACTAGTTAACGCATATGCAAGGCAACCCTAGCCCTATTTTGCTCAAGCTTTCCAAAAGCCCTAACCTAACTTTATATAATCTATAATACTTTTTGGCTGCCACAGCTTATCTTAACCAATTCAACTTATCTTAACCATTACCTAAGAAAGCAGCTGGCTTTTTCCTATCCATACCGTCCTATAAATTTGCCCTACGCTAACCTTACCCAAACTAAAACCAATCATGTTCAGGTCTTAACCTTACCCTAACAATAGCCTACTCCTGCCCTACCTTGCTTTTGCCAATTTTTTCAAAACGTTTACTTCACCTACATCAATGTCAATTTTGGTATTTTTTCGTACACAAAATACGATTAGTTTTTTAAATTACCCTTTTCGATTTATGTTATCACCGGAAAAACTAAAACATAATCCGACCACCAATGCCGTAAGCTGTTTTTTTTATATAACTTATCGTCTGCGTTTTACAGTGTTATCATCTTCATTTTAAAAACCATCTGTCATTCGCTTTTAAATTCGTTATCAACAAGACTTGATTTGTTATTGACAAGTGCACTTTTAATCTTACTCTGTACTCGTATTTCTATTCTTACCTTAAAGGCCCCTCTGCGTTGTCTTGCGGTGTCTTGTCTTGTCTTGCCCTTCACCCTACTCTACTCTACCCTACACTGTCCTCCTCTACCTTAAATTTCCCTATTTTACCCCTAATACAATAAATACAGGTTGTTACGCCGCCTTTTAGTTTTTTCCTTCTACAGTAATATGACACTTATTTTATACTTTTTCTAGTTATTGTAAACAGTAAATGACATGTCACATCAATTATAATTTTATTTTTGTTAGATGAGTGTTCATATTACAGTCATTTACACTGTCTGCGCTTTTAAATCAGACAACAATCTGAAGCAGCGTTTGTTTTTCGATTATTATCCTTGTCGGCAACGTGTTTGGTCAGTTTTTAAAAGTTTTTGGCCAATGCAATGCCAAGGCAGATTATGTTAAAGTAGAGCGAGCGTGTGTCAAAGGTAAAATAGAGCAGGGGTAAGTAAAGATAGGAGTAGGGTTAACGGTAGGGCTAAAGCCAAGGATAAAAGTAGTGATAGAGATAGGGTTTTTCAACCCTATAATAAGCATTCTATGCGCATCTCGTTCACGTGCCTTTCAACATTATCAATTTGAAAACGTTCCTTGAAGGAAAACAAAAAAAAACGTTCGCTAAAAAAACTCTTTTTAAGCTATAATATGTAGTGAAAGAGAAGTATAATATAAAACGTCTAACTCTACCTACCGTGATTTTTTCAAACTAAAATTAAAAAGTTATCTTTTTCATGTTATTCTACAGATGAACTACATTTATCTAACATACTAGACACTTTTAAAACTACAATTACATTCGAAAGATAGTCTAGATCGTTATATTGATGTAATGCTTCTCACTTTTTTGTCCGGTGTAAAAAGGAAGTAAAAAACCATACTTTGAATTGGGAGGTCTTAAACGTTTTTTTTTGATAAAACTGATTGTTACATTTTTGATTGTCTGTATTTTCCTTTTTTATTTGCACTTTTAGACATCAAACCTTGATAAACTTTAATATTTAAGCTCGTTGAACTTCATTCTTGCATTTTGACAATCACTTTTATAATAGTACGTTGTCATTTATCTTAATCTAAATACTTGATCGTATTGTCTTGTCTTGATGTGCCTTGCCTTGCCCTGCCTTACTTTATCGTGTAGTGCCTTACTTTGCCGCACCTTGTCTTGCCCCAACCTACCATACCCTACCTTGCCTTGCTTTGCCTAGTCTAACCTTTATTTGTCTTGCCCTGCCTTATCCCACCCTATATTATTCTACCCTACTATGCCTTTCCTTTTCTTGCTTTGCCTTGCTCTTCTCTGTCTTACCTTATCCTAAATTTACCAACCTAGAAAATGCCCTTACCTAACATAGAAATGCACCTTAACGCACCAAACTTTTCATTCGTGGACTATAATTTGTTAGATGTACTAAATATAATATAAGCCCTTTAAACCTAAAAACATTTTTAGCCATGTCATTCGGGTACGTAGAGCTTTTGAATGGCATAGCCATGGAGATGTTCAGCTCAGCCCGCTACCTAATCTACAACCTCCGCTCCAATATCGAAGCTTTACATTTTGGCAAAGGCTCGTTATTAATCGATATGGACATTTCGTTACTAATGGAAATCAAAAAATTTAACGAAACTCGCGATTTCCTGCCATTTCATGATGTAGTTAAGAGTGCTACGGCCATCACCGCCACTCAGGTCATGTTTTATGGTAACAAAAAGCAGGTTTATATGTTGGAAAGGTTCTTGGATTTGATTATACCATGCTACACTGAGTTTCCATGGAATCAAGTGTTTCGAATGGGCAAAATTAACTTGACTTTAATGGCAGCGGTCGCTAAACAAGTTGTCGATCATCTTAGCTATGGCGAACATAAGCAGTAAGTTTATTCAACGCTACGCTTTGCTACTCTACCCCACCGTACCCTACCCTACAATATCGTACTGTAGCGTACCCTACCCCACCGTACCCTACCATACCCACACCGCTCTGCCTTGCGCTGCTCTACCATAGTTTTTAATAATCTGTAGCTACTTTTACGCTATAATAGCTTTACAGGACATTACCGTATCCTAGCGTAATCTCGCGTTAGCAAAAACCATAATAGCGCTCTGTAAAAAACCTTACCGTACCTTATACTAGCCCAGCTTACCGTATTGAAGTACCACCGTACCCTACACTGAATATTTCATTCTAACTTTACCTTACCCTCATCTTACCTTACTCTATTATAGTTTTACCTTATCCCGCCCTATATCTACCAAAACCCACCCTTATATCAAAGATTACTGTATTTTTTTCAGCTTCCCTTCTAATTACGTATTGCAACAAAAAGAGAGGATACTGAGCGAGTATCATGCTTGGATACAACTTGTCGACCCAGATGGATTGGGACAGCCCGCTTTCGAAGCTTTTAACGATCTTTTTTCGAATATTGAGTTTCATGAAAAAAGAATTGGCACTTTCACCCAGTTTTACATGCTACCTAATGAGCTCAAGTATATTATCATGTAAGTTTGTGTGGTTCTAACCAAAAATGGCATAATAGCAAAAACTTTGTTTACAGAACAAAAAATGGCAAGAACTTTCTTTACGAAACAAAAAATAGCAGGAACTTTCTTTACAAAACAAAAAATAGCAAGAACTTTCTTTACAAAACGAAAAATAGCAAGAACTTTCTTTATAAGCAAAAATGGCAAGAACTTTCTTTCCACCTCAAGTAAATACCAAAATTTTCAGTAAAAAAGCGGCCGAAACCTCGCCAACCGCGGTCGATTCGACCGGTCGCACTTTCAACGTAATGTATGGAAATGTCATCGAAGATGACGTGGATTACAACTACAACCTACTGCTAACGAGGGCACCTTGCAAAAAGAGCAAAATCGACAGGTTGGAGGATAATCGACCACGGGTCGAATTGGACAATGCGTTGGACTATTATTAGGTCTAGTCTGTTGGTTTTGAAATTCTTTTAATTTTTTAAAATATTTTTTTATTTTTTCACTTTTTCAAATTGAAAATGACATTTTTAACCCCATATTTTTAGTTTTAAAACAATTTTTTTAAAATTTTTGTCAACTTCAAGAAGAATACTTTAGTTGATATTATTGTACTTGATCTCAACTTTCTTTTTCAATACGTTGTATTTTTTCAAAAATAAAATTTTAAACTTTTGGAACTTGATTTTCTTACAAGAAACAAATTTTCTCATACCTAAAACAGTCAGAAACTAGCAATTTTATTATAAACTAAAAATCATTAAACTCCGCTACTTTTTGGCCCAAAAACCTTAAAACTACCCCCTACAAAATAAAAAAATTGTGAAAAAATGCCCAAAATCAATAGATACTTCCTTTCAAATTCTAAAATCCAATAAAAGCTTTAAAAAACCAAGAATATTTAATCAGTACAAGAATATTACTAATAAGTATTTTTGAAACAAAATCAGTATTACCAAGCAACGAGAGTCCTAGATCAGTACTATTTAATAAGTGGCAACTCACAAAAAGATAAAGGAATATACAGGTAAGTACAAAATAGATGAGTTAGAAGATGTCGGTAGTGTTTTGGACCGTTTCACAGTAAGTGGCAGTCTCTTGGAACATCGTGGTTGTTGAGTCCGGCCTCTCGAAACTGTAGCACAACGCTTTGGCAAACATATACGGGACTGAGGTGCGGGCAAACTGTTCGGCAAATGTGGCGTATTTTTGAATTCCTCGCGAGTTCAGAAGTTGAATCGTGTCGCCGTCAATCTGAAAAACTACGCCTGACCACTTTTAAGCAAAAAAATCTTCCCCTCAAATAATTAGAAAAAAATTGACCACCCCTCCCACGAAAAATTGCAAAAAATCTACCCCTTCGCCAAAAGAAATAATCTGAAAATGTACTACCCCCTAAAAATCGGTAAAAACCAAAAAACAAAAACCGTAACCCACCTCCAGTTTAAAATCGTTTTTATCGTCGCAGATCATGGTGACTTTCACGATTTGATCTTCCATAAATCGAATTTTAAATCCAGTGACCCGCTCCACAATTGACATGTAATGTCTGTTAGTTTGCTTCCTTTCGGCCAACTCTTTTTTGCCCGCCATTAATAGGTTTCGAAGCTTGTGGCATTCGAGACAGTCGGTTTGTTCGAAACTAGAGCCGGATGAGGATGCTGATGAACCCTAAAACTTATTTTATAATAACATTAAAAGCAACAACTTTGTCTGAAGAATATAATATAGCAAGAACTTTCTTTACAGAACAAAAAACGGCAAGAAATTTCTTTACAAAACAAAAAATAACAAGAACTTCCTTTACAGAACAAAAAAAGGGACTAGAATTTAATTTATAATACCTACCATGCTATTCTGAAGCCCATTCGACCGCTTATGAGCATTATCCAAGGGATTGTGAGCCAAAAATCTAACACATCTTGTGGCATCCGGATCATTTGCTTTGTTTTCCTTCTAAAAACAACAAAAGAATATTAAGACAACGCAAAATAATATCCTTATATTACATCTGCCCAAAAATTCAAGTTTTATTAGCTAAAAGCATCAAGAGACCTTATTTGTAGCTTTAAAAACTTTAAAACTACTGCTTATGCGTCAAAAATGCTTATGACAACATGCGTTTTAACACTGTAAGACAATAACAACATATGTTTCAATGTGCTGATGTCCAAAAAAAATTCCTAAGCCAAAAACAACTAATAAATAAACTCTACCTCCTCCAAAGCCTCGATCTGCTTCAATAACACTTTGTTTTCTTCCATTTGATCTCCCAACTCTTTCTTCACCTGACTCAGCTGGCTTTCCTGCTGTTGAACAAGTTTTTTGAACTTCTGAAGCTGATCCTCCAAAACTTCGATCTGTTCGCTCTGATCCTCCTCCACCAATGTCCCCATTTGAGCTACAGGCTTTCGCGGAGTAATATCTTTACATTTTACATCTTTTCGTTGCTCTAATTGTTTGATTTTGGCGTCTTTGAACTCCAACTGAACTTCAAGTTGTTCTACACGCTTCTTTAGCTCAATCAATTGCTCATCCAACGGTTTTTTCTTATCTTCTGGCTCTTCAGGTAATCCAAAGTATTCTGGAAACTTTCTTCGAACCTCGCGATCTAACTCAATATCGTCCAACAGTTCTTGGTCGGTTTTTTCTCCTATAATCAATTTTTTGGTTAAAACAATGTCTTTAATAAAGGCTTTGCCCCGACTATCCCTTAAAGTAGTTCCCAGCTAAAATAACAACTGGAAGTCAAAATTTAACCATAACCATCTTTTAAAAACAAGCTTTTCGCTGAATACCCTCCAAAATCCATTGTCTTCTACCGAAAATCCAAAAAAAAACATTAAAAAACTCACGTTTCTCAAATAAACCACTACCTCCCGGGATAATAGTCTCGTTCAAAGCGGTCGGAGCATAGTTCAGAGGCTCTTCCAAGCCGTATTCTTCCATAAAAGTGGCATTCATGGTTGGAAGTGCCTGAAAAAACAAAATAACTGACTTTATTACCTAAACTAAACCATGTTTTGTTTACTAATGAATAAACTTGCTAAATAACTTGCCTGGAAACCGATATTGACGCGACAATCTTGAGCTTTCGCCGAAAGTCGTCCACGAATGAATTTGAAAGGCTTTTTCGTGTTGTCCGTCTGCGCCCAGATAAGTGAAAACGGCAATGCAGGCTGCTAAATGTTTTTTATACGCCTGTTTTTTTGCTTATGAACATTTTATTGAAATGATGTTTATGGCTTATTATACCTTACTTCTTGCCTTTTTAAATAAGATTTTTTTTATTTTAAAAATTTATATTTAAAAAATCAACAAATTTTGAGTTTAATAAGTTCATTGTCTGTTTGTATACAATAATAAGATGAAATAAATTAAATGTCCATTCGTCGGCCCTCGATCGACACGCCCACGGCACGTTTAGCTTTAGCCGTCTTGGTACGTTCCTTGAATTCACGTTGAGCCATGTCGAATCGTGTAGCTTGACGTGACTTGGTTGCGCCGTGGAATTGGCCTTCAACGTTCGACTTTGGCCTATTCACATAGGCTTTCATCGATGGTTTTGGGACTCGGGCTCTTGATACGAAGCCTTCTTGGCCGGGATTTACGGTTTCGTCGTCGATATCGTCCAGATCCATTTGGTTTCGGCTTCGTTTAGAGGGTCCTGGCGCTGAATCGTCGTCTTCTTTGCTAAAATTTCAAGATTAAGTTTAAATTTGAAAAACCTTTAAGGTATTTATAATAACCAAGCCTAATTTCCTTTAAAAAATGACAAAACCAAGAAGTTTTCGTTAAAAATAGCATAATAATTACCGTTTCTTGACCGCCTTCGCTTGTACATAATCCAATTCATATCGTTCTTCTCTTGTCATAGATGTGTAATTTGTATCCAGCTGAAAATAAAATATATAAAGCTTTTGATTTTCTAGTTCGTAAAGAGAGTTCTTACCATTTTATGGTTTGTAAAGAAAGTTTTTGCTATTTTTTTGTTTTGTAAAGAAATTGTTTGCTATTTCTTAATTTGGAAAGAAAGTTCTTGCCATTTTACCTATCACGAGTTTATTTTTATCTCAAAATTTAACTCACCTGGAATATAGGTCTGGACCAATCTCGGATCAACTTAGCCGCTCTGACCTTGTTCTCCTTAATTTCCTTCGGATGTTTAAACAACAACATGACCGCCTTTCCCAGTCCACTCTGCCTCAGAATGCCTTGTTCTAACCTCGGATAACTCTCGAGAATCTTTAGGAAACTGGTTCGAATCTCGAGACTGGGCAAACTTTTATCTGGCAGAGGGGCTAACCAATCCGAGAGGGCTGACATCATTCCATTGTCCAACAACGCTTCGAAGAGGTCCGTCTTCATGAGAGTCTTCCTCACGATCGGCAACAATTTCTGTTTTTGGAACGCTGGCTGACGAACCTCGTTCGAGGCACGGTCGGCGTTCGCGGCTCGTGCCATCTCATCGACCAGGTTCTTGATCTGTTCATCGTTATCAGAGATGAGGTCAATACCACCATCGCGACGCTTTCTTTTGTTGGACTTGCGACGTTCCGCCTTCTTTCGGGCCATCATTTCGTCAAAGTCCCACTTGTAGCTTGGCCGCTCGTCGTCCTCATCGCCCGACTGGTCTCGTTCACGACGCACAGCACGGTTATCCTCGTCGTCACTGTCGGACGCTCGCGCACGGTGTTCTTCGTGTTGAGGAGCCTAAAAAGGTAGATTAAAGATTAAAATAATATTGTTCTGGAAAGAAAGTTGTTGCTTTTTCTGCTTTGTAAAAAAAGTTCTTGCAGTCTTTTGATTTTGTAAAGAAAGTTCTAGTAATCTTTAATTTTGTAAAGAAAGTTTTTGCCATTTCAATCATAATAAAGATAGTTCCTGCCAAAAAATCCTCAAACTCCTTATTTTCATACCTAAAAGCAGAATGAACATAATAAAATGTTACCTTAGCTTCACCACCTTCTTCTTCATCACCTTCTTCACCAAAGATATCATCCATGAGTTTTTTGGTGTTCTCATCATCTTCATCTTCACTTTCTGATGAACTTGACGACCCAAACAGCTCTTCATTCTTCTTTTTCCTAAAACGAACACTTATTTATTACAATAATATAATAAAATAACAAAAGGTACTAACAAAACTATAAAAATTATGTTGTTATAGATATTTCTTGTCCATCTAAACCTATAAAACACTATTTTATAGCTAAAACAAGATGAATTTTAGCTAAAAACCTAGTTTACACCTATATCAAGGTAAACTTAATCATAACAACCGTTGTTCCACGCTAACTTCTAAATATTGAACAACAACATCAAAAACTTACTCTTTATTCTTTTTAATAGTCAGATCATCTTCCTCATCATCGCTTTCCACCACCACCTTCTGTTTAATAGTTAGATCTTCATCATCGCTGTTAATGACCGCCTTCTTCTCATCATTATCTTCGTCTTCACTGTCGCTGTGGATAACCGCTTTTTGTTCATTCTCACCAACTTCATCTTCTTCTCCATCATCAGCCTGAGCTACGGCTTCTTGTTCTTTCTCGGAAGCTTGATCTTCTTCTTCATCATCGGCCTGAGCTACGGCTTCTTGCTCCTTCTCAGAAGCTTGAGTTTCCTCTTCTTCATTACTGGCCACTGCTTCTGGTTCCCTTTCGTCGATGTCACTCATTCTGATAAACTACAACATAAAATCAATAATTCAAAGCTATATAAATGTAAATTAATACTCTTCAAATTAAAAAAACCTCTTAGCTTTGCAAAAACATCTTTTTATCAATAAAACACATTCATTAACTCGAAAAACCTGCAATTTTCACGTACTACAACATACATAAACATAAAAATTACTGTTTCATAAAGTAAACAAAAATAAGTAACATTAAAAACGTCTAAATATAAGAAATCTATAAGGAAAACATACCTTTACGTGCAAAAACAGTTAGAGAAGTCAAATAACAAAAAAAAAGCTTGAAAAAAAAATATTTGTGGCGCTTCGTCTGCGCATTATCGGATTTTCAAACGAAGTGTCCACTATTGATCGGCAGGGGTGAAAAAACACTTTTTTGTCGGCTGGTGGCAGGTTTTTGAATAAGGATAAAATAAAGTTTGGTTTAGAGTTTATAAATTTAGATTATTGTTAATTTTTAATTTAAAAGCTCAACTGAAACTGAAGAAAGTTTCTTTTTCGATTTTTTCCCCATTTTTTTTTCATTTCATTGAAATGAGGAATAAATGAAATGAAATGAAAATGTTATTCTAGGCCAAGAACAAGTCAAAACATCTCTAATACCACAGTAAATCCCCTTTCATGCTACTGCAATCATTTTTAAATTAAAGTTTATTAAAGTACTTATCATTATCTAAAATTATATGGCATTTACATTAACAAAAACATAACTTTAATTTCTCTTCTTTCTAGGACGAGGATCACGGCGGTTCAATAACAACAACAATGATGGGAATCCGACGATTGTTGTTTGTGCGAACCATTTGAAGGCACATCCAAACCCGTACTTTCGTTTATCAGCCGTATATAAAGCGAATAAGCCTTCGGCCACGTGAGCGATCCATGCCAAGATGTTGATCAAGCCAGTTATCGAGCGGTTTTCTTTGCCCATGCTACTGATGAATGTGCCGACTGGACCAAGATACGTGTGCGGGATGAGATCAACGTCATAGTATACCAGCTGAAACGGTAATTTTTATTTTTTAAGGATTTTGTAAAGGATTTTGAAGAAAAGATGTTGACAGTCTTTTGCTGTTGTATGTCATAAATCGATTTTTTTCTAAAATCGAAAACATACATATTGTAAAGGATATTTTGGTACATCTTTCTACCAGTTTCATATAAATATCTTGATTTATAACAAAGTTATGATCAATCCAAAATGTCAAAAATCAAAAAAGTTCGAATCCGTTTGGAAGACGAGGGTGCTCTTGACACTTTTAATGAGCTGTAACTTGGTTGGTTAATGAGATTTTTTAGTGAAACTTTTTAAAGAGTTAGAAAATGCAATCTTCTACAAACCAAAATTTTAAAATTTCCAAAAAGTCATTTATAAAATGACATATAACGTTCCAAAACGCCCGTTACCTTTATCAATTGTTTTGGACAAATTTTTGATAAATTTTGATAATCATGTAATTTTGACTGTTTTTAATATTCTGTTTAATAATATCATGTTATTGTTGATAAGAAGAAAGCATGAGATAAAACAGAAAATGTAAAAAAGACATTAAAAACAACTTTTGTTGGAGTTATTAGGTAAGTAAATCCACTTTTTTTCATGAAAGAGAATGGGATTTTGTTGGTTTTTGCTATTTTTACTTAACTTGGGCTTAAAATTTATTTTTTTAAAAGTTTTTCACATAATTTTAAGATTTTTTTCTATCAAAATAAGGGGCTTTTTACCTTATTTTCACTAAAAAATCTATAAAAATAGATGTTTTAGAGGTATGAACTCAAGTTTTTGCAAAAAATTTGCTTTTTTCGCGCAGTTTTTGCAATTTTTTATTAACAGCAAGTTGATAATATGGGTTGTCGCACAATTTTATATAAAACTAACACTACTGTTAAAAAATATACACAATAAAAACTTACAAAAGTAAAGGCCAAAGCGCCAGGTATCAAAAAGAACCAGAAGAGATCGGGCGAGCGGAAAAAGGCTGCCATTTTGTGTGGTGACCACGCTTCGAATGAATATTTGTCGCTTTTTTCTTGTCGCTCGTCTTGATTATTATTTGTTCGGGTCGGTGAGAGTTGGAAGCCGACCAGCCGACGACCCGATTTCTGGCAGTAATACGCCGCCATACTGAAAAAGATTAGGGGGTGGCTTTTAAATTTTAAATAGGGAAAGTTAGGGAGTGGTTGTTACATTGAGTAGGGTAGGGTAGAGTAGGTGTACGGCAGGTAAGGTAGAGTAGGTTAGAGTACGGTAAGGTAAGGTATCTTAAGGAGGTATGGTAAGGTTGCCCTATTTAACCATACTGGGTTACGATAGGGTAAGTTAAGGTGGGCAGGGCAAACTCACCCCTTAAAGAAGCCAAGTATGCAAAGATGGCGTGGAATGTAGCTAATGACACGCTCTTTTAGTATAGAGTCTACTGTAACTTGAGCACAGCGATCTACTGACATACAAGAGTAGAATCTGAAAATTTTAGTCTTGATGCAAAAGTGATGGCATTACAAAGTCTTTGTTGCAAAAATAATGGCATTTTAAAGCCTTGATGCAAAAAGAATGGCATTTTAAAGCTTTGATGTAAAGAGAATGGCATTTCAGAGCCTTGGTGCAAAAAGAATGGCATTTTAAAACATTGACCTTACTCTGATGTAGGGGCGAAAGCCAAGCTCTGTACCATAGGCGTATTGGTAAAGTAGGGGAATAGCGTAGTAGTCCGAATACCATTAAGACCACGATCACGGTATTCCATCTGTAGCGACTCCATCAGACCTCTGGTGGCGAATTTAGTAGGGCAATAGGCTGAGCCAAAGGTTTCTCCGAAATGACCAGCAATCGATGACATTGCCACTATATGGCCACTGTTTCGTTTTTCGAATTCTGGGAGAAATGCCCGGAGGACCTGGAAAAGGCTTTGGGTAGGATAAGATTTTAAAAGCGTGATATGGAAGAGTACGGTGACATAGACTATGGTTTGGCCCCAGGGTACGGCTGGGCCTAGGGTACGGCGGGGCCTAGGGTACGGCAGGACCTAGGGTATGGCACGGCCTAGGGTACGGTGGGGCCTAGGGTACGGTAAGGCTTAGCGTACGGTAAAGCCTAGGGTACGGGGGGGGGCTTAGGGAACGGTAGGGCCTAGGGTAGGGTAACTTAAGCTAGTGAATGGTAGCGAAGGTAAATTAGTGCACGGCAAGGTAGTACAATAAGTAAGGTAAAGTAAGTAACCCACATTCATCGTTCCAAACACATTGACATCATAAACCTGATGCATGTCATCATCAGTAATGTTCAAAAAATGACCAAATCTTGCGATTGCCGCGTTACATACTACAATATCTACCTTTTCTGAAAATAGAGCATTTGTGGAGTAAAATACGAGCATGGACATAAACAAGTATAAGATTATACTTAAAAGTTGAAAAAACAATATTTAAAAGCGCTGACCGTGCTTGTGAAGAATTTGTTGAGCAATTTCTTCTACATTTTTGGCATCAGCAACATTACATTTATAATATTCACATCTGCCTCCTTTGCTGCTTATGTTAATGGTTGTAGAGGTTCCGGATTCCTAAATCTTAAAAATAGCAAGAACTTTCTTTACAAAACACAAAATGGCAAGGACTTTTTTTACAAACCCTAAAATGGCAAGAACTTTCTTTACAAGACAAAAAATGGCAAGAACATTATTTACAAAACAAAAAATGGCAAGAACTTTCTTTGAAAGTCCAATGTAGCTAAGAAATCAAAAATCAATAAAAAAATTACTCAAACTTTTCATACCTCATTGAGATCAAGAATAACAACCACAGCACCATGCTCTAGTGCCAATATTTCCGCGACTCTTTGGCCAATTCCAGAGCCACCGCCAGTAATTACGATTACTTGGTCTTTTACTGACTTTCGCTTCATTCGAAACCATCGTATGATATCTTTAGGTATGGTAATGAGGAATAGTGTTAGGATAAAGCCGAGGAATAGTATTATTCGATTTTCTTTTTGTTCTGACATTGATATAATAGGTCAATACTAAGGCGAATAGATAGATTTTAGCTTTAAGAGCTTCAAATATGGTACTGTATAGTACTACTATGTTGCTCGAAAAAACCTTGAAGGTATAGGTAAAATACGGGCCAGTTTTTGATCCGAACGAATGTTTTGAAGTACTAAAAAGCACTGTAAAAGTTGTTGTAGTACTAAAAATATCGGTACTGTAGTCGTGCAACTTCGCTACTGTATAGCACTTATGTAGAGCTTAAAAAAGCTTGAAAGCGAAAGTAAAATACTGTCTTTTGTTGCGGAGGAACTTCTTACAGTAAAAGAATGGCTAAATATATTGTTTTAGTACTCAAAATACGTCAGGCAAGTAGTGAAAATTTTACTGTATTTTCGAATCTACAGTACCCTAACCCAATAAAAATCTAAAAGTATGTGACAAAATGTCATCGGAATCCGTAGAGACGATAAAATAATATTAAATTCGCATTAACTCTTCAATCGCTATCAAAAAAGTTCAATTGCTTTAAAGCAAGCCGGTTTCTTCGGTTCACCTTATACCCTTTCTTTTCGTATGTTGTTTTTTGTGTGTGTGACACGTGCATTTTACGCCAAAAGTTTAGTTGTAGTGATTGAGTTTTGCAATGGGAAAATATTTTTTGTTAAGGTTATCTGATCTGTTTTATGTTGTTCTTTCTTCTGCTCGTCAGTTGGGTGTGTAAGGTAGAGAATATGGTAGGATAGGATAGGGTAAGGTAAGGCAAGTCAAGGTAAGGTAAGTTAAGGGGTCGGGTAAGGTAGTATATGAGAGGGAACGGTATGATAGTTTAAAGTTGTGTAGGATAGGATAGGGTATGGTAATATAGGGTAGGGCATTTTCTAACTTAGGATAAGATAAAGCAGATTTTGATAACGTATTTTAGTGTAGGGTCATACAAAGTAATGTGGGGTAAGGTAAGATATTGTAGATTACAGTATTGTATGGTAGGGATGAGTAAGTTAGAACGGGATAATGTAGGCCAAAGCATGGACGACTGAAGAGGGCAGATTAGGATAGTATACATGTAGGATAAGGTATAGCAGGGTAGGGTACAGTACGTCTCGATAGTGCAGGGTATTTAGAGGTAGAGCGGGGTAAAAAATGCTTTGTAAAATACGCATAATAAAGGGCTATGATAATTTATATTATATTTTATAAATTAAAAAGGGTTATATCTTAATAAAATAGTCAATTAACTTAATTTTCTAATAATTTAATACTTTTCTAGATGTTCGTTTTCTAATTGATGAGGCTCTACTTCTATTTTTTGCACTTTGGCCCATGGCTGGACTTCGGCTGAAAAATGACATTAATTTAAAAAATCAAAAAATTAAAATGTTTTCTAATTTTTAAATAGAGTCGAGACTTACCTGACCCAAAGATGACAAACGAACTACCACATATCAGATTTACGGCCGCTGTAAACAAGAATACATTGCGGTATTCTTCTTCTGTGTTCTAAAACTTTGAACTTTTAAAATAATGGGCAAAAACATTCTTTACAAAACAAAAAATGGCAAAATTTTTTTTTACAAAGAGTAAGATGGCAAGAACTTTTTTTTAAAAAACAAGAAATGGTAAGAACTTTGTTTACAGAACCCAAAATGGCAAGAACTTTCTTCACAAAACAAGAAATGGCAAGAACATTCTTTACAAGACCTAAACTATGAAGAGCTTTAAACTTACATTAACATTGAGCCAAGAAAACACACTAGGCGCCATAATAGAGGCTATCATGCCTACAAAAGTGGCTACAGAACTAATAGTCCCTACAAAAGGCGGGGCCACAAATAAAATGGCAGTATAAGCTCCAGCTACTTGACCGGAGAAGAATAGTCCAAATGATATGAATAATACTATGGCTAGTGTTACTCTGGTACAGTCAACAAATAGGGCTAGACATAGGAAGGTGCCTGCTGTACCTATTGCGGCTGAAAATTAAAGTTTTTAATTTATAGGGTAGTAAAGTAAAAATATTACTGTAGGTTATATTTGATGCTATAGAGCACTAATAGAGTACGTAAGGTTAGGATAGGGTAGGGTAAGATAGGGTTGAGCAGGGTAGGGTGGTTTAGGGTAGGATGGGGTAGGGTAGAGTAAGATCGGGTATGGTAGAGTAATGTAGGGTAGAGTAGGTTAGGGTATGGTAGGAGTTGGTATACTATTTTGCTAATGTAAATAACTTTTTAAGAACCTACCGTAAGCTTGCATGATTTTACAACTTTGAGTAACAGTCAAGATACCACGATGCTTCAAATAATCAGCGAAAGAAGCCATTGGTATTTTAACACATACTATTACTATAAATGGTAGAGCTGTTAGTATACCATTCTGAAATTTTTAAAATATTCTAAATTTTCAAAATATTTAAGATTTAAAAAAGTGTAAAATACGAAAAGAATACATATTTATAATATAAAAAGTTATTATATAGTTTAAAAATATATTAAAATATTTTTTTAGTTTCATAATTAAAATTTAAAAGAATGCTTACCTGTGCCAAATTTATGTGTAGAACATCTCGAAGGTATGAAGGTAAAAACTGTGAAAACATAACATATGAAAAGCTGTATGACATGTCATTTAAAGCTATGGCCCAAACTACAGCTGACGTCAGAATTTTGTAATATGGAATTCTGGGCTTCTTTACCTGTAACTCAGAAAAATTGGTAAACAGAAGGAGTTGGATAGATTAGACTACATTATGGTAAGGTAGGTAGGATAGGGTAAATTAGAGCAGGGTAGACTAGGCTGAGTTAGAGCAGGGTAAGTCGCTCTAGTGTAGGTTAGGGTGGAGTAGAATAAGAATTGAACGAAGGACAGAGCCTGGGGAATTTTCCATGTATTTCCCTGTGTCCTGCTAGAGCCTACTCTATACAAGGCATGTGGCGTGACGTTTTTGTGCTTTTTTTACTAAGAACCTTACTCTGCGTCTAAGACAGGGTAGAATACGGTAAGGTAGGGTTTTAAAGCTTCTTAAATTAAAAAAATATATTTTTAGTTTTAAAAATGTTGTTATTTTTTTTATTTAAAAATTACCATTTTGCCAATTGAAGTTTCGACATTCAACTTTTGGTTGAGATACCTTCTTTCTTTCTCTCCAATCCAGGTACATTCACTTGGAGAATTGGCCAAGAAGACAATAATCAAAATTGTCGCTATTATCGAAACCAAACCTTAAAATGCATTTTAATTTTTTAAAATTTCAAAAAAGTTTTAAAAAAGTTTGAAAAATTTGGGTGTAATGATAAATGTAGGGGTATCTGTAGAGTTGGGTGCATAAATTATACCTAAATAACATCCCTTACCTCCTCCATAAAATATCAATGGCCAGCCATTCCACAGGTCAATTAGACATAACTCTGGAGCTACTAAAGAATTTAGTACTACAGCAATTTGAGCTCCTACAGTGTATACAGCAGCTGCTGTGCTTCTTTCTGATGGTGGGAACCATTTGGCGACTATTGATGTTATCGATGGGAATATCATGCCCTGAAAGACGAGATTTTATTTAAAATGGCAATTTTCTGAAAGATGAATATTACGATTTAATTTAATTTATTATATTTGGTTTAATTTTGACGTTTTTCGCTTTAAAACGACTTTTGAAGGCTTTGCAGGCTGCGCGTGACATTTTATACGATGAAAAGTTTCTTAATAGTAAAAAAGAGAAAAGCGGTTTAAAAATCTCAAATAGGGCAACACTTACATCAACAAAGCCCATGCCAAGTCGACCACCCAAAAAGGCGTAGTAATTCAGTCCAGCTAAAGTTGGAGCCGCTATTGTTAAGATAGTGTAGATTATGATTGATCCTACAATAATATATTTAGCGTTGAACTTGTCAGCTAATGTGCCACTGACTGGAATTGTCACTAAAGTCGTGTAGAACAACGCTGATACTAAGAAACTTTGTTCCATTGTTGACCAGGTAAAGGTTCCCTGAAGGTTTTTATTATTAAAATTTAGTTGAAGTGCTTGCTTTACTTCACCTTATTTTCCATGGATTAGCCTGCCTTGCCTTGCCTTGCTTTGACTTGCCCTGCCCTGACTAGCCCGCCTTATCCTGCATTTTCTAAACTACTGTGTCCTGCCGTTGTTTGTCCTACCGTATCTTAGCCTGCGCTACCCCGCCTTATCCTGCAATACTCAAATCAACCTCACCCTGTTCTTTTGTTATCCACTCTGCTCTATGCTTTCTTATATTGCCTTGCCTTTTCTTGATTTGGCTTTGCTTTTCTACTTTTACATAAATCTACGATTTGCTCTAGCCCTAGCCTTTACTTTACAACTAGCTTTCTTTTACTTAGCCGTACTGTATTCATATTACCATTACGGAGCCTTTATTCTACCCTATCTTACCTTATATCTTCTTCATTCTTTCTACTCTGTCTTTCCTGGAGCTTCTGCTAATAAACTTTCTTAATTTTATACCTTACCTTATAACCAAGTTCAGTGTTGTCCTCAAGCATAGCTGGACATTTGTCAGGTTGATTTGTCTGTAACATACTCCTGTGTTCAATCTTATTTTTTTCTTCTATTGCAGTTGTATTAACCATACAAACTAAAGCCATGCCCAAGTTGGTTTCCAAAAAATAATTTACAAAAACACACAGTGCCAATAACATTAACACATATAGTCTCCATGATTTGTAGTGGTATAAAGGCTTGTGTAGCTTTCTTTTCATTGTAAAATACGGTGTTTTGTATTATAATTGACCAATTTTTGTGAAAAAGTCCGGTTTACCAGTGTTAGAAAAAAATGAAAGCTTATGGGTTTAAATGATGTTGTCGTAGTTAAAACGTGTGTAAATGAGGTAGCAGTAGTTATAGTACCAATAAAAGCTTCAAACGCCTAAATATTATATATGAAAAATGGAAAAATTATAAAAATTTCAAAAAGTTTGAAACGATATGAAATTTCAAAGTCATTCAAAATCTTTTTTCAAATTTTAAAAACTCATTTCGAATAAAAATATTTGCTTACAAAACCGAAAAGATAATGATATGTAGATACTGACGCCAGAAAGTATAATGTTCATAATACCCTAGCTGTTATAGCTTCAGGTTTTTGGGGGGGGGGTTTGTTTTTTGCATAAAAATAAAACTTTTGATCTTTTGTTTTTTGTCTTCTTGTTTCTTCACAATTGTCGAAAAGTTGGGCTAGCACTAAGATCAGGGCTATGGCATAAATTAAGGTTAAGACCTACCCTAGGGATAATGATAGAGCTCGCGCTTGGGATTGGGATCGGTTTATGCGTGGACTATGGCTTAGGCTTAAGCTGATTAGGCCAGATTTAAAGCTAGGATTCGGGATAGGGCTTTAGGCTAGGGCGCTCGGTTGTAGCTAGAATTAGGTATATAGCTAGGGGTCTGGGCTAAGGCTTTGGGTTAGGGTTCTAAGCTAAAGCTCAAGGCTAGGGTTCTCGACTAGAGCCTTGGGCTAGGGCTTTGGTCTACGGCTCTTTTTCTTACATTGTTGTTATCCTAAGCTGCTGGCCCTTCACACTGAGCTGTTGCATCGTTCTCTCCGTTTAGAGCTTTGCCTGCCGACGCCTTGGGCAAGAGCTAAAAAAAACCATATTCCACACGGTAAATATAAAATTAAATTTTACAAAAGTCAAAGAAAAATATTTATTAACTGTTTAACAATACTTTTCTTGTAAACAATAACGATAGTTTGTACTAAAAACAAAGTAAATTCCTAAAACTTTGCGACAATAGTGTCATTTTTGTCATTATCCTTCTTGGTCGTTTCATTTTCTTCTGGAATTTTGGCCCACGGCTGGACTTCGGCTGGAAATTTGAAATTTCGATTAAAATTGCAAAATACGGGGAGGCTATTTCACCAGATTAACATCATAATGTATATAAGAAAACCTACCTGAACCAAAGATAACAAACAAAATGCCAGCTACCAGGTTGACGCCAGCTGTAAATAGGAATACGTTTCGGTATTCGGCTTCTGTGTTCTGAAAAATGAACAAAATGTTTAACTAGGCAATAACTTTCTTTACAAAACTCATTTTTTGAAAAACCGCAAGAACTTCCTTTACAAGACCCATTTTGAAAAACCGCAAGAACTTTCTTTACAAACTTCATTTTTTGAAAAACCGCAAGAACTTTCTTTCCAAAACTTACTTTTCAGAAAACCGCAAGAACTTCCATTACAAAACTTATATAATGTCAACTTACATAAACATTAAGCCAAGAAAAGACAGCTGGAGCAGCAATGGCGGCCAGCATACCAACAAATGTTGCGCATGAACTGATAGTGCCAACAAATGGTGGAGCGATGAATAAGATTGCTGTGAATGCACCAGCAATTTCTCCTGAGAACGTCACTCCGAAGAGTACTAATAGTACCATTGCTAATGTTGGAGTGGTACAATCGACCAAAAATGCTATTGCTACGAACATTGAGGCTGTTCCAAGGCAGGCTGAAATTTGTTTTTTTTTAATTTTAAGATTTGAAATCAACCATTGAAAAAAGGGACCTGTTATACGATGAAACATGTCCAGAGTGTTTAGGCATGTTTCATCGTATAAGATGTCTGTCAGTAAAAAAATGATAAATATAATCTTTGTAGCCTGTATAGACATACAGGTTACTTTATAAAGCTTAAATTTAAGCTTTATTATGAGTGACATTCTATACGATGAAACATGCCTAAACACTCTGGACATGTTTCATCGTATAACATGTCTTCAACAATAAATTTTTAAAGAATTGTCTTACCAAAGGTTTGCATGACTTTACATGTAGCCGTAACTGACAAAATTTCTTTGTGTTTTAAGTAATCGGCAAACGAAGCCAATGGTATACGAGCTACAATCATCATTATGAATGGTAGTGCTGTTGATATGCCATTCTGAAAAAAAAAGTTTTATTAAAATTTTTATTTTAATTTTATTAATTTTTCAAAAAAAATTTTTTAAGCTCTACTTCTACCCCGTACCTTATATCTCATACCCCATATTCCATACCCCATATTCCACACCTTATACCTCATGCTCTATACCTCATACCCCATATCCCATACCCCATAACCTTTACCCCATACCTCATACACTATACCCCATACCTCATGCCTCAAATCCCATACTCAATACTCTTAGTCCCTATCCTAGCCTGCGTTCAAGACCAACTTACAGCACTCAAGCTCATTTGCATGACATCACGGAAGAAGAACGGTAGAAACTGTGAGAACATGATGTACGAAAAGTTGTATGAAAAGTCATTGGCAGCTACTGACAACACTACTGGTGATGTTAAAATTTTGAAATATGGAATTTTAGGTGGTTTTGTGTCTTCTAGATTTCTGTGTGAATCCAATTGATTTGACAAGAATTTGGACTCTTTCATCCCTACCCACCTACACTCTCGTGGTGAGTTTGATAAGAATATGTAGGAGATTATCACTATGATTAGGGAGACTAGGCCTGAAATAAAATGTTAGTTATTTCATATACTGTATTATCAAAAACATACTGTACTATTAGGCTGTTCATTGAATTCTGCTCCCCCCTCAAAGCAAGTTTGTGAGGTAAGGGGGCGCAGAATTATGTGAACAACCGAATATCAAAAATGAGTTTTAAAACTTTATATGGAATTCTAACAAAATATGAAAGATATACCTGCCACATAGAAAATAAATGGCCATCCATCCCAAACATCGATGACACACAGTTTCGGAGTCAGTAGAGAATTCACAATAACAGCAAGTTGCGATCCAGATGTATAAACAGCAGCTACAGTGCTACGCTCACTTGGTGGAAACCATCTTGCTAACACTGCTGTTACTGCTGGGAAGATTAGGCCCTAAAATAACAAAAATTATAGCTAAAAATATTTTTTAAAACTTTTTTCTTAAACATAGCCTCTCGTTGTTCATTAGATGTTATAGGGGGCTTACTAGAGCCGACGCCGCCTGTGCTAAGCTAGCCGAAGCAAATTTGACCGGCCCGGCACGTGTGAGCTCAGTCCAAACTAACGGCCAGGAACCCAAGTTGGGTCCCGCAACGAAATATTTGACTTGGTCAATACAAATATTTACATGTATAAAGCGTGGTATAGATAAAACACTTACATCAACAAATCCCATACTGAATCGACCGCCCAAAAATGCATAGTAATGTAACCCCGCCAAAAGCGGTGACAGTACTGTCAAAGCGGCGTATATTATCATAGCTGCCAGTATTATGTACTTGGTATTGAAACGGTCAGCCAACGTGCCACTAACAGTAATTGATAACAATGATGTGTAGAACAAAGCTGATACCAAAAAACTTTGTTGTACTGTTGTCCAGACGAATTTGCCCTAAAGGTTCTTTTATATGTGAGAAATTTTTTTTATTTTATATTTAAAAATTCAAACATTAAAACGAAATTTGGAAAACTACTTTACAACAACATATATTACTCTAAACTACCCAACAACAACATATATTACCCTATATCCCAGTGATTCTTCTTCTTCTTCAATCAATTTTGGACATTTGTCACTATCATGAAGATACATGGACATATTATGACTACGTGAAGACGACATCCTTTCTACTGCAGTTGTATTCACCATGCATACCATTGCCATGCCCAAGTTTGTTTGTAGGTAAAAGTTGACAAACACACATAGTGTTAAGAGGAGTACTGTAATTTGTATTTAAGTATAGATAAACAAACATTCATACCGTATTCTACCCTACCCTGCCCTACCCTACTCTACCCTACCCTACCCTACCCTACCCTACCCTACCCTACCCTACCCTACCCTACCCTACCCTACCCTACCCTACCCTACCCTACCCTACCCTACCCTACCCTACCCTACCCTACCCTACCCTACCCTACCCTACCCTACCCTACCCTACCCTACCCTACCCTACCCTACCCTACCCTACCCTACCCTACCCTTACAAACTTACAAACATACAACCTCCAAGCCTTGTAGTGGTACAGTGGTCGATGTGGTTTAACGTACTCCATGATCTTTCTTACTACTTTTCCTGTCCAAGTAACCTTTTAAACCAAAAAAGTAGATCAAAGCACGTCGCTGTAATTTATGTTTATATTTTTGTTATTATGCAAATTCACGTCTAACCTGAAAGCGTGACAATAGAAGTTTGACCTTCGAAACTCGTACTCTTCCTACGATAACCGGATTTTAATAAATTTTTGACCCGCAAAAACGATGATAATATGCAAATTTTGTAGTTTATCTAGCCGAGCAATAACTTCATTTTTACTATGATGTGAAAAGTTTTTTTAAAAGTTGCTTGTAAACAAATGATATAGCCCTACAAGTATACCATACATGAACAATATTGAAGCTAATACTAAACCCAAAGCGCTAACTTTATTTAAAATTCAACCAGAATGTTTCGACTACAAAAAAACTATTTAAAATGCCGCCGTACCACAATAATTCTATAAACGTTTAATGTTAACAAAGCTTGTCTGATGGTGTAACGCATTATTATGGTAAATAGACAACCTATTACAACACGACCGAATTCATAGAACCGAAGAAGGTAAAAACATAATCAATTAAAAGGTGTTTGTTATTGTCACAATGTAAGATCATTGGCGAACATGAAAAAAAGGTTTATTAATTATGACAGTAGACAAACTTCCTTGATTGATTTATAAAAAGTAGACTTTTAAAAATAATTTATATTACCATGAACTAAATAAAGATTCAAACTAAGGTAGACACGAAGACACCGCTTTTACTTTATCTTGTAATTATGTTTATAAAACAACATTAGGCTTCATATCCGTCTTTAGCTTTTGAAAAATTAATTTGTTACATTATATATTTTCTTATAAAAAAATTGTGATACAGATGAGCAGGACATAAATATGTGATATAGACGAGCAGCACTTAAGAAGGTGATATATTAGGTGAGCAGCTCTTAATAACCGGTGTTTGGTTTTAAGTTGTCCTGCATTATAATAGTTTCCTTCAATTCAATGAAGCTCTGTCAATTCAACGATAAACTATAATATATTTATTGATACAATACTATAGGATATAATAAAATCATAAAGCAACTTACAAAAGCACCAAGACGCGACCGGTCTGTAGGCTGAAGATTGAGATTATTGACAACACTGTTCTCCGTTTTGAGCCATAAAAGTACACGTAATTTGCATAAAACGGCTAATGGTGACTTCGACTTAGCTCAACTTTTCTTCTTGGTTTAATTTGAAATTCCAGGTAGCTTTTTATATTTATAAATCGAATTGTATTTCACGTTGAAATTACTAAAACAAGACAACTTATATACGATCAATCCTTTTGCTTTGGTGCACCATGCTGTGTCCCTGGAAATAAAACTATAAAATACAGTTCAAATTTTGCTTAAAACAAATGTTGCGTCTTTATTGAAAAGTCTTTTCTATGTGATGTTGAAGTTTTCAAAACGTGTTTCAACTGTTCAAATATGCAGCCGTTCGCAACGGACCCAATTCAATAATGCGTGCAAAAAAATCTCAAACATCTTCAAAACGCACTTCAATTGTTTCTTGCTTCTTTGGACTAGGATTCTTTGGGTTTTAAAACAATTGACGGAACACTGAAGGCGCATGAGATGTCAACAGTAAGACTGTTGGTTTAGGAGAGGTGGGCTCTTCTTGGTTACTGTATCATTGTTAGGCGTTGGGTGGATCAAATTGTTTTGCTGTTCTTCTCACTTACACAAACTCAAGCTGCCTCTACGTACTAAGGATATTTTTTAAAACAATTTTGCATGCTACCACCGTATTTTACAACAGCAAATGGTTTTTAAAACTTTTCTTCAATTGTTTCAGTTTAAAATTACTATTGTAACTTATAATTTTGTCTCCTAATATTTTTACTATTTGTCCTCAAAGATACGACCTTTTCATGCAACTCTTTTAACCGCTCACCTATCACATCATAGTTACGTATCCTCTATAAAAGCATGACCATTCCTGTCACATTTTTCTGCAAGTTTCTAACTAAATATATTCTCATATGTATTTTTTATTTTTCGTTTGAACGAAAATTCGGTTTTCGTCCTCAAAACCACATTTCCGGGTCTTTTATAATTTCTTTAGGTTCTCATGTAGATTCACGGCTTTCGGGCCTTCTGAATGTTTCCCATCGTACCGTAGAATATTTCGCAAATTTTGCTTTGTTTTTTGATTATTTTTAGAATTTGGCGGTTTTATCGTATTTTATGAGAATTATTGTGATTTTACCGTGTTTTAGGGGAATTTTTGTCATTTTATCGTATTTTATGGAATTTTTTTGGAATCTGGTAGCAATGTAGGTAACTTTACTTACAAAATAAAAAAAAAACTTTTATTATATTAAAAATCAAGAGCTTTATTTACAAAACGAAAAATGGCAAGAATTTTCTTTACAAAACAAAAAACGGCAAGAACGTTAATTACAAAACATAAAATGGCAAGAACTTCCTTTAAAAAACATAAAATGGCAAGAACTTTTTTTACAAAATAAAAAGTGGTAATCATCGTATAAATTGTCACTCGCAGGCTGCACAGTGCATATTTTATAATTTTTCGCCTTTTCTTTTTTTAAAACGTTAAAATTTGTCATTATTAGAACTGAAAAAAAGTTCGGTAGGCCTGCGTTCTGCCAGAAGCAAATTTAGGGGTCTACTAAGAATATTCGGGCTGGTCCGGTCCTTTTACAGCGTAGACCTGCCCGAAAAATTTGTCTTGTTCGTGGTGCTTTTACAGGTTTCTAAGTATTTCCGTAATAAAAAGGTGCATTATTTCCATACTATTTATTACCAACTCCATTCTAGACCCATCTCCATTAATATTGGGTACAAATCCCAGGCTAGCAAAAGCATTTTGTTTATTTTTTGAAAGGGTTAATTGAAGAATCTTCTCGAGTTTCCGCTTAAATTTCGTTCGAAATCCCCTTTTTCACACCCTTTGGAATGCCCGTTCGTATTTTGTCATAATAGGATAAGTACAGGCGAAAAAAAATGCATTTCGGCCAAACGTTTTTGGGTTCAAATTGTAACTTTTGGGATGAGAGTGAATGTTCAATGTTAAGTGGCGTGGAAAGAAAACTATGTCATTTTTTGGGTTGTAAAGAAAGTTCTTGCCATTTTTTGTTTTGTAAAGAAAGTTCTTGCCATTCTTTGTTTTGTTAAGAAAATTTTTGCCATTTTTTAGTTTGTAAAGAATATTCCTGCCATTTCTTGTTTTGTATAGAAAGTTCATGCCATTTTTCTTGTAAAGAAAGTTCTTGCCATTTTTTGTTTTGTAAAGAAAGTTCTTGCCATTTTTTGTTTTGTAAAGAAAGATCTTGCCATTTTTGATTCTGTAAAGAAAGTATTTGATATTTTTGCACTTTTAAGCCTTATTTTTGATTGCACCGTGCAAAAATCTTTGTTTTTACCTACTTAGAGCTTATCTTTAGGCCGCCTTATAATAAAAAAATTGAATTTTTTAAACTCTGTAGCTTTAGAAGATTACTGGAGCTTTACTATTACGTACAAAAAAAATTTTTAATTTTTTTTGAAAATTAGCATTTTGATGACTTTTAGGAGCTTAGAAAGAGTCGAAGGCTAATAAATCTCTTCTCAAGAGTCATTAATGATGTTATTGGGTAGGCTATACTTCTAGGCGTTAAAATTTATGCAAATTAGGTGTATAATGAGCAATTTTTCAAGTAGATGTAAATGGAATGAGCTAGATTTTAGTGAGCTGTATAATAAGTTCTATTATAATAAGACCAGTAGCAAGGACGGCACGCTTCTTTCAAATTTTCTTTGACCCAGCCCGGTCCTGTCCCGGTCTAGACTAGTGGAAAATTAAGACCATTTTATGTTGCGTATGCCATGCCTTAACATTTTTTCCTCTAAAAGAATTTCGTATCGAAACGAGCAGTAAAAACGAGAGAATAAAACGGTAGAATGAGTTTTATCCTCACCAACATAAAACAAATTATTCTCGCCGTTTTTGACATTTCTTTTTTACACTTTTAGGACAAGGGATGTTTGACTAATTTTTAGAAATTTTTGGGATATAAATGAAAATTCAAGAGCTAAGGCTAGGGTGTTTGGCCAGGGTATAGGTAATTACTTAGGTGAGGGCTTACTTCAGGACTCAGGCCAGAGCTTAGGTCAAAGCTAGGGCTAGCTAAATTATGCTTTACCTTTTTTTAAACTGAGCTTTTGTTTAGGCTAAGGTTGGAGTTTAGAGATTAGGCGAAGGTGTAGACTCTTGTTTAAGCCCAAGTTTAGGCTATAAATTAGGCTAACAAGGGAAGGTACTTTAATCGCAGATGGACTTTGAGATGAGATCTATATATTCTGAAAGCTGAATTCACAGGGAGTACCAATCTGAAAACCGTTTTTCTGTGCGGCTCTTAGTTTTTGAGAAAATCACCGTTAAAATATGGCAATAATTTTGGCGAAACGAGCGCGGCGAAAAGAAGCGCGCAATTAATTCGAAGAAAACAAGTGGCGGCGTGGCCAAGTGGTGAGTCAGTTTTCTTCCGGATTTCGGTGGGGGAGTTCGATCTCGGGGTTGTGCAACAGTTTTACTGCGGCTTAAAATTACTTTTTAACTTAAAATTTTTACAGTATTTTATAACTAATAATTATAAAATAACAAAAAATTCAATTTTCATTAAAACTCGATTTATTAACAAGAAATATGCTTAATTTCAACAAACTGAATAAAACAAAAGTGAAAATATCCTCTATGATACTGTAAAAATTTTAAGTTAAAAGTAATTTTAAGCCGCAGTAAAACTGTTGCACACGGCCGTGACCGAACTCCCCCACCGAAATCCGGAAGAAAACTGACTCACCACTTGGCCACGCCGCCACTTGTTTTCTTCGAATTAATTGCGCGCTTCTTTTCGCCGCGCTCGTTTCGCCAAAATTATTGCCATATTTTAACGGTGATTTTCTCAAAAACTAAGAGCCGCCCAGAAAAACGGTTTTCAGATCGGTACTCCCTGTGAATTCAGCTTTCAGAATATATAGATCTCATCTCAAAGTCTATCTGCGATTAAAGTACCTTCCCTTGTAAGGCTTTGTATTAGGTTTAGGCTAAGTTTTAGGCTAGGACTTTGGTTTTGGTTTAAACCTAACTTTAGCCATATCCAAAAATTTTTTTAAAAGCTAGGTTTTGACTAAGCATTCGCCTCCGCTGTAGCGTAGGCACTAGCCACAACCCTAGCCTAAGCCCTAGCCTAAGTCCTAGCCTAAGTCCTAGCTTAAGCACTAGCCTAAGCCCTAGCCTAAGCCCTCGCCTAAGCCCTCGCCTAAGCCCTAGCCTAAGCTCTAGCCTAAGCCCTAGCCTAAGCCCTAGCCTAAGCCCTAGCCTAAGCTCTAGCCTAAACCCTAGCCTAAGCCCTAGTCTAAGCCCTAGCCTAAACACAAGCCTAAGCCCTAGCCTAAGCCCTAGCCTAAGCCCTCGCCTAAGCCCTAGCCCAAGCTCTAGCCTAAACCCTAGCCTAAGTCCTAGCCTAAGCCTAGCCTTAGCCTAGGCTCTATTTCTGGTTGTTCAAACTAAAACGCCCGAGCAAAACAAGAATGCGTGTTCGTTTGGTGCAATGTGAGAAAAGCGGATATGTATTGACAAATTAGAGGGCAATAATAGTAAAAAACGTTCGGTAAAAAGTTGTGTTTTGGGGTCAATTTACATGAGCGAAGATTCGATTACTTCTTGGCGGTTTTTTATAGTTTAATGCACTTTTATACCCGGAACTAGAGCCAGTTGGCCAAGTTTGATTTTGGAAGGGGATGAGGTTAAATTTTTTATTTTTAGGTGGGGTAAATTGAGAGGGGTGGTAAGTTTTTTCTAAAGGGTATGGTAGGTTTTAAAACAAATTTTGTGTGGGGTAGAAAGAAAAGAGTAAATTCTGAAATTTTTAAAAGATATACCGTAGCCTATTACAATTACAAGCATATTATACTATGCCAGCTTGACCGCGATTAGTAGAAGTAGTCAAAAATTGTGCTCAACTTGCACTAAATTATTCAGCCGGATCGGTCGTTAGCCTTTTACAAAGCCATTTCTAAACTATATATGACCTCAATAACATCAAAAAACATCCGCTTTCATGCCAAAGTTGGGCTTTCATATAATATCTTAATGTATTTTTGGTAGAGGTTGGTCGGTAATTTTTATTTTGGGAGTGAGGATGGGGAGAGGTTGAGGTAGGGGTATGGGAAAGCAGAGAGAGGGAGGGGTGGGAAATAAAATTTTTAAAAAAGTTGTCGTTTTTTTTTGAAAATTAACTGTGGAGTGAATTCAAGTTCAACTTTTTAGCTGGGCATGAGTATGAAGTATGGCAGAGATGATAAGTGCTGAGAGGGGGGAGGGGATTTTTTTTGCTGTTAATTTTGTCACTAGTTTTTTAAGTTTCTTTTACAAAAGGTTTTACTAATGGTTTTACGTATTTTTTTCTTGTTTTCTATGTCAAATAACATGTAAAAACCAAAGATCTTTGAAGAAAAAAATTGTTATGGATATGTAGGTGTGGTTTATATACTTCTATATAGTTAGATCTTAAAAGCTTTTTAATTTGTAACTTCAAAAACAATGAAATGTTTTCTAGTCATAACGCTTGTGTTCAAAAAACAAGGGAGGAGGTAGGGAAGTGTAAAGCTTAGTCTAGAACTAAAGCTGGAGTAGGGGGTAAAGTAGGTTAAGGGTAGGGCTTGAGCACGGCTAGGTTAAAGGTTGGGTAGAACTAGGGTTGGCTATACCCATACCTAGGGTCTAGTGTTCTGAGCTAGGGATCTGGGCTCTCGGCTAGGGCTCTGGGCTAAGGCTTTGGTTTAGGACTCTCGGCTAGGGCTCTGGGCTAGGGCTCTGGGCTAGGGCTCTGGGCTAGGGCTCTGGGCTAGGGCTCTGGGCTAGGGCTCTGGGCTAGGGCTAGGGCTCTGGGCTAGGGCTCTGGGCTAGGGCTCTGGGCTAGGGCTCTAGGGCTCTGGGCTAGGGCTCTGGGCTAGGGCTCTGGGCTAGGGCTCTAGGGCTCTGGGCTAGGGCTCTGAGCTAAGGCTTTGGTTTAGGACTCTCGGCTAGGGCTCTGGGTTAGGGTTCTGGGCTAGGGCTCTGGGTTAGGGTTCTGGGCTAGGGCTCTGGGCTAGGGCTCTGGGCTAGGGCTCTGGGCTAGGGCTCTGGGCTAGGGCTCTGGGCTAGGGCTCTGGCCTCGAGCTAGGACTCTGAGCTACGGCTCTTGGATAGGGCTCTCGGCTAGGGCTTTGGGCTAGGGCTCTGGGTTAGGGCTCTAGGCTAGAGCTAGAGTAGGTTTTACATATTATAGCACTCTAGTACACGTTCAGTACTCCCTTACACTCCATCATGTTTTATGTTGTTTATGACGATACTTTATCTCTTTCTGTTTTACCACTCCATTGTCTTCTTTCTACTCTCGAGTCGCTGTTTGTGGCAGTTTTGTTCCGCGAACTGCAAACGACGCAAATCTTAACTTTGGTTGAATTTTAGTTAATTGGGCCGCCCTTCAGCGCATGGCCATCTAGAGAACGTTTCGGTTCTATTTTTGTTAAACATTCTTTCGTTACAGTAAGTTTTTGCTTTTAAGTTTTTTTTGGGTAGGGTAGGGTACAATACGTTTTTTTTGTCTTTTATTTTTTAAATTTTTAAATTTTTTTTGATTTTTTGAAATAAAAAATAAAATTTTTTTTAGAATTTTTAAAATTTCAAAGTTTTTTTGTAAGTTAAATTGCTTTACAATTAATATTTTTTGAATTTTTTTATTTAAGTTTTTTTAGTTTTTCCAATTTTTATTTAAATTTTGAAATTTCCAAAAATATTTTTAAAATAAAAAATCTCTAAAGCCATGCTTAAATAGTAAATACGACATTTTTATTTTGATTTACGCCCAATTCCGGCGAAAGAAAGGCAATTGTTCATAGAAAGAAGGGGTAGGGAGGAGGAGGGGGGGAAATTGTTTGTAAAAAACCCATGTCAAATGGGTTGGGTAAACAAATTTTTGCCAAAACTTGTAAGACAAGTAAAAACATATACCTTGGTTTTAGTTTTTATTTAGTTTTTACGTAGTTTTTTAATTACATTTGTTTGAAATTGAATTGTGAGATTAACAGGCTGCGGGTGACATTTTATACGATCAAAGGTTTCTAAGCGGTAAAAAATTAAAAATTTTTGAATCTAGTAAAACTCTGTGATTATGGTTGATTTTTTCGATCATATACGCCTTTTAAAACTAATTTTTTGAAAATGGCAAACTGCCGAGGACATTTTATACGATGAAACATGACCTCGATTGTAACTGAAATTCTTATTAAAACCAATTACTATATGTATGTAAAACTATATGTAAATTTACTTTAAAATATTTCAGACATGCTCCGGTAATGATTATCACATATCTGGCCCGTTTAATGCTCCTCCTCCCCGAACTCTCACCCTCCGACGCGAATCATCTGGAGCAGTTGGCACAACTGCAGGAACCTCATCCAACCCGACCCAACATACTTCATGACAATCAATATGGTATAGTTTTTGAAATTTATTTAAACAAGTATTGATATTATTGTAAAATGGCAATATAAGGCAGGTTTTAGCAAAAGTATAGGTCCCACAACGAAAACTTGATTTTACTGTTTTTTGCTAGCATTGTGTTTTAAATTGCTTTTAAAATGCATTCTATATTCAAATACGTCAGAGAACGTTTCTTTTACAGTTTTTTTAAATTTTGTGGGCCTCACCACGAAAACCTGGTTTTTCGGTTTTTGCTTGCATTGTGCTTTTAAAACTTTTACTCATTACCATAAGTCTATAAACGTCATTTTGAGCATATTTATTTAAAAAGTCGTATTTTACCACAAATTTTTAGTGAATCCCTTATCAAATGTGAATAATAATCAACCGCCCAACCTGAGCCAGCCCGCCAAAAACCATATACCTCATAGACATAGGAGTTCCGCGGCCGAAGACGATCATCGGCATCAAAACGGGCGGTTTTCTGAAGGTATTGGCTGAATTCTTTATATTATTTAGGGTTTTGAGGGTTACATGATTTAACTTTGTATACTTTTCATCGTATAAAGTGTCTCTTTAAACATTTTTTGTCGTATAAAATGTCTTTCTCAACATATTATAAGTATAACACAGTAATTTTCAGATGAAAACCACCTTGGCAATGAGAATCCACACCTTTCTCAAAGTCATCATTCAGAAGGCAAAAAGTACAGTAATCATTACGATAACAACTACAAAAACAAGCCAAAACCCCTCTATAAGCCGGGTCTGCCCCCTCCTCGGCTAGAAAACAGTCAAGCACCCGGAGGGGATTGTATACCTATCAACGAGACCTTAAGGAAACATCTTATCCAAAGCTTGTTTAACGATGATTATGACAAGGACACGTTGCCATCGACCGACCCGACCTCGGTTGTGGTCGAGTTGACAGTCCAGTCTATTACCGAGATCAGCGAGTTCAGCTCCAGCTTCAACGCCGACGTCTGGTTCTCGCAGATCTGGAGAGACCCGAGACTAGACTTTACTGGGTTCAATTACTGCTTGACCAACCTGTCCTTATCAGCTCACAAGCTGCCACAACTCTGGACACCCAATGTTTGTTTTGTCAATAGTAAGAAGGTGGATATTCATGCCTCGCCCCAACAAAATATATTGTTGTTGGCCTTTCCGAATGGGACGATTTGGTTGAATTTCAGAGTTAGTCTCAGTGGACCTTGTAGACTGGATTTGGTAAGGTTTCATGACTTTTTCTGATTTGACCGTTATAGGTAGGGCGGGGGAAAATAAAGTCGAGAAGAGTGAAGCGGAGGTAGGGTAGAGTAGAACAAGGTATTATATTTAGATTATGATAAAAAGATTATAATAGATCAGAGTAATATTGCCTAGGCTTAGGATATTATAAAGCATGCTTGAGACAAAGTAGAGCACGATGAATTTAGGGCATGGTAAAAGTACGGGTAAGAAAATATAGAGAAATTAAGTTGTGGCTTTAAAATTTAAATTAGGGGTAGGTTAAAATAAAATTTTTTTTAAGTATAGAACAGGGAATGTATGGTAAAGGTTAAAGTGAAGCAGGATGAGTAAGGAAAAGCAGGGTAGAGTACGGTAAGAAAAAATAGGGTAGGGCAAAATAAGGTATTATAGGGAATGGTCCTATAGAATAAGGTATTGTAAAGTAAAATAAACTATGGGGTAGGGTAGGGTAGGGTAGGGTAGGGTAGGGTAGGGTAGGGTAGGGTAGGGTAGGGTAGAGTAGGGTAGGGTATACTAATTTTTGTGTTTTCAGACTTACTTTCCAATGGATCTACAACAATGTAGTTTGATATTCGAGGTGAGTAAGCCTCTTTGGTGAATATCAAAAAAAAATTATTTAATTTTAAAAATTTAAGTTGTTGAAATAATTCTGTGCTCCCTAACCTCAAAAAATCTTTTTAAATAAAAAAGGGGCTCAAAGTTTTCTGAACAATTTTTTAAAATTACCTTCAGAGCTACTCCTACAACACAGCAGAAGTCCGAATAGTGTGGAGGGACTGGGAGGCGGTGTCAATCCCCGATCCATCCTCAAAAAAGCTGCCTGATTTTGAATTGATATCATTTGAACATGCAAATCAAACATTAATATACACGGCTGGACTGTGGGATCAGTTGGAGGTGATCTTCAAGTTCAGACGATTATACGGGTTCTATGTTCTTCAGGTATGTTAACATTGATATAGTGGGCATTTGTGTTAAATTGAAGTAGTTTTGGGCTTTGTAAAGGAAGTTCTTGCCATTTCTTGCTCTGTAAAGAAAGTTTTAGCTATTTTTGTTTTGTAAAGAAATTTCTTGCCATTTTTTGCTTTTTAAAGAAAGTTCTTGCCATTTTCAGTTTTGTAAAGAAAGTTCTTGCCATCTTATGCTTTGTAAAGAAAGTTCTTTCCATTTGTACAGCAAAAAACAATAAAAATCCAGCCTGCGAGTGACAAGTTATACGCTGAATACCATCTTTAATTTTGTAAAGAAAGTTCATGCCATTCTTTGTATTGTAAAGAAAGTTCTTGCCGTTTTGAGGTTTTTACGTAAATATCTGCCCACATTTTACCCAATAATGATTTGAAATGGCCGCCTTACACCCTAACAACCTCATTTCAGGCCTTCCTACCCACCTATCTTGCCGTTTTCATTAGTTGGATCGCATTTTGGATTGACACAAAAGCCCTACCGGCTAGAATAACATTAGGAGTGTCAAGCTTGATGGCTTTGTCATTTCAGCTGGGAAATATTGTCAAGAATTTGCCTCGAGTCAGCTATGTTAAGGTAGGTATAAGTAACATCAAATTTTTTGAAAAATTTTGAGATTTTAGGGTTGAATATAAGAAATTATGACATTTTTGATTGTATACTGGCATCCTTAAATTTTTTTAAAATTTTTTAATAATTCCAAAGCTTTACGATATTGTTGTAGGCATTGGACATCTGGATGTTCGGCTGCATGGGATTCATATTTTTAAGCTTGGTTGAAGTAAGTGACAGTTCAAATAGGACTAGACTAGTCTAGAAATTTTGTTTTTAATCAATTTTTCTTATTTTGTTACCTAAAAACATAAGTTTTCTCTAATAAATCGCCAAAAATCATCATTTTACCTAAAAAATTGGCCAAAAACATATGAGGTTGTTCAAATAATTCTGTGCCCGCTTACCCTGAAAATTTGTTTTGAGAAAGAGCACAGAATTATGTAAACAACGTAATCAGTTTTGCTCAAAAAATTGGAAAAAATCATTATTTTTTCACCAAAAAAATCGATATAAATCAGCTATATTACCTATGAAACGGATCCAAAAACCTTCAGCTAGCCATAGTCGGTTTCGCTGACAAAGTCGAAGCCAGAAGAAGACGTCAGCAACGCACGAAAGAGCAAAACTTGTTGAGAACCGAAAGCGAACGCATCAAAATGGGCCATCAACGCAACCACAGTCAAACCCTATATTACACTGAAGGGCGGATTCAATGTAAGTGTGGGAAAACAAGGTAAAATACGCGGCTAACAACTGTAATTTTTTTAGGGTATTCAAAATTGATTTTGAAGGCTTTGGTAAGAAATTTGGACAAAATTTTTGAAAAATTTTAAGAGTCATGATGACGCATTGTTTTCCGTCATGATGACAGTTTTTTTTTAAAGTTAAAAATTTGTCATTTAAACTCACCTTAGATTTAGAAACCATTTTTTTAAAATTACATTTTAAATTTTAAACATGTCATAATGACACATTTTACCGTCACGATGACATATTTTTTAGATTTTTATAAAATTTCTTTTAAACCAATTTTAGGCTTAAAAATCAATTTTAAATTCATTTTACAGTTTAAAAACCTTAGTAAAGCCCACTTACTCTGCTGTAACATATTATTATAGATTCTGCCTCAATCGACGATCTCGACTCCAATTCCAATCAGACCGCTTCAATAATCGGTGCTCCAGCTTCGGAACGTCAACGTCTATATCGATGTGCTCCGAATCCCACGGTCAATGATACCACCATGCGACAACAACGTGCGAATGGAAATGGCAAAGCGGCCAATTTCCAGAAGATTCCAGAAGAACAACAGAACTACATTAATGGGGAGCGGGTGGATGAGGTGGGTTTATGTTGAAGTAGAATAGTATTTTATAGCATTACGGCTACTACGCCGCAAGGACGAAGCTAGAGAGGAGGGGGAGTGGTGAAGGGAGGGTGGGTGGGACGAGGGTAGGTTAAGGCAGTGTTTTGCCGGACCGGTCCGGATGAGAATTTTTTTCGGTCCGGTCCGGCTCTATTTCTTTCGCTCAGGTCCGGTCCGGAATTTTTTTTTTTTTTTTTAAAAAGAGCCAGGAGCGCTCAAACTGCTTTCTATACGTTTAAAAACTCTTAAGAATATGTTTTATTTGCAATTTTTAAAACAGTTTTATTAAAATAAAAAAAATTTTTTTTCCGGACCGGTCCGGAAAATTCGTTGCGGGACCTAATCTGGGACTCTTTGAATTTATTTTCCCCGCCAAATTCATAGACAAAAAAATTTTTTTGGGTTTCTAACCCACCCCTTCCCAAAAAATAGGTACAAACGTTCTCCGCATCACGCATTTTACATTATTTTTCCAAAAAAACTCAAATTTTAAATTTTTTAAAAATTTTCACTCTGACCTCATTTCAGATCTCAGCCAAGCTGTTCCCCTTGTTATTCATGGCGTTCAACGTGTTCTACTGGTTCTATTACATTGGAATGCCGAAGAACTTTGGCTGAGATACAAATTTTCGCCAGAAAATAACAAATTTTTCAAATTTCAAATTTCGAAATTAAAAAATTAATATTTGCTCGTATTTTAATGAACTCTCGAATCGATATCAGTCTTTCAAGTTTAATTATAACAATAAATATTACAATTTTGGTATGGGTAAGTAAAGCACCAACGAAAGAAATGGCTTTTGGTTTGTCGTGATGACGCATTTTTTGGAAATGTCAGAAAATGCGTCATCGTGACAAGGTTTTATTTGACAAATTGGATGACAAAGTTATTGTATTTGACTAAACTGAAGTACTCGCTACCAAAAATTCATTTTATGGCTTAAAAGACTCAAAAGTGTCATCTTCCAAAAAATCCGTCATCCAACTCATCCGGAAAATGCGTCATTGACGCCGAAAACTTGTAAATGTGTAAGAATCAAACAAAATTGAGAACAATGAAAACAATAGTAGAAAAGGAAACAGAAATATACATAGACTCCGTATTGGACCATAATATTGCTCCGAACATACCATTCGCGTCTACCTTAACATAGACATGATAAATACCAATTAGAACCGTAAAAATTGAAACTAATACTAATACAAAAGTACATTACTATCAGATATACCGTCTTTAGATTATTTTGAAAATTTGGAACAGACACTTCGTACTATGGGATACTGTACTTATAAATCAAAGGTACTGTAGACTACTGTAGTGCTAAAATAATATACCGTATAGTACTGTAACACATATTTTTAAACATTGTAACTTATAGTACCCCGAAAGTAGTCAGGTATTGCGCAAACAGTACAGTACCCAAAAAACTACAGTACCCCAACAGCTACAGTACAACTAAAAATCTACAGTACCAGCCGTTCTACAGTACTAAACAAAAGCTAAGTTACCTCACAATCTGCAGTACCAAAAGCAATTCACAGTACCCCAAAAGCTACTGTACGAAGCCAATCTACAGTACCAAAACAGCCACAGTACCAAGATCAATCTACAGTACAAAAACCAATCTACAGTACCCCAAAGGATACAGTACCAATTCACAGTATCCAAATCGTTCTCAGTCTACAGTACCCCAATAATCCTACAGTAATCACAATTTAATGCCCAGTAGTTAATCGGTCGATGGCGTTCCTCAGGTCGGTGTTGCTTGTCTGAGGGTGGGCTAGTAGGGTTATGAGTTCGGTGACGAAGTGGTCGCAGAACCCGGGCGACGCGATTTCTGCCCTCCGAAGCGCCGTCGCTACGCCGTTCAGATCGGCGTTGCCGTGCCGCGTTCGACTCAGTTTGTCGAGGGCTGGTAGTAGGGTGCAGATCAGTGAGCCTCGAGGTTGATTCACCTTTTGGGCCGGTTTCTGGTGTTGGGGTATGCTGGGTTGGGTCGAGGTCCAGTCGGCCGGTGAGGCGTAGTGGGCCGACTTCCGCGAGTCCGCCGTTCCGTTCTGTTCGTTGTAGTGGATTTGCGAGTCGGATGACCTGGAAATTAAAAAAGGTTAAAAAATTGTAAAGAAAGTTCTTGCGGTTTTTCGAAAAATTAGTTTTTTAAAAAAAGTTCTTGCGGTTTTCTAAAAATCAATTTTGTAAAGAAAGTTCTAACCATTTTTCAAGAAAAACCAAAAAATTTCAAAAATCACCATCTAAACCATAAAAACCCCTACCTAAACTGAACCGGCTGCCCGAACGACTGTAACGGTCGTCGATCTTGTTGATATGAATTGGTGGGTTCCCCGCCGACTGTCACCACCGATGCGCCACTTCTGGCCGAGACTTGCGAGCTCGAATGGGCCAATCGTGACCGGTAGGCCGGGTCTTCTTGAGACGTCGTCGGACGTCGCTGATGCTGATCTTGGCGACCGTTCGAGTAATCTTTGTGGACTTGTTGCTTAAATAGGAAGAAGGCATACATATTTTTTCTTTTGTAAAGAAAGTTCTTGCGGTTTTTCAAAAAAATGAGTTCTGTAAAGAAAGTTCTTCCGTTTTTTGAAAAAATAAGTTTTGTAAAGAAAGTTCTTGCTGTTTTTCAAAAAGATGAGTTTTGTAAAGAAAATTATTGCGATTTTTATAATAAAAAAGTTTTGTATAGAAAATTCTTGCACTTTCTAAGAACCACAACAAATGTCGTATTTTACCTCAAAATTCTGAAAAATATGAACTTACCGGACTCTGTTGAGGTGATCCATTCAGTGCGATCGTCGTCGAATGGTTTCCTTGACTTTGCGAGTAAGACGGTTGGTCCGTGCTGTAAAATACGTCACAGCTCATTATATTAAAGCAAATTTTATGCCATTTTGCAATAGAAATGAGGATTGTGTGCCATTTTTCATTAGAAATGATGATTTTATGCTATTTTTCATTACAAGTCAAGAAATTATGACCTAAAATAGCCTACCTTATACTAGCCTGCTTTAGCTGTTGAGCCACCTGTTTGATCTGTTGATTCCTGCCATTATTTACAACTGTGCCATTTGGTGAGTAATCGTAGTCGTCTTCATCGTCGTATCTTCCATTATCTACATACTTTTGACCGTTTTCTTCGTATCTCGTCCTATCTTCACCATGCTTCGTCCTATCTTCACCATTTCTTAAGGTATCCTCACTATACCTCGTCGTATCTTCACCATGCCTTGATCTATCTTCACCGTACCTTCCTTTATTATCCAAATACTTTTCGTGACCATTATCAGCGTACTTGCCATTGCCATCACTGTGCCTTTGACCATTACGGTACTCTTCATTGTACTTCCCATTATGTACCGTACTCCCACTGCCATTACTGTGATTACTGTATTGAGAAGTACCACTTGAACTAGACATTGTACTACTCTGTGTAGTCGACGTATTTGGGCTTCGTATACCATTGATATTGGCACGACTTTGATTATGTACTACCAAGGTTGAGTTTCGTACCGTTGGATACTCCCATTGGTCGGCGGAGCCTGTCGAATCGTTATCATCATCCTGGTCCGAATCCGATGATGGGACTTGTCTCGACTTGTATTCGGCCGCTCTTTCTATTACATCAATCAGAATATTCGATTTTTTGGCTCGGCGGATGAAGGGGTGTTTTAGAAGCTCACGAGCTGATGGGCGCTGAAACAAGGTTTTTAGGTAAAAAAATTAAATTCACAAGTCAAATTTCCACCATCACGTCATGTACTACGTATTTTACCTTCGACCATAACCATACCAAAAAATCAAAAAAAAGTTCGAAAACCTCAAAATTTTATATTAAACTAGACCTTTAAGCCCCCAAACCCCTTTTATTCCTAATGTTTTAAACCCAAACAAATCACGTCTTACATTATTAGGATCCTTATTGAGACAAAGCTCGACAAATTCCTTGAACGGTCGGCTCCATTGAGCTCCAGTTAGCTGTGGAGGTGGATTTTTAGGTATTAAGAATAGGACTCGCATTGGATGTAGATCAGCATTCGGTGGCTCACCATTTGCCATTTCAATTGCCATGATACCCAAACTCCACATGTCCGCTTTGAAGTCGTACGAGGCTTGTTTTATCACTTCTGGGCTAAAAAATTATACTTGGGGAGTTTAAGCTTAAAAATTTGACGTATATTACACTGAAAGAGTTCAAGCTTGTTAAAAATTAGTTTTTTAAATCTAAAATTCGCCCGCGATAGAAAGAACAGATTCTCCTCTTTCGTTCAACACCAATTTTAACCCAATTCCCTCCAAAACCATCCCGGTTCAAGCCTAAATTCACAACAAAAATATAGAAATCAAACTTACGCCATCCAAAACGGAGTTCCAACAAAAGTCATTCGTTTTTTGACAGTTTCACTCAGCTGTACAGCTACACCAAAGTCAGCCAACTTCACTTCACCATTTTCAGACAATAAGACATTAGCTGCTTTGATATCTCGATGAATTTTCCTTTCCGTATGTAGATAATCTAGACCTTTCAGTACTTCCCTTAATATCACTGCGATATGATTCTCGTCCAGTTTGCCTGATTTTACTAGATCCAGCACTGATCCTCCTCCAAGATATTCCATTATTATCCATAGTTTTGAACCCTGAAAGGAAAAGAGTTTACAGAGAAAAAATTATATTGTTTTAGGACTTTTGAGAAAAATGAGGTAGCTAAGAGTATAAATTAAAGTTTAAAAACTGAGCTTAGATCTTTATAAAAACTCAAAAATACGTTTTTTTAGCTAACACTGACAAGAAACCATCGAAATTCATCCCTAAACGGAAAAAAAAATGCTTTCCCACCAAAAATTATATTGTTTTAGTCCGACTTTTAAAGATTAGTCCATCCACAATCTATAATACTATAAACCAAATCTTATGTTATAATACCTCAAAAAGGCTCTATTCTATACATTCCAATCGAATATCCATCAATTTTCATACCTAAAAACCAAAAAAACATTTAAAAGCACTTACTTTTAGGTACGATCCATAATACCTCGTAACACAGTTCGATTCGCACTGTGATAAGACCATGATCTCCTGTTGAATATCTTCAATCTCATCCTCGGCCTGCTCCAAGTCAATGATTTTGATCGCAACGGTTCGTCCATCTCGATTATCGATACCTTTATAAACTTCACCAAACGAGCCGCGCCCAATGCGCTCCTGGCGCGTGTAAATCGTCTCCGGATCCACTTTCTGTAAAATAAATTTGTTATATTTTGTTACTATAACGTAATTGTTTTGTGTTTATTTGATTTAAAAACGTTTGACAAACAATAAATGGGAGAATAATAGAAATTTGTTTGATTTACTTGATCAAACATGTTATTCTTGAGTAAAATCAAAGTTTAAAAAATTTAATAATACGAGACCGATGTGATTTACATATTCTTAGATGAAAAATCAAATAGTTCTTAAAATAAAGGCCATATTTTTTCTAAAAAGCTTCACAATTTCTTAAAAAATATTTTTTTCAGTTGGCCCGATTCGCTCTACTATAACATAGCATTTTTAGTGTTCATCGCCTAGTTGCCTTACCAAGCCCTTATCACAAAGTCTCAACATTATCTTTAGCCCTTCAGAATCCAAAAACACCCATTTCTCCCCTTCCCAACCCGGATTTTTAGCAAATTGACAGGCAACATTGACCAGTCGCCATAACATAAGACAAACAAAAAAAACAGTAACGCAAAACGGAATCACAAGAAACGGAAATTCCCTTTGATTTTGGGGGTCCCGGGAATGAAAAGCGAATGTGGGTACAAAAGCAGGACGGTCCATTCAACCCGCCTCACAAAAAAGTGCGATCAGTCGAGAGCGAGCCCTAATTAAAACGCGCTCATTATTCCTCTTAACTCACTGTAAACGCGGCTATGACGCATTTAAAAGAATAACTTTTTCGATGGGAAACGGCAAGAATTTTATTTTACTGTGTTTTTCTACAATATATACTGGTTGCAACAGCATAAAAAACCATTTTCCCAAAAAAAGCGCTACATCTATAGCAACGTCCTAAAAACTTAATTTTAAAAAAAGTCGGACCCTTTCACAAAAATTCAATTAATAAGTTTTGTTAAGCGTAAAATTTAGTATATCGTTCTAAAGTTTTGTCAAGATACATTGTTTTATAACAAAGTTACAGCTTGTTAAAACTCAAAAAGCCCTCAATTTCCTGGCCGGATTCGAACTTTTTTGATTTTTAACGTTTTCAAATTAACATAACTTTGTCATACTTCATCACACTAACACAAAACTTCGTAAATACATACCTTATTGTATTCTTTACCAAACGTATGAAATAAATTTTTGAAAAAAATTATAAAGTTTGAAATTTAAAAAATTATACCCTGTCAGTGTGTAAAGCCCTCAAAATTAAACGTTTTTCTTTTCGAATAAAGTAAGAAAAGAGGAATTAAAGAATCCGAACACCATATTTTATAACGAGGCCTCTTCTGGAGTGACAAGGAGAGGACTCTCGCATCTAACAATTCTCCTTTTAAAAGTTAAAAGGAACGACTTCGAAAAGTAATGACCAACAAGACGAAAAAACTGCTACTTACGATTAAAACCGTCTAATAAAACCGAAAGTAAAGAGGTATTCGAGCAAGGAAATGTGGGTTTGAAAGAAGTATTTACAATACCTAGTTAGCTCTTTAAAAGAAAATTACCCCTAACCCTACTCTACCTACCTTGCTTTACCCTACCTTACTTTAACATACCATATTCTACACTACCTTGCCCTACCCTACCCTGCTTTTTCCGTTGATACCTCGCCCTTACTAGCTCAGTAAGAGTTTGTTCAATCTCAAAAACCATTCGCTTTAAACAGTAAAGTTTTTTTTCGATAAAAGCGATCGGAAAACGACAAATCGCATCCAAATCCACCCCCAGTGGGATATAAAACTGCTGAATGAGGTTTGAGCCCCACTTTCAAACAACAATCAAATCAAGTTTTATGGGAATGAAACAGTGAAAACGGACTAATTATGCGTCAACTCAGTTGTCACTAAACTGTGATAACTCTTGGAGGGTTCAAGAATCAACACGGGGAGAGGAGGGGAGAGGGAATAGGGAGAACACGTCCAATTTTTTGAAGGAAAAATTTTTTTAGGGGAAATATAAATTAAAAACACTGCATCAAATGGAAGCTAGCCATAGATAGATAGCCCTGTTACACAGGAAAAGCATTGTTTTGTAAAAAATTTTTTTTTACATCAACAGGAAGGGCCAAGTTCACCTTTTAAAAAAATTTCAAGAGGAAGCCGAGTAAAAATAAAATTCATAAAATACTAACATATTTCCAAGGAGATATCGCTCAACATATGCTTTAAATTTCTTACCTAAAAATAAAGTTCAAGTAACCTAATCAAGGACTGACTACCACTGAACTTTACTTCTTATCAATATGCAAATAACGTTACGGATACGACAAAAATTTTATCACTTTGTTCTTGCTTTCTATCTCATTTGGCTCAAAAATTTCCTATATAAAATTCTACTTTTTAGCAAAACTTTAAAAACCGCCACTCCACCTTACCCGCCTTTTTCAAAAGAATCATTTTTTTATTTTTACCCTTGTTCAGATATAACCATAAGATGCGTGTAGAACAAACAAAACCGGATGCCCATAAAAAAGAAGAGAAAAATAGAGCTAGAAAAGAATGAAAAAATAAATAATAAAGCCTTGCAATGAGTAATGTTCCGCTCATTGATAAGTCATGTAACCACGAGATAACGCTTGAATCATCTTGTGAAGGAAACTTGGAGGAAATTAAAGAGCCTACCAAAATTTCAAGCTCTACTTTCCAAGAACATAGCTATGACAAGAACAAGCATTGACCTCAAATAGCAAAACACGTAATTTTGATAATAATAAGCCTAAAAACCGAGAATTTGTATCCAAAATCACCCGCCTAGGTCTGGTCTGAGTAGTAAATGACCTATTATGTGGTTTGACTTCCGGATGAACGAAGAATAAATAAACAACCTTTCTAATTTTCTGCTATGACTAAAAAATGGCCATATGCCAGTCTAGAATGCTCTTTCAAGCACAAAAGATGAATAATCAGACACAAATTGATCCAAAATTAAATTACAACTATATTTAAAATTAAAAATCTGAAGCAAGAAGTACCTTTTACCAATGCTTATAAAGCTAAAAATGCAAAACAAACTTTTGCCACATCCAGAAAAGAGTGATAGAGAAAACTAGAATTTATTCCTTTTGCCAAAAAAATCACTAGCCACACCCTTGGCCACATTTGTAGCAAAAGAACAGTCAACACAGTAGTAGTTATGGCCAAAGAGCAACCAACACATTACAATGAAAGAAAGACCCATTACCGACAAAAACTTTTAATCATCACTTACCCAAAAGTTCATGTCCGCTTACAAATCCGAGTGCACAAAGAGAGAATACAAGAAACAGATCGGTATCTCTTCGCTACTGAGATTCGATTTCAATTGAAACTTTAAATGTCAAACGCATTCAACTCGAAAAGAATGGGTGAAAAGATCTCCCCCCGACTCATCCTTAACATTCTTTCCCCGACTCAGCATTAGCAATCTCCCCCGACTTCCGTCAGTTTTAGAAATCTCCCCCAAAGATTTAACCAACCTTAAAGATCACCCCTGAATTCTGACAGCTTCAATATCTTCCCCCCGGCTTCATATATCTCTTTTAGCTCCAGACAGCCTTCAAGATGTCCCCCTGAGCTCCCAACGCCCCATAAGACTGTCCCCCAGATCAAGCAGACTTCAGAAGATCATCCCCAATGTCTTCCATCTCTGAAGATCTCACCCTGCCTTCAAAACCTTATAGATTTACCCGAAAACCTCAAAAACCTTAAAGATCTACTCATGCCTTCAACCTTTAACTTCTCCCTCAAACCTTCCGCCACCCCAAAAAAACCCAGATCCACCCCCGAAAACACAAATAACGCCGTCCGCCACCAAAACCCCAAAAAATTCCATCCACCCCCAAAACCCAAAAAATACCGTCTTATCGCCCCAAAAAATCATTGGAATCTCGGGGATGAGTAGTGGGGTGGTGGAATATCAAAAAAATTAGAAGAATCCATTTCGTGTTACGCCACCTTTGTCGAAACACGGCTACCGCGCGGTTTTTCTTGCAAGAGACAACCTGTAAAAGGCAGCCAAAAACACAAATTCGTAAAAATTCAAGGCCTTGATATTTTAGCGCATTTCTTGCGTCAAATCGAATGGAAATGGGTGTTTTAGGGTGGTTAAGAGGCAGGGGGGAGATGCGCGTCACGGCCCGTCTGATTTGTCACCTTCATGCTAATTCCAGTTCGAGATCACAACAACAAGATAAACGAGGGGGTTGTTTGTGGCTTTCGGCGTTTTTTTTTTTTTTTACTATGAGCTAAATTCAATATTTTTGAAAAACAAATTTTAGCTCAGAGCTTTCTGAACAACCTATCTAGAGGTAGCTTTAGCTCTAAACAGCCTCTGCTATGATTACCTAATTTTTGATCGCCATAAGTAAAGTTTCTTGTTAAAAAGCGACAAAATTTTTCTTACAACTTTTTTAAATTTTGGCTATGCTTGCCTAAAAATCAGACTGGGTTTATCTGAAATTCAGTGTAAGATTGACAACTAAAACTACATAAAACCCTATATTATAGTCGAAAGATCCTACTACTCTAATATTATGATAACATTTTAACGTTTTTTCTTCATATATTGACAAATCAACCGGATTTACGACGGAAAATGAAAAGAAAACATTAGAAACGAACTTTTCTACGTACTTGAGTTGATAAATTATGCCACAGTATCATTAACAACTTTATTTTTATATTTTTTAATAAATGCGAAGCTTCGTGGCTCGTATTTTACAACAAAAAATTGATCAAATCATGCATTTTTTACCGAAATATTGAACAAAAGTCATAATTTAGATAAAAACACTAGAAAAAATTCTATTTTTCTCAAGAAAATCAATAAAACCCTATATTCCCAACAACAAAACTCATCAACACCTTCATATCAAACCTTAAAATCCTCAAAAAATCCAATTTCTACCAAAAAATACAATAAAAATCGTATTTTAAAGTCTAGTTTAACAAAATTCGAAGAAAAACGTACCAAATGACGGATCCTTTCCGCCACCGGCTGCAAAACTTCCATACTCGACATTCAATACAAAGTTCAGTTCTTTTGGCTTACAAAAACATACGACTGACCAATCGGAATGTAAAAATTTGGAATGGAATTTGAATTTTTTAAATTAAAAATAATTTTTTGAAATTTTAAAATTTGGAAAAGTTGTTATCAGTCAACGTTTCGATAAAATTTGAAACTGTGAGCAATTTCAAATCTCAATCAAGCCTCTACTTCCAATAAGTTAGCCCTGCAGCTTCAAAAACACAAATATCAATATTACACTAGCCTTACACCTACTACAATATAAAAATCACCTCGTCCTAGTGCCTGACTTTGAAAATTAACCTCAATACATTCATCCAATACCTAAAGAAGAACAAATAATATAAATCAGTACCAAATTTACCTCTCGGTCAACGTCCTTGAAATCACCATGAGCCATCACGTAGTCCGCTTGACGTCTGACAGCAAACATCTTACCACAGCGTTAATTTAAGTAATTTAGGTAATAATAATGATCAAATTAAAGAAAATACAATGCTCTATCAAACGCTGTATCAATTTCCTTAAAAGGTTCAAGTTTCAACTAACTTCCAAGCTTTTTTCGATATTATAGTAGATACCTTAATATCGCAGCTCAAAAAACCAAATTTCCAAGCAGATTATCAGTTATAATCTCTAAATATTGTTATCACAATATCGAAAACAACACTATTCGCCAGTATGTAACAATATATCACAAGTTGTAGTCGAATCAAATGTGTTTAGCCACTTTTTTGCAAACTTTGAGAGTTTCAATCATAAAAACCCTCATAAACAATATAACATTTTCCATAAAAATCGAAATTCCGCTTTCGCTATCAGAACCCCTCCTAAAACTCAGCGGGACCGCCAAAATTGATAAGCTCCAACCACAAGCACTCAAGTTATTTCTGGGCGCGCTTCCATCTCTTGACCTCATGAATAATATACCTTTTGACCCAATAAATTATTTTGGCTAATTTAGAGTGAATTGAGTAGTAAAATATAGATGTAGAAGACATTAGAGGACGTCAAAAATATTACTTTAGGTAAGTGACATTAGATTGAATGGCCGAAAACATCAAACGATATAAAGATAACATGGGTAATATAAGTTTTGATAAAATAACTCTTTTTAAACTGTTTTTAAGGCGTTTAAATGACAAAATATAACAGTAAAAGACTCTAAAGAATATCAAAAATATTATTTGAGGTAAGGAACATAAGATTCAAGTACTAAAAACATTAAGTTAGAGAACCAAACCAATAACACAAATAAAAGCCAAAATCACGTATTTTACACAAAAATGTTTTAAAAACCAAAAAATCTTCAGAATACGATATAAAAATATCGTAAAGAATATTAAAAAACAACCCAGCTGGGCCAGCGAAAAAATATTTTTCAATCTCTCTCTTTGAAACGGAATGCCAATAGAATCGGAGCGACGCGAAAAGCCCGCGCAAAAGACTCGTTTAAACTTAAAAACTTGATATTTTTGTCAGTTGTGATAAGTAAAAGTTTAGAATTTTAACATGTAACAAATTTTTAAAATTTTGAAAATTGAATTGCATTTTAAAAATTTAAATTTTTTATTTGGCGCCAAATTGGCAAAGTGTTGCAAGTCCAATTTAGCTAGAATTTTATGAATAGCGTACCCATGCGATAAAATAGTCAACGTACGGTCAAAACATGCATTTCCAAAATTTGAATTTTGAATTTGGTGCTAAATTGGCAAATTACCAACACACATTTTTTAAGTCTAAAAATTCCAATAAAAATCAAAAAATAAATTTAAAATAAAAAAAACATGTAAACCTAATCAAAATTGCCTTAAAAATCCATGTTTACTAAACAAACCGTCATATTTCATTATTTCGGGCTGATCTCGGGACGTTGGATCGAAAAGGAACCCCTTGAGTTATGGCCGGTAATTAGTCCGCCATCTATTTATTTTCACGGAATTTTGCTTTCAAAATTCGCTGTCATGTTTGAAAAAACGAGTAATAAATTGAGTACAAACATTTGTATTGGGAGGGGCTTTGTTGCGATCATATTGGTTTAGGTTATATTATACTTGTTTTATAGGAGAGCATGGATAATATAATTTGTATTTTCAGCCAAATTTTAAAACTTTGTTAAGTTTTGATAAGCGAGGGTAAAAGTAGAAGCCAGGACATACAAGAAACTGGGAACGGGAGTGTTGATTAGAATATAATCTTTGGTAGGATCTAAGGTAGACTATGGTTAAACAAAATGAAAATTAAGTTACTGTAGGTTAAGGTAGATACAGTACGGTAGAGCAAGATAGATACGATGCAATAAGATAAGTGGGAGGGTAGAAGCACGATACAGTAAGATAAGTTAGAGGCTGGATAGGTAAAGTAGAGTAGGGCAAGGTAAAGCAGGAAAGACTAAGGCAGGGTAGAGTATGGTAGAGTAAGTAGAGTAAACTAGAGTAAAAAGTTTTGATTATTGGCTTCGGTAGAAGCCTAGGTAAATTAGGCGTGAATACTAGAATAGATGGATCAGGGTAAGCTGAAGGCTTGACAAAGAGCTAAGAAAGACGCGTCTAGAGCAAGGGCTGGAACAAGTTGGGCTGGGACATGCTTATTGATAAAGTAGAGACGCGTACTAATTTAAAAGTTGTGGAACGATCAATCTGGGATGTAGCAGAACGCCCATATTTTTTATTTGTAATGTTATGTTATGCTATTCTTTTTGTTTCTTGCAACAAAATGTTAACCTTTGAGTACCAGCTGACTTTCAGCTTACATAAGAAGTGTTAACAAGGAAAGTATCTTTTGATCTAAAATCTGTTAAACTTAGAATTTAACTTTACGAATGGATAATGAGATTTTTCTTTAGTACCTCGTTTTGTGGCCAATATACATTGATTGATCCAGCAATAAGCAGAGTAATATAGGTTAGAGTAAGGAAGAGGTAAATTTTTGGTAAGGTAACGTAGGATTTGAAAGCTTAGTTTTGTAAAATACGAGCCGTACATCTAGGTATAACATTATTGTTTATGTTCAAATGACAATTTAAAAAAAAAAAAACTTTTGTAAAGAAAGTTTTTGCGGTTTTTCGAAAAAATGGGTTTTGTAAAGAAAGTTATTGCGGTTTTTTGAGAAATGAGTTTTGTAAAGAAAGTTCTTGCGGTTTTTCAAAAACTGAGTTTTGTAAACAAAGCTCTTGCGGTTTTGGAAAAAATGGGTTTTGTAAAGAAAGTTATTGCGGTTTTTTGAGAAATGAGTTTTGTAAAGAAAGTTCTTGCGGTTTTTTGAAAAATGAGTTTTGTAAAGAAAGTTCTTGCGGTTTTTTTGAAAAATTAGTACTGTAAAGAAAGTTTACGCTAAAAAAGGCAATTTTACAAAATGACTCACTTCATATCATATATCTTATGATTCACATAATCCGAAACATATGAACTGTTTTATAATCCAATAAATCTAATTCTCAAGTTGGCCTTTGGCTCCCGGACGAAATCAGTAGCGACTTTAGGGCCCGCCAATTGAAATTAATGACCAGCCCTGTTCGATGACTGAGGTCGCGTTAAAAAAGATATATCTTTATTTTTTGAGTTTTATAGATTTCATTTCACACTTTGTTCAAAACACCTTGTTCTTGTGATTATAGGGTACTATTGAAAGGTGTTTTTTGAGCTCAGTAAAGAAAGGAGACTAGGATAAGGCTATTGCTGTTGAACAAGTGTAGTATTAGGCTTCTGCTAGGGCTTAGGTATAAGTTTAAGCTATTCGTAGCTTTAAACTTTAGCTCAATTTTTAAATTTTAAGTTTTGGTTTAGGTTTTAAGCAGGACTTAATTTAGGCTAAGGCCTAGTTTCAAGTTTCAAGTTTTGGTTTAGGCTTTGACTAGGGTTTAAGTTTAGGTTTAAGCGTAGTCTTGGTTTAAACCTAAGCTTAAACTGAGATTTAAACTAAAGCAAGAGCTAGGGCTATCACCAAGAGCAGGACCAGGACTAGGACCAGGACCAGGACCAGAACCAAGACCAGGACCAGGGCCAGGACCAGGGCCAAGACCAGGACCAGGACCAGGACCAGGACCAGGACCAGGACCAGGACCAGGACCAGGACCAGGACCAGGACCAGGAACAGGACCAGGACCAGGACCAGGACCAGGACCAAGACCAGGACCAATACTAAAGCTAAGGTATGGGAAAAATGGGGGTTGGTTTTTTTTAAAAAATCAAAATATTTGATCTAATATTTTTGCCGAGCTCTCATTTCCTACAATAATATACGTCTTTCCATTTCTCAAAGGCGGTGAAATCTGAATAGATTTGCGCTTCATTACTCAAAAAGGGATTATTATATTATTGAAAGACAATGCGCGAAAGGTGCCGTAAGTTTCGGTAATTGGATATTTACAGACTCTTTTCGGGTAATGTAGGGTAGAGCAAGGTAGGGTAGGTAACTTATAAGGGAGAAGGTTTTTTTATTACAGAGGAAAAGAATTGGGTTGGCTAAAGTAAGAAAAGTTAGAGTAGGGTAGGGTAGGGCAACTTATAAAGTTATAAAATTGAGATGGGGAGGGTTTTTTATTTCAGAATTGAAGGATAGGGCTGGGGTAAAGTAAGATAATGAAGTCCAGGCTAGAGTAGGGTAGGGTAGGGTAGGGTAGGGTAAGGTAGGGTAGGGTAGGGTAGGGTAGGGTAGGGTAGGGTAGGGTATGGTAGGGTAGGGTAGGGTAGGGTAGGGTAGGGTAGGGTAGGGTAGGGTAGGGTAGGGTAGGGTAGGGTAGGGTAGGGTAGGGTAGGGTAGGGTAGGGGTAGGGTAGGGTAGGGTAGGGTAGGGTAGGGTAGGGTAGGGTAGGGTAGGGTAGGGTAGGGTAGGGTAGGGTAGGGTAGGGTAGGGTAGGGTAGGGTAGAGTAGGGTAGACATGGGGACCGGGCCGGGACTGAGAAAAATGTAAGTCGGGTTGGGCCTGGAACTTCCAAAAAAAAGTCTGACCCGGCCCTAAAAGCCAGACCCATTCGGGCCGGGCCTGAAAAGTGGGTTCGGCCTGGCCCGTTCCTCATGTCAAAAAGTACGGTACGGCGCGGTACATATTATTTTTCTTGTTAAAATACGGTTTATTTTTTAAAAAATTAAAATTTTTCTAAGTTTAAAAATTCGAAATAATAGCCTTTTAATTTCAGCCTTGCGGCCACATAACCTTTTGTTAAAATTTATGGAAAAGTTGCTTTGAATGAGACATTTGAGCAATGTCCGAAGGTTCTTTTCGGGGCAAGGTTCTCTACAGAAACAGCCTTTATTGTTTTGTCTCATCAACTTATCGGATCAATTGGGCTCTAAATTTGCATTTCAAGGATTCGGATCTTTCTCGGATGCTTGAATTTTGATCTTCTTTTTTGTAGATGATTTTTCGGGAGTAGCCATTGCATTTTTTAATTTATGTAAAGAAAGTAGGACGGGCTTGCCTTGGGAGTGTTATGATCAGGTAAATAATATACGAAGGAAGGGCGGGGGGGGAAGGACGTGGAGGGAAAAAAAAGGTGATGTAGGGGGCTGAGGTAAGGAGTCTTGGTTCAATGCCCAGTTTTGTAAAAAAAGTTATTGCGGTTTTTCAAAAAAAAGAGTTTTGTAAATAAATTACTTTCGGTTTTTAAATAATTCCGATTTGTAAAGAACGTTCTTTCAGTTTTCCAAAAAAATGAGTTTTGTAAGGAAAGTTCTTGCATTTTTTGAAAAAATGAACGTTATAAAGAAAATTCTTGCGGTTTTTTGAAAAATGAGTTTTGTAAAGAAAGTTCTTGCTTTTTTAATGTTTTTTGAAAATACATTTAAAGTGTATTGTAGTAAAAGTACTTTTATATTTTGATTTTATTTAAATTGTCAACATAAAACAGATGACTTTTTCTCATTTTGTAGTACGTTTTCATTTCAGTAGCTACTTTGTTTTGATTTCCCAGATTTGAAAACAATAGATAGAACATTTCTTCTAGGCCTAGAACCGGACGTTCTTAAAATAAAAAAAAATTAAACTGGCCGCTTTATTTGTCATTTTAAATTTACTTTTAGTAGGTTACGGTAATTAAAAAATTATATGAGGCTTTTGTTTTAGTTTTTATTTATTCTTATATTTTGCGCGTGACAGTACTCTAAGGCATGAGAAGTAGGCATGAGGAACGGGACGGGCCGGGCTTGAAAATCTAAGCGGCCCGGCCCGTTTTTCATGTCTAATGGTGAGGGGTGACTGTTGAGGGCATTTATAGGACTCTGTGCTAGGGCTATGGCTCTAGGGCTTAGACTAGGGCTATAGGCTAGAACGAAGGCTAGGGTTGTGGGCTAGAACTCTGAGGTAGAACTCTGGGCTAGGACTCTTTGGCTGGGGTTCTGGGTTAGGGCTAGGACTCACGATTTTATTGCTTATGAATTTGTAACACTATAATTCACTATTTTTTTCTAAAAATGACGTTTTAAAAAGTGTGAAAAAGTACCTAAAATTAGCCGTTTAAACGTCTTGCCCTTTAATCTCCAGTCCAAAGGAAAGAAAAGTTTTTTGCGAAAAAACTGGAGAAGATATCAATTTACAAATCGAGAAAAGTCTGTGACGGCAAATTTTTATAAGGCCAGGGTTTAACACTTTTGAGCAGACAGAGCGGGGGTATGGAGGGAAGGGTGTGGGAAGGGCTATTATTATTGACATTTGTTATGTTTTGAAGGTAAAATACGGTTGTCTGCCTTGTAAAATTTAAAAAAATTTTTTTATTCAAAAATTTTAAACAAAAATAAAATTTTTTGTTTAGTAAAAGATATTGTTATACCATTCTTGTTACTTTTCTTCTGACGTTTTAAAATATATTTTCCCCGAACAGTATCAAAACATGTTATGATTGACCATAACATGAGCCAATTTGATCTGTTTCGTCTTGATTCTTCCGCTTGGTCATTTTAAAACTGTTTTTTAGTCAAAAACATTGTCGCAGACATTTCCGTGTTATTACCATGTATAATATATCGCGTATAAAGAGTAGCTGAGTGTAATATCTTGCAGTATTGATAATTTTACTATCTTAAATTACTTATTTTCAGAAATTTACAGTAACTCAAACAGCGACTTGATGGTATTTTGTCATTTTGAACTTCAAAAATGACAAAATACAAATGGCTATTAGGTTTAATAGCCTTTATATCATTGGCTACAAATGGACTTGTAAGTAATTTTTAATTTAATAGATTATATTGCTTTTTAACCTACCAATTATCTACTCTTTATATTACTTTACCCATTACCCTGCTCTTAACTTTACCTTTTATTATACCTTAAAAATGTTAGCCATAACGTGTACCCTACTACTTGCTTTATCACTTACTTTACCCTTTATTCTATCCTTTACACTACCTTTTTCCTTACCTTTTACTATACTTTTTGCCTTACTCTTTACCTTACCTGCCTCTTATCTTACTTTTTACTCAACTTCTTGCTCTAGCCTTTACTCTATTTTCTATTTCTTACCTAGGCCCTTTGCTTTACTCTTTACTCTGCGCTATTACTGTTTACTTTGCTCTTATCCTTTCTGTTTTTCTTACTTCTTACTCTAACTATTACCTTATTCCTTATCTTACCACTTTCTGTGTCCCTTACCCTACACCCTACCCTATTCTTTACATTATTTTGTACTCTACTTCTTGTCCTACCTTTCTTCCTAACCTTTATTGTACCCTTCGTTTAGACTTTACCCTTTCTATATAATTTATGTTTTATCCTAATTTAAATTTTAAAATACCTATTTTCAGGCCCAATACCATCCCCTAATCTCACGTCGTCATGCCTCATCCAACACTCTTGATGATGTCCCTCCACCCGGCATGACTTCGCTAACCTTTGTCTTTGACCGCACTGGCTCCATGAACGATGATCTGGTTCAAGTACGGCACGGTGCGAAAGGAATCTTCGAAACGGTGATGAAGCAACGAAAGAAGTTGATCTACAACTATGTCCTAGTACTCTTTCATGACCCCGAAGTTGATCCACCCTTTGTCAGTACCGATCCTGATATATTTCAACAGGAGCTGGCTTCAGTTACGGTACAAGGTGGTGGAGATTGTCCCGAGATGACATTGTCTGGCATCAAGAAGGCTTTGGAGGTATCGTTACCTGGTTCTTATATCTACGTGTTCACTGATGCGAGAGCCAAGGATTACCATCTAGAAGAGCGGGTACTGAATTTGATTCAGGAACGTCAGTCTTCTGTAGTCTTCGTGATGACAGGTGACTGTGGCAATCAAACCTCGCCCGGCTACAGAGTTTTCGAAAGAATCGCTGCCGCCTCGTTTGGTCAAGTGTTTCATCTGGAGAAGTCTCATGTTAATACTGTGCTAGAGTACGTACGACAAGCCGTCCAACAGAAGAAGATCCATTTACTGTACGAAGTTAGAGAGCATGGTAATGCTCATATTAGCCCAATTGCTGTTGATGAAGCCATGAGTGAGTTGACGATCTCATTGTCAGGTCAACGGGATGACAGTGACTTTTTGAATATCAGTCTGATCGATCCGGATGGTGAAGCTGTGGATCGGAGTCGGTATGAACATCAGGAAGGCACGATTGATTTGAAAAATGTTAAGGTACTTAATATGTTTAACTGAAAAAATATATTTTTTAATTTTAGATGTTTTAAGCCACTGTTTTTATGCTGTAAAAGCAAAATTTGTTGTATTTTACAAAAACAACGAAATGTCAAAAAAAAGTATTGGAAATTGTGACGAAATGTCACAAAATTTTTTTGACTTCAAAATTGTTTTTAGATGTTTTTAAGTGGTTTTTACCCTACTTTAACCCACCTTACCTTACCAAAAACTTTTTTTTCCTAAATCTTACCTTAACTCATCTTCAGCTGATCCGAGTCTCCAATCCAGAGCCAGGAATGTGGCAAGTCCGAACAACGGCCAAAAGTATGCACACAATTCGAGTCTTTGGCCACAGTGGAATCGACTTCAAATTTGGCTTCTCAACTCGAGTAGTACCATCAATCGACCTGGCTCATCCTCGTCCAATCGCTAATCAGTTGACCTACCTCATGATCAATATGACTGGCCTTGAACCTCCGGGTGTTTTAATGCAAGTCTCACTTTTGGATTATCATGGAAGGCTTTTGTACAAAAATGAGACCAAACTTCACGATGACAATCCTTATCTATACTTTGTTGGACCTTTCATGCCTCCGAAGGGATTCTTCTTCATCAGAATTCAGGGTGAAGATGCTTCGGTGAGTTTTAAGATAAACAAGTAAAGTTACTGCAATTTAAAATACGCAGTATAATCAGAGTCAATAGAATTTTTTTTATTCAGAATCAACCACAAAATCATTTTTCAGAACTACGAATTCATCAGAATCTCCCCCACCGCCATCTCTACCGTCGACGCTACCGGGCCTCGCGCTTATATGGCCGAACGAACAACCGCCACAGCCTACCAACCAGTCAATCTCAGCTGTTCCATCGAATCCGTAGCCCCATACACAGTGTATTGGAAGCACGGTAACAACCAAATTGGCGGCCCATTGTTCTACAAACACACTGATACCTCAACATGGACCATCGACATCGTATCACCCCACAATCGAGGCTACTACCTATGTGAAGTTGTATCGGCTAACGGCAATTTTACTGCCAGAACTTATTTGGACACGAAAGAACCTCCGCCACATATTATTCAGCCCAGAAACGAGAGTGTTGTCGTTGGTCAACCCGCCTTTTTGCACTGTCAGACACAGAGTATCGAGCAGGCAAAGATAACATGGCTCAGGAAGGGTCATGTGGTCGGGAATTCTGGAAAAGTTGTAAGTTGTTGTAGCTTTTTAGGTAACAACTTGAGGTTTTTGTTGTAGCTAGGAATTGACATTTTTGCCGTTTTAAGCTGAAATTTCAACTTTTTTTGCAATTCTTTACCTAGATGTTGAGGCTTTTTGTGATTTTATAGGTAAGAACTGAGGTTTCTCGAGTTGTTTTTGGCTAGTTATTGAGGGTTTTCCCTGTTTTTTAGCCAAAAATTGATGCTTTGGGCCTGAATTTCATTTTTTTTTCCTAAAAGAAGAAGTAAATCTGGCTTGAACTTTATAAGTTTCGAAAAACAATTCAAAATTCATAAGTTTCAACGGATGTTCGCGCCCAAATTATTTTATTTTCTTCTTGGCCCGAGGAGATTTTTGTCGAATTTTCGACTTTTTTAGAGGAAATTAACTTATTTTCGTGGGGTTTTTGGGTTATATTAGGGTACATTGTGAAAAAATCTATTTATTTTAATTTTTAAAAAAATTTTTCTTGATTTTCGTCCAATTTTACCCGAAAGAACCAATTCTGTTACCTAAAATATGATTTTAAAAGCTTTAACAATAAAAAACTAGGAAATAATTATTTTTAATGCCTAAAACTTATTAAATTTTAACAAAAGACGTTTTTCTTACCTATTATTTTAAGTTGGATTTGAAAGTCCGTATTTTACAAAAAAATATTTGTTACCTAAAATTTTGAAATTGTTCAAAACTGATTTTTATTATCAAAAATTAATTGAAACGTGATTCAATATAGTTTTTATCAACTTTCTTCTAAAATAAATAATTTTTTTCGTCAATTTATTGTCTAAAATATAGTTTTGATTCGCGTTTAGAGGTTTATTTGCTTTATTTGCCCTTATTTTGATAGTAAAAATTTTAAATTTTATAAGTTATACATTTTTATATTGTACAAAATTTAATTTATTATGTTTTTTTAGAGAATCGAACGTATTTTACAATAGATTTTGTCGATTTTACTAGGAAAAACATAGCGCGCGCAAAGGTTTTTGTCTCTTTTCTTTCCGAGCAAAAGGCCAGAAGAATAAGGGGAGAGAGCGCATGTGGTCTCGTGGTGTAGTGGTTATCACGTCTGCTTTACACGCAGAAGGCCGCCGGTTCGAACCCGGCCGGGACCTACTATCTCTTTTGGTTTTTTAACTTTGTTTTTGATATTGCGATTAGTTTTTTTGATTGTTAGGGGCACATAACAATATATATTGACTTTTTGGTTGATGTAAAATACGAATAGTAACTCATTAGACCTTTATAAAAAAATAATTGACAATTTCCCTAAATTTTTGTTCTTAAACCTACCTAAACTCACTTATTTCAGTACCAATCCCCGAATGGAACACTCCGAATCTTGGACACATCTTACGCAGATTCAGGACAATACATTTGTCGTGCTACAACGTCTGGTGGAACAGCAGAAGTTCGTATTTTCCTTCAAGTCTTTGAGAAACCATCGGTTACAGTAGACCCCAAAACCTTGTTTGTCGTACAGTATCGCGATATCACATTGAAATGTACAGTACGTGGAAATCCGTTACCGACTGCTGTGTGGTACTTCAAGGGAGTTAAGGTTGAGAACGATGAGAATCACTACGCAACTTATAACAGTAAGTTTTTGGAGGTATTGAGATTTGAGGTAAGGTGTAGATAAAGGGCCATATATTAATGATATGTTGATGTTATGGGGTGATATGAGTGTTAATATATAGTTAAAAGACAGTGCTTTAATTTATGTCTAATGAGGAGTTTAAAAATGCGCAAAAACTTTGTTTACAGATGATTTCGTTAGACAAATTGAAATTTTTTGGTGCTTAGTATATAAGAGTAGGGCTTGTTCAAACGGCTATATCTTTGTGGCCTATTGCTATATTGACACAAGTTATATGTCATTTTAAAGCCAACAAACTAGGCTTCAATATTCACCACACCTACTCTCAACAAAGCGCTATAACTTTCTTTCCAGACGAATTAATAGTCCGAAACGTGGACCAAACATCGATTGGAACCTACGAATGTCGTGCCGAGAATCCAGCTGGAATTGCTACAGATTACAGTGAAGTCAAGTTTGCCGAACGACCCATTATTCATGTTACACAGAATCGACATATGGTATCACGAGGAGCTTCCATCTTCCTGGACTGTAGAGTTATTACTGGTACTCCAGCACCGACTATTAAGTGGTACAAGGAGAATCGACCGGTCTGGGGAAATCAAAACATTGTTTTGGATGGTGGACGACTTACTATTCAGGTTGGTTTTTTCATTTTTTCAGAAAAGTTTGAGGGTTTTTGGGGTATTTGGATTTTCAATAAATTTTGTGACATTTCGTCACATTTTACCAATAAATCATTTGGCATTAGGTTTTTTTTGTAAAATACGAATGGATAATTGTCTCTATGTATAATTTAAAAAAGTACCAAATATCAGCATTTAAGTTTTTATATTTTTCGATAATTTTTGTGACATTTTGACTTTTTGTAAAATACGATCAGTCATACCCTAAAGTTGTTATAAAGTCTAAATTTTTAAGAAAAAATGATTTTCTAATTAAAATGATCACAGCTAGCTTGATGTCTAACATAATATTTTAGCATGCCATGGACACAGTTGCTGGTGTATTCACTTGTAAAGCTGAAAATATGGCTGGCGAGGACTCGAAGAGTGTTACAGTAACTATTGGACGTAAGTTGTTGGTCATAAAATGTGAAATTATTGACGAAATGAGCAAAAGTTGCCATGGGTAATATAATTTTTGGCAGTTTTTTGAAATGGATTTTTTTGAGGTTTTTAGGTAATAAAATGGGATTTTTTGATATTTTTAGGTAATAAAATGAATTTTTTTTGGGTATTTTAGGTAATAAAATGAAGTTTTTTGAAGTTTTTTTGTAAAAAAATGAAATTTTTTTGGTATTTTAGGTAGTAAAATGGGATTTTTTGATGATTTAGGTAATAAAATGAGGTCTTTTGGTATTTTTAAGTAAAAAATTAACTTTTTATTTGTAAAATACGTTGCCCTGTGTTTCCATAAGATAAATTTAGACTCCCCAACAATAGTACCATCACCAGAACAGCTATCAGTCAATATTGAGCAGTCGATCACATTACAATGCCGAGTCGTTGGTACTCCAAAGCCAATGATAGTATGGCTAAAGGATCAAAAGCCGATTGATGTGGCCAGCTCTAGGTTTACTGTACTGCCAGATGATAGTCTGATCATTCATAATATTCAGGTAGGCAGGAACTTTCTTTACAAAACAAAACATGGCAAGAACTTTCTTTACAAAACGAAAAATGGCAAGAACTTTCTTTACAAAACAAAAAATGGCAAGAACTTTCTTTACAAAACGAAAAATGGCAAGAACTTACTTTACAAAAAAAATGGCAAGAATTTTCTTTACAAAGGTTAAAATGGCAAGAACTTTCTTTCCAAAACAAAAATGGCAAGAAATTTCTTTACAACCCAATAAATGACAAAAATTTTTGACTTTCCAGGTAGAAGACCAAGGATATTACACATGTAAAGCGGAGAACGAGTTCGGCCAACAACAACGCAACACTCTAGTCACAGTAACCGGTCTGGTCTCGCCAATCCTAGCCCAAGCACCAAAAGATGCTCATCTAATTGAAGGCCAGGACCTCAGGCTCAGCTGTATCGTACTGATGGGTACCCCGAAACCGAAGGTCCGATGGCTGAAGGACGGCCGACCGGTCGAGGAAAGCGAAAATGAACTATTCGAGCCGGATGGAAGTCTGATCCTGAAGGGCGGAACCGAAGATCAACAAGGCAGCTACATGTGTGTGGCCATCAGTCCGGCTGGTAATGCTACACTGAGTATTGATGTGCAGTTGATCAGTAAGTTTATTTGACATTGTATAAAGGGTGGGGGGGGCGGGACAGGGGGTTGATTCTTTAAGTATTTTGTTAGGGGTAAGGGTAGTATTTGAATTTTTTTTGCTTAGGGTGGGGTAGTTTTTAATTCTTTTTGTTACGGGAGGGGGTAGATTTTAATTTTTTTTTGATTGGGTAGGGGGTAGGTTAAATTTTTTTTGATACAGGAGGGATAGATTTAATTTTTGTTTGACAGTGGTGGGGTAGATTTTAATTTGTATTGATAGGGGGAGAGGGTAGATTTAATTTTTTTTGGCAGGTAAGAGTAGATTTTTAATTTTTTTGGACAGGGGTGGGGTAAATTAAACATTTTTTTGATAGTGGCGTGGGTAGATTTTAATTTTAGAATAGGGTAGGGTAGATATTAAAATTTTTTTTGGTAATGGTACGGGCAGATTTAAAAATGTTTTCCACTGGTATGACAAGGTAGGATAAGACTAGAATAGGGATAGATATTGTAATAAAACGTTGGTTAGAGTCATTTAGGATAGCTGAATAGTCCGATAGGTTGGGTATGATTTGAGTATGTTAGTGTAAGGTAAGGTAAAAAGAGAGCCTCTAGGCTTTACGGTAGGATAGGGTAGGGTAGGGTAGGGTAGGGTACTGTAGGGTACGGTACGGTAGGGTAGGGTATGGTACTGTAGGGTACGGTAGGGTAGTGTAGGTAAAAAAACGTAGAATCTTTTGGATTTTTTTGACTATTATTGTAATAGAATTACCTTAACAACCTCGCTACGTCGTATTTTACACTTTTGAAATTAAAAGTAAAATGACACCTTTTAATACCGGATAAGGATTAATATTGTAAACAATCTGCTGTTTTTGTGCTACTCCTCGCTTTAGTTTATATGTAAAGATTTTGTGTTATTTCACCTTTACCTTGAGTTACGATACTTTACCCTTTATGTTACCTTATCCTACTGTAGTTTCGTTCACACTTTTCCTGTTTGTTTAGTGAGACCAGTGGTGGATGATGAAAATGCTCCAAGCGAAGTGAAGGTTAGATCGGGAGATCAACTTGATTTGAAATGCCCCATCTCTAGTACTGGTGGTACTCGAATAGTATGGGAGGAGAATGATGAAATCATCTTTGGCAACAACAATTTGTACACTATTATGGTGGGTTTCTGGAATTTTATCTGTGTTTTAGACAAATTTTTTATAAAAAATGGGCTGATTTGTTAATTTTTTAAAAAAACGGACATGTTATACGATGAAAAGTCTACTAGCTGCTGGACATGTTTCATCGTATAAAATGTCGCCCTTTAAAATAAATATGTAAAAAAGTAAATTTATAGGCCACTATGAACATGTAGGAGTGATACTTTTTAATTTTGAGTTCTAGTGACATGTTATACGATGAAGTGTTTCAGCCACTGGACATGTTTAATCGTATAAAATGTCGTTGTTTAAAACAAATATTTTAAAATGTAAATTTATAGGTCACTAGGAACATGTAGAGGCCGTTTTTACCAAATTTTTGATTTTATTGACATGTTATACGATGAAAGGTTTTTCAGTTGTCAGACATGTTTCATCGTATAACATGTCAATAAAAATCGAAATTTAGAAAAAACTCACTGCTACATGTTACAAGTAGTTTATAATGGAGTAATTTTTATGATTTTGATTGTTAGTGACATGTTATACGATGAAAAGTTTTGTAGCTGCTGGACATGTTTCATCGTATAACATGTCACTTAATTTAACAAATAGTAGAGTAAGATCTGTAGGGTTAACTAAAAGTTTTTTTATAACTTTTGTGTTATCGAAACTTCAATTGGTCGTATTTTACCTTATTTTAGCCCGACAACACCCTTCGAATCCACAAAACAGCTCAAGTTCATGCCGGTACTTACTCCTGCAAAGCCAAGAACGAAGCCGGCGAAGTGGTGTACAATGTCAATGTGGAAATACAAACAGCTCCACTTATCAAGAGTGATCGTAGTTCCTACGATCTTGTACTGGGTGATACGGTAACATTAGATTGTGAAGTCGAAAGTGAACCACCGGCTGACCGGACTTGGTAGGGTAGATTTGAAAATTTTTAAAATTTTTTTGGAGTTAAAAATATTTAACTTACAATTGTTAAGTATTTTTATTAACCGGTGTTCTAAATTAACGTATTTCACAAAAAGAACGAAATGTCACAAAAATTATTGGAAAAATGTAACGAAGTGTCACATAAGTTATTGGATATGTGTTAAACAAGTATTGCACAAGTTTCAAAGTTAGCTTGGTACAGGTAATTTTACATTTTAAAGCATTTTTAAGAATTGTTAACTTTGTGACATTTTATTTAAATTTTCCAATAATCTTTGTGACATTTCGTTTGTTTGGTAAAATACGTGGGGCAATAAAAACCGCTATGAAAGGGTAAAAAAAACATAGTTTTTTTCAATTAATAACCTTGTGACACTTTTTCACATTTCCTAATAATTTTTTGTGACATTTTGTTTCATTTTGGTAAACTACGTAAATATGCTCTTCTGGTAATAAAAAAGGTTTATAAAGGTTAAAAAACGTTAAAAAATTAATTTTGCTTAAGCAATAACTTTGTGACACTTCGTCAAATTTTCCAATAATTTTTGTGACATTTCGTTTTGTTAGTAAAATACGATTGACATTTATAGGTACTTTAACGACGTCGAAATCCCCTATCCAAAGGTCAACGAGTATGGTGCACTAATACTGGAATCGGTGGACGAAAATAATCGTGGTACTTACAAGTGCGTAGCCCAAAATGACATTGGCCAAGACGAGCGAAGTGTCCTTATTACAGTATACATTGCTCCACAAATCGACAAGTCCAAGTTGATCAAGGCCAAGCACAGTATTGTGAATGATACTGTAACTTTGGAATGTCCAGCACGAGCTTTCCCTCCGCCGACGCGGGAGTGGACTTACGAAGGTACCAGACTTGACAAGGGTACCATTGGTACAATATTGGACAAAAGTAATGTGTATGGTGCTGGGAATAGTATGTATAATACTGGCTTGGATAGGAGTGGTATGGACAGTACTATGAAGATAGCCAATGATGGTAGTCTAGTACTCTTTCGAGTACAGCTTAGTCATGCTGGCAACTACGAGTGCCAAGTCTCGAATCTAGCTGGTAACGACGCCATTACCTACTCATTGGAAGTCCAATCCCCAGCCAAGATATTAACCACATTGCCAGAGAAGACCAAGGTCATTGCCGGACTACCGTATACTTTGAACTGTAAGGTCAGCGGAGCACCAGAGCCTACATTAACATGGGAAAAGGATGGTGAAGTAATATCAGGAGACTCACCCTCTTACTTTGTAAGCCATTCTGGAGCATTGAGAATCAAGAATCCAAGTGCGGCGGATGCTGGAAGGTACAAGTGTACGGCAAGGAACATTGCCAGGGAGGATAGTATCGAAACTACTGTGGATGTGAAGTGTGAGTTGGAGTTTTATTTTTGATTTTTATGGTGGTATGGGTATTGGGTGACATGTGGGGATGAAAACTTAAAATTTTTTTCTAAAAAGGGACATTTTATACGATAAAAGGTGTCTGTGAAAAACATGTTTTATCGTATAACATGTCACTGAATTTGATAAATAGTTGTATTTTAAGATTTATAGGGTTACCTGAAACATTTTTCATAGTTTTTTACGAAAAAGAAATTTAGGTGACATTTTATACGATGAATTGGGTTTTGGACAAAAACATGTTTTATCGTATAAAATGTCAACTTCAATAAAAATCAGTGGTAAAATACTGTTCTGGTCAGGCTATAGGTAGTCTAAACAATTTGGAATAAGTTGTTTTAAATATTTTTAAAAAGGGACATGTTATACGATGAAATGTCTCTTCATATAAAAACATGTTTCATCGTATAACATGTCGCCTTTGATAAAAATATTTACTAAATATTAGAAATTTTAAGAAATATTGTCTGTAAAAGATAATTTCCAGCCCCACCAACCATCCGTCAAAACCAACGAACAAAATACCAGCTACTGGAGGATCAACCAGGCTTCATCCACTGTTATGTGGATGCCATTCCTCAGCCAAAGATCGAATGGTTCATTGATAACAAGCCTGTGGTTAGTGATAATGATGTTGTCGTACTGTCTAGTAAGTTTACTTAATCAGTATTGCTTAGTATTATTAAAAAAGTAATATTTAGTACGTTTGGTACTATTTAGTACGTTTTGTACTATTTAGTACGTATAGTACTATTCAGCATGAAATAGGTTATTAGTACTATATAGTATCAAAATTTGTTTTTACTATTATTTAGCATCGAATTTAGTACTGGTATTATTCAGTACTAAAATTCATCTTGTAGTACTATCGGCAACAAATTTAGTATCAGTACTATGCAGTATCAAACTTTTTTGTAGTGCTATTTAGCAACAAATTATGAAGTAGTACTACGTAGTATCAACATTTTGTATTGTGCTATTTAGTACTTTAACTTATTTGCTAGTACTATCCAGAACAAAACCCAAATTTCAGATGGTACTCTATATCTAACCAGCGTGACTAAAAAGAATGCCGGTCTCTTTTCCTGTGTAGCCGTTAACGAAGCCGGCCGAACCGATGCCCTGATCACCGTGGACGTCCTGGAGAAGCCCACGATAACAAAAGATGCAGCAGCTGTAGAAGAACAATTCGTTGTGAACGACCAGCCACTAGTACTACACTGTCCAGTCAACTCGAACCCACTACCGCAGATCCAATGGCTAGCTCATGGAGCCGTGGTGAACCGTAGTAATCAGAATTATCTGATTTCGGACGATGGAAGAAGGTTGAGTATTCTACATGCTGCTATCAAGGACAGTGGAACATTCGAATGTATCGCTTCGAACGCCGCTGGAGAGGTTAAGAAGAACTTTTCTGTGGAGGTCATGAGTAAGTTTTGGCGAGGGTGGGGTAGGGTATGGCATAATAGAGTTTTTAAGAGTAGAGGCAGGGGAGGGTAAGGTAGGTTACGGTAGAGTGCTTGCGCTGTACGGTATGGTGGTTTAGGAAATGGTAGGGTACGGTAAGATATGACATAGTAGAGTAGGGTAAGGTAGGTTAGGCTAAAGTATGGTACGGTAGAGCAGTGTCGTATATGATATGGTAAAGTAGGGGGTATATGGTAGGGTATGGCATAATAGTTTTAACTGTTGGGTAGAGTAAGGGCAGGTTACAGCAGAGTACTGTAGGATGTAATATTTTTGGGGGCCTATTTACGGTAAGAGACGGTAGGTCAGGGGATGGTAATACATGGCATAGCAAGGGATTGGTAGGGTTACTTGCGCTACTGTATGAGCTGGAGTAGGGGTACAGCTACGGTGTAGGTGGGGGTAGGGTAAATCTATGATAGGAATTGTGAGGCATACTGTACAGATAATGGTAGGCAGGTAAGGTAGGGTAGGGTAGGGTAGGGTAGGGTAGGGTAGGGTACGGTAGGGTAAGGTAAGGCAAGGCAGGTAGGGTAGGGTAGGGTAGGGTAGGGTAGGGTAAGGTAGGGTAGGGTAGGGTAGGGTAGAGCAGGGTAGGGTAGTAGGGTAGGGCAGGGTAGGGTAGGGTTGGATATGGCAAAAAATTGAAAATTTGATGCATTTCTTTCAGTACCACCAGTCTTCGACGATACCGTACAGAAACACAAGTTGACGGCGATTGAAGGTACCAAGGTTGAGATTCATTGTCCAGTAAGTGGTCATCCCAAGCCGAACATTACTTGGTTGGCTACACTTGGGTCCAATTCAAATGTAAAGCAGGACAGTAATGTTGAGGACAAGGATGTTGTAAGTGTTACTTCAAAATGGCATTTTTTGAAAAATTGTTACCTAAACTTTTTTTTGAGTCTTTGTTTAAAAATAACATTTTCTAACTGAAATCTGACTAAAAATGACTTTTTTGACTTAATATTATTTAAAAATGGCATTTTTGTTTAATTTGTTACCTAAAAATATAAAAAATCTTGTTTTCCAGCTGATTATTGACCCAGTAACCCTGGCCAACGCCGGACCATACGTCTGTGTAGCTTCGAACAAAGCCGGTAGCATTGACGTGTCAGTTGAATTGAATGTCCTAGCTCCGCCAAAGATTATCAAAACTGAAGCGCCGAGAGTTACAGTAGGAAAACCGTTCACATTGACTTGTGATGTTGAGGATGAAGATGGTACTACTGTCTTCAAATGGCTTTTTGTAAGTTTTTAAGGGTTTTTGAAGTTTGGTTTGTACTAAAAATGCTAAAAATAGGTCATTTTTGGTCGAAAGGACAAGTTATACGATGAAAGGTATTTAAGCTTGGACAAGTTTTGTCGTATAAAATTGTAGTTTAGCAAGAATTGTATGTAAAATACGTTAACGTGTGCTTGGAGCCATTGTATGTGTTTTACATTATCAATTTGTGTAAAAGTGACATCTTATACGATGAAACGTGTTTTAAGCTTGTACATCTTTGGTCGTATCACATGTCGCAGATTTTTAAAATTTAAAGAAGGATTTTAAATATGATAAAGATAAAGCTTTTAAAATGACTTTTACATTCAGAACGGTCGAGAAAGTTTGCCAGAGAACGCTCAAATCCCATTGAACGGCCGTAGATTGATCATTCCGCGTGCCAACGAAGATAACAATGGCATCTACACCTGTTTGGCCATAAATCAAGTCAATCAAGATCAACATGACATTGACATTGATGTGGTTGGTAAGTGAATTTACTGTATTTTACAGAAAGAGTAATTTGATTGCAATTTGGATTGTTTTTGATCGTGTTTTTGAAAATGTAACATAATGTCACAAAAATTATTGGATTTTTAAAATTTGAAAAATTGGCTTGAAATGGTTTTAAAAGCTTATAGATTTAACAGAAATGGTTAGAAATAGTGTTCAATAAAAAATAAAAGTCCAATAACGAAATGTCACAAAATGTATGTAATTTTTAATAATTTGAAAAATTCGCTAAAAATGATTTTAAAAGGTCATAGAGTTAACAGGAATGGTTAAAAATTGTGTTTAGTAAAAAATGAAAATTCAATAGCGAAATGTAAAAATTCAAAAAATCAATAACGAAATGTCACTAATCAAAAAATAAAAATATTTTCAGTACCACCAACCTTGATCGACAAAACTCAGTACGATGACACAATTACACTAATCGAAGGCCAAAAACAGGTGATCAGATGTGACGTTCGAGGTAATCCACCACCAAAGATCCAATGGTTCCGAGACGATCAACTGCTACCAAACACTGAAAATCGAACTTCGATCGAAATCGAACCGACTGAAGAGATCACTGACAAGAATCACTACTCTTGTGTCATTAAAAACGACGCTGGTATTGCTACAAAAGACTTCTTTGTTGAGGTAAGAGTGTCCTTAGCCTCCTTAGCTCAAAGCTTTAGCTTAGAATCTTAGCCTAGAGCCTTAGCATACAGCCTTAGCTCACAGCCCTAGCAAAGAGTCCTAGCCCTAGTCTAGAGCTCTACCTTAGAGCCTTAGCTCAGAGTCTTAAGCCTAGAGCCTTAAATCAGAGCCCTAACCCAGAGCTCTAGCCCAGATCCCTAGCTTAGAGCTCTAGCCCAGAGCCCTAGCTCAGAGCCTTTGCCCAGATGCTTAGTCCAGAGCCTTAGTCCATAGCCTTAGTTCTAGCCCTAGCTCTAGCTCAGAGCCCTAGTCTTACTCTACTCTACTCCTACTCCGATCTTTACCCTTCCTCTACTTCTACCCCTACCCTTACCTTTACTACAATATGTCATGCTTCACCCCTACAGTATTCCTTTTCATTTTTCTGTTCAATTGCGTCCTTACTGTATTTTAGCGTAGTCTTTCCTAGTATACCTATACTGTAGCATTCTAAGGAGTGTTTATACTTTACCCTGCTCATGTCTTTTACATCTAATTACTCTTATCAATATAATTCTGTTTAGCCCAACTTCTGCCTTTACGTCTTATAGCTTACCTTCCTCTATTCTACTTTGTCCTTTCTTTATCTTAACGTCAATCATCTTGGCCTAATTCAACTTATGGTACTTTTTAATGTAAAATACGAAATAAGCAGGGACGTCCCTGGAAGTAAATTAGTCTCTAATAATTAAAAAATTAATAAAAATTTCAAATTCCAGTCTATCTTCACTCCACGAGTAGTCATCCTATCAGATGAACAACGTTCCGTGGACGCGTTCGAAGGCAACACGGCCACTTTCGAGTGTCCAGTATCTTCTCTACGCCTGGAAGACCTCGAAATCGACTGGCTTCAGAAGGGAAGACCAATCACGATGGACTCGAAACGTTACGCTCTATCCTTGGACCGTACTCGTCTAACACTCTTGGGTATTCATCTAGGCGATGAAGGTGAATATACGTGTGTCATATCGAACAAGGCTGGCACAGTGTCAAGCAAGTTCGAACTGAATGTGTTAGTACCACCGAATATTCTGGGTAACAACTACGAGGTCATGGAGTTTGTGGAGAACAAACCACTTCAGCTCGAATGTATATACAATGGCTTCCCAATGCCTAAAGTGACATGGACCAAGGATGGAGCTAAGGTGCCGGAGGATGCGAAGGTAGGAAAAGATTTTTGAAATTTTGGAGTTTTAGAGCTAGAGATAGGGAAGACCTGAGAAAGGGTAGAGTGGGCCTAGGGTAGGGTAAGAAGCCTAAAAATACAACTAAAAAATGATAAAACATACAGTAGGGTTGGGGTATGACATTTTGCAGTATAGGGTAGGGGATAGTAAGGAATTGAATGGTAAGGGCTTGATAAGGTCGCTTTACTGTATGAGTTGAAGTAGGGGAACGGCTGTGCTATAGGTGGGGGGAGGGGAGTACAGTATGTCTATTATATGACTTCTAATGAATACAGTAGGTGTAAGGGTAGGGGTAGGGGTTTTTTTGGTAAAATACGTCTGGTCTTAGCGTTCGTTTTCATAAAAACTCAAATTTGCTTAAAAAAGCTATGTCTTCCATTAGATATGACTATTTATATTACTTTAGATCATGACAGAAAACCGCTTCCTTCACATCGAAAAGCTCCTACCCTCTCACGCCGGCATCTACGCTTGTCACGTCGAGAACGACGCAGGAAAAGTAACCAAAACTCACAACATCACTATCATCAAAAGACCAACCCTAATTCAAGGTCAACATCAACTCCAAGATCACAGTGTAGCACAGTCTCAGAGCACCGTTCTCGAATGTGCCATTCAAACACAGCACGGCGCTACTACTGACACAGAGTACATATGGCTCAAGGATGGTGTGGTCCTAAAGAACGATGGCAATCAAAAGTACAGTTTTGCTGAAAATGGCAGAAAACTTCAATTGTCGGATATTAACATTGATGATGAAGGTCTTTTCACTTGTTTGGTCAGAAACAAGGCCGGAGAAGAGAAGCAGGAGTTCCAGTTGGATGTGAAAAGTAAGTAAATTTGCTATTTTAAGTAATTTTATTTTTTTTGTTGCTTATTTGTGATTTTGACTTAATGCCACAAAAATTATTGATTTTTGACGAAATGTGAAAAAGATTATTGATTTTTTAAAACGTTATGGGAGCTTTTACGTACAGAATTAGCGTGTTTTGGTTATGTGAAGATGTATTTTACATTTTTAAACACGTTGACGAAGTACCACAAAAATTATTGGTTTTTGACGAAATGTCACAAAAATTATTGATTGAGCAAAAATGGCAAAAAATTTCATTTTTTACTCAGTTTTATTACTAAAAAAGTTTCTTTACATAAAATGTTGTACTTTTAAATTTTTTGACGAAATGTCACAAAATTATTGATTTTTTTACGAAAAACAATTTATCGATTATCTTAAATTGGCCAAAACTTCAATTTTCACAACTATTCTTTCTATTATAAACAGTTGTCATACCGTTTTTAGTTTTTGTCACACATTTGTACGAAATGTCAAAAGCTTTATCAATTTTTCAAAAAATTAACAAAAATTAATTTTAGCCAAGCCAGAAATACTTAGTCCGCCAAGAAAATTCACATCAGTGGAAAACACCAGCCTCACAATTGTCTGCGAAGCCGATGCGAACCCGAAGCCGTCAGTGTCATGGTACAAGAACGACGTTAAGCTATTGGAAAGCGACAAAGTTCAAATCAAAGCCGATGGAGAACAGTTAAAACTGACAAAACTAAACATAGATGATGCTGGATACTACATTTGTAAGGCTGAAAATGAACTTGGAGTTGCGGATGTCAGTTTTGGAGTCACGGTAATTCAAAAACCGGCCTTATTGGACGTTAAAACTGACAAAATTGAGACGCCCTTAGGGGACTCGGTTTCATTGAACTGTCCAATCAAGGATCCCAGCTTCACTGGCAATATTAGTTGGTGAGTTTTGTTGAATTTTGTAGTTTTGAGACAAGAAAAATGATTTTTGAAAAAAGACTTTTGTAAAGAAAGTTCTTGCGGTTTTTCAAAAAATAAGTTTTGTAAAGAAAGTTATTGCGGTTTTTAAAAAATTGAGTTTTGTAAAGAAAGCTATTGCGGTTTTTCAAAAAATGAGTTTTGTAAAGAAAGTTCTTGCGGTTTTTCAAAAAATAAGTTTTGTAAAGAAAGTTATTGCGGTTTTTTGAAATGATCGTATAAAATGTTTTCCGCAGCCTACGGGGTTTTTGTAAAAAGGCTTTGTAAAGAAAGTTTTTTCTCGTTTTTAATTAAAAAAAAATAAAAATTTTTTGGTTTTTTGGGTATAAATATCATTTTAGGTTGTACGAACTGAAGCCAATTGACTCGACTTCTTCCAAATTCACCGTTTTGCACAACGGCCGAAAACTGATTGTTCATGAGTAAGTTACACAAAACATGTCTTTAAAAAATAAATGTTCAGTTGCGTCATACGTATTTTACATTGGTTTTTTAGACATTAATTGTAAAATTTACGAGAAACAAAAATTTTTTTTTAAATGAACGAAATGTCACAAAGTTTATTGATTTTTAACGAAGTGTCACATAAAGTATTGATTATTTTGGAAGAAGGGTTAATTTAAGAAAATAAGTTTTAAACATATTTTTTGCCGTTTTGCTGTTTTTTTATTAGTTAATTGACGAAATGTCACAAAATTTATTAGTTTTTAACGTCAATGCTGAAATTATTATCGATACATTAAGTCGATATTTTTCAATTCAATTTTATTTTCATGTTTTTGCTTGTAAAACTTTTAAATTTTTATAATGTCGACGAAATGTCACCTGTTTTATTGATTTTTTAACGAAGTGTCACAGAAATCATTGGTTTTTTATAAAAGTTGATTTACCAGTTTTAAATGTAATTAACCGGTTTTTAATGACATTTTTAAATAAAATAACGTTTTTTCTTTTTATTTATTAGTGCCTATACCATATTAACATGAACGTATTTTACATTTTCAGCGCTTCCCTCCAAGACCAAGGTACCTACACTTGTGTGGTGAAGAACTTGGCCGGAGAGAACCGAGCCGACTACACACTTGACATAATGGTACCACCTTCGATTGAGATGCTGGAACGAGACCGTCGACGTACTGTGGTCGAGAATGGCACATTGGTACTGGAATGCGCGGCCAATGGTAACCCGGAGCCAGTGATCAGATGGTACCGCGACGGTCAGAAGCTGGAGCACTCGAGTTTGGCACTAGTCATACCTGGTGCTAAGTTCGCTGGTACTAGCTTGAGGTTGGAGAACATTAAGGCGGATAGTGGCAGTGGACGATACACTTGTGAGGCAGAGAATGCGGCTGGAATTGTGGATGAGGATATTATGGTTGAGGTCATGAGTAGGTTTATTTGACTTCATGGGCGAGAACTTTGTTTACAAAGCAAAAAATGGCAAGAACTTTCTTTACACACCCCATTTTTTAAAAAACCGCAAGAACTTTCTTTACAAATCATATTTTTGCAAAACCCGCAAGAACTTTCTTTACAAAACTAATTTTTTTTAAAAACTGCAAGAACTTTCTTTACAAAACTAATTTTTTCAAAAACCGCAAGAACTTTCTTTACAAATCATATTTTTGCAAAACCCGCAAGAACTTTCTTTACAAAACTAATTTTTTTTAAAAAACTGCAAGAACTTTCTTTACAAAACTAATTTTTTCAAAAACCGCAAGAACTTTCTTTACAAAACTCATTTTTCGAAAAACCGCAGGAACTTTCTTTACAAATCATATTTTTGCAAAAAACCGCAAGAACTTTCTTTACAAATATTATTTTTTTAAAAAGCGCAAGAACTTTTTTTTACAAAACTCATTTTTTTCAAAAACTGCAAGAACTTTCTTTACAAAACTAATTTTTTCAAAAACCGCAAGGATTTTTTTTACAAAACTCATTTTTCGAAAAACCGCAGGAACTTTTTTTACAAAACGGGACATATAAATGAATATTTTAGCCAAACCAACAATTCAACGTCTGAACGCTCCAGCCGACTTGGACGGTGAACTAGGCGGCCGAGTCGAGATCCATTGTCCAGTACAAGGTACTCCAACACCATACATTCAATGGCTACGTGATGGAACCCCACTGAACGCGGCACCACACGCCAGTCAAGTCTACGTCTCGCACAATCAACAACGCCTCAACTTTGTCAATTTCCAACGTGATCACGCCGCCACCTACACGTGTGTAGCCAAGAACGCCGCTGGCAACGACACCCGAGACTTTAGGCTACGATTCCTGGAAGAGCCGAAGATCGACGAGTCCAACATACCATCGGAACATACGTTCACAGTGAATGGAACGATCACCCTAACGTGCCCGGCCAGTGGAAGACCAGAACCAACCATTGCTTGGCTAAGGGATGGTGTACCGTTGGGTGTGGCGGATTCTGTAGCTTCGAAGGGGCAGGACGATAGGATTGTGCTTCTGAATGGAGGCAGAGAGTTGAGGATCGACAAGGTGAATGTTAAGGATGGAGGTCGCTTTACTTGTGTGGCTACGAATGTGGCTGGCATTGCTGATATGGACACGTTTGTCAAGATTTTGGGTAAGGAAGGGCTTATTAAGAAAGGGGAAAGGGGGGGGATTATGGGTGGAGGGGGGGGAGGTGCATTATGGATGGAGGGGGGGGATGGATTGGGGGTAGTATAATATTTTTGGGGCTTTGAAAACGGGGGGGGAGAATAGATTAGGGTAGTGTAAAAATTTTTTTTGAATTTTTTAGAAAAGGGGGTAGATAGAAGGTAGTGCATTATTTTTTAAATTTGTTTGAAAAAGGGGGTAGGTAGGGTAGGGTAGGGTAGGGTGGGGTAGGGTAGGAAAAGGTCGAATAGAGTAAAGTAAATTATTTTTTTTTGTAAAATACGACGTTTCTAATACGCTCGATTTAAATTTCTAGACTTACCAAGACTATTATCAAAGGACCCAGCCAAGCCGATGAATGTAGCTTCCTTATTGAACAAGCCAGCCGTACTAGAATGTAAAGTCAATAATTGGGACGATGGAATGGAAATCGAGTGGAGAAAAGATGGCAGAACAATTGGCGGTGCTAAAGGAGTGGTGGAAGATATTGATGAGGAGTATATTCAGGTAGGCATTTTTCATCTTTCAAGTTTTAAAAATTGAAAAAAAAATTTTTTGAATGCTTGAAGGCAATTTTAGGACGTTTTATCATGTTTAAAACACTTTTTTTTCATTTTGCCGGATTTTTCAAAATCCAATAATTTTGTGACATTTCGTCTAGTTTTCAAAACTTTTTTTAAAGGGTAGTAATAATGAAATTAAGACGTGTGGTCGTAATCTAGTGTATTTTACCATTTGCATGTATTTTTAAAAATCTAATAAGCTTATTGACATTTCGTCACAAATTAAAAATTTTTATAAATATTTTGTCAAAAAGTTAAAAAAAACGTTGATTTTTGACTTAATGGCAGTAAAGTTTACTATTTTGAGCATTTATTAGCATTTCTGGTATTTTTAGAACTTTTTTAAAAAGCCAATAATTTTTGTGACATTTCGTCAAGTTTAAAAACTTTTTTGGTGTTATTGACTTTTAATGATTACGACAAGCTACTATGCGTATTTTACATTGTCTAGCCTTCACTTTTGACTGTCTAATCTATGCTTTTGAAAAACCAATAGGTTTTGTGACATTTCGTTACATTTTAAATTACCTGTTTATTGTTATGAAAAATTTTAAGAAATTGTTCAAAAATGGTAAATTTATTATTAAAATGACGTTTTTATCTATACTTTCAAAAAGAATGTTTTTTTTTTGTTTCCAGATAACCGATCACGGTCGAAAACTTCATATTCTGTCGGCCCAGAAGTCGGACGCCGTTGAATGGACATGTATCGTCAAGAATCGAGCCGGCACAGCTCAACAAAACTTTAACATGGAAATCTTGATCAAGCCAGTGATTGAAGAAGGCAACAGCTCACCACCTTTGGTATCGGTTCTACAAGATGACCGAATCGAAGTTCATTGTGGTGTTAATGCCATTCCAAAAGCGACGATCGTTTGGAAGAGGAATGGCGAAGAAATCACTGACTTTGTTGGTAATGGACTTGAGTTGCAGGGTAAGAAAGGGTAGGGTTGGGCATGGTAAAATAGATGTAGGGATGTAAAATACGGAATTTCTACATATTTGGAACTTTAATTGCGTATCGGGATAATAAATTGTAGTATAGTTTTTGAATTTTAGTAAAAAGTTGCCTGCAACTTCAGCAACTTTTTTTGAAAATTTGGTTAAATTAGATACTTTAAGCCTTTTTATAGCTAAATACGTTACTTTTTTTAAAAAAAAATTTTTAACTTGTTCAAAAATGACGTTTTCAGACCAAAACCGCACCCTAATCATCTTCCACGCCAACCCCGCCCACGAAGGTCGCTACAGTTGTGACGCTGAAAACATCGTGGGAAAAGCCTCACGAACCTTCATGATCCTCCTGAACGCACCACCAGTACTAGACATACCGAACGAACGTGCCAAAGTCCAAAAAGGTCACGCTGTGGTACTGAACTGTCAACCTCAAGGTGGTAACGGCCCCTTCACAACCGAATGGTATCGAAACAAAGAACAACTGTTTGACAGCACTATTACGGACGTGGTTATTGATAACACGAACTTGTTGATCAACAATGCTCAGAAGCAACATTCAGGAGAGTATTACTGTATCGTGACGAACTCGGCCGGTCAGGACAGGAAGAACTTTGAGGTTACTGTACTTCGTAGGTTTTAAAATTTTCAAAATTTTTTTGGAATTTGAAAAAGATTTGGCCTTGTAATGGTATAGAATGGCATTTTTTTCATTTTTAATTTGTTTTTTGGGGGGGAGGTTAAGATTTGACTATATAACTGACTTTAATAACACTTTTACTTTACAGGGCAGGTCCACTGTTTCCTACCATAATTTTTTGTAGTCTAAAAGTAAAATTCTATAAATTTGCATGAATACACATTATTTATTTTGTCATTGATATCAAAATACAAAATTTTAAGATTTACGTTGTTTCAAAAGTTACAGTAGTGTTTTATACCCTACTTTCACCAAATTTTTGTAAATTTTTTAATTTTTTTTCGAAAAAAGGTAAAATAACGTCATTTTTTGAAATTTGAAAACATACATTCTACAACACATATAAAGTTGTAAAAGTTGCTTAGTTGCGTTAGGTCATGTTGTTTATTATCAAAGTTATAGTCGGTTGAAAATTTTTTTGAACTTTCCCAAAGGCCGATTTTTCTTGAAAGATCCCAGCTTTTTTTAAATATTTGGACATTTTGATAGAAAAGATGCAAATTTTGATAAATTATGGTAAAATACGTTTTGCGCAATACCTGTCTGCATCAATGTCTTATTTAAATCAAACTTGCAATTTTAAAATTTTTTCCGAAATTTTGAATGTATTTTTCTCAAAAAGTTGGGTTTGGTTAAATTACTATAACTGTTTGGTTTTAAGGTTTTTAAAAATTTTGTTCTAAGCCATTTTTAGGTAAGTATATGGTCTAAAATCGCTAAAATTTTCAAGGTTTGAGCTGCGCTTTTAAAGAAATTGTGATCAAAAAAGTGTGGCAGACTTTACTTTGGTAAAAAATGGTAAAATTTGGTGATTTTGTGTAGATAAAAGTTTTAAAAATGTCTATTTTGCCATTTTTAGAACACCCCAAGTTCACTGATCTCTCAGCAACATCCCCAGCTTTGATTGTGAACCAGTCGTTGATATTGGAGTGCAAAATCGAAGGTCTTCCAACGCCAACGGTACTCTGGACTAAGGTCGGTTTAACTTTTTAAAAATTATTTTTTTTTTTGTAAAATACGGTTTAGCCTTGTCTTAATAGTAGGCTTAAATTCTTACTTTTTAAAGTTTTTTCAAAAAATTTCGAAATTTAAAAAAATTTTTAAGTTTTTCAAAAATTTATTGAAATTGAAAAATATTTACAATACAATTACACCTGTACATGGTAATATTGGCAAAAATGTTTGAAAATAAAAAGTAATGAAAAATCAAGATAAAATAGTATAAAATACGGACAAAGACAGATTATTCAATTAGGCAGTAACCAGATAAATCTGTAAATGGACGATGAAGGTGGGGGTGGTTCAAAATATTTGGCATTTTTTGCATAACTACGACATGAGTTTTAGCAGTAAAAAATTTTAGGTAGCAAATGACTTTTTTCAAATCACGATTTACTTACTTCAGGTCTAAAATTAGTTTTTTAGGTTTAAAATATTATTTATCAAGCTTAAAATGACTTTTTCTAATCCAAAAATACCTTACTTTAGGCCCAAAATGAGTTTTTTTTCTTAAAACGACCTTTTTCAAGCCTAAAATAGCTCAAATTGTTTCCAAGATCAGGTTTTTTATGTTTAAAATGACCTTTTAGGCTTAGCAGGGCCTATTTGGTAAATCAACTAGGGCATATTACTAAACCCTATCGTAATATATCAGAAATACCACGCCAAAGTACTGTAAACCATTAATGCTGCAGTTAAAAGCCGATAAATTTGATCAAAATTGAAATAAAAACAATTTAAAATGAAAAAATTAACTTGATAAAGCCAAAAAATGCTAACAATTTGAATTTCAAATGCTTAAAAATAATATTAAATGTTGTATGAACAAGATACCCGGTTGGTAGATAACGTAGGCTACGGTTATGATTAAAATAAGTAACTTCAGATAGGAAATTATGGTAAAGACAGATAAGATAAAGGGTTTAAAATGGTGGTAAGGGCTTAGAAATTGTGATAACAAAAGGTGTCATTACAAGAAAATGCATGTCATGGACGTACTCCGTTTCAGAGATTCAGTATCTGTATGTCAATGATAAGAAATAGGGATGTTACAGTATGAAAGGGTGAAAATATAACATATTGTAGTAAAATATGGGGTCAAAAGGACAAAAGATAGGTATACTATAGTTGATGGTACTAATCATGATATCGTACTAGTCATGCTATAATAGTACTGGTCATGTCATAGTACTAGCCATGGTATAATACCATTCATATTATAGTATTACTAGTCATATTGCAGTACTAGTCATGTTATATTACTAATCAGGCTTAGTATGATACCATCAGATGTTAGTACCCCAAGGGGAAATTACGGTACTATAAGACCAATTTGGTCATAGAAATGATAATATTTTTGCAATGGCGGCGCGAAACCGGAAAATTTTGATACTGCATGATTTCCCACTGATCTACAACAACATTTTTTTGCATTTTTTAAAAAGTTGCCGACAAAAGTTGCGGCAACTTTTTGCGCGTAAATTTAAAAATTATTTTACATTTATCCGCAGCGTATTATACTTGGAGTTGGATGGTTTGACAGTTGTAGTAATGTTTTCTGACAAAAAGTTGCGGAAGTTGGTGACGACTTTTTGCAAAAAATTGCAGTAAAATTAAAATACTGCAACTTTATGAGTAAAAAACTTCAAAAAAAGGGTACTAATCACAACGCAGTGATCGGATCCCCACGATTCAGCGGACAAATCATGCAGCGCGCCATCTCCACGCCTAGTCATATGATGACCGGCGCGAATATAACAAACACAATAACCAGTAATGTACGACCGCCACTTGTGGCCCAAAGGCCAGCGAATGGTCCGCTGCTATCTCCGGCAGCCGATGTGCACACGCCGTAACGGTTGCAGGTCTTGCCTCCGGCGCAGTCCAGGCCAACGCGCCAAATCGGCCGACCTTGTGGGGTGGAGATGTGGTACTTGCGGAATGCGCTCTGGCAACGTCGCGACGAGGGCTTCTGAAAATGTGTTTTGAGAGGATTGTAGGGGAGAGAATGGGGGTTTCAAATGAGGTATGGCTGATAAGGTTTGCTTTCAAAATAAGGTTGCTATGATTTTTTAAAGATTATATTATCCATGACCTCAATACCCCAACTTTTTTGGTGTTTTGCGAAAGTTTTTGCATTTTTTGATAAACTTAATGTCTTTTACTGATAATACTGGAACTATGACAGATTTTTAAGCTATTGTTTTGTACATGTCTTTAAAAATGGCATTGCTATGTTGAGGAAGAAACTAAAAACAATCGTAAATTGGGATCTTTATTGTGTCTCCCAATAGTATTCAGCGCTAAATATGTGTCAGAATGCCCACATCTGATGTTTTATGCTCCCAATGGGATTGTCAAAGCCATGAAAATCGTAATTATACGCTTTTTTGTTTTTGAATTTGGAAAAAATTGCTTAAAATACGATTTTTTGAAAATTTTTTAAAAAATTTTAATTTTTGAAATTTTTCTTTAAATTTAAAATTTGGCTTCAATTTTGAAAACCTCGTAGCCACTTACAACATTAAAGTCGTAGCAACAAAGCTGACATCGGTCCTCCGACGCAAAACCCGTGTCAGGATCGATGGACGGACAGTCGCAAACCATAAGATGTGGCTGAATCTTGGCACAAGGGTTCTCGCAAATGTCATCAACGCAAATCTTCTCCAACTTTCGATCACAAAACGCACCCTGCTGTTTATCATGACACACCGATTTGGAGCATTTGCCTTGTAAACAAAGTCTTTGCGTATCGTGATCATCGCACGCCAGCCCCTCCATTTCGGCGCCATTCATACGACACCGTGCGCACGATTCCCGTTCCCAACGTTCGCCATTAGAGCGAAGGATTCCGTGCTCGTGGGCGGGGAGGCAGCGATTGTCGTCGTTGCCGCAACATAGATAACAAAAGTTGTCTTCTTCCGTGTCGCAGACACATTCCTTCATACCTCGAAGGGAACAGACTGATACGCATCTGAAATTTGGAGGTTTAGAAGGGTTTGAGGTTTAGAATAGGTATACTAGGTTTGGAAGATTGGCTTGAAGGTTTTTTTTTGGTTTGGCAGAGCATGCAGTGCAAGTATTTACTGAACGACAGGGTTGGGAGGGGTAAATTTTTAAGGGGTAGTAAAAAACTAAAAAAGATTTTTTTATGTTTCACAGGGGGGACCAAGTTACAATTTTACGAAAAAAAAATTTTGGAGGGCGGGGTAATAATTTTTTAGGGGGTGGTCAAAAAAATTTTTATTTTTTTTTTGGAATTTACGGGAGAACCAAGTGAAACTTTTTTTAAAAAAATTATGGGCAGGGGCTTAAAGATCATAAAAAGGTTTTTCAAAATCTACAGGGGATCATGTTAAACTTTTTTTTGAAAAAAAAATTTTGCTCAGGTCTTACTTTTAAAATTCATTTTGAAGCTCCCACTTACGTATTATTCCTACAAACATGAGCATTGTTGGTTGAGCAAACTTCATTCTCCGTACACTGCGCCGAAACATTGTTGTTCTCACGGGCGTGAGCGATGAGTACTGCGCACATTGTCAGCACGACTTGTGTAATCCATTTCTGACCTCGCATCCCGTGTTGGCATCACCCTTTGGTTGCTTTATATCATGGAGCAAATTTGGAACGGATTCTGAAAAAAATAGAGTTTAGGGGGTTTATAATTAGGTAGGAATATGAAAATTAGAGTTTGTGGCACGCGAGTAAAATAAATTAATTTAAACTGGCATTGTTACAGTAATAACTTATAATAAGGGTAGAGTAAGGTGGCGTAGGGAAGGGTAGGGTCTAGTATGGAAGGGTAGATAAGGATAAGGTACAAAAGGGTAGGAAAGGGTAGAGTAAGGTAAAACAGAGTTTTGTAGGGTAAGGTACAGTAAAGCAGGGTAAGGAAATTTGAACATGCTTGGGTAGAGTAGCTAATGACACGGTTTAAAATGATAGGGAGAGCAACACATGGCAAGGTGCTTGAACCGGGGGCGGACGAGGTCTCGTTGAAAATTTGGAGCCTACCCTCCCCTTCTCCCTCAAATTTTTCGACCCGACATTTACCCTCCTCCTAGGTATACTATTATATTACCCATGGCTAAATTTCAAAACCCTGCCCAAAGTTGGGTTAGGTTAGGGTAGAAAAGAAAGGCAAAAGTTAAAGTAGGGTAGGGTAAAAAAAAGAAGACGAAAGTCAGGGTAGGGTAGGGAAGAATAATGGCAAAAGTTAGGGCAGTTTAGAAAATGAAAACAAAATTCAGGTTAGGATAGGGTAAAAAAAGAAAGCAAAAGTCAGTGTAGGGTAGGAAAGAAAATAAAGGAAAAAGTCAGCACAGCGTAGGGTACAAAACAATTCAGTATTTAAAAAACGATAAAAAATCAGCAAGACATTGAATTGTCACCCAAATATTTTTAAAAAACAAAAACCCAAACAACCCCACAAAGAAAATATGAAAATTAATCAAAACGTCCTGAAAAACCGCTGCGTATACGATTATGCGAGCCAAAAAAATGGAAAGAAAAGAAGGTTTTAACGCCTTCTTCCGGCCATTTTTGGTCGAAAAAAAAGATTGAAACAGACTATAGTTTAGATAAAAGATTATGGAGCTGCAAATAAATAACCGGCCCATAAATCTTGAGCGAAATCTAAACGAGATTTTTGTTTTTTTGCTTGTAAGTATTGGGAAAAAATTGCAAAATTTGACATTTTCAAAACATGAAAAATATAAACATAGTTTCAAAAATTGAAAAAGGGATGGAAAATGGTACTATTGGTACTGCTTTTATCGTGAAAAGGTATGACAAGGTTAGGTAGGATAGGGTCGGGCAAGGTATGATAAGGTGGGTAGTGTAGAGCAGGGTAGGGTATGGTAGGGTAGAGTAGGGTAGGGTATGGCGGGATAGGGTAAAATAGGGTAAGCAGGGTAAGAGGAAATTAAAAGTGGGGCCACTGGTACCAATCTTCAATGTAGGCATGGTAAGGTTAAGTAGAATAGGTTAGGGCAAAGTGCGATGAGGTGGGTAGGGTAGGGTATGATAGAGTGGGTAAAATAGGGAGAGCAAAACAATGCAAGATAAGGCAAGGAAATTAAAAGTGGTAAAAGTGATACCATTGGTACAACTGTTTTACAATGAGCATAGTAAGATTAGGTAGGATAGGGTAGGGCAGAGTATGCTAGGTTGGCCATGGTTTGGTAGGGGTAAGTGTGATAGTCGGGCAGGGCAGTAGTGTGATAGTCGGGCAGGGCAGAAGTGTGATAGTCGGGCAGGGCAGTGCAAGACAAAGCAAATGAAGGCACGGAAAGGGCAGGGCAAGACAAGGCAAAGCAAGACAAGGCAAGATAAGGTAAGAAAAGAAAAGGCATGACATGTCAAGGCAAGCTAGGGCAAAGTAGTGAAGGATAGCTTAAGATACCATAAATAAAAGCCTTTTAAGGTAAAATACGAGGTTCCTATTGCTGATAACGATAAGATTAGGCAAAGGCAACTCGAATAAATATATTCAAGCGCGAAGAAATTAACGGATCTCCACAAAAATTACGAAAAAAATAAAAACCCAAGCTGAATAGCCAAAATTTCCACCAAAAAACCTTTCATGTCCAGAAAAAATCCGCCCAATTTAAGCCGCATTTCACGACATGTAACGTGATATGTCAGGTTATTTGAGAAAACAAGGCCCATTTTGGGTAATCGCCACAAAAAACACGGTCGATTTTCACTTGTAGCTCGCGGCACGCATTAGTACTATTTGTACAGGGGGGTAGGGGGGAGGAGCGGAAGGGGGGGGAGGGAGGGGGGGGAGTGAAAATTCAGAGAGGATACGAATTTTTGGGGGGGGAGGGGGGAGAAAATCAAATTTTTAAAATTTTGAAAAAAAAATTTTTGGAAAATGAAAAAAATCCAAATTTTTTCACTGACTTTCTAATTTACCCCGCCCAAAAAATAAGTAGAATCATTTAAAATCACATTAAAAAAAAGCTTTTCTCCTCTCCTAAGACCTCTTTTTGACTCATTTTTTTTTATTTACCCCGCCCAAAAATAATTTTGTACTCCGTTTTACACTAATATTTCAATTTACCCCGCCCAAAAAAATTAGGAGAGACATTTAAAATCACATTCTCAAAAAAAATTGTTTTTCTCTTTCCTTTGAGGCCCTTTTTGACTCGTTTTTGAATTTACCCCGCTCTAAAATCATTTTTTTACCAATTTTTTACTCATTTTTTAATTTACCCCGCCCAACAAATTAGTAGAAACATTTGAAACCACATTCTCAAAAATCAGCTTCTTTTCCTTCTCCTAATGATCATTTTCTATCCATTATATAACTTATCCCGCCAAAACATTACATTCGAAATTACACACCCAAAAATGCCCCAACCAAAATCCGGACCGCGTTTGTTTGGGGCGGCCGATTAAACACTTGAAAGTGTAGAATACATACATGTATATATACATTTATTCTTTTCGGCTCAATTGAGTTTTTGCCCGACCCTTTCATTCGTTTACTTTCTCCATGCCCCCTAGGGTAGTTTCATGCCATAAAAGGCGGCGGGATTGCTCGCTTCTCTTCCGCAAAAACGCGCTCGTCTTTCGGCTTCGCGGCCGGAAGGGAAAGCACGGTGGGTTCACGGTGGATGATTAAAGTGCAATGATCAAGTGATAACGGTTGGGTGAAAGGATATAGATTTAGTGATAAGTGAGTAGGTATTAGGAGAAGGATCTAGTGATTAGTGAGTAGGTATTAGGAGAGGGATCTAGTGATATGTGTGTAGCTATAAGAAGATGAATTTCAATGACAATTTAGTAGGTAAAAGCAGAATACTGACAAGGCAGGTACCCGACTTGCAATGCTCAGATTTTGTTCAAAATTTTTTAATTGAAAGATCATGTAAATCTAAGATCTTATTCAAAATTCGAAGTTGCGGTTTGCAGCCATACTTGAAAAAATCAAGATAAAAAAATTGTGTTTTGAATTTCCCGCCAAATTGTATAGTGTTTCAAGCTTATAACTTTGTCATTTTCTGACTTTTGACTATTTTTCTTTAATATAATGATAGGAAAGCTTCAAATGAACCTGCAATTTTAAATTTTTATGCTTCTCTTATCTGGAACATCAAAAAAAGTGCTTGCAACACAATGCCAATTTTGCCAAATTGGCGGTAAATTTACATATATTAATTTTAAAACTTAAAGATGCAAGCTAAGGTTTTTTATATGTGCTACAAAGAACTCGTATAAAAATTTTGAGCTAATTCTGAGAGTGGCTGGTGAGGTACTTTCTTTGTGAGTGATACGTGAGCAGCTAAAAGAAGTAGAATTAGGAACTGAAGATGGAATTTCGCGCTAACTTGTCATATTTAAATGATGGTGAATGATTTTTGATTGTTCATAAGGCTGATAACAGTAAGAAGATTTTAAATGCAAGCGTTTATTAAAATACGATCAAGTTGATTTAGAAACATTATGATAAAACGAATGTTTATACAATTAGTCATACAAATGACAAAAAAGTAGAATAATATCAAGAAACTAAAGCATTAGGCGTCTGCCAGCTCTGTATAATATAAATTTTAATGAATTTCCATGCATAACATGCTGCTGGCTGCGTGACAACACGCATTTCAACATGGAATAATAATTAGTAAAGATGGAAATTAATCAAAGTTTTGATAGAAATAAAAAATTTTGTAAAATACGACGAAGTGTTTGACCACACTACTGTAAAATACGGGTAAGAAACATGCTTGACACATTTTTATGTACTGAAACCTAAAAAATACCCAAGATATCACCCTTTTTGCCATAGTAAGTGAGGTTTTGTCATTATTATATGAGTAAGCATTCCCTTCAAAATACATACGTTGTTTTTCTTATTGTGATAAGGATTTTGGCTTTCTTTGCTCACTGTTTCAGCACTTTTGGTACTCGATTGGGGATCTCTCATTGAATTTTAGACAGGGACTACGCTAAAGAAGGGGTGGGACCAGTGTTTTGCCGGACCGGTCCGGTCCGCGGACGGACCGAAACAGAAATTTTTGCGGACCGGACCCAAAAACCTGCGGACCCGGACTGAAGAAAAAGCTCCGGACCGGTCCGGAAGAAAACTTTTTTTTTATTTTAAAAATACTGTTTTAAAAATTGCAAATAAAACATATTTTTAGGAGTTTTTAAGCAAAAAGAAAGCAGTTTTAGCGCTCCTTGCTTTTTTTAAAAATTAAAAAAATTTTTTTTGCGGACCGGACCGGACCCAAAAATTTAGGGTTTGGTCCGGTCCGGACCGGACCCAAAAATTTGAAGTTTGGACCGGACCGGGAAAAACACTGGGTGGGACAGGGGAGTGAAAAAGGTTTGATCCAATAGAGCCGATTTGAAAAAAGTCTACAGAGGTAAAGGTAGGGCCTGCACGTGCAAAATTAAAAAAAAAATTTTTAAATGAGTGCACAGATAGGTCTTGTTCACAAAAAAAAACTTTTTTTTTGGTGTTTATGCGCCCCCCCCTGATCTAATCAAACTTTTACAGGAACAAACTCACAAGGAAAGTATCGGACCTGCAACTCTCAGAATTAGCTCATAATTTTTATACGGGT